CATCGATCTACGGTTAGAGTCGGGTTCGTGTTTAGTGGCATCCTCAACTATTGTTGTAACGCTCTATTCACTAAAGTCGTAACCGACTTACTTTGCTCAACCAAGTTTCTTAGCTTCATTAAGAACGTAGGCACTACTGTGCCACTCCGGACTTAGTGCGTGAACTTGTTGAGCGAAATCGATTCTCGATCGACTAAACCTCATAAGTCGATCACTCAAATCGTTGTGTTAATCCTCTTCACAACGAGATAATCCTCAATTCATTTCTTAACTAAGGCGACTACGATTACGTAACTACCGACGGTTGTTACTAAGTAAGTACTCGGTAAGTTAGCAATCCCAGTCCATAACAGCACCAATACGAGTCTCCCCTTGGAGATACGCCCGAGCTTTCCACGTTTCTTTGCGGTCATACTGCATGGGAGAGCTCAGGCTGACGCACCTGGCAGGCAGCGGATATTAGAACCAAATATGGGGTTCGACTGAATCTTATTGGGAACTTACCTCAGAGGACGTGCTTAAGCGCTGTTCGCGGGGTGATAGCGTTTCTCCACGAAGCCTCACTGCCGTATGGAGTACTTGTGGATCAGTGTTCCGTGGCTGTTACGAACAGCTGTCAACGGACTTGCGTTATCTATGTAGCCCGGAGCATCTGTATCATGAAAACCTAATGGAGAGGCTAATCAGCGACAGTTGCTCCGACATGGACCACATTCACAGAGCGTGTTCACCGCCATATGGAGACTGAGCAGGCCGAGATTCCTGACTCGAAAACGTGATCCACGAGCCGCGAGCGCACCGACACCGTGACAGCCGCTAGCTATATCTATGCAGATCGCGGCGAAAAAGTCGTACCATGGTACTCAGTTGACTATCATGATCAGTCGAGAGCTGTCGAGAGGTCAACGGGACAAGAGATGGGTTGGAAGAGACAGGATGCTGACCAAGTAGCCTGGGATCCCAATCCAGCAAATCACAACGTAGCATCAGATCTGAGATTGGTGGCTGGAAAGTTGAACAACCGCAACGAACGCCACCGTGGCACTTTCCCACTATGCGCTCGCTAGACACAGTCAAATCGTTGGCACGTTGCTATTCTCGCCGCTTGGCAGTGATACACATCACTTCAACGGGCACGGAGGACCCTCTTCTGCCTTGATCCAGACCTTTGACCTGCTACTTCTGACTCGAGTTAACGCTGTAACTCTCAGGCTGTGTCTCGTACGCCCCAACCTCAAGCTCGGTGGTGGTTGGCTACCCCACGCGTGGCTTCTGTAGCACTTGCTGTTAATGCAACTATGTCCTGATTAGCTACTGGCCATTCACGATGCGAATCTTCTTGCCACGTCCTTGCAGTGTCCGACCTAGAAGTCACCACTCCCGGGCCTGGACCGACGACTAGGTTCATCAACGCAAGGCTACCTCCCAACACCTACACTCAGTACAATTGTTGTATCAGGAACTGCCTATTCCTCATATACTCCCCCAGGGGGGCTCGACACTGTCGAGTCCTGCGCAGACCTCCTCGTGGTCCTGGGGGGTTAGTAGTCCTACGGACGAAGCTAACATGCGCTACAATACGGATCCTCCGCGTCACAACCGGAATCCAAAGGGCACAGAGACTCACCATCTCCCCCTTAAAAATCCCGCAAGGGAAGGAGGCGACTCCTCGTTCGAATTACAATCTATAGTTAAAGCAACCCCCTGTCATACCCCCACAAGAACGCGGCCCCCGCAATACACCCCCCTTGACCACCCCGCCTCACACGGCGACCGAGCCCTCAGCTAGCCCCAATACGTGGACAGACATAAGCGCCCGTTTTTAAGGTTCAAGCCACCAACCCATCCATAAATAAGAAATAAACAGTGCCGATTATCAGAAGCCAAGCCACAGGATCCCAACTAGCATAGCACATCGCAACCGCCGGCAAACGCCGAAACAGCCCGACCATCACAGCCCACCACAATCGCCGGCCATCACGGCCCACCACAATCGCCGGCAATCCCCGAAAGAATTAATTTAAAAACACGAATATCCCATCCATCAGGCCGCTTTGGCCGCTCCCCACACCAAGCTCTATTCCCTCCTCCTGCTGCAACAGGAGGGCCAGGTTGCCGGCAACCGAACGAACGGAAGAGAATAGAACTACTAAAAGAGCGCCACAAGCGTTTAAACAGACAGAAACCATGCTAAAAAGACGCCCGGTCAGCGCAACCGCATATAACGAATAATGCACCGCACCAAGGGAAGCGAACGCCCCTCCGACGCCCCTACGTGAGCCATAAATCAGCATGAAATCCCAACAGACACCCGATCCCACCCAGAATAAAACACTTACCCCAAAACGAAAGCACCGCAAACGTCGAGACCCAGACACCTGGATACCCCCCAAACCAACCCTCCCATCCTTCTCCCCCCTATACAATGGACAAAACGAACTAATAATCGAGGTCATCATCCTACCCTACCCAGCCGCATACGGAATTACCGACACAAGACGCACCTGGACCGCGGACGTCGAACCGCCAGCTCCCCTCAAGAAAGGGAGCCTCATCACTCTGATCACTGACTCAGGATCCTCCGGGACAGGACTCCTCTCGGCAATCTGCGAACTTAGACGCCACTGGGTCACGTTCTCCATCTCCGGCGCCACTCCGCCATGCAACCTACGTGTACCTGTCCCGTGGACGCGTCTCGACGGACTCGAAGGCTTCACGCACCAGAACCACTACCAATCCCTTAGCGACTTCCCTCCCCCCCACCACGCTCTACGGCATGCCCACCCTAAGGTCGGTCCACACGAATACCCCTACGCCCGCAATGCGAACGAAGACGAGATCGACGAGTTCAAGAACCGGCTGGCACGGATCACAAACTCGCACTTAGCCAACCCGGAACCGAAAACGAAACACACAACGAGGATCCCTCCCCCGGCTGAAGCCAAGACGGTTCCTAAGCCCGCCCCCCAGCGGAGGCGAAAAGAGGCAACGATACACCCAGCCAATGGCAGCAACGCCCAACACACCGACCCAATCACAGCCCACGACGCCACTAAGAGAGATGCCGAGCTCGCGCGATCGGCACCCAGCCTCAACCCACCGACCGAAAATGAGGTAGACGAGGAGGAACACCAATCACCCCCACCGCAACAGAAGGGCCAACCCGATACCCGCAAGTAAGACCTCCATAGAGCACTCACCCCACATGAACCATTCTAACAAAGTCGGGCAGCCCCAACGAGAACTATGAGGTGATCGCCCCCGGGGCCACTCGCAGACAGACGAACGAAGTACCAACACCCCTCCTCGCCAGAGAGGCGAACCTCCATCAGGGAAGCATGCTAGGACCCGAGGGAGGCGTAACCCAGACGCGCGCCCCGCATCCCTTAAACCAACGAACAAGCCCTGGCCTGCCCTCCAACCCCCCGAGGTCCAAGCTACGCCGTCTCCTTCCAGCAGACACGCAACCCCAGGTCGCTCTCGTCCCCACAAGCCACCCCCAGATGTCCGCGAACTCCACGAACCCAGCTCAGCCGCCGGCCCAGACACCGGGCCTAACCCGCCAGCCGTCCATCAGCAACCAGAACTCGCAAACCCGCGTCCCAAACAACCCCTGGAACAGCGGGAGACGCTCTCCGGGCCAACCAGGCTCCCCGTCCTTCGCGGCCGTGGCTGCGAACAAGGACTCGACGCGTATGCGAGACATCAGAAATGGTAAAGCACCAACCCACTGTAAGATACGACGACCATCACTCACCTAAACACGTCAGCTCTGGCGCCCTCCAACGCCCAGACAAATGTCGCGACCCCCACGCCCACGATGCCCGACCCGACGAACGTCGCCAGCGCCCTGGCAAGCAACCAGACCACCACGGCGAAGGTGCTGGACACCCAGCCCGGGGCCGCGGCCGAGACCGTGCGGACGCCCACCCCAGCCAATACGCAACCCGAGCAGCCTAAGAAGAAAAAGGCCAAAAAGACGGTGATCGCCGCCGTGGGTCTCGGACTCCCGATAATCCCAGCCGACCCAGTGCGGCTCGCGACCCCCCACGACGCCCAGGCGCGGCCCACCGACGGCAAACGAAAACGCCAACGTATCGAGGACTACTCCGACGATAGTGACGAGGCCTCGCGCCCCCAGCCAGTCACCAGAGTCCAGAACCAGCCAAGGCAGCTCCCCGACACTACCGAGTCCCCCAAGAACGACCTCCTACTCACGCCGGGCTACAACTCAGACCGAGAGCCAACCGTCGGAGACATCGATGCGTACAACGGCTTCGACCCATCGAATATCAACCCGGCCCACCGCCCCCCTCCCTTCCCACAAAGGCCAGACCAATGGACCCCCGGGAACGACCCCAGCTGGGCCCCCCCGTCGATCCAGGAGGACATCTTCTGGAGTGGAGGACACGCAAACCACGCAGCGGGCCCCCCAAACCAGGCGCCGGCCACACAAGGCGACTTCGAGGACACGGAGATGGACGAGATGATCAGGAACTTCGGATTCCCGAACCCCACCGGCCCCCCGCCAAGACAGCCCCCTCGCGTATCCCAAACCTACGAGCGCCAACACAGGCCTCATCCACCGAGCCACCCCCCCTCGTACGGCCCGAACGCCCCCCGCGGAACAGACCCTCCTACCTACGCACAAGGGAACCCACTGCCACCCGCGCTGTGGAACCCCCCCCAACCATCGCAATGGAACATCTTCCCTCCTGCCCAGTGGAACGCGCCCCCAGTCGCCCCGACATACCAGACGCAACCCCGAGACACGCCAGCCCCCCCACAGTCGCTAGGCCGAGCACCAACGCCAAGGCTACAAGCCGCCCCCCAGCCGCCGTACAACCCCCCAGGAGACGCGCCGGGCGAACCCCAGTTCGATGTTCCGGTAAGCCAATTAGACCACAAACAACCTAACCACGTCCTAACAATGACCCAGACCCCGCGCTGGCGTCCGGCGCAATCAACGAGACCCCCAGTCACGCCGCCACGGCGACCACCGGCACCTCGACTGAACCCGACGGGTGAGACAGCCGCGCAGTCGCGCCCCCAGTCCCGAGCCGCATCGATCATCTCATACGCATCGCACGCCGACGCCGCCCAACGTAACGCCCGAAGGGAAGACGACGACATGGCAGTTGACGAAGAGGCCTGGCAGATCCAAGGCGATTACCCACTCCCCCAGGAAGCCCCGCAGAACCCCTACGTCTTTGGCGAGGCCCGGCAACCCACACAATACAACGAACAATACCCCTTCAACCCCCTGACACAGACCTTCCCGCCGAGCAACGGCCCCGCGGACCCAGGCCCCAGCCGAGCGTCCTTCTTCGCACAGGCCTTCAAACCCACGACGGTAACCCCTAGGCCCGAGGGCGACTGGAGGGAAATCCAGGGTAGCTCGTTCTACTCAAAGCACGATGGACAATGCCGCGACCAGGCGTCGAGATGGCAGGGCTCCGACAGGCCCGGCGTCCTTTTTTTCTTCGCGGCCCACGGCGCCAGGGACGGAGATGCGGACCAATGGCACCGCATGAACCTCCTCGAGAACTCGCTAAAGCAGACCTTCCACATCCCCGCTCCGGAGATCTACATCCCCGACACCATCAACGGAGCCGTAGCGAAACACAACGACAACCCCTTCTGTATGCTCCTCCAAGGCATCACCGATGCCCAGAAGAAGACCCTCATCGCCGAGAAATGGCACGTCAAGAAAGGCCTCGCCGTACGCTTCCTCGACCCCACCCTCGCCCCGTCGACATGGATGGGCGCCTGGGAGAAGAACCAAGCCTTCGGGACGATGAAGACCGAACAAATCCTACCGTTCTTCCAAGCCGCTTTCCGCCGCGACCCCCTACGAGCCCGTACCTTCGAAACGATTGAACGGGACAAGAAGCTAGGCCCTCTGAGTAAGTGGGGAGCGACCCCCCCGGAAGTCGCCTTCGCGCACATCGTCAGATCAGTCCGCATTCGCAGCATGCCGAGACAAACCGCAGGAGGAGCGATCAACCCACTAATCCAGCTGTACTGCGAATCCCCGACCGCTCACCCGCAGGACTGGCACATCTGGCGGGAAACCGTCAGGCAGCAGCCCTACAGCACGGACAATGGCGCCAAAGCCGTCCTGATCACGGAAGAATTCCTCTGTAAACTCTGCCACTCCATCGACCACCCCCTCGGTCTTTGCGATCTCCCCTCCGTCCCCGGATGGCTCGGCCCCTCCCGCGAAGAAGTACAAGCGGCCGCCAACGCAGACCACCGACGCGGCCCACCCCCCAATAACGCTACGAGAGGACACGGAGGCGCCCGCGGAGGACACCGCGGCGGACACCACGGAGGTAGCTTCGGAGGCCATAATGGCGGAAACTACGGAAGTAACAGAGGTGGTAACCGAGGCGGATACGGAGCGAGAGGACAGACGAGATCGCGCACAGACACGACGACCCACGCAGACCTCCTCCAGGAGGCAAACGTCGACTGGTGGCACTCACGATAAATACATAAGCCCCCGCATACTACATGAACCCCCCACGCCGCTTAACCCACGCCCCCATCCTGAATGTACGATAGCATCTTGAATGTACGAACCCTGTCCTAAGCAATGACCACTTCAATGACGATGGGCCACGCTCATACACCTAAGACCCGCAAATGCCCCCCGGCCGAAACGAGACCTAACCCTGCCCACTAACACTAATAAAACAGAACAACGAGACACAAACACATCAACTAACCGGCCTCTGACGGTGACGGCGCCCACATATACTGACCGAAAACGGGACAGGAAAGCCCGCCCCGCCAGATAAGCCCTCTCTCACCCTAGCGTAGGGCACTTCTAGACTTGCCCGCCTTAGTATGGTAAAGCGCGCACGTTCCGACGTCGCCGCATGTCACCTGAGGGGCCCAGGAGCGGTCCCCCTCCTCCCGCATATCGTTGTAGCGAGAGTGCAGTACAGCAACGACGAACACAATTAACACAACAACACAACACACGGATGCTTCCCAGACAATCGGCTCTCCTCCCTGTCGACGAAGAGGAGACACCATGCCCCCTGTCCATGGAGAAACTAGCGACTCGTCGGCAGGATACGGCGGCAGGGCGACCGCCAGGACCGGTAGCAGCCCCCTACCGCCTCCCGGCGGCCGGACACCTCAACCCGCCCCGTCACCCCAAGCTGACCAAGTGACGGGAGACGGGGCAAACTCTCCGCACAGATCTGAACGAACGCGCAACAGAGGAAGGAAGACGAAAGCCTCAATGAACGTCGCCTCCCTAAACATATGCGGTCGAGGAAACATCTCCAGTCTGAACGGTGGCAAATGGAATGCCCTCAACCAGCTCCTGCGCGAGAAAAAGATTGGCGTCATCGGCCTACAAGAAACGCACCTAAATCCTGAACACATTGACGAGATCCATAGACTCTACGGAAGACGCATACGTATATATAACAGTGCCGCAGAGAACGCGACTGCGGCCCAAGGGGTGGCCTTTGTACTAAACAGAGAAATAGCAAACGTAGACGACGTCTCCGTTAAAGAGATAATACCAGGACGAGCTATTCTGATGAAGATGAAATGGCACGCCGAGGCCAAACTAACAATACTCAATATATACGCACCCAACGGAACGGCCGAGAACGCAACTTTCTGGCTAAGCCTGGACAACCTAGTAAGAGACGGAACAATCCCCCGAGTAGACATCCTACTCGGGGACTTCAACATAGTAGAGGACGCCATAGACAGACTCCCCGCGAAAGCCGACCCCACAGCAGCAACCCAAGCACTCCGAGACCTGTTAAGCAGACTACATGTACACGACGGATGGAGAAACGCGGAGCCCAAAACAAAAGACTTCTCGTTCCCCCAACGAGGAGGAACCTCTCGCTCAAGACTAGACCGGATCTATGTGTCGAGCGACATACTCTCACACGCACTAACGTGGGACATCCAATACACGGGAGTCCCGACTGACCACCGCCTCGTCTCCACACTAATCACAACCGCGTCAGCCCCCTACATAGGGAAAGGACGCTGGGCACTACCAGCACATCTGCTAGAGGACGACCCTCTCATCCAGAATATCATCGCAGAGGGCGAGAAAGCATGGAAAGCGGCGCAGAGATCCGCGGGCCCAGAGAGAACAGAGAAGGACAACCCCCAAACTCACTTCAAGCACCTAAAAGACGCCATAAAGCGCCTGGCGAGAGAACGTCAACGAACAAAGGTCCCTAAGCTGGAGGCAGCAATGAACAACCTGAAGAAAGAGATCTCTAAGACCAGCGCCGCACGCGACTTTCAAACGGATGAACGTAAGCAACGAGAGGTAGATGTCATGAGGGACCGACTCCTCAGCCTTGAGAAAAAGCGACACGGTGGCATACAAGCAGCCACCTCAGTCCGATATATCCTGAATGCCGAATCCCCAGGAGCATACTGGTCAGCAGTTAACAAAGAACGAAGACCCAGAGACCTCTTCTTCGCCCTAAAAACCCCCGGCTCCAACCCAGCCACCTTCGAGTCGCGGTCCGACAAAATGGCGGAACTAGCAAGGAACTACCACGAGACACTACAAGAAGACGAGATCGAACAACCAAATGACCAGGAAGCAATGAGGAAACGCGAGGCAGCACTGACCGAGTCCCTCACATCGATACAAGCAACCCTACCCCAGGAAGGCTCCGAGGAAATCCTCATGGGGATATCAAGGACGGAAATCCTCGAAGCCCTGAAGAAACCAGGACCAGGAAAGGCCGCTGGCCTAGACGGGCTACCCTATGAAACATGGCTGAAACTACATAAGAAATGGGAACAGAGCTCACCGAGATCCACGCACCGTTTCGACTGTCTCGACCTGCTCAGCATCCTGTATAGAGACATCGACCAACACGGCATCTGCCCTGGTACCGGATTCACCGACGGCTGGATGTGCCCGATCTATAAAAAGAAGGATCGAAGAGACATCGCCAACTACAGGCCGATCACCCTGCTAAACGCAGACTATAAGGTCTATACGAGAATCCTGGCAACTCGCCTAGCCCGCTGGGCAACCACAATCATACACCCCGACCAAGCGGGCTTCATACCAGGACGCCAGATCAGCGACCAAACCCAGCTATGCAAGACAATCATCGACTACGCCGAAGCTGAAGAAGAAAACGGAGCAATCATCGCGTTAGACCAAGAAAAAGCATACGACAAAATCCGCCACGACTACCTGTGGCGTGTCCTAGAACACTTCGGCCTACCATCAAAGTTCATAGATAGAATAAAAAGCCTCTATGAGCAAGCCTCAACATTGGTCATGATAAACGGCGAACCGAGCTCACCCTTCCCCATCACCCGAGGAGTGCGCCAGGGCGACCCCCTCTCCTGCCTACTGTTCGACCTAGCAATCGAGCCGCTCGCGGCCGCACTACGCCAATCACAAATCCACGGCTTCAGCATCCCCGGAATGGCCGAACGCCTCATAGCAACCCTGTTCGCTGACGACACCTCCACTTTCTTGGCCGAGACAGACTCTTGGCAAGGCCTCTGGACCATCCTAAAGCAATGGTGCCTGGCGTCAGGTGCACGCTTCAACGACGACAAGACAGAAGTCATACCAGTAGGGAGTGAAGACTACCGGAAGAAAGTGATCGAAACGCGACAAATAAACCCAATGAGGGCGGACGACCTAATCCCACAAAACGTTCACATAGCCCAGGACGGGGAGCCTGTTAGGATCCTCGGCGCATGGATAGGGAATAAGCTAGACGAGATAGCAATCTGGACCCCGACCCTACAGAAAATAGACCAGTTCCTAACCCGCTGGGGCAAATGCCACCCATCCCTAATGGGGAAGAAACACATCGTTCAGATGGGTCCTGGGGGAATGACACAGTACCTTACCACTGTTCAGGGGATGCCAAAGGAGATCGAGGACGCCGTCGTGAAGCGCATCAGATCCTTCATCTGGGACGGCAACCGCCCCCGAGTCGCCATGAACGTTCTATCCAAGCCAACCGGAGAAGGGGGGATTGGACTCCTAGGCATACATGCAAGAAACGAGGCCATAGACCTAATCTGGATAAAGAGATACCTCAACCTGAGCAACAACCGCCCCAGATGGGCGTACGTGGTTGACATCCTGATAAGTCGAAACGCATCAGCAGACGCGGGCGCAATCAAAGAGAAAGCCCAAATCAACACCTTTCTACAATCATGGAGGCCAGCAACGCACGGCAGATCAAGCCTGCCCCAGTACCTGCGCCGGATACTAAACACCGCGAAGAAATACAACGTCAGCTTTGCGGCCATTAAACTCGACAGGAGAGTGAAGTTGGCCCTACCAATATGGTACCACCTTGGGGCCACGAAACACCTACGCCGACTAAATAACAACCCGTCAGGGGCCTGCCTACGAGACACACACGGAGTCACCTACGTGGCAGACCTGCTCAAACTAACCAGGAGGCCATGCCTCCTAGCAGCACTGACAATGTCGAACGATTTCGTCCCACGAGACTGCACCTGCCAAGCCTGCGAAGACGACAGGGCCGCAGGATGCCGAGCCCCGACACGATGCTGCAAAGCGGCCGTAACCCTCCTAGACCAAGTGCGCCCCAAGTGGAACCCCGAACTGGACCGAACACCGGACGGCCTAACCCTCACGAAGAGACGTATGTCGGCCAACAAGAGAGCGCGACAGGAGAAAGGCCCCACCACCTTCAACCCATCAATCACGGAACGAGGAGAGGTCGACGAAGCTTTCAGAGTCTTCGTAGATCCAAGAACACACGAGCAACCCCCAGCCATAAGACCCCGTAACGGGAGAATAATACAGAACGATGTTGAACTAGGAAGGCGCCTACCGGGCTGCCGGGTTCAATCACAGGCCGGACCGGTTCTATGGGAAGCTCCGGGTCCGTGATTTCATCTATGATGTCATCTGTGTGTTATCACATGGCTACGCCACTTACCTTGTATGTCGTGGGAACGTACTATACAGTAGCTTAGATAAGCGGTCTCCTCATGTATATAAGGACCCCAGTAGCGTAGCTCAATCCCCAGTACCTTCAGTCGAAGTACTTGCGTGTGCATCAAGCATCAGCAACCTTTCAGGTAAGTTGTGAGGGCGCACCACTGCGTGGAGCTGCCTGCTCAACAGGTTATGAGCCCTGGTCACTGCCTGAGTACTGCGCCTCACTGGCTGCGTCTCAGTGTGCGCACCAGCTTACCTGTGGCTTCGCCTTAGTGGCTTGAAGCCAGGGGGGACTATGCGCGTACATCGCTGCAGGTCTTAGCGCAACTCTGTTGCTGCTATCCCCAGCACATGCACCATAGCGGTGGTTGCGCCTCTAAGGCTGCACTCGTCATTGAGTAGAGGGCTGACGACATTGTTGTCAGTATTCCCCATTTACAGAGTTTATCACTTCAAACCCTCTACCAATGGCCTCCAACACCCTCTTCACCGCTGTCCCCATCCTCGATGGCTCCAACTACCGCGCCTGGGCTGAATCCATGTCAGCCTTCCTCATGGCGCAGGAGGTCTGGATCATTGTCAATTCGACCTGGCCCCAGCCTACTCTGGACACAGAGAATCCCTCAGTCTACTACGAGTGGCTGCAGCGCGATCAGAAGGCACAGGGGTCGATCCGCCTTCGCCTGACGTCGTCCGTCAAGGCGGCCGTCAAGAACAAGACGACCAGCAAGGCCCTCTGGGACGAGCTGAAGGCGCTCTATGACAAGCAGACCCCCGCCGGTGTTTACAAGGAGTTTAGGACAGCGATCAATGCTCGGATCCCTCCGAACGAGCACCCGAACCCGACGTTCGCTAACATCGCAGCTGCGTTTGACAAGCTTGCGGGCGAAGGGATCGACATCCCCGCTCCACTGCGGGCGATGATAGCGCTAAATGCGCTGCCCTCCCGGTACGACACCGTCGTCACCACGATCCTCCAAGCCAAAGAGCTTACAGAGATGAAGATCGACTACGTCCGGGAGTCTGTCGTCATTGCCTACGAGCAAGGCGGCAAGCAGGCGTCATCTTCGCAGAGCGCGAAGAAGATCTCCGCCGTTAAGCGTAAGCACGGCGAACCAAACTTCAACCAGCAGCAGCAGCGCCAGGATGGCAGCAGCAGCAGCGGTGCGAAGGAAGGTCAAGGCAAGGGCAAAGGCAAGCAGCGCGGTAAACGCAGCGGCAAGCAAGTTAAGTCCCGCGCCAACCAGGGAGATCATATGGACCATGCGCATCTCGCCTCGCAGGCTTCGATAGCGGGTCCTACCACCTCCAAAGTCGTCGAGATAGCGCCTTCGGGCAGCAAGTCTCACACCGTCACCACCCGTCCCGCCAAAACCGGCCACAGCAAGAATGCTCACCGGTGGCTCAAGAGTGCCCTCGAGCTCGCCAAAGACATTGACGTCTCTGGCACCTCACAGCGTCTCACAACGTTGTCTGAGGTCGTTGACAATTCCGCTCGGATTGAGGAGTACCTCTCCGACTCGGAGTCAGAATCTCGGGCGTCCAAACGCTCTCGTCATGGTTCTGAAGTAGGCCATGCGATCGACGCGATCATGGACGGGACGTACAACTCGTACGACGAAGACGAAGGTCCTACGACTCAGGATCCACTTGATTGGGGATCAGACGGTCAGTACGACATCGACGACGAACTGGCTAACGCCGCCGGCTTAGGAGAGGACTTTGATGCTGGGTCAGTCCCTTCAGCTTCTATTCCCAAGCGACCTACTAACCCTGCGCTTCATACAGCCGCATGTAGTAGTAGACGCACTAGGTCTACTTTAAAGAGACGTAGTATTCGCAGTCGTAGTCGCAGTGTAACGAATGAATATATCAGTAGTTCGTTGCACAAATCAGTTGGTTGTCGGCATTCGCGCGATTTCGCTGCGTGCACCAAATGTAAGGGAAAAGCTAAGGCTTGGCATGAACCAGAGCCGGTTGAGTCGTCAGACTCCTGGATGTTGGACTCTGGAGCATCATTACATTTTTCCAACAATTTAGATGATTTTGCTGAGATTGAGGACCTCAGTGAGCCAATCGTCTTGTCGACCGCAAACGGCTCTGCCGTATGCACAAAGCGTGGGACAGTCTTCTTGAACTTTGAGAATGACGATGGTAGTCATACGACAACCAGATTATTTCCCGTTTATTACTTCCAAGGTCTTCATCAACGTCTCCTATCCATGGGAACGTTCCTCCGTGAAGGAATGACAGTGCGCGGTGGTGCGCAGCACGTCGACCTCTATGAACAAGGAGCGCGTGAACCACTATATGTGTTCACGCCGCGGCACCCTAGTTCAACGATATTCGAAATACAGTCCTTGCCTTCACAGGACGCAATGAGTATCCATCAGACAGTTTATTCTGTCGATTACCACACTATGCATCGCCGCCTAGGACATCCTTCTAAGGACGTACTACGGCAAGCACAGAAACACACCGAGGGTTTCCCACCTTCGATAGAGTTCCCTAGGGAGGATCCTATATGCCCAGGATGCGCGGAAGGGAAAATGCATAACAAAGCATTCCCGCCATCTACGTTGAGAGCGACAGAGCCCTTCGAGCTCATTCACTCTGATGTGAAGTCGTTTCCCATCGACTCCTACCATAAGTATAGGTACTACATCCTGTACTATGACGACTACACTTCCAATGCGTGGACAGTGAATCTGCGCAACAAGAGTGCTGCGATCACGGCCACGCGCCAATTCTTAGCCATGGCCAAAAACCAGTACGGCAAGAAGGTTAAGAAGTGGATGTCAGATGCTGGGGGAGAATACAAGTCCGAAGCGTTCGACAAAATGCTGAAAGACGAGGGTATCCAGATCCTGCAAAGTTCGCCGCACACTCCTCAGGAGAATGGCAGAGCGGAGCGATTCAACAGGACGATAATGGACAAAGCTGAGGCCATGCGCCATGAAGCGTGTCTACCTGAATCCTGGTGGGAATTTGCGGTTGAGCACGCTGTTCATCTCTACAACAGGACACCTGTCCGACGTCTCAAATGGCGTACCCCCTATGAGATGTTGAATGGCGAGGCTCCCAGCATCAAGCACCTAAGAATATTTGGGTGCGGCGCATATGTATTCATACCGAAAGACGTGCGTCAGAATACACTATCTCGGAAATCTGAGTTAATGGTGTACCTCGGAGTTGCCCCTGGAGGGCATGGGGCGCGATTCATGCGCAGCCCTAATAATGTGCTCTACACTTCATCGAACGCTCTGTTTGATGAACTCATGTTCCCAAAATGCCCGGACATGAAACGGCGAGGCAACACTAGGTTGCAATCTGCACCTAGACCTGACCAAGCGGGTCGCCAACCCACTTCTCAGGAGAATTATGATGACGATGACAACGATCATCCCTCTCATCACCTTCCAAAGGGAGCGGACAATGAGCGTGACGATGCTCAGGAGCAGCCTAGGGCGCCCAGTCCAGTTCCGCCGCCTCAACCTCCGGAAGAGCCAGCGCGCGATGATGCGCCGCGGCGCTCAGGGAGAGAGCGGAAGCCAGTAACCCGCCCAGGGAATGTCTATGGGGAGAAACGGACTCCCGTAGAAATATACAAAGAGATCGAAAAGAAGGGGCAATGGAAAAAGATTGTCGGAGAAGAGCCGGGTAGCTCCCGCTCTCAACCACAGTCAAGGCAGCAATCGGTTCCCGGACCTAGTTCTGCGCCTGATCCACAGCCAGACCAACCTTCTGGATCCTCCACGGGCTCTGACGACGACGAAGTCGAGGAGTTACTCATGGCACAACTATGCCGGGAAGGGGGAGTAGGATTGGTTAACATGCTGCTTGCAAAAGCGCTACCACTAGTTGACCAAGATTCTCCGAAGTCCAGCGTACGCGAATGGACATTCCGTGATATCTCGAAGCTACCTAAAGAGGAGCAAGAGAAGTGGAAAGCTGCGTGTCGCGAAGAGTTAGAGGCTCTGCGCAAGCGTGGTGTTTATGAGTTGGTTGACCGTCCTAAGGGACGTAGGGTTACCAAAAACCGCTGGGTCTTCGACGTCAAAACTGACGGTCGAAAGAAGGCTAGACTAGTCGCAAAAGGCTACTCCCAGATTGAAGGCCTCGATTACGATCAGGTTTTCTCTCCAGTTGTTCGCTTTGAGACCGTGCGCCTTATACTCGCGCTAGCTGCACTCGAGGGCATGCACATCTCCGGACTCGATGTCCGTAATGCGTACCTCTATGGTAAACTCGACGAGGAGATTTACATGGAGCAGCCTGAAGGCTTTAAAGTCAAAGGCCAAGAGCACAGAGTCCTCCGGCTATTGCGTGCTCTCTATGGACTCAAACAGGCAGGGTTAGCGTGGTGGCGCACCCTAAATGAGTCTCTCAAGGAACTCGGCTTTATACGCCTTGTATCCGACGCCGGAATTTTCATCTATAAGACGAAAGACGGACATTTCGTCCTAGTCATAGTCTATGTGGATGATGCCCTATTTTGTGGCAAAGACAAGGCCCTTGTAGCCAAACTCAAGAACCGCTTCATGAAGAAGTGGGAGTGTCGCGACCTAGGTGATGTCAAGGAGTTCTTGCGTATGCGCATTACTCGGAAAGGCGACAAGATTCATCTCGACCAAACTGCCTACCTTGAGACTGTGCTGCAGCGCTGTGGCATGCAGAACGCAAAATCTGCGCCTACTCCACTCCCTTCGGGTTACAAACCTGAGCCGCACACTGGCCCGGTTGATCCTGCGCTTCGAAGCCGGTATCAGACCGTCATCGGCTCCTTGCTATATATCATGCTCGGAACTCGACCTGACATCTGCTTTGCCGTGACTAAACTCGCACAACAAGCTGTGAATCCGTCACAGGACCACTTGGATAAAGCGCTATATATCTGCCGCTACCTCGTGGGTACCAAGTCCTATGCGCTTGTATACAGCGGCAAATCTGGACAAGGTGTCTCGGCATGCACAGACTCTGACTGGGCCAATGACCCAGAGATGAGACGGTCTCAGAGTGGCTACTTTATGAAGTTGGCGAACGGAGTGTTCAGTTGGCTGTCTCGACGGCAAAAGACGGTTGCACTGTCTTCAACTGAGGCTGAATACATGTCGCTCAGCGACTGTAGCCGCCAAGTCGTCTGGGTTAAGATGCTCCTCAAGGAGATCGGTTACCTACTTGGCGCACTCCCTATCTGCTCGGATAACCAAGGAGCGATATTCATCGGCTCCAACCCTGTAACTGAGAGGCGGTCGAAGCACATCGACATACGCTACCATTACATCAGGGAACTGATTGAGGAGAAGCAAGTCGAGCTTTTCTACATCAGTACCGATGAAAATCCAGCAGACCTGTTCACCAAGAACTTAGGCCGTGTCAAATTCCTTAAGTTTAGAGGAATGCTCGGACTCAGATTCTATGAATCGTCCTAGAGCACCATTGGCAGCGTTATGCGCCTAGTACGCTTATGTGAGTCTACGACGCACTAAGCGAGGGGGAGTGTTGAACTAGGAAGGCGCCTACCGGGCTGCCGGGTTCAATCACAGGCCGGACCGGTTCTATGGGAAGCTCCGGGTCCGTGATTTCATCTATGATGTCATCTGTGTGTTATCACATGGCTACGCCACTTACCTTGTATGTCGTGGGAACGTACTATACAGTAGCTTAGATAAGCGGTCTCCTCATGTATATAAGGACCCCAGTAGCATAGCTCAATCCCCAGTACCTTCAGTCGAAGTACTTGCATGTGCATCAAGCATCAGCAACCTTTCAGGTAAGTTGTGAGGGCGCACCACTGCGTGGAGCTGCCTGCTCAACAAATGAAGCAACAACCGTGTGCGTGATAGGGCGCCCGAAGAGCCTCAGACCCCCACCAGAGAACCCATACACCCACACACCCACTGGCCTCGCCCTATTCGCCGGGGATGTACCGCGGGCACTATGGGTCAAGCCAACCGCCGGGCCACACGACGACCACCACACCAACGGCGAGATCGTCGCGGCCCTAAAAGCGGTCCTGGACACACCCAAGGACGCCCCCTTACACATCCTCTGCTCGCCACAACTGATCAAGGCCCTCACAACTGACCTCCCAAGATGGGAAGACAAGGGATGGATAGAAGTCGCAAACGCGACGTACACCAGAGCATTAGTAAACCAACTCCGACAGAGATGTGCCCCCACAACCCTCAAGGAACCCTCAACGAACGAAGAACATAACCTGAGGACCCTAGCGCTCCAGAAATCCGCCGAGCAACATACCAACAGCACCCCAACAGAAGTCCCCCCTGCCATCGAACAAGCCTTCAACCTCTCCGGTGCAAAGCTATCGGCCCTATCACAAGCGACCGCGTATAGAGGAATCCGCGCGACCAGCACGGTCGCAACGCGCGCGAGCTCATGTAAGAATGAACAGCGAACACTGAACCGCCTCGCGGACCTCGGGCTTAAGAGCGCCCTTAGAGACACCGTGTGGAGAAGCATACGGAACAAAGAGATACACCGCAAGATAGTAGATTTCCTCTGGAAGGACATACACAACGTACACCATGTAGGAACGTACTGGACAAACATCCCGGGCCTAGAGGAGCGGGCAATATGCGAAACCTGCGGCACGACAGAAGACATGGAGCACATCCTCACACGATGCCGAGCGCCCGGGCAGAAGAGGATATGGAGACTCACCAAAGCTCTATGGACCAGGAAAGGGCAGCCATGGAGGGCCCCGACCGAGACAGACATCCTGACAGCCAGTGTCGGACTGTACCCGCGTCAGGACAACTCAAAAACAAAGAACTACCTCGCACGCCTCTGGGCGATCCTAATCCCAGAAGCAGCCTTCCTGATCTGGAAACTGAGATGTGAGCGAGTTATCGGACACGCCGACGAGGCAGACTGGAAACATACGGACCAGGAAATATCGCGACACTGGCTCGCGACAGTAAACAGGAGACTCCAGATAGACCTGACAGCGACCAGCAAACGATTCGGGCACCTCGCCAAAGACAATAGACTCGTCTGGGCCACCTGGACCGGCACAATAGGAGACGAGCAAGGCCTATACGAAGACTGGACGCGAGTCCCACGGGTTTTAGTGGGTATTGACCCCGGGATTTGCGCCACCACAGACCCCGGATAAGTCCGAGCCCCACACTGGCCTGATCAGCCGTGCGCAAAAGCATTTTTCCCTGGAAGCATAGGTAGGATAACCCTGCCCGCTGGCTGGGCCGTCGGGGCTGACCAATTGTCAGTTGCCAAGGCCCGCGATAAGCCATCCAAAAAAAAAAAAAAAATATTCCTCATATACTACCCCGTCTGTGACCCGATGATATGCCTACGATCACTAAAGGGCCGATGATTGCGGTGGAGGCGGTTGCAGCCTGAGGCTGCCTTATACGCAGAGGATACTAGTTGTGGAAGATTGAAGGACAGCAGTATTGATCCGCCGGTGAGCAGATCTATGACAGTCGTACATGTCACTGACACTCTTGGACTTGCTAGGACACAGCCTCTGTACCTGACGAGTTGGCTTCTGTACCTCCGCGCACAGAGGCTGGACTCCGCCATTAAACCTATACACGGAGAACATACGCCCTGTCTGTTCTCGTATTCCATTCCACCTGAAACGTCCCTGGATGAACGTGTCAGACGAACAGTGGGGGAATGTGTACTTCGGGTGTCACCCTCGTACACGCTCGCCCTCAAGCGTCGACTTTGTGGCGCAGACCGTTATGGCCACTACTCGTCCGACGCGACATACTCTCATCGTTGCCTCGGTCATTGAGTGTTCCGTTCCGGATACCTCTTATTCGCTGCTGGTCATGGGCTTCGAACAGCAGCTCAACAGCGCTCGGGGTCTTCTCACGATAGTAAGTAGCAGACCCGCGCCATTCGAAGCAGCAGAAGGCGCTCCGCTCAGCGCGCTGGGCCTCTTCCTGGTGTCCCCTGCTTCCCTTCCCATGCCACCGTGCTCTGTTTGGTTATGAGCATTCCGAGAAACGAGCTGCGCGCGGATGAGCGGCCGGGGGAAAGCGACACCAAGTGCCCCACAAGGTTTGTGCCTATCACCACTCTGACCTGTGACGTCCACATCTGTCGTTGTCTTCGCAGCAGAACGCATACTTATAACGCGCCCAGCGGTAGTCCCGTGTTCAGCACGCTGGAAACGCCTTCGTCTACGTCCAGAGCCCGAGCACCGCTGCGCCTGGCGGACCCCAGCCATGTCGGACTTCGGCATCGATGCAGCGCAGCTCGTCGCGCTCTTCATGGAGAGCTCGGCGTGGGGCATGCAGTTCGTGACTATGGTCATCTGTGTCTACACGCTTGTGAGCACGTCGCGGACTACGAGACGGCCGCTCAACATCCCCCTCCTCGCATACGCGATCGTGCTATTTGGGTTTGGGACGCTGGACATTGCGTTCGCGCTTCATCGCAATCTTCAAGCCTTTGTGTCCTACAAGGGAGTGGGTGGCCCGGATGCTGTTTTCAATCAGATCTCGGACTACGTCACCGTCTTGCGGGTGGGTTTCATTCCTGTGCCCGGAAATTGGTCGCTTTAATATATTATTGGACCACTAGAGCGTTTGGAACTTCTTGGCCGTCCTCGTCGCGGACTCTGCTCTGGTAAGCCATCTACGGACATCCGGTTCTGTAAAACTCATCGTGGACAGATCCATCGTTGCTGGGTCATCTATGGGCGGAAGTGGATATTCGTCATTCCTTCAATTATCATCTGGCTTGGCGGCTTTGCGTGCGCCTGCGCAGAGACATATTACACGTCGACACTTGGGAAGTCCACCAACTTGGCTGGGGCAACGAAGATCGAGCCCTTCCTCAACGCGTTCATCGTATGCGGTGTCACGCTGAACATCGTAACAACCAGTGAGTGCCGCGGAACGTCGATTGACACCATCGAATTCATCGTGGCTGGTAGCGTTGATCCTCTACCGCATAAACGCGATTCACCGCGCCTCTGCTCGCTACTTCTCGAAGAACTCGGGGGGCACGACTGTGAGCACCCGGCTGCAGTGGTCCGAGCTGAACAGGATCCTCGTCGAGTCCGCACTCGTCTACACTCTGTCGGGCATCGTCCTCCTCATCGTGAACTTCGCCGGCAGCAACGCCGTATACCCCACTTCCGACATCGTACGTCGACCTCGAATCACACTGTTCATCCACTGACACCGATCTCCGCAGAACTTACAAATCGCTGGCATCCAGTTCGACTTGATCCTCATCCGAGTAGGCCGGGGCATCTCCACGGAGCACGTCGAGGCACAGACGAGCATGCAGACGATGCATTTCAACCTCCGCGCGCTCGATCGCTCCAAGCAGCGTCCGGGCATGCAGATCTCTGTAACACAGGACACGAGCCTGTCCACGGAGCTCCGCTCGTTCTCCGACATCGAGAGCAAGAAGGGCAGCCCGCACGAGTTCGTGCAGACCGTCAGGGTCGCGGGCATCGATGACGACTACGTTTGAGTTCCTTGCGGATTGATATACACACTCTTTTCTTGGACAGTGGGGTAGATGGGACACTCTTGATGCCAATTGTACTGTTGTATATGTCTACTTTGTCGGCACGATACCTGATACCTGAGACTTGGCTTGTTCGATGTACCATCGCGTTGTAATGCTAGTCTTTGTGCGCTGACGCATTTCCAGAACGATCGATTGGGTTGTACCGACCGACTATTCATTATCGAAATGTAGCCTGTCGACACAAATGTAGAGTCCATTGGACCTACGGTTCGTAGTAAGTACGGTTTGGAGGCAGCTGGATTACACATGGAGCTCGAAGCTGCCACACAGCGGTCGCCGGACAAAGCCGAGAGCACCGCGGCAGCCTCCAGCCTCTTCAAGTTCCTGCCCTGCAGCAGCTCTAACCTCCAGAGTCCCACATACATGCTCGTAATCATGTCTTTTTCGCAGTGTCACAGTGAGCTTGGCCCGACAATTGAAATGGCGTTGCAGGCTGACAACCAGCACTGGTCGCGAAGAGTCGGAAGACGTCAATTCGCATGATTCAAACTTGAAGCGCTCTTCTTCAAGTCTCGTAAAGACCATACTACTTCCACTGTTCATCATTCATGTCACTGTCTACGTCGAGTGGCTGTCAATACGACTGCCAGTGCTACGATTTGTGGCATTGGGACGTCTGCAAAACTTCACAAATCGCGCCATTCATGAATGCATGACAACCAGCCCGACACTGGAGTTCGTGGTCAAGGTATGCGTGGTAGTTGCGAACAAGTGGGCGTTTGAGGGCGAGACGTTCATGGTCGCACAGCAGACATGCGGTGGGAGTTCCTTCGGCCTGGTACCCAGCGATCCCCGACAGCACTCATCGAGGAGCTCCACCTACATACAGGGTCCTTGGTCAATTGCGGCGATGTATCTTGGCTTCTATCAGGTGCGCCAGTTTGTCAGCTAAGTTGGCGTATTCTTGAATGAACCTTCATTCATGAACTACTTTCGGAAATTCGAACGATGTCTCACCACTGGCACCGGCCTTTGCTGCTGGTATCAGGTATCACTTGGGTATCACTGCCCGTCGCCTGTCGACTGCGATACGGGTGCTAGGGACATCCAGAAAGTGAGCAGAATGGCAACGTCTAGGCAGGCATGAAGCGCGTTGCGCCGGACACTGACAGTCTTTCCCCGGAAGAAGTTCAGGGTGACGCTGGCATGCGTGCCTCATGCTCCTTCTGCCCTCACTTCGCAGTCACCTAACAGATGAGGTAAGGCCATATATACCTTCAATCATGGCGTCCCGAATCCCAGTGCACCGTCAGCCGTACCTCTCAGCGGTCGCCCACGATGCCCCCCTTCCCTATCAGCGAGGCCGAGCTGGTCGCTTTATTCATGGAGAGCGTCACTTGGGGCATCCAAATCGTCACGTTCACACAATGCGTATGGGCGCTGTTCGAGACAGCCAAGGGTGGTCCGCGGCGGGTCAATGTCACCCTCCTCACCTGGGCAATCGCACTGTTCGTCTGGGGAACGCTGGACATCTCGTTCAGCGTGTACCGCAACCTCACCGCGTTCATCTACTACACCGGTCCTGGTGGTTCCAACGAGATTTTCAACCAGATATCAGACTATGCGACCGTCCTGCGGGTGAGCCTTCCTTCGCCATGCGCCGAATGCTGTGCTAAAGAGATTTACAGAGCGTATGGAACTTCCTGGCAATCTTGACAGCGGACATGGCATTGGTACGCGGGTTTCACGCACACCACAGTTCTTACACTCATCGACCGACCTGTGCCCCTTCTGGACCAGATCCACCGGTGTTTCGTGATTTACAACCGGAACTGGCTGATCGTCGTATTTCCCTCGCTCATCTGGGCCGCCAGTCTGGCATCTGCAGCCGCGGAGATCTACTACAGCGCTACGTTTGACGCTTTGACGAACCTCGCGGGCGCGGCGAAGATTGAAGATTTCCTGAACGCGTTTATCGCGCTCGGCGTGTCTCTGAACATCATCACGACAGGCGAGTGTCCATCTGACTTTGTCAGCACGCGTTACTTACGGAGGCCAATAATAGCGATCATCCTCTATCGTGTTGGCCAACTCCAAAATGCATCTGCCAGGATGCTTGCTGCGAAGGCGGGGAAGCATGATCATATCCCCAGCAGTGACCGCATGAGATGGTCGCAGCTCAGCCAGATCCTGGTCGAGTCCGCGGTGATGTACACCCTCGCCGGTATCATTCTGCTCATCGTCAACTTCGCTGGGAGCAACGCGGTCTATCCCGTGTCCGACCTCGTGAGTCCCCCATTGGCAAACGTCGACACCTCACTCACCTCATAACTGACTCCGACTGCATCAGACCTTACAGCTTGCGGGCATCCAATACGACATGATCATCATCCGCGTCTGCCGTGGGGTTGCGGCGGAGCAAGTACACTCTACGGTACAATACCCTTTGCGGGATACGACCTACAGCATGCGTCCAGAGCTGCCTCCCATCGAAGGGCTCACCTCGGATATTGACACGAAGAGCGGGAGGGAGTCCGGGGTTGAAGCGAACGAGATGAACCTGCATGACTACGTTGCGACGCAGGTGTAGCGTCTGTCATGAATTTGACCGTTTGATGAATGCTTTCTGATCATGACTTGCACGGCTTGATGTGTAGTAGTGTACATAGAGCTCATATAATAGAAACTTCCTGTCCCATCCTGATAGGTGGGTGTTGAGGCTGCATATATCTAAGTTGAGATGGTCAACGTGGTTGGTATCCTGAGTTGACACTAAATCCCGAACTTGTCGGTGATCTCCTTGCATACAACCACCAAAGCCCTTCCCAGTCTCTCAAAATCCTCTATCTGCGTACAATTGTGAACATCGTACCATGAACGTGATACATGAGCTGGGAGGGACAAGTACCTCGTTGAACACATTCGCACTCGGCCTCGTCCACCACTTGTTGTTATGATAGAACTGTGTAGAGTAAGTATTGTGTTCGTTGATGAGCTTGTCCTGGAACGTATGCATGAGTTCCAGCGACATGTGTACCGTTGACGGTATGGGAAGTTCCACGTTGGCCTGTGCAGTCACATGAGCGACGACACCCACGTCACTTAGCAATACACCGGCTCATACGGACCATGTTGAGATTGTACCCTTCCTCGTCTTCGGCAGAGTACATCATGCTCGTTCCGAGGATTTCGGCCATACGTCTGCCTCCGGCGAGAGCGAGTTGATGACAGTATGCGTTGATCTTCTCTTCGCCTCCTAGGAATGCTCTAAATGACAGTGCTACCAACACAGGTGAGGCGATGTAGCGTTCAACGACGTCGCATACGTACCGGACTTGATAGTCAGCGGCGTGAGCATGTCCGAGGTCCCCGGCCCTATGCGAGACATCTAGTCAGCGATAGCATTGCGAAATACTATACAGCTCACACTTGAACGTCTCCACGAGGGTACTCCCAGAAGGCTTCATCAATTGGTAAAACAGACTTGTCGGCAGGGCAGTCTTGATTATGTGGTGGTTCCTAGATTGCATCCTATTGTCAAGACGTTCTCTAGCAACACGACCCACGCACCTCTTGGGTACATACAACACGGCGCAGGGACGTTTGGCGTACAACCACTTGCAGCAACTCTTGAGTGTTCATTTTAGCTTCATTGCCACGTTATTCGTACGGCTTGCTTACTGATATCCAGAAGTCCGGCGCTGCCTTCGTTACGTCGAGTCCTATCTCTTGTCCGATGGAGTGCGCAGCATCAACGAGGCTCCAAGCGCCTTCCTCCTTGCATATCTGGACCATCTCCTTCCAGGGCATGAGGACAGCCGGAGCACAAGGCACGCTGTCCATAATGACTACAATCTTCTTCGAGGCGTCGCCGTCACTCTGCGCTTGTTTAACTTTCAAAGACCTCAGATGATCCCGGAAGCGTGACGACATGGACGAATACGACTCCGGAAAGTGCAAAGGAAACTCCGAGACGGTCGGATGAGGTGGCATGTCGGAGATGTTGTGCGCAGCACCACTGATCGTGTCGAAGGAGCAGTTCGCTGCCACGCGCATTAGCATCTCAGCGAAGGTCCTACCCCCATGACCTACTGATCATTATGAAGTCTCCCTTGTTCCACGCGAAGTTCCTCAACACCGTGTTGACGCCATGCGAGACATTCGGCACGAAGACGCATTCATCCGGACTCGCGCCGATAAGCTTCGCCACGGATGCGCGGACCTCATCCAGCTTAGGCCAGTACTCGAACCACATGAAGCGGTCCGGGTTGGCCTCTACCTGCTCAGATAGTCTCTCGTACGCCCGGGCGACTGGGCGCGGGACGGATCCTAGAGCACCTGATTCATTGCACTGGTCAGTATGTGATATTCTGGGTTTAAGCCAAGGCGGTGGAGGTAGTTACCGTGGTTTAGGTTCGCGAATCCTGGGTCAAGCCCGAAGTAGGGGTGCATTGCCCGACCGAACTGGGGACACTGCTCTCCTTGGTAGTCCGACCCATCCATGGCGCGTGCGTTTCGACGGATAGGCGTACAGTAGATACAGTAGAGGAGGTGGAGGATGTCGAGATTGAGTCTGGTACATGTTAAGTAATAGGCCACTCTATGGTCCGCGCCTCGATCGGATCTGTCACATTCTGTTCCCCGGAGACCCAACGAGGCGATACGAGGCACATTAGAGGACTTCTGTGATACCTTGACTGGCCGAGTGACCCGGTGATGATCCAGGTGCTTCACAAACTGAGAAGCGCGGCGGTACGTATACAGGGCGGTGCCCTAAAATGCCTTTTGCGGACCGATGGCGGTTGTCTGAAGCTGCTCGTGAATGTCAGTAGTGCTTCTATTTTCTCATCCACGTACTTCGTGTTCTCAGTTCGTGCAAATTAACGTGCACGCATCTCAGTTAAATTACTTGCTGATGGGGAAGGTAGATGGTGAACATGACATGACGCGACGACCTCAATGGGCTCGTAAGTAGAAGGACAGACTCACATGCGATGTAAGCTCTTGCTGTACAGCAGCATACGTCCCTCATAATAAGGACACATCCCTCTGCGCGAAGGCACACTGGCAGGCCTACTGACGACATCTTGTGCGGATCCAAGCCTTGCGTCCTTTGTCCGACCATGCCGACTCGCCGAGGTGCGGCCTCTGACCAATGGAGTACTGGAGCTCGCCCTGGTCCGCCTGACAGTTAGTACGTCGCGGTATCTGCATAGCCTAGGGTTGGGTTTGACAAGTTCTGCAGTTGGTACTTAAGTACTAAGTAGTACTAGTATAGACTAGTATGATCAGTTAAGTAGCAGGATGATGATCGGGACCCGGAGTCGTGTTTGGCTGTGTTTGGTCCCTAAGACCGTGATTCCTCGATCGTGGGCTGTGGCACTCTGAGTCTATTCGCACCTTGAAGTCCGTGTATAACCACTACTACCACCACCACCACCACCACCAACCTGAATATCCAGTCTACTTGGCTTGATTACGCCCCGCATCTCTGGACCAGAACTCACAAGGTATGCTACCAAGTCGTCATTTTGCACTCGGGCTACCCAAATCTAACCCACATTGAAAGAGGCTCCCATCCGACTTCTAGCCGGTCATCAAGTACCGCGAGTATCTTCGGCAAATTCAAGACAGGACCGGAGTCTCCTACTGGGTTGGAGCAGGGCGAGTCTGCTCAGATTGTGAGTCTAACCATCTCAGGCGTAGTGCATGGCAGGAACTGAATGGGAATGACGCTCATGTGCCAGAATCAAGGATCAAGCTTAAACAGCGAGGCTTCGCGTGACGCAACTGGCTGGGCATGTGAACGTAAAAGCTCGTGGCGAGACTATTTGGACGCCCCGGCCGGTCTATTATTACGCGGAACTTACTTACATGCAAGGTACTTGTGCACTTTGCTCGTGCAACACTGTTTCCACACTGCTCCGTCTCGTACCCACATCGTCTTACTCTCTACCGCCATGATGCTCCCATCGCTATACTCCTCGTCGCGCATGCTCTGCTTGCCCGTCGAAATCGTCATCCCGATCCTCAGCTATCTTGACTACAAGGGCTTGCTAACCTGTAGAGCGGTGAGTGGTATGAGCATGCTACCCCTCAGCTATCCTGACGCTTTCGAAGGTCTGCAGGGCGTTCCATGACGTTGTGAAACGCTCCCTAGAACTTCAATACAAGATCGAACTGGCCGCCGACGGACTGGTAGACGGAGTAGGCGTGAATCTGACTACCGCGGAACGTCTCGCACTCCTCCTGGACCGGAGGAAGAGATGGCGGACGCTGGACTGGATGAGCCGCACTGCCGTGTCTGTCCCAGGGGCATGCCAGGCATACGAGCTCGTCGACGGAGTCTTTGCAAAGTCGATGATGAGCGGCGCCCCGCTGTATGGACCCGGCTCTCACCACCTCAATGCGACGTGGCTCCCTACACGCGCACACCCCCCACGGAGCTTAGTTCGGGAGGACATCGGAGTAGCGACGAGGGATTTTGCGATAGACCCCTCACAGGACCTCATAGCGTTCGTGGATGCGGATAACGGGTGAGTGTTTCAGTCATGCAACAAGGTTCCGGCACTTTGCCAGCCTTACTCGGCGGCGGCTCATGTGTCGCGCGCCCTCGGAGCTTGTGCACCGCATTCCAGAGCGGCCGGTGTCCGTGGCCGCCGACTCGCTCGGGCCTTATATGTAGCTGTCGCTGCCTGTTGCAGCCTTCGTGACGTGTCCATGATCCGCTGACACCTATCCTTCAGCGACAACTCTCAGACTCGGATTCAGATCTACCTCCGGACGATCAGTACGAATGCGCGACATCCGCACGCGGCGCTGCCGGAGCTCGTCGCGCCCATCCCGTTCGAACTGGGGAGTTCGTTCATCCAGATCGTCGACGATGTTGTCGGGATGTTCTTCTGGGTGCACGGGCCGGGGCTGATCATCTGGAACTGGCAGACGGCGGAGGTGGTTGTCGTACGTAGTATTCTCCTCCACGCTCGCACCGCATGGCCATCTCACGGTCCTCGCAGAAACGGACGAGTGACGGCATGCCCGCGAGCACCTGGGACTTCTCCTTCCTCTCGAGCCGCGCATACATGGTCACGGCGACATCCGGCGCGGGGTCCATCGAGCTCTACAGCTTCAGCGGACGACCGGGCACGGCAGTGCCGTCAGGGGACACGTCGTCGCACGTCGCGACGCTGCGACTGCCGCCGCTCGGGGTCGGGCACGAGCCGCACCACTTTGCGACGCACTCGGGCCCCTTTGTGCGGTACCAGACGCCGGGGCGTGCGTTCACGACCGCGCGCGAGAAGCGCGTACATCTCATGTCGCTGCACTACGGCGAGCGCGGGCCGCGGTTCCACATGTTCGTGCTGAACAAGTTCCTCATGTCGTTCCTCCCGCCGGAGGGGGAGGCGCGGCCGTGGGCTGCGCACAACTGGAAGGCGTGGGGCCCGGAGAACACGCGGTTCCTGGAGCATAACGTCAACTTTCAGTGGCTGAGGTGCGTGTGCGGCGTCTGGTTGTGATGGTGGCGGATGCTGATGCAGAGTGCTTGCAGATACGTACACGGGACCCGCGTCGTGCTGCCACCGTTCTTTACTACCTGGCCGGTGCTGGAGTCCACCGTTTGCGTGCTCGACTTCAATGTGCACCCGAAGAGGATCGAGCACACTGTCCTTCCGGAAGGGTCGTCGAACAGATACCAGCTCGTCACGGATCCCTCGCGCGTCCCGGCTGGTACTGTGTTCCAGGAAGACGTGATCACGTCCTTGCCTTACTCCGCGACGACACGGTCGGGCAAGTTCCAATATTCTGGGTTCATGATTGACGATGAGAGGATCATCGGGATGAAGGTATGTCGTGGTTTCAGTTGTCAATGCCTTTTTCCACGGTTGCTGATGGGCGTTGTTTGTTTAGTCGATGGCCTTCGCGGAGGGGGACATGAGCGACGTGGATGTGTACACATTTTAGGATGTTCGATAGGTATTCGTGTAAGTTATAACCAGCTGAACGGACGTAGCGACTCGGCATCAACTCATATAATCGCTGGTAATGTGACACTAGGCTTCACCATCATAAGTATTCATATGAGTCATGGTTTACGCACTGGGGAAATTCGGTCGCTTCGTTTGTTGCTTATTCTCGCCCGTAACTTCTCCACTCCTGAACTAGGGTTAGGATATTATGACGACGAAATCCTCTATTTAGGGTTACCCTCGTTATTCACAGCAAGTGGAGTACTCTGTTGCATCGCGTATGCCGCGTCCTCTTACCAGCCATCACACTCTGTTTGCTACCACCACCTTTCTATCGACGCCCAGCCATCGTCACCATACTACGCAAACCTATCTACAACCGGAATACGGCCGATATGTCCGGAGAAGCAACTAAGTCGCCAGAAGTCTTGCTGGCTATCCCGGACTGCGTCGCCGCCCACGTTCTTGGAGAGACAACCGCGGAACTGGGGCGCGGGGATCTCACGCTGGTCTTGACAACCAAGTCAGAGGTGTCTGCCCCAGCAGCGCCGTCGGCGACTGGAGCGAGTCAACACCCATTGCTGACGCTCGCCGTCGGGAGTGCGGCATTTCCTTTGTTCAAGACGACGACGTTCGGGACGATCAACGACGACGAGAGGGTCTATGTGTTCACGCCGGAGATTGGGGGTGAAGTGGGAGGGTGAGCTATCTAGCAGCACGTCGCGGGTCAGCTGAGTTCTACATTGGTGCGCAGCTACGTGAAGATCACCCTTCCGGAAGGCGTCACAGTGCAGGGATCTCCGTTTGAGAAGCTCCAAACACAGTTTGAGGAGATTCTGGTGCACCATGGACTACTTAAGGAGGGAATCGAGGCTGTGGCGGACGAGGTTGGGAAGAGCATGCGCGAGGGCTCTGCGAACGTCGCACAGACTGTCCGAAAGTCAACATCAGAGTGCGTCCCTCGACTTCTCGCCGTCCGTGCGCTCTGACATCCATGGCTAGTTATTCGGCGGAGAACCCACCGACCGACGCCCCCTTACCAGTTCCCGGCGTAGTGCACTCAGCGGCATCCACCAGCGCCTCTGGAACGGGCACGCTCACGTCCGCGGTCGGGAGCGTCACAGGGCTCGTGTCCTCCGCCGCAGGACAGGCTGGTGCATGGATCGCCGCGCACGTCGTACCGACCACCACGCCCGCAACGCAGACGCTATCCTCCGTGTCCAATGCTTGGGACACCACGTCCGATGGATACGTCGCGGGCACCACCGAGGTCAAGTCGGCCGTGGCAGACGCGGCGGGCGTGCGAGTAGAGAACGAGTTCGGGCAGGATACAAGGGCGGTGGCGGAGGATACAGGCACGAGCGTGCAGAACGTGAGCACTGTGGTCGGGGATGTGCTCGTGACGGCTAGCGGAACTGGCTTGGCGACGGCAGGACTTAAGGGTGCGGCAAGAACCCAGCTCAGGGAGCAAGAGGCGAAAGACCAGACGGAGGAAGAGGATGAGAAGGACAAGCATGACGAGGAGGAAGACGGTAAGCTGGAGGACATATCATTCTGAGATGGACCCGGGGGCTCAGCTGTTGTCAGACATCAAAGTGTATCAATAGTGCAGGACTCCATGTATCCGTAGTCTGATGTAACCGCAGCGCCTTGGGCTGCATGTTTCTTGCTACTCGTGACTATATTTGAGACGAGCTGATTTGCTGGCGACTCGTGTCACTGACAGTAACAGCAAAGATAGGTTTTATACTACATCCAGCAAGGTGAATGGTACAATCCACGCGAAACATACCCTCACTAACTCGAACCACATCCGAATAGACATCAGTGCCTGTCCTACTCCTGGGGTACATACGCTGGCGGTGCTTCGCCGCTCACACCCTGTTGCTCTGCTCTCAGTCGCTCGACCTCGAGCTTCAGCGCCTGGATCTTTGTCACGAACACTCAGCCTTCCCGGTTCTCCATGTTCGGGCTTTGCACAGATGCGGCACTCTGAAACGATTGGCGCCAACGCACGTCCGGTGAAGTACTGTACATACGAGCGTACTTGATCCTTGAAGAAACACATACATTGCGTCATACGCGGTGAGCACTCGTGAGGATCCGAGTCGGGAGATGCGACAGTACTAGTGTACTGCAACCTACTAAGTTACCCGCTGTATCACGCAATCCTCTCGAAAGCAGTCACATATTATTGAGACTTGCCTTCTTTGGTGGTATGCTTGCCGTTTCCGTCGCAAGCTCGTAGTCTTTCGGTATTCTTTAGTCATCTGCATTTCATTCATATACATCATCGACTTCAACATCGCGCACAGCTCCACCTCTGACCGCGCTGTGTGCATATATGATGGGACCCTGCGCCGCTTCGTGCATCCTCAAACCCCCTCGAAAGTCCCCTCCCACGGGACTGCCACGCAACTCGACATCCACCTCCGACAGCGGACTGGCAGTGAGAGAGCTGCTCGCGGCGAGCGACGAGGGGAGTTTGCCCCAATGAGATTGACAACGTCGGTACGTACAGTATCTACGTGACCGAGTCGTCTTACCCTCTGAAGCTGAACATCGCACAAGCGCTCGACTCGGAGGCCCCTCGAGCCTACTTCCCGCCCACAGTTACAACGCCAGGGCCTTGCCAGGGCCTCACGAATCGATTGCATACCTTCAACGGTCCATTGTGGGTTCATCCTGAATCGCTGCGATGTCCTCGGGCAATAATTCCTCGATCTCAAACACAACTGTGTGTCCGTGTCCGGTGTCTTCGAGTCAACAATCCTCCACGTACCCGCTCCCAAATGCGCGACCGAGCTTCATATTCCAGGATGCCACTAGACATCTCAAACGCCGGCAAACAGCATCACCCGCACGATACACCGGGCTGACGGATCACGTATCTGCTCGCTTCGCTGGTGATAAGGCACTCGCCGCCAGTGATTAGGACGGCGCCCCATGGGAGCCTTTGCCTGCGAGGTGGCTAGGGATAAAAACGAACAGGACAAGGTTCGGAAGCAAAGGGATCGTTTTCCGCTGCCCCAGGCAAACGAACGGAACAATTGGATCCTGATCGTCGCGGACTTGGTCGAACGAGCAGGCCGGCCGCGGCACGGAAGCGAATGAGGGGAACATTGAGCGCTTACACGATCGCGCTCCTCCTCCCAGGCGGCTATCTCGATTCCTACGGTAATTTGGTCGTCCGCGCTGCCTTATCTCTCGCCCAGTTCCACGGGCGCGATGGCCTTTCCCAACTCCAGGACTCGTCGGGGCGCCGCGCATCTTGGCTACGACGATGACGGACAGGATGAGCTCGAAAGACGTGCGGATCGCTACGGACACGGTCATGGACGGTGACATGGACGAGGCTGAGCTTGCAAGGATGGGCTACAAGCAGGAGTTGAAGTGAGTGCAAGCCAGTGTAGTCGTGGATTCCTGACTCATTTTCTGGCGCAGACGAGATCTTGGACTGCTCCAGGCGAGCTTCCTGCTGGCTTCGACTGTTTGCGTTTGACTGACGATTCACAGAACTTCGGCGTGTCCTTCTCGATCATCAGCGTCATCACCGGTGTTAGCTCTCTGTTCGCATATGGCCTTGTAAGCGCTTTCGCTTCTACAGACAGCTCAAAATCCGCTCATTGTAATAATAAAGAATACTGGAGGGCCGGCTGTGATGGTGTGGGGATGGATTGTCGTCGGTACGGTGCCGTTATATCACTTGAGGTCGCATTCACCTTACAAGAAACCTATAGCTTGCTTCACGATGTCCGTGGGCCTTGCCATGGCAGGTGTGTTGAGACGTTACTGTTAATACTTCTGGACTAACGCGTACTGCCCTAGAGATTTGCAGCGCACACCCGACCAGTGGTGGGCCTTATTTCTGGGCAGCCATGCTCTGCAAACCAGAGGATTCCGCTTTCGCATCTTGGATAACGGGCTGGTTCAACCTTCTCGGTCAAGTGGCGGTGACCACCGGCATCAGGTATGCTCCACTCTTTCCATGCTCGCACCCAGTCAGTCTCGTTTGACACGGCGCACATAGCTTCGCATGTGCGACCTTCATCTCTACGCTCGCGACATTCGACACAACGTTCGTCCCCACGGCAAAGACGACTATCGGCATATATGCAGCCGTACTCGTCGCCCAGGGTCTTATCAACACCTTCGGCGTTCACCTGCTCAGGTATCTCAATAACGTTTCCGTATGGTGGCATGCTATTGGGACCGTGGCCCTCATCATTGCCGTCCTCGCGGCAGCTCCGTCACACCAGTCTGCCCACTTCGTGTTCCAAACGTTCATCGACGGCACCGGCGTCGGCGGCGTCGGTTGGAGTCAGCGGGCGAGCCCAGCCTATGTCGTGATTGTCGGCATCCTAATGGCGCAGTACACGCTGACAGGTATGTCATTCTTTCATGTTGTTGAACGCCTGTACTAACGTCGCCAGGGTTCGACGCCAGTGCTCATGTGAGTCATTCGAAGCGCGTAGGTCGCTCAGCGCGCTGATGTACATATGTTTTTGCACAGATGACAGAAGAGACGCACAACGCCGCCATGTCTGGGCCTATCGGGATTGTCATGGCCATTGGTGTATCTGCGGTGCTCGGATGGTTCCTCATCCTCGGCCTGCTCTTCTCTATACAGGACCTCACAAACACTGTTGGGAGTGCGACGGGAGAGCCTGTCGCTCAAATCTTCCTTGACACGGTCGGAGAGAAGGGCGCCATCGTGCTTATGGTGAGTAAGCGGCTGTCATGATGCTCCGAAGACTGACTTAATGATGGTGCTGGACAGGTCATCGTCATCGGCTCGATGTTCTGGTGCGGGACGTTCTCGATCACGTCCAACAGCCGCATGATGTATGCCTTTGCGCGTGACGGCGGGATCCCAGGACACAGATTCTTCCAGCAAGTCGACGCCAAGCGGAAGTCGCCCATCCGGACAGGTACGCCCCGCTCCCTTCGCTCATGACTCTAGGCATTCCCTGATTTTCGTCCGAAGTCTGGCTCGCATGCACGCTCAGCTTCATCCTGGGCCTGCCTAGTCTCGGCAGCTCCGTCGCGTTCTCCGCGGCGACGAGTATCGCGACTATCGGCCTGTACATCTCCTACGGCATCCCGATCGCGCTGCGCGTCGTCTATGCGTCGCGCTTCGTCCGCGGGCCGTTCCACCTCGGCGCGTTCTCGTTCCCCATCGCGACCGCCGCGGTGCTCTGGATCTGCTTCATCACGATCGCGTTCATCCTCCCCGAGGAGAACCCCGTCAACTCGCAGACGCTCAACTACGCGGTCGTTGCAGTCGGCATCGTCGTCACGTATAGTCTTGGGTTCTGGGTCATCAGCGCGAGGAAGTGGTTCACTGGCCCCGTAAAGCAGATTGCTGGTGAGTACAAGTGAGGGGGTGCCGGTGCATCTGGGCTGATATTGTTTTGCAGCGGAAGCAGCCGGGGTCGATGTTATGGACCCCGGTGTAGCAGCTTCCGTGGTCGACTCGCCTGAGAAAGGTAGTGACGGAAGGAGTTCCATGTAACATGTATCTTGTGTAATATTCCCTTTGTTTGTTGTCGCGATTATACCTCTTCAGTAGACCTTACGGCATTGTGCTGCTTATTACTGAGAGCCCGATGTTTTCTGGCCGTCGCGGTCTTTGTCCCGTGATGAGTTTCTGCGAAGCCGTCTCACTCACACTCAAGTGTAGAACTCCTTTGGTCAATACACTATCCTAGGTAAGTTAGGTTGACGGGCGACCCGGATGGACACCGCTGTGGTGTCATAAGCTTCGTACAGACGCGATCAACCTGACTGCAGCTGTTCCGTCAGTCAAAGTCAACACTATGACAGTCTGGCCCGGCAGTATGGTGCATTTGTAACTTATGTCTGTGGGTCGAGTCATTCGTCAAGTGGATGGCAGCAGTTACATATCCGCGGTGACGCGTTCTCAACATGACACCACGTGATCGTGACGACGCGCGCTTCTGAACCTACGCGCGACCTCAGCATGTTTGACCTCCACCACGAACTCAACCTACGGGTGCCTGTATACACGTTTCTTGTTACATCAGCTTGATTGAGCTTCTTGCCTTGATTGCTAACAAAATTACGGCTGCTTGGAAGTGGACATATGGGAACGCATGCCACACCGCGCTACCGTCAAGGTCTTCAAAGTCCAGGTCCATGCTTGCCGTGTCTCCGAGCGATCTGGATTGTACATTGTATGCTCACTGAGCAACCGCACCTAGCCGCACCTATGGCGAAGATGTCAATTCGGCTCGTCTGCTCAATTTACCAGCAGAACCTTTTCGCTGTATACAACGAGACCTGGGTGCGTGGTCCCGTTTTTGTACTCGTCTATTTGACCTGTGCTTTTCTGGGGAAGGGATGCCGCGATGAGGACACGTCGCTGCGGATTTAACTGTTTGTCAGGAGCGACCTCCAATCGACCTTGCTGGGCAGCCGCGGCCTCCAGATTCCGCCCCGACGTCGCGCCTACTGCTGGTGATGAGTCGTCCCCTGGGACACACCTACGGTCTGGTCCGCGGCTTGATGTGTCTAGTCCGCTCTGTGAAGCCCGGCAACGTGCATCGTATGTCACTCTTGCGATGGCACATACGTGTAGGCTGCGCTTCCTCTGTCCACCCTGTCCACCCGGCAACGCACAAATTGTTCGCTGCGTTACTACGATGACGTTGTTCAAGAAGCTCTCGAGGGAACCCGCTCAGCGACTCCTTGCTCTCACGTCGTACTCCTAGCCCTACCCCGCTCGCTGTTCCAACATATAATGGTCCCATATTGCGTGCTGGTCTTCTGGAGTCTTCGGCGATATGTGGTGCAACCCTGCGACTTATTGACCTTCAGCTCGACATGTGCAACATCCAATGACCCTGCTGTGGCGAGAACTGCGGATTGCGATCTCAGCTACGTTGCTCATTCTCAGGCTTCTTCTTGAACTCCGGGCGGCATACCACCTCCATACGCAACGCCACCTGTATCTGGCCTATGGAAACCTGGTCTTCAACGTTTGAACGATGCGACCGCATACGAGATGGACCACAACGCAGCATACTCATGCAAGATCTCAGGGACTGGACCTCTCTTGGAATCGCATCCTAATCCTGGCCATACCTGTTTCAAGCATCCTTGCGGACAAGACTGGACCCTCCGAAAATACGCGTGTGTGTCTTTCCCGCACTGTCTCCATCAAAGTGGCTACAACTACAAAGCTATATTCTCGACTCTCATGCGCTCATCTTCGGCCTGCTGGTACTCTGCGCGTCTAGCTGGTTCACTTGCGGCGCAGTGGGGTCAGGGCGCCGTCGATGTAGCATTCCGAGCTGTCCGTGACCATTACTGCTGTGGCTTGCTGGGGGCGCGCGATGGCGAATGCACGTATTCTTAGCATCCGATGGACCGGGCATCGCAAGACATAGCCTGCGGCCTCTCCCACACAATTCAAATCGGTCTCTCGAGGAAGATCTTGGATCCTGCGATCGTCCAGTGCGGAGCGAACGTATCTCCCTTATTGGTCGACTATCTTAGAAGACACTCCTGGAAGCAATCGCGACTCCTCAAGGAAGAGTGTGAAGTCGATGCCATATCTAATCCTTCCACACTCGCTTCAAAGCCATATGTCCATCAGTGTCTAACGGCTCTAGGATCAGAGCTACGAAGCATGGACTCGAAGTGGTAGATCAAGCCGCACATTCTCCTCGAGGATACAGGGCACCCTATTCTGAATGTGCTCAGCGAATGCGTCAAGGGCCTGTGTCGTTCCTGGCAAGTTCTCGCCGTCTGGACCGCGCAGTCGCGGTGCGCAACATACCTCACCGGACGGCTATGTCTCTACTGCACAGGCGCAGTCGGGCGTAAATAATCATAATGGGACAACCTGAGAAGTCACGTGTGTATACGGAGGAGCTAAGATTAGCACCGCTTCTGCCACGCTTCCCGAGGACGGTCGAGAAGGAAGCGCGGGACTTTCATCTCGCCTGAAATAACGCTCAATATGGCTGCAGATGGCTGCGACCCCGCGCCGCGTTTTCTCCCAGGTTCCAGCGGCCGCACCGGCGTGGAAGACCGTCCAACTCAAAGACCACGCTCGTTACTCGTATACGCCCGGAGACCCCCTGCATTCCCTCGCCCCCCTGCCATCAATTGCCATCAGCGGTCTAGCGTCAAGCGCGCTGCCACCAGTGCTGATGTCGCGACACCCGCACCGCCTCCCCCTTCTGGGCAGCAGCAGTGCGCCCGTGTCCGATGACCCCAACACCCCAGCGCCCGCTGATGCTTGCTTTGCTGCCTCCACCACCCACCGGTACACTCCCTCTCGTTCCCTTTTAATGGCTTTGTTTTCCATTTTTCGTCGGCAACAGGACGTCGATGGCGACGCAACGGAGTTGCTGCCAACGCCAGACAAGATACCCGCTGATTACTCTGCAGGCAGACACGAGAGGCAGCCCAGCGGGTCGACATCTTACTCGACACCAGAGTCCACACTCGCCCCAGGAGATGAGGGCTTTGACTTTGAGTCCAGTCTACGGGACGTAGTAGAGAAGTGAGCACCACCGCTGACACTCTGCGAACCCTACTCCAACTGTTGTTTCCTCCGCTCTGCAGGATGGACCGCTCGGACGTCAAGCGCAGGGAGCTTGGTGTCCTGTTCGAGAACTTGCGGGTAGTTGGCCTTGGCGAGTCGGCCGCGATTCAGCCGACCTTCGGTTCGACCCTCAATCCCCTCAACTGGATACGAGGTATCCAGCGCATGCGCCATCCTGCAACGCGAGATATTCTCAGCGGTTTCGAAGGTGTCGTGCGGCCTGGCGAGACGCTTCGTGAGTTGACCATACTTCTCCCGCGGTCTGCGTTTTCTGAGGCCCGTTCAGTTGTCCTGGGAAGACCAGGAGCAGGTTGCACAACGCTGCTGCGCACTCTCGCCAACCAACGAGGTGACTACCATGCCGTGGAAGGGAACGTGTTCTACGACTCGATGTCGCACCGAGACATTGAGAAGTATTGCCGTGGCGACGTTCAATATTGCCCGGAGGACGACCTGCATTTCCCGACATTGACGGTGGAGCAGACGCTCCAGTTTGCTTCCGTCGCCCGCACGCCCTACGGGCAGCTCGACGCTAAGACACGAAACCGGCACGTTGATGTTATGACTGATGTCCTCAAGTCCGTGTTCGGGCTCCGGCATGTCAAGGATACCCTTGTCGGGGACGCCTCTATCCGAGGAGTCTCCGGTGGTGAGAAGAAGCGGGTCTCGATCAGCGAGACCCTTGCGACGCGCAGCCTCCTGACGTGCTGGGATAAGTGCGTCAATCTTCATTTTCGCTGGCTTATTCTTAGATGCTCATTTCCGCTCTGCAGCTCAACACGAGGCCTTGAGTGAGCAATTATATTCTCCCTTCCATTGCACAGAACAACCGTTGACGATAAACATAGCTCATCGACTGCGCTCGAGTTCGTCCGAGCTCTCCGGACAATCACGGATGTCACGCGAATATCGACCATCGTCTCGATCTACCAGGCCGGAGAGCAGCTGTACGAGCACTTCGACAAGGTCTGCGTGATCTACGAGGGGCGCGTGGCATACTTCGGCCCGGCGAACAGGGCACGGCAGTACTTCATCGACATGGGGTATGAGCCCGCCAATCGCCAGACAACGGCCGACTTCCTTGTTGCCGGTCAGTCATCTCATGTTGCCCATTTCGCCCTGATGTTGACACTGTATTACAGTGACTGATCCCAATGGTCGGACTCCTCACCCCGGTCGGACTCTGCTGGTCCCGCGGACAGCTGTCGAGTTCGCCGATTACTTCAAGAACTCGGAGATCTCGCACATGAACCGGGCAGACATGGAGCAGTACCGCAAGCTCTATGTGGCCAAGCCTGAGCTGCGGCGGGCATACCTTGAGAGTGTCCGCTCCGAGCGGTCACCTCACACAACCAAGGACAGCCCCTACATGCTCTCGATCCCGGGCCAAGTCCGTACGCTCATGATCCGGAGGGTGCAGATCATGCGGGGAGCGATGACCGCTCTGCTCATCGAGCTCGCGTACGTTCCGATCTGTCTCAGATTGACGTGCGCGGTCTCACACATGCACCCACAGCTCGTTCATCGTCCTGGCCTTGATCGTTGGTACGATCTATCTTCGGATGAAGCCCAACACGTCGACCTTCTTCTCGCGGGCCAGTGTCATCTTCTTGTATGGCTGGATTTTCCTTCAAGATTCATGGTTGCTGATGATTCGATTCACAGTGCGTATGTCTGGTCAGGTCTCTCGACCATGGCAGAAATCCCAACACTGTTTGCGCAACGTCCCATCATCTTACGGCAATCAAGGGCATCCATGTATCACCCGTTTGTTGACGCCCTCGCACTGACTCTTGTCGACATTCCTATTACGCTTATGACCATGATCATCTTCTCAATAATCTTGTACCTCCTCGCGGGGCTGCAGGATTCGGCCGGACAATTTTTGTGCGTAGCCCAAGTATCCTTCTGACTGGTGTGCATACTGACGGCACCTGTACCAGTATTTTCATGCTTTTCGTTTGTATCATGACTATCACGTTGAAGGCGTTCTTCCGGAGCATCACAGCCGCATTCACGGATCCCGCATCTGCGACCGCCGCGGCGGGCGTCCTGATGCTTTTCCTGGTCTTGTACACCGGCTACCCCATCCCCGTACCCTCGATGATCCATGCTCTGTCATGGATCACGTACATCAACGTAAGTGGCGGCGCCGCTGCTGTTTCGTACTCGAGTCCTGATGCGCTATCGTTGACAGCCTCTCAAATACGGGTTCGAGGCACTCATGGTTAACGAGTTCTCGACCTTGACCGCCAAGTGCGAGACCTTGATACCCACTGGCCCGGGCTACGAGAACATTACCCTGGCTAATCAAGGATGCGCCGTCGAAGGCTCCCAGCCCGGAGAGGCTACTGTCAATGGCCTGGCATACCTGAAGGACACGTACGGTTTCGCCGCCGGCGACTTGTGGCGAGTAAGTCTATCCTTACATGTACCCTGATGCGGACTTGACTGTGTGGGACAGAACTTCGGCATTCTATGCGCGTTCGGGATTTTTTTCGTCGGACTCCTCGTCGTCCTGACCGAGTTCAATAACGGCTCCTCTGGCGAGTCCGCCTCCGTCCTGTTCAAGGAAGGCTCGAAGGTGGAGGACCTGACTGCTAAAGGCGGCGATTTGGAGAAGGGTGCGGTCGGGCCTGCTCACACGTCGGTCCGGATGTCCTTCGCGAATGGCGGCGAGAAGACTCCCACATACGTGAAGAAGACTCCGATCAAGGGAAATGTGTTCTCTTGGCAGCGGTTGTGCTACACTGTCCCGGTATCTGGAGGCAACTACAGGAGGCTTTTGGACGACGTCTCAGGTTACGTTGCCCCGGGTAAGCTCACTGCCCTCATGGGTGAGTCGGGCGCCGGCAAGGTTGGTCATTCTCGCGCTACGGACATGAGGCGTTTCAACTGATGAGTGCTGACAGACAACGCTACTCAATGTTCTCGCGGACCGTGCTGGTGAAGGCTACGTGACTGGGCAACGCTACATCAACGGGTTGCCTTTGCCCCGCGACTTCCAGGCTCAGACGTATGTATCGGGGTAGTTGGTGGGTGTGTGATAGCTGGCTTACACTCCGTTCCAGAGGGTACTGTCAGCAGACCGATACGCATGTCAAGTCTGCGACCGTGCGCGAAGCTCTTCTATTTTCAGCCAAGCTGCGCCAACCGGCATCTGTACCATTGGCAGAAAAGGAAGCATAGTACGTGAGAGCTCGGCGTTGTAGGTCCGATGACTGATCTGTTCGTTCGTCAGCGTCGAGGAGTGCATCAGGATGTGTGGTCTCGAAGCCTATGCTGACGCTATTGTGGGCACCCTTGGATGCGAGCAGCTCAAGCGCACCACCGTTGGTGTTGAGCTCGTCGCTAAGGTAGTATCCAGAATTTCACGTCTACACCTGAACTAATATATTCTGCCTCAGCCGTCGCTGATCTTCTTGGACGAACCCACGTCAGGCCTTGACTCGCAAAGTGCATGGGCCATCGTCAGCTTCTTGCGCAAGCTCGCCGACAGTGGCCAATCAATCGTGTGCACGTGAGTGTCTTGGCCTTCTCATCTTGTCTGGTGTTCACGCTTGCCACAGTATCCACCAGCCGTCTGCGGAGCTTTTTGAGGTATAGGTTTCGTGATATATTCCTGTGTCCTGCGCTGAAGTTATTCTGCAAGGTCTTCGACAAGCTCTTGCTGCTCCGCAAGGGCGGGCAGACCGTGTACTTCGGTGATCTTGGCCATGGGGCGAGCACTGTTCTCAAGTACTTCGAGAGCAATGGTGCGCGGACTTGTGACGCCCTCGAGAACCCGTATGTGATGGCAACAGTAACCGTTGAAACATTCCTAACATCGGCTTCAGCGCGGAATACATCCTCGACGTGGTCGGCGCGGGCGCTACTGCGTCGTCGAAGACGGACTGGCACACAATATGGAAGACGTCGCCAAAGTCGCAGGACTTGCTTCAGGATCTCGACATGATCCGCATGTCTAATGTTGACCGCCCTGCGAGCGGCGAGGCTGAGCCTCCCAAGTATGCTAGTTCTTGGACGTACCAGCTCGCGACGCTGCTGCAGAGGGACGCCCGTACATTGTGGAGAGATCCGACATACCTGATCGCGAAGATGGCCGTCAATGTTTTCTGCGCTCTGGTCATTGGCTTCACGTACTGGAAGTCGGCCAGCACGATTCAGGGCACGCAAAACAAGCTCTTCGTAAGCATATCTTGATGTCACCTGGAATCGGAGTACCACGCTGATCACTACACCTATACTATAGTCAATCTATATCTCCACGTTCCTCGCTGCACCGCTCGTCGAACAGCTCCAGGTTCCCTTCCTTGAGATGCGGAGCATCTTCGAGATTCGCGAGCAGCACAGTCGCATGTACAAGTGGTCTGCTTTGATCACTTCTCAATTACTCGTCGAAGTCCCGTGGAACATCTTGGGGTCCTCTCTGTTCTTCGTCTGCTGGTACTGGACTGCTGGCTTCCCCACCGATCGCGCGGCGTATACCTACCTGCTCTTCGGAGTCATCTACCCGTTGTACTACACATCGTTCGGCCAGGTTTGTGCATCCGCGTTGTCAACGCGATCTTGACATTGACATCGGGACGGTTCTCAGGCTACAGCAGCAATGGCTCCAAACGCTGAGATCGCCGCGCTGATCTTCAACGCGCTGTTCGCTATCATGATTGTCTTGTAAGTCTCTGTGATGACTATATGCAGGCTGCCTCCTGACGCAAACTTTACAGCGACGGTGTGCTTCAGCCCTACCGTGAACTCGGCAAGTGGGTATGGATGAACAAGATCTCGCCATCGACTTACTTCGTGGATGGTTTCCTCGGCCAAGGTATATTTGGTCATTCGATTTTACCTTCATGCATATGACTGATGGGGACTCACAGCCGTTGGAAGGACCCAGATCTCCTGTTCTTCCGTGGAGTTCATCAAGGTCAACCCTCCGTCCGGGCAAACATGCGTGCAGTACCTGAACAAGTTCATCGACATGAACGGCGGTTATCTTACGAATCCGAACGCCACGAACCAATGCAACTTCTGCCAATACAGGACAACAGATCAGTTCCTGGACAGCCGGAATGTCTCCTACGACAACCGGTGGCGGAGCCTCGGCATCTTTATCGGATTCACAGTCTTCAACGTGCGTACTACGTTCATACCTCTCCTTCGGGCCTTACTCCGGGCCTTACTCACAGTTTACATGCAGGTGGTTGCCATTTATATAATAACATATATATTCCGAGTACGGACTGGTTCGCTTCTCGACTGGGTACGATCACTATCCATCACCCCTCGGCGGAAGACCCAAAAGCCCTCTCGGACGTAACTTATTTAGGAACGTAGGGACACAGCAGCACCTATGAACTGTACTAACATAATACCCGTCACATATTAGTCTACGCTCACGTCGATTTAGTATCCATGTCTGGCCATTTACATGTTTGAAGTGAGGAGTGCATGTCCGGCGTAAGGTTGAATGCTCTCGTGTGTCAGCGAAGCGTCTCGTCTTGTGGCGTATGTACTACGTGCTCATAACATCGTTTGTGGAGCATTTTACAGTGACATACCAATACGCATTGCTGACATACAGATACAACGACTGATACAGCTCATTCGGTAATACAGCAATTCCTTCACATTCTTCACCACTTCTCGTGCGCTGGGCGAACTGATATCCGAGTATCATCAGAAAGCGGTCAAGACGATAAAGCGTTCAACAACTCACGGTCGAGCTCCCAAGTCCAGGCAGAACGGTCTTGGTTCGCCAGGTACAGGTAACTCTGTCGATCGCATTCAACACAGACCCTCACGCAAGATGCTTGAACTAATGGCCTACCTTAGCGATGCTCTCTGCGTCGAGGCGAATGTCTGCGTTTTCGGCAAACTGCTTGTGGTCCTCTGGATTGGAGTGGCGGGAGAGGGATCGGTCGGTGAGGATGCCTGTCAGTCATGTCAGTGATCCAGAAGCTCTAGCGATCTTTCCGCGAGACTGACCTCCGTCAATGATAGCCTTCCGAATCGTGGCGATGTCAGTCAGCAAATTGGTGCACGAATTGAAGACTCAAACAATCACTTACATGAGCAACCTACATCAAACGCGTCAATAGGCTTGTGGGAGGAGAGCATACAGCCACTTACGTGGATGTTCTGCTTCCCGAACTCCTTGCTCAAGCTCTGGCTCAGAGCGCGCCCTGCGAACTTTCCGGCAGCGAACACACTCGTCGACACATTTCCCCTCCAACTAGCGGTGGCACCAGTGAAGAGCAGGGTCCCCCTCTTTCCGAGCTCGCTCAGCTCGTTCTCCTGGAACGCCAGGATGATCTGGCGCGAAAACGCAAAGGGGGCGACAAAGTTGGCCTCGACTGAGTCGTGGACTTCCTGCTCAGTAACGTCCAAGAAGGGCTTCCACGCCCCGAACGCCGCATTCCACAGGGCGACGCGAATCTCGGCTTTCTCGGGTGTCTGCCATTGGTACTTGCGGATGCCCTCGACGACCGAGGTGACCGCGCCGTACGAGTAGTCCTTGACGGGGAACGCGGCCGCCTGAATCAGCAGCAAAGCGCATACCAGTCAGCAACGATCGTCGGGGGAGTCAGTACTAGGTACTAACCTCCCCGCCCGTTTCCTTCAATTCTGAGGTGAACTTGTTGAGGTGGTCTGCGTTCCGAGCAATCAATGCTACTCTATATCCTTGCTTTGAGAAGACGCGACTGCAGTGATAACAATGAGGTTCAGGGACCAGATATTGACGCCAATACGCACGCTGTGGCGGCACCGGTACCTTAGGAGGCCGCGATGCTAGGTGAGACCCGAGACCAGAAGACCACTGACGGAAAAGGACGCACCTGTACCGTTACCGATACCAGCAATAACAATCACAGGTCGAACGGACATGTTGTGGGCTTGTGATGCGATTTAGTACGAGGCTCCGGTGGGTGTGGGGAAACTGAAAGTGCTGGAGGCTCGCTCAAGTGACGATGCTTATATAGGTCCTGACCAGTAAACAGAGAAGGCAAGGCCGGGAATTGCGTCGGCATATACGCACGAAGACGCAATTGCCAGCACCATCTCCGGTGACGTTACTAAGCATCTTGCTAATACCGAGGGTTCTCAATCAGCTGGTCCCCATGACCGAGGGAGCGCCCTACTAGGTGGTGAATCCTATCGCAATGGATTGTGCAAACGGCCACCAGGAATGCGATGGGGCGCGCACAAATTGGTATGGCAGAGGTATATGGGCGTCAAAGAATGAGTCCATGCGATGTCGATGCTTGAGTACTCGTACAAATGCAGGTGGTACAACGAACGCGGACAATGACGATACATGGACAGGCATTCCCGGGCATATGAGTGGATGCAGAGTAGCAACTAAATGGTAGTGGCGGGGCAGACGTGAGTATGGCGAAGAGCACGCCAGTAGAAGACACTCACGTTACATACAAGGAGGGTTAATTACAAGACCGATGGAAGGTCTAGATGACTATGGGGAACTCTGGTATCATCAAGCGGTCGAGACCACTTGTCTATGAAGCGAAGACGTGAGTAGAGAGATCAGCAGATCGGACCTAAGCGCACCTGGGCAAGCCAGAAAATACTCGTCCATGGCATTAACGAAGCGCTCTTGATATTCGTGTGGAGGAACAACGGTAACCTCCTTTCCGGCGTTGAGATTCTGCTTCGCTTTGTACTCCAGGGTCTTCGCGAAAGTGTAGCTCCCTGCATAGCCGTATGAGTCTACCGTAGCTGACCACAGGCAAGCTAAGCGCACCTATGGTATCTACCAGACCACATGCGATCCGTTTGCGCTCCTCGTCAATACCGAGAAGTAACCTGATGGTCGGTGAGTATGGCATAGGACATACAAAATGCGAGCACATACGAATAGTCCATGATATTGGTTCTTGCCAGGAAGTCGCAATCGGCCTTGACAGCCTCCTGGAAGAGGACCTTGGAATGTGGGTGGACCAAAGTCAATGTTCTACGTTGATCTACAAGGGTTGTGTTTATTTCAACCTCACGCACACGTCGTGTAGCTTGAAACTTACCCTCTATCCACTCGCCATCGAACAGCGTCTTTGACGCCGTATTCGACGCCTTGACCTTACGCCCTTGAATACCCTTAAGATCGAACGTCTTGCTGATCTTCTGGGCATAGAAAAGGTTCTCCATAACCAGCAAATCAGCCCTTGCTTGTACTGTCCCGGTTTCGAGGTTCCGGATCTCAATTGTGTAGAATCCAAGCAACTTCGCCAGAACTGATGGCTTGGTAGCCGTTGAGTCCATGTATCGGAAGTACGATGGTCCCAGATCTATCAGGACTTGGCTAGAGGGCATATGATCAATCAATCGCGCTGCCCGATCTAGTATGACTTACAGATCCGCGACATTCCAGGCGTTGACAAGCGTCTTGATAATGAACTGGTCGTCCGAGGTCTTCCAGAAATTGGACTTGCTCTTGCCGCCATCTGCAGCCCAATTCGCGCTGCGCATCAGGCTCTTCAAGAACGTGTCCTCTATACCGCATCGTCGTCTGAGCGAGTCAAACTGACGTGCGTAATACACCGTGCAGCTGAACTTGAGGCGCTTTCCGATCGTCCAGTCATACTTGATGTGGGGCCGCTCGTCGATCGCAGGAGAATCGGTTGATAGCAACCCATGATGCGGCGCCGCAGGGGCAGACCGATGAGCGTCCCCAGTGTTGAGCATATACTTCATGGCACTCGTCAGCGTGTTGGTGATTGAAGGGATGAAAGATGAAGGAGTGGATCCAGGCGTTGATGGTTCACCCTGCGTTCTAAACCTCGCCAGTGAATCAGTAGACATAGAGGCGTCTTTCGGGGGCAAGAGAGGTGGAGACAGGCTCCGTCCAGCACCGCCGCTTTCCGTAGATGTGGTAGTGGCATCGCTACTCGTCGATATGATGGAATCCGATTTACCCCTCCGGATGTTCGTTTCAACGAAGCCCGAGGCTGATGAGTCGCTGGACCCGGAGGTCCTCCAGGTTTGCACAACACTGGTATTCGCATCCAAATCATGAAGCAGCTTGCCCACATCTTCATTGATCCCGCTGACATGGCCATCGGCAGCCTGCATAGAGAGTTCGACAGCGGGCTTTGCACGTGCCGCCGCTGGGCTCTTCGTTCCCGAAGACGAGCTAGCTCGAGGCGACGATGAGCCTGGATTTTCCATACCAGGTTTGTGTCGTAGAACATCTCGGATGGAGAGCAATGCTGTCGGGTCCTTGGGGTGTTCTTTGCGACAGATCACGGCCGAATACGTTTCCGGTTCATGCCATCCAGCGTCGTCCAGGTCGGGGTCTGGCAGCGATGTGGTGCTGGCAAGGAATCGTTTCAAGGAGGAGCCAGGTGCAAAGAAGGATGATCGAGTTTCCAATGGGGTGGGTGGAGGAGCCGTGGGCAGCGCAGGGCGTGGGGTGACCGTAGACATACTTGCAAGTTCCCGCTGATAATCCGCGGAGCTGCATATGAAGGCTCCTGTCAACGGTACACATCGCAGATGTCATGACCAAGGCACTTGCCTGAGCGTAAACGCTATGATACTTCCCCAGTCGTCCTCCTTCACGATCACATTCCCGCCAGGAACAGCGTGGTAACCACTCTGCCACCACTCTGGTTCCACCATAGACGGCAAGCCCAGTCTCCTCCTCATTTGCTTCGGAATACTGGGGGAGTGTTTGGCCTCCCACGCCGATAGCCTTCGCGATGCTCCTCTGGAGGCAGCTAGGAACGACCGACGTACATTATTCAAGGAGGTTGTCGGTGTCCTGGACAGCTCCGCATATAGGTTCTGCTCCTGCCGTTGGAATGAATGACGGAGACCAGTGAGAAGTTGCATCTCATCGCCTTCCGACCGGACTGACTGTGACTTGCTCGACGTCGTGATAACTGAGTCTGAGGACGCTGCCGAAGGTTGCGCAGGAGTGATGGTCTTAGTCGACATCGTGCTGTCCGTGGAAGTGCTGCTATCTTCTCGGGCGACGGCGACAGTGGGTGTGGAGGCGGAAGACGGCAGTCGGGACAACGAAGCCTTGGGTGTCGCTTGGCCAGCCTCGTCCATCACGTCGTACGCATCGTCATCTGAGGGTAATCTCGGAAGTGCCTTCACGCGCACGGTATCGCCCTCGCCTATGAAGTTCTCTTCCTAAGATGATATGAGCAGTAGCTGAAGACGTACAAGGCTGCTACTCACCAGCTTGTCGATATGCTCGGCCAGTCCTTGCCACCAACGCATGATCTCCTTCCTCAAGATATGCCTGTCGTCATCGCTAGAGGTGACCTTGCTAGGCGAAGCCGGTGCGCTTGCCGTATCCTTGTCGGCGCCCTTCTCACTCTGGCGTCGCCGTATAATTTGCAATCGGGGCACCTTCAGCTCGAAGATATCCTCGACAGTGGTCAGGGAGAACGTCACCGTCCGCGACCTGCACGAGAACTTGCGGAGGATGTTGAGACGGGTGCTCGGGAGCGGCGCATCCTTCGATTTGGGTGGCAGAGCGGTGTGCGCACAAAGTCGCGGTGTCACGCCGCACAAGGCGGGGGAGTAGATGAGCAGCTCAAGGTACTTGCCGAAGGAGAACAGGCTACCTCGTCGGCGCGGCGGAGGTCAGCATACGACGACCAGGATAAACACGGGGATAGGGGACAGACACCCACTATGTACCATCGTGCATCTGCTGTCTCGCCGTCTCCTCTCCGCAAACCGCACAAGCCTGCCAGATAGAGATGGCATCCTCCTTGGGCTTGTCATCGGCATTTGCTGGGAGGCCTATGGTGGCAACAATCCGCACGCCGGCGTGGATCCATTGTAAGTCATGGTCGCCACGGAGAAACTGACAGCCAGGTTCAGTGCACTGCTCCTCCGCCATCGAGCAGAGACGGGCTATCGTCTCGCCCAGGGTCTCGTCCGGTCTGTCGCCACGCTCGTAGTACCGGTACGTCGTCCACTTCCTGCGATTCCCGCACGATGTAAACCGATGGGGTACTGTGATGACCGATGACGTTGGTACTGATCCTGACGGAGTAGGCGGTTGGCTTGACGAGACCAAGGGCAGAGGCACATGAGCGGAGTACAGCAGCGAGATGCCCTGTTGTCGCACAAACCCCGCCGTACCCACCATGCCGCGACCGAGCGCGTCTTTGCCTTCCCATCCGAGGAGGCTAGTCAGTGCTGCCCGTTCCTCGCCGTTGAGCCTCCGCAGTGGATCCTCCTTCTCCTTGTCGGCGAGGCTGACCAGAACACTTGGTGCCTGAAAGACGAGATCGGGGGATGTCGACAGCAGACCCTTACGTGCCTCCACATTCCGAAGAGTGTCCAAGAATGGCTGCTGCCGTGTCCTATCAGCATCGCTGCGCAGTGCCCCACTGGAGGACGTCGATATGAATGAGAAGCGGCGCGGTCGCGGGGAGGTGCCGTCGAAGGAGCCGCGGGTAGATAACGAGCGAGTTAGAGGAAGCTCAAGCGAGCCGCGACGTACGACGGACGGTCCGACTGAGGCGACACGGTGGACGAGGTTCTCCGTCTTCTTCGAGAAGAATGACCAAATGCCACCTGCTACGGCGAGCGTGCTCTCCCGCTTTGGCCGTATTCGGTCTTCCGTCGGCGTCGATGGCTCGCCTTCCGTACCTATCACGGTCGTAGGGAGTAAGGATTTGTGGGAGTGTAGCTCGACATGTGAGTTCGACAGCAAGTGTTGTTCGAGCAGCAGCGACAGATAGAGGAAGATAGAAAGTCTGAGCACCTTGACGAGCGAGGCGTGTTGCTGCGCATTTGTCACGCCCTTGAACGTGAACGTACCGCCGACGATCTGGATGCAGTCCTTGTCCGCCGCATCATACAACTCGACTGTGACAAAGCAATGAGCAAATCCCGATGGTCGTCGCAGGTCGCAATCTTACCATCCCATTCAGCTAACCCATACAGTATGTGCTCGTGGCCGTCGACGTCGTCCGGAAGTGCGTAGGTATTGGCGAGAAATATACAGCCTACACCATAGGGTATTATGTCGTACTCCAAATCCTCCGACGTCCGCTTCGGGGGAGCGCCGAAGGCTTCCACAGTGAGCAGAAGATGCTTCGTGGAGGGTCGTGGCCGAGGAGGCATGGTGTGGGTCGCGACCAATTCTTGCAGCTGCTGCAGGGCTACAGAACGAGCATGTCGAGACGAACCTGGGTCCGAAGCCGATTGATCCTGCTCCTCTCTCGCCTTAGGTGTCTTCGGAAGGGTCTTATTCCTGGCTTCCCTCTCCTCCTGCTCCCTTGCCCTGTCGCGCTCGACCTTCTCGCGCTGCAGCCGGGCCTCCTCCTCCTTTCTCCGCTGCGAGGCCTTCCGCCTCATCCGCTTGAAGCCGGCCAGCCAGCCACCTCGAGAGATGTTCAGGCCTAGCTGCAGAGCTACGCCCCGCAGTGCATTCGCCCAGTTCTCGCGGTCCGTAGCGACGTTCTCTTCCTCGAGAGCATGCAGGATGAAGCGTTGCAAGTGAGCGCGCGCATCAGTGGTCAGAGTGCTCGAGATCGCTGTGCTGCGTGTCGGAACGGCTGGGAGAGGTTTCTCTACCTGGTTCATCGCGACAGGCTCCAGTCGGCATTGAGGAGAAGGTGAGGCTGAAACTGTAGCAGCGGGTAGCGGAAGGTAAGCGCACGCGCAGCGGTCAGAGCGATGTCATGCTTCCCTAAAGCAGTCAGTCACGGGCTTGCTCTTCCCGCCAGATCTAGATCTCCTATTTGTACGTTTGTTTGCTCACTTTGACATGGGGAGTCTGGAGCGTTCAGCGGCGATGTATTGAAACAGCGCATAGCCTAAGATGTATCTACTACTCACTTTTGGGATCCAAAGCTTGTTTAGACTCGAGGTGCGCCGCTGTGAGCTTCATGATGGTGCAACGTTCCGAATGGTGGACCATGCAGGTTTGCAGTGCAGTACGTAGCGCGGCCGACGTATCGAGACTTGCTAAGTACGAGTCCGCTCAATATCCGTTCGTTGAGTATTGAGTCGTGCTCTTCGCCTGCGGACTCCTCGCTGCTCGTCCGTCGCGGGTCGATGCGTCGAGTTGCTCGGGGGAAGAAGAAAGTTCAGGAGAGGGGGGTTGTTCGATTCAATCCAGACGACACAGACCCGCGTTATATATACAGAGACGAGACGCGGTCAAAAGTGGAGCATATTCGTCAGAGCGGATGCATTTTTGAATGGAATCGATGAGGGACGGTGCAACCGAGTGACGACAGAAACGCACTTCGAACGGAAAAGGCAGGCAAGTATATTTGAAAGGAAAGTAGCGTGAAGCTGGGTCCGGTGGACACACGCTCGGGTCCGGTGGGGCGAAGTCAACGACTGCGGGCTCGGCGCGGTGAGAGCTCAAAATTCAATACACGCGCGATATGCCGCCCTGAGGCGTGTTTCTCGAGCCCCGTACCTTGCTCGTACCGGAGTGAGTCGATTGTCCAAGCTCATCACACGACGCGTACGATGGTACTTTGAAAGAGTGTGACTGTGACCAAACAGCCAAGGGTATAGAAGAGAAGTCGGAACAAGAAGGACTGAGAACTGACCTAGGTCTCTCACGCGAACTTGCTCTCAGAGCATCCAGAGTCCGACACAAGCCCCAAGAGCACTCGCGCTTCATGCGAACGGCTTGTGAGCCAAGAGAGTAGACAGGTCAATTACTTACTACTACAAGACTGTACATGCATCAGCCCCGGGGGCAATACTGGGTTTCCGTGACTTTACGTCTTTTGGACGACGTCATTGTGATCTCAGAGTACGAATCAGCAAGGGGTTCACATCTCTCCACACTCTGCGGACATCGTCAGAATCAGTATGGCGACTACACGACGATTGAATTTACGTACCGATTATTTTCACCGCTAGCTTCGGCCTGTTGTTTGGTCCTGTCGGGACGTTCTCGATTTTCCGCAGCGTCAGCATGCCGTCGATGACCTTGCCGAATACGACGTGCTTTCCGTCCAGGAAGTCGCACTTGGCGGTTGTGATGAAGAACTGGATACATCCGAACAGAGGTTGAGCGCCACGTTGCTGGAGCTGTTAGAGCCTCGATGGGTCCTCACCTGACAACCGTTGGTGTTTGGGCCTGAGTTCGCCTGAACGTAGAGTTCGTATGAGTGCCCCAGTTACACATGATGACAGCAGTACATACCATAGACAGCAAGCCAGGTACGGTATGCTTCTCTTGGAAGTTCTCATCCTAAAAACACGAACACTCAGTCGATCTACTGGGTCGGTATGCGATCGGAGACGTACTGGGAACTTGTCTCCGTAGATCGAAAACGAGCCGGTACCGTCACCCTTCATGAAGTCTCCACCTATAGTGAGGTCGTAACGTCAGGGAATTCTTCGCAGAAAAAAATGATTGTGGTACCTTGGCACATGAAGTTCGGTACACTGAATGGTCAGGCCAGCGTCAGGATGAGCGAAGAAGTGTGATCACAGCGCATACACTCACACTCTATAGCAAGGATCTTGTCAGCAGGCATTTGCAAAGACTCGGACTAGATACGCTGAGCTGCTCACCTGTGGAAAGTTGCCCCCTTGTAGCCTTGTGGTCGGGAGTTCACACTAGTTGTGAGTTAGTCCGACAATTCAATTCGCTGATGTCCTATCACATTACTTACCGGTACTCTCCTGTACAAAGCTGCCTGAAGTTTTCAGCAGTTCTATGAAAGCATACATTAGCGTCGGTTACCTCTCACAGTCTCTGCTGCTACCTACTTAGGCACAATATCGCTGAACAGTTCCATCTTCAGGCGACCCGCAGGGGTCTCTCCAATGTTGATGTCCATGAATACAATCGGGCGCGTGGAAGCCATTTTTATGTATACCCTCGAAGATGAATGCGGACTTTGTAGTGTCGAGCGTCGCGGGATTCAGTGGCAAGTGCGCTTCAAATGCGGAGTGGCTGAAATCTCGTCGCAGGATGAGTACTCCGGAAAAGGCAAGTACATTCCAGACTTTGACAAACACGGGCAAACACAGGGCCTTCACCGCTGTGGCTGCAGGAGGTCGCTCGACTTGGACTCGTATACACTCTCGTCTCCTGCTCTTTCCGCCGCTAGATAGCTCGCCATGTCCTATTTCCTTCCTCACCTTCCGTCTGGATGGCACGTTGACGAGGCGATCAAGTCTGAGGAAGATCGCGTGGTCGTTCTTCGCTTCGGCCACGACTGGGACAGTCAGTGCATGACGATGGACGAGACCCTCTACTCGGTCGCGGAGAAAGTGCAGAACTTCGCTGTGATCTACCTCGTTGACATCACGGAGGTGCCTGACTTCAACAAGGTATGTGAACGACCAGGGATGTCTTTCATGAGGCTCACGAGTGGCGGTGCGTCCGGGGATAGATGTACGAGTTGTACGATCCTTGTACCGTCATGTTCTTCTATCGGTAAGTGCTCACACCGCGAACGTCCATTGATTGTAATCTGACTCCTCATACACTAGGAACAAGCATATCATGATCGATCTGGGGACTGGTAACAATAACAAGATGTATGTCTTGCCTTCTTCGCATCTTATCCCTGACTCACAATACTGCCTTGGACGTCCAGTAATTGGCCAATGGATAATAAACAGGAGGTCCGTACTCTTATGCGCGGGCGCAACCTGTTTTGCTGACGTCTAATCCACTAGTTAATTGACATTATCGAGACAGTCTATCGCGGCGCGTCCAAAGGACGAGGTCTTGTCGTTTCTCCCAAAGGCATGTCCCTTCACCTACCAGTATTATGTCAATGTACTCATGCCTCCTTCAGACTACTCCACACGATATAGATACTAATCGAGCAGCCTGCTCGCTGTGTGCCCTTTGTACCCTCGCTTTCCCTATCAACTCCGGTGTGTTCCAGGACCTGTAACTTTATATGATCCTGTTTTCTGTTTATGGCAATGATGGACTATATATTTGCAGAACGCGCAGATCCCCAACTATCCATTTGGTCGTACTGTAGGGCCGTTTACTTATATTGGGACATCTGAGGCTTGTCTCAATCGGGCCGTTCATCGAGCCGCGGGGGCGCGAACGGCCAGATATCGACATCCACATGCTGGTCAAGATAGGGTCCGCCGATCATCAAGAGTCACCTTGGGCTTGTTTCTCGGTGCGATAGCCTCATAAGCGTAGCTGTTGCATTTGCGTCGCCACCTATCTGAAACGACACTCGGTACAGACGTCCTGTCTGTATATTCCCGGGCCTCGGGGTTGCATGGGACGACGGGTACTATGTACTCTTGTTGCTCTTTCCTGTCCATGTACACCCTTCGTAGGCTGAGCGCAGCGCTTCATTCGAAGCGCCAGCTATGACATCTCAGAGCCGTGATCCTTAGACGAGCCTTGATTTTGGTTCCCTTGCTCGCGGAGATCGTCCAGAAGCCCCTTGGGGCCATCTCCAGAGCTTGTGACAGAAATTCACCTTTCCGTCATGAACTCCACGCCTATCATGGAGGTACCGCGTCGACAGCGTATACAGCACGCTTTGCATATGGATGGCAGCCCAGAGAACAATATCATACGCGAGCCACTACCAGACCTTGAGTCGGTCAGGAGGGATTCTGCGAAAGGTACGAGGTGCTATTATGCACTCGTTCTGACGTAGGCCGACTATGTTTTTGAACTAGCACATTCCCTGTGGCAGATCACGAACGTACTGCCCGAAGATGTTAACATCCGGCTGCAGAACGTCAACACCGGCGAATTGATCCGGCAGCTGCACAGAAGAAGGAAGACTGGAACGCTTGGCGAGAAGTAGTGGATGTTTGGCCGTACGTCAGTGCGCTGCGTTTGCACGAGGACCCAAGTCGGGCACTCACGCACCTCATCGTTGAGGAGACTGTGTATACTCTCAATGCAGGTACGCGTGCGAGGGACCAGTTCAAGATCACCCGATGCGCGGTGATTCGCATGTCTGAGTTCATGAACGTAATGGCGGATGCCATAGGGATCGATGCTAGCCAGACAGACCATTGGCGGCCAGTACACTGGGAGGGAGCGTTCAGATTTGTCATATTCAGGAGTGGGCCAGGAATGAATGAGATGGACGAAGGTCTTCCCATATCTAATCAACAACGCAGGACCCGTGCTCAATGATTCTATTTCAGGCATGGTGCTGAACACCAAACTCAGACAGAGTCACAGACGTCGTATCGCCGGAGCTGGCGCAGGGACATTAATAGGCATCTTCCCCCAACGGTGCCGGTGCTAGGCAGGGGCTTTTGGGATGTTGAGTTCGATTGAGACTGTTAGATATGTGAAGGGGTGTTGTAAGCATTGTCGGTCCATCCACGGTCCATCGCATACATGAATAACGTACTTCTCATAGTGAGCAATCTTCTTGGACCGCATGTGTCGTACATTCTTGTCGCTCTACATGGCCTCGTCGAATTGAGTGCAACAATCATGCAGAACGTGCAACTAGATCGCGTCCCAGAGCGCGTAGCCCACACCTTAAGTAGATCCAATGGCTATTCTTTCATCATATGTACCGAGGAAAAGCGACACAAATTTTCAATTGATTGACGACAACGCAAAGACGAATTGAGACTTGGAAGAGTTGCATGCCATTGCATCAGACGGGACTCTCATAGTGACACTGGGACGGCGATACAGAACACATTCGCATTGTCATTGAACTTGCAGGTTGTGAGAGCTGAACATGGTTGACATTCATAGTCTCCTGTGAGGCGGCTGACGCGCACTTCAAACTCCCTGCTCGTGCTCTCGAGGCGAAGATGGTCGTCCCGTTCGCATCAAGACCCAAGCCGTGCGAGAAGAAATACGGTCACACCGGTAGTGAGACTTTACAGTGCCAGTGCGCTCTGGAGACTCGATGCCGCAAACCGGTTCATTGCTGGGGTGTAGCGTTATTACATAGGACACAACACCAGCATAACCTTGAATACGCACGTGGTCAGGAGCTTCAGCGGTGGCCTATGAGCACACGGACTGTCATCCATCATAGAGATTACACCAGCACAATATCGGAATGTCGTGGCGCTCTTTCACGAGCTTTCTTCACTGGACGCCCGACTGGATGTGCATCTCCGGAGCCGGTCACATAGTCACGCTTGACGTCCCATTTGCCCCGTAGTACGTCCCGTAGAGCACAGAGTGCCGCACGTACAGGCAATTCGGATGTACTGTTGAATACAGAGCTCAGCGAAGTGATGACCGGTCAAGAAGAGAAGTCATACCTGTCGTGCAGCACGTCGAAGACTCCATTAACGCTGGCCAGATAGTCACCGCCGAACGCAGACTTTGCCAAAGCCTCGACGTTAAGTGTGTAAGATCGAACATCACTCAAAGCGATTTCCTTCAAGCAGCGTTGCACGTCGCTTGCCAAACCCCAACCTTTGGTCTTCGTTTCGCCATCTCTGTTGTGTTTCCGACCAGCTACAGCTAGCTTGTCGTCCTCGCCCGATGCTGCTGTGGATCCGAGAAGCGCCTTGAAGTGAGCTAGTTGCTCATTTTTCCCATTTCGCGGCCTATCGACGGCGTCGGCGGGCAACGCCTCTTCAGCCAGCTGGCCGTCACATACGGCCCCGTCTAACCAGTCCCACGCGTCGTCCCATCCAGGGTATGCACGAGCAACTTGCATCCAGCACTGCTTCAGAACACCCGTTAGGGTTTTCCGCATGAGGGGCACCGTGATATAAGTTTTGCCATTCGCGCAGGAACGCACGAATAAGGCGATTGAAGCGTCTAAAATGTTCCCTTCCAGAGGTAAACCCTCTAAGGTTGCCGCGAGATCGGCTTGGTCCGTGTCTGTCCCCCACGTGCAGTAGATCGCAGCAGCCGCGTCCCACTGAATTCGGATTACCAGGCTCTGCGCGTTGCCCCGGACTCGCTCGCGTGCCACACGCATCAAGTCATCTTTCAGGCTAGGTAGGCGGCTAACGACGGAGTCGAAGCTGGAGGATGTGGGGGATGCTCTGAATGCTTGGATCTCCGGTGCGAGAAATAGCGCGCGCAGATCCAGCAGTTTTCGCCGCTTTTGTTGTGACCAATGCGACATATCGTATATAATGAGAATGCCATCCATTTGAATGTCGATGTATCCTGTTATGTAGACAATTCACTTCAGACCAGGATCTGAGTTATTGCAGATGGAGACATACTGTTCAACCTGACGCATCCTCCAAGATATGATTGTACCACGCAAGATATGCTCGACTGCTGCAAATACGTGACAGCATTCTTGACGAATAGTAACTCGGAGTGTGAGTCCGAAAGCAACGCCTCAGCGAGTAGTTCCATCCACACCCACGCAAGTGCGTGCCCCGGGAGACAATCGGTCTCATAGAACACAGCTCGCGATTTACTATCGTCGATGTAGATGTCGAGACGAAGCGCATGCCTATGCAGCGGTTCTCAGCGAGCGGCTTCAGAAGCAAAGAAAGATTACTAACCACTCATCTGCTACGTCGGGCGGTGGTACCGTACGAAGAATGACCTCCTCGCAGAATACGAGGCACTCCCGCACAAGCGGGTGTTCACACCTCTTCTCAACCCCAAGCCGCCACAGTGTCGCTAGCCAGCCGCACATTGCATCTAGCGACTTCTCCTCGGTTGCTTTCCAGACGGTGAGATCCCGCGAGCCCTCTGCGGCCTTCAGATCCGTCTTGAAAATCTGCTTTCGCCCTTCGAGATTAACCTCAGCCACGAGACTCCGTATATAACGAAGATCGGTATCCGTTGCCTGAAGAGCGGTAGCCAGGGCCTGTGAGGACAGAGGGGATAAGCTGCCGAGGACAGGGTATAGATGAGTCGAAAGTGCGGAGCGAAGGTGAGCATCATCAGAGACACTCGACATCAATGACTCGAAGTTGGACCTTGGCGTCGACATTGTGCGAAGTGTGTGCCGTAGGGGGGTGACGGCAGTGATCGCTACGTAGTATAGTAGGTTGCGACTCGATGTGGGCGGTCGCAAGTACTCTGGTAGACACTAATAGTCAGTGGTTACGACGCGTTGGATGTCGGCCAGCAGTTGGCCAGCGTCTCGATCACGTGATCGTGACGAACGCGAGACGCGTCTGTGGCTTCGCGTCGAGACTCGAGACGTGTATGCAATGCGCCGTCATGAACTAAGTTGGGTCTACCATCGTTCCAACTACTGTTATCGGCACGGCATTTGCCGTTACTAGTAGCTCAAGCATTCGGTTTGATACACTCTACATAGAGTCTACGGTATGGATGTGCACCGTGGATCCGGTCAATGTAATCTTTGAACAAAACAAAGTCCAGGACATGGTCCGAGTCGGCGCTACATAGACTGCAACTACTACTGTATACTTAGTGCACTTCAGTTGATCAACTAATACGCTTTGAGCTCTCGTCACAGTGTGACGCGTTCCCAAAGGCCGTTCCGCAGAGCGTTCCCGCGCGTTCCGGGAACACAAGTATCTCCTTCGCTGCCATATGCAGCGTTCTGTCGCTGCATGCGTGCTGCGTTGAGTATTAAGTAAAAGAGATCATGCTGATACAACGTTAAAGGACAAAGGGAAGAACGTCGAGATGTTGTATCTATCAAGCATAACTTAGCTTTCGATCGTCGGCTTGGGCGCTCCTCTGCGCGACTCGCGAACTTTCTTCGCCGGACGTCCGACTGGACATGCATCTCCGGAGCCAGTTGCATAGTCACGCTTGACATCCCATTGACCCCATAAAACGTCCCACAGGGCATACAATGCTGTACGAACAGATAGGTCGGAGGTACTGGTGAACGCAGGGCTCAGTGGAATAGTGACTTGTTCAGGAGAGGAGTGCATACCTGTCGTGTAGAACATCAAACACCCCGTCAGCGCTAGCCAAATATTGATTCCCAAGCGCAGACTTCGCCAGAGCCTCGACACCAACGTCGTCTCGAGTTCCAGACGACGCGACCTTCTTCAAACAACGTTGTACGTCGCATGCTACCCCCCAACCCTGGGCCTTCGTTTCTCCGTCTCTGTCGTGTTTCTGTCCAACGAGCGACACAGCTGGTTTCTCGTCCTCGTTCGATGCCGCCATTGAGACGAGGAGAGCCTTGAAGTGAGCCAGTTGCTCGTTCCTCTGCGTTCGCTGCCTATCGGTCGCGTCCGCAGGCAATGTCAATGCCTGTGCAGCCAATCGTCCATCAGACACCGCCTCGTCCAACCAGTCCCACGCATCGTCCCATCCGGGATATGCTTGGGCGACCCGGATCCAGCACCGCTTCAGGACGTATTGCAGGATCTTCTGCATCATGCATACCGCTGTCCCACGGCTGCTGAGCCTGAGTGTGCAGAACCGTGTGAACAAGGCGAGCCGGGCATCCAGAACGTTCCCTTCCACAGGTAAGCCCTCCATGGCCGTGGCAAGATCCAAACAATCCATGGATGTCCCCCACTTGCTGTAGATCGCTGCAGCTGCATCCCACTGAATTCGGAGGACCCGGCTCCGCGCGTTGTCACAAACTCTCTTGCGAGTCACGTGCAGGAGGTTATCTTTCAAGCTAGGCAGGCGGCCAACGAGGGAGTCGAAGCTGGGGTAATCAGGGGAGGCTTTGAATGTTTGAATCTCCGGAGCGAAGAAGAGCGCGCGCACTTCAGGTAGCTTTTGTGTCTTGCACTTCGACCAATGCAAGATACTGAATTCAATCGCGTTATTGTCGATCTCTATGTCGATGTATTCTGTTATTGATGCAAGTCACTTCAGAACAGTATCTGAGTCGATGTGGGCATGGACGTACCGTTGAACGTGATGCATACTCCAAGAAATGCCTGCACTATGCGGGATATGCTCGACCACTGCAAATATGCGACAGCATCCCGGACAAAAGGGAGCTCGGAGTCCCCCGAGACCAATGCCTCAGCGAGTAGCTCCATCCACAGCCACGCCAGACCGTGAGCCAGGGGACAATCGTAATGCAGGAACACCGCATAGTTCGTGCTGTCCTTGATGCATATATCGAGACGATGTACATTCCTGCGTCGCAGTCTTCAGCGGAGAACTTCAGATGCGGGATCATGCATTCTGACCACTCATCTGCTATGTCGGGCGGCGGTACCAGGCGACGTATTACCTCCTCGCAGAATACGAGACACTCCCGCACGAGCGGCCGCTCACACCCCTTCTCAACCCCAAGCTGCCACAACGCCACAAGCCAGCCGCCCACTGCAGTCGCCCACTTCTTTTCGGTGGCCGTCCAGACGGCGAGATCCTGGGAAGCCTCTGCAGCTTCTATATCTGTTTCGAACATTCGCTTTCGTCCTTCGAGGTCGACTTCAGCCACAAGACCCCGTATAAGCTGGTATTCTTTCTCCGTCGACTGGAGTGCGGCAGTTATGGACCGTGAGCACTTGGCGGGTAGTGTGTCAAATATTGGATAAAAATACTTCGAAAGCGCGGCGTGAAGGTGAGCATCGTCAGCGATACTAGTAGTCGATATCAACGATTCGAAGCTGGACTTTGGCGTCGACATTGTGCAAGACTTGTACCCCAGGGGTGTGATGACAGTGTTCGCTAGCCTCGATACGGGCGGTCGCACACTGGCAGAGGTACCATATGTGGACCAGCCCGCGACGCGTCTTGTCACGTAGTATCACGTGCTTGTGACCGAGCGTGTCTGAGTCTGCGCGTTTCTAAGTATGACATTGACAGTACATAAGTAGTCTCGCCACCTGAAAGACCCTCCTCGTGTGCGAGGGGTTTGTGTCGAACCTATATTTGACACTGACAGTCCTACTGTTCCGTCTGTGTCGTTGACGCATCTAGCGAACTCTGACAGGGCTGCCGCAGTAATGACATTTCTCCTCGGTGATATCGATCTCTCCAGGAAGTACATACGTCGGGTAATCAATGGATGCTTGAAGAAACACGATGCGTTTTTGTATTTTGTGTAATGTGACAGTTCGAAGGTATCGCGTGAATATCATGCGGAGGGCGGTCGTGAAGGGGGTAAGGCGGATGGGGGAAGGCGGTAACGAAGACGTGCGCAATAATCTAGGATCTGCAAGTGCAATAGTAGGTATAAACACAAGAATAACTGATTAGATTTTCATGGTTCATCCAGAGGTCCGTCCCAAGAAAGGTCCACGCATAGCACGCGCGATTTCAGGCAGGCCGCCACGTTTCATCAGGATAGCGCGCGACTTCACCCCAGCTTGAAGGGGTTTGCACGGAAGTCGTCGTCGAGCCCAGAACCGTTGCCGGCGCGGTCACATATGACTGGTCAGCCGTGCTGATGTCGGGCTGACTGTCGTCGGCAGTAGGTCGTCGACCGACGATGGGAATCCCCAGGCGCTCAGTATGGGAGCTCCATTCCGACGTCTGTTCCGAGGGCGCATGGGCAGAGGGTGCGTTGGTGGATAGATTGGAGCGAGCTTCCCGAAGCTCGTGCGGATGCTCGTCACCTTCAGAATGATGGTCTGAACCAGACTCAGACGATGGTAGAGCAATTTCCGGAACCTCAGGAACCTCGGGAACGTCACCCTGTCCTGCTTCCTCTGCGCGCCATTGCTCTCTGAGAGGATGGCCGAACGTGTAGTTCTCCGGGCTGCTCAGAACCGCATCCGAAGCTGACGACTCGAACGGCGAGTCCGACAGTCGAACCATAGAATTCGCACGGGACCGAGCGAGGTCCAGCGATGACCGTGAGGCAGCTGTCAGAGAATGGATCAACGACTGCGCCCTCGACCTTGCGGACTCCGAGCGTGAGGTTGCCGAGTCCGTGCGCGAACGAGACTGCGATCTTGAACCTGAGCCTGAGCCGGAGCCTGAACCCCTACCGGAGCGGGAACGCGACCCATTATTCCGCCGATGCGAGAGGTTACTAGCCCGATGACGGAGGCTCACTCGGGACGCACGGGGGCTCGGGCCCTGCGACAGCAAGCCCACGCTATCCTCCTGTTCCGCTTCCTCGATCGAACCCTCTGCCTCGGGAACGTCCATGAGTGACGAATCCTCGTGAGGGTCAAGATCCGAATCAAAAACAGGCGCAGGGAGCTGGCCAAACGTCATCGACGTATCCGTCACCACGCTTTCGGTGCGTGTTCGCGCACGCGGCCGTCCCGCGGGATATACAGCAGGCGTGGGGGACGCGGGCAGTGCAGGAACTGTGCCCGCTCTTGCTCTCCTCTGTACCTGCGGATGCCTCGGAGGCATTGGGATGACGCTGCCGCTGAAGCTGGACGACATCGAGGTGTTATGCGCGTTCGAGCTTGCGCCAGGTGAGTCCGACGACTCGCGGTTGCCCGTCGACTGCGTAGAGTGTGAGGGACGCGTCGAGGGTGTTGAGTGGGTGTGCGTAGATCGCGACGGCGTCGAAGTAGAATGAGGGCTAGAACGTGACATGGGCGACCGGTGCGACGCGGAGGAAGCACTAGCCCGTGTTGGCGCACGGAACTGGAAGGGATATCTTGAGACTACGGGTCGTCCGAGACTGGACATTGAGCCGGAAGTCCGTCTGTCTGAAGGTTCCTCACTCTCCTCTGCTTCTTCTTCCTCCTCCTCTTCCTCTTCTTCGCCCTCCTCTCCTTCCTCTTCACCTGGCTCGGTTGGCGGCTCCCTCTCCTCATCAGGTTCAGGCGACGGCGGGAAAGGCACGCTCTCCTCCGAAGACACCTGCGCAGGATACGCTGCAAACGGATACGCCGATGGCGGCGCAGCAGGTTGCTTGCCCTTCGGCCTCGCCGTCGGCGGAGGGTACGCGACATCCGACAGCTCTGGTGCGGACTTGCTCATTCGGCGCTTCTCATCATCCCCAGGGACCTCCTCGCCCACTCTCGGCTCCGGACTCTCGAACAGCTCCCCGGAGAGCACACCCCGCCGCGCGGGATGGTGTGCCGACGGCAGGCCCACCGCCGCGAAGATGCGCTCCATGCCCTCGATCGGGATGGAGGGCTCGCGCGACTCGCGGCCCGCGCCGCGCGGCTGCTTCGTCGTCAGACAGAAATCGTGCGCGTCCTTGATGCGCAGGAGGGTACACTCCTTCCACGACCACGGGAGTGCGTCTTGCTCGGACAGCGTGTCGTTAACAAGCGTTGCAGTCTTCTCGGCGTCGTCTTCCTCCCAGCGATAGCGAGGCCCGCAGAGGCCGGCACAGCCCTGCCCACTGACAATCCAGAGGCCAATACTAAAGTACGAGGTCAGCTCCCGTACTCTTGACATCACGCCACGAGAGACACGTACAAGCTCGCGAAGAGGACAAGGATTCGCCACGCCGTCCAAGCAGCGTTGGCGATGAGTACGCCGCGGGCGTAGTCAGTGAGGGTGCCATCCGCACGGAAGAACGTCCCGTCTCGCGGGCTAACCCCAGCGTCGCCTTGTGCGATCGCGCCGGGCTGCGGAGACCAGAACGCCAGCAGAACCGCGAGTGAAAGCGCCGCGCGCGGCATGAGCAGGATGACTGTCGACCAGTTCTGCGCGTAGAAGTTCGCCGTCTCGGCGAGTCCGTCGCGCAGGGAGGCGTACTCCCCAGAGAACGCGGACATGCGAATATGATACATGAAGCAGAAGTTGGTGTACGACGTCATAGAGGCAAGGCTGAATGCGGGCGAGGACATGTACAGGGGGAACATTAGCGGTCGTTCTGGTAGCAGGGTGAGCACAATTGCGACGAGACAATTGGGAGACGCGGGCACTCACTGACTCTCCAGCGGCGGTAGAAGGAATAGAGGAGCTCATATACAATAAAGATTACAAAGATCCAGGTGAACCAGCAAGCAATGTAGGCGGCTGCAGCAAGCGCCCAATCCCGCCCTGAGCCCGGCACACCAGGCGCAGAAGGGTTCGGGTACTTGGCGATCCTGCAGATCATGAGCACCAAAATGAGCGCCAGAACAAACGTCACTCACAGAATCAAGATGAATACAGCATTGAAATCGAAGAACGTCTGCAGGGGAATGTGCCCAAAGACGAAAAGAGGGAAGAGGAAGAAAAGGCAACGCATCCTCCATGAAGGGTGTCGCAGCAGCTCCAGATGGAGCCCAATCGAGCGGAACCGCGGCCGCGGAAACTGAGGCGAGCCCGCTGAGAAGAGCGTCGGCGTGAGGCCTGCGCTCGTCGCGCGGGACCATACACGTGTGTGTGCAGGCCCAGAGAACGCGCGCGACTGGTCTGTGGGCTCGCGACGTGCCTTTGACTCCTTCTCCGCTTGGGGGTCAGACCCCTGCAGGCTGACAATGCGCACTGAGCGAGGCGTCGGCTTCCGCCCTACGAAAGGCTCAGTGCTTGGACCGGGCTCGGCGCCAGCGGTGTACATGCCAGCGACAGAGGACTGCAAAGTGGAGCGCGGCGCGGGTGGCGGAGGACGCTTGGGAAGCCAGGACGGGTAGCCCTCCGAGCTGGACGACTTTCCCGGTGGGGATTGCGGGGGCGAAGAAGGCTGCTCTTCGGTGCTGGGGCGTTCCAGGTCGCCTGTGCTGTCTGGGGGCGAGCCAGAGCTGGACGGCGGGTGCGAAGATTTTGACGAAGGGTCCTCGGACGACGGCGTACTCGAGTCGTACTGTCGTGACATATTCGTAGATTAGGCACTAAAGGCATGCAACGCGAGCGTAGAGTAAGCAAGAGTAGGGTGGCAGAGCGCGAGTCGGCGGGACGATTAGATGGGTTTCCGACGTGCACGCGGGCGCAGCACGGCTGACGGAGGCTCGGAGGCAAGCTCGCTGTTCAGGGGCCTTGAACGCGAGAGCCTCGTGTAGATTGACAACGGGCAGCCTCGTGGGGGCGAGCAGGGCGAAGAAAACGCGCTCGACGATCCAAATCAACACTCACCCAATATAGCAGGCCTGTTAGCCGGTGGCGTCACCCGGCAACCTCCGCAATGGTTCCGCGAGCCTCGTGTTTCAGGGAACGGAAGTGAATAGAGAACTTGTCTGAACACGCGAAAGAGTGACTGCAAGGAGTGTGGACTGCGTGCTAACGAGCTTCGCAGAGATGGGGGCGTAGGGAGCGACTTCGAGTGGTGGTATGGGAGAGCAAAGCAAGATCTGACGCCTCCTTGTCCTCCCCCCGCATCTGCGCGCCGTCTGGGTTGCTATGTCGACATCCCTTCCCAAGAGCCTCCTACGTGCAGGCCAGTCTCGATCTTCGCTTATGTGCTGATTGACTTTTTGCAATGCTCGCAACACAGGCTCTCGGTGCGCGTAGCGCGTCCGAGGACTCGATCGCCCCGTTCCTGATCGACAGCGTTGTATGAATGAAAGCCTATGAAAGCACTGCAGTGCGGATTGGCGGTACCCCGTGCCAGGCCTATCTCAGCTGCATGGTGCCCTCCACGAGGTGAGCATGTGTACATTCTTCCGTTGCCTAGAAAACCTGCCGTGAGCAAGGATCTCCAGCTGTTGTCTTCGTCGATGGCGCGGAACAATGAACATACCTGGAAACGCATGCGCAGGCATTGTACCGGGTTCCTCTCTTGTTGGCCTCGTATCATGCATATGGATCTCGTCTCCTTGGTGCTCTTTGTCCCTGCATCCTCAAGGCGCTGGTCCGGGCCTTGGGAACAGCTGAGGTTGCTGCAAGCTACACGTCCTAACAGTACCAGCGTACCTTGGGCTACGAAGGCACCAGACGCCTCTTGGTCGACAGCTTCCTGTCGGCCATCACCTACGCTCTCGCAGGAGTCTCGATCCACCACCAAGGTGAGAACCCCTGTCGGCTGAGGTCGAGATCCGCACCTACTATCTTTGCAGCAGTGACCGACTTTTGCCCTGGATTAGTGCAAATATTCATTCTGTACTCATATACCTGACTGGGAGTCGATTCCTCCCAAGCTTGTTCTGAACGAGAGTGAGTGGCTAGTATGGGGGAGAGGAGGTAGTGCGGACGGATGGCGGCGCGCCGTCTTTATATACTCGTGAGCAGGTAGCAAGCCAGCTGTCGTCATTGACCCATCTCTGATATACCCTACGTCATGTCAGGACTTACATCTCAGAGAACTGCAAGTGACGGCGTTAGATCGCGAGCCGTCAGGTTCTCCCGCCACAATCCTGCCGAAAACGGTAAGTCGCTTGCCACTTTTGGCATGTATCGACAATACACAGTGGCATACGGTGCGCCCCTTGCAATTGAAATTTAAATATTCATACCGACTCATACAGTCGTGTTTCAGTGAGCAAATTATCACCGTTGCATGGATACCAACCTGCTTGCGGTGTTCATTCCGAGAAGTCTAGCAAGTGCGGCGATAATTATCACGGTTCGAGTCATAATCATCCTCTCAGACTTCCATAAAACTCGTTCAGGATTACAGTCGTCGCGTCTCAAATACTCAGACAAATTATATGATCTACTTATATGCCGGTTGGCGTCACCACACTGGCGCTGACAATACGGTACTCAATACGATCGACAGTGCCGGCGAAGTCTGAGGCGCACAAGCTTCAGCGGCTGCGTTCCTGAGGACGAAATAACGGCGAAGCCATAGATTATCCTCTGAGCTTTCCACTGATGCGATTTCATAAGGTTAGTTCCCTCCTTCAACATCGGAAGTTGCTCTAACCTACGGTCGGCTGAGACTAGAGCGCTATAGCGCTATATATAATGGGAGGCCCCGCAGCGTGGCTGTAGTGAGGCTCATATGGTCAGATCTAGACGTAACAAGAGGATAAACATACCCTGGCTGCGCACCAGTCGATCCTGTGCGGTCGCCAGTTATCCCGTCGGCAGAATACAACTTACAAACTGAGTGTACTTACTGTCCAGTGAGGCCTCGGAGCTCTGTGAGAGCCGCGCTCGTCGACCCTGAGAGTGACATGCTGTTCGACTAAGTCATATATTGTAGCCTTGCAGTGGGCGATGTTACTTACCTGGTAAGCCTATTGAGATTACGTGAATCGAGTGGATCCGAGCAGTGATGCTAGCCTCATTTCAGCGACTCGGAGCCTGAGGAAGAGTGGATGACTTACCATTCCACATCACAACGTACAACCGAAGCGAGATATGCTTCCTACGCCAACGGGTCATTATTTTGCGCGCATTACAAGCGTGTTCAAAGGTTATCGAAGTTGCATAGATGTCCTGGGTGTAGTTCAGACTGCCTTTGACACCTACTTACATAAGTAGAGCCTGAGGCTGACTCCCTGCCGGCGGACACCGTTACTATGTATGTGATTACGACTAGGATCATAGCGTAAGTACAGCTTTACCAATCAATCTGAGTCGTGGCGGGTCAATTACGCCTGCTGTAGCCATGGCCGAGGCGCACAAGATCTATTAGAACAAGTCCGACATCGTCGATACATTGTACAAACAGACTGAGAGTGGGCCCTGGGACTTGGTATGTAGCTTACGTAAGTTAGTTCAGTATGCACGGTACCAGAATAGGCGCCTGTAGACGGCGAGGTCTTACGTAATTGGGCGACCGGTCTCAGCTGCAACTCTGTGAGCGTCCCGGTCCTTCTAAGTCCTCCTGCTCCTCATATATCCTCCTGCTCCCCCTGCTCCTGCTCCTGCTTCTCCTGCCCCACCGTCTCAGTAAGGAGATAACCGCATGGTTCATCGTCCAGCGGACTCGCGCCTGCTCGCCAATCTCCTCTCTCACGAAAAGGACTACTCTAAACACCTGGCAACTCTACTTGAGCACTCCCAGCTGTCGCTAGCGTCGTTCTCTGCCTATGCCTCTGCCTCGTCACCGCCGCTCGCGCAGGCTATCATTACCGTAGCTGGCGCGCTTTCTGGCGCAGATGACGCGTTACGCAAATATGCAATGTCTGTCGAGAGCTGGCAGGCCCAGCTGAACGCGCTCAAGGGCCTCGAAGATGAGGTCGGGAATATCATGCGGGACCGGGAGATTCTGTGAGTTGTCTTCTCGGCAGTCTGCTTTCAATTCCCTCTTGCGACGTTCTGTATGGGATGATCTCGTTCGTCCTATGGCTATAGTCTCCATTCGCTTGTCCTTGCGCTCAGCTCGCCGTGCCGTGGACTGACCACTCTCCGCTTAGCGTAACACGTCTTATCAAGGCGTCCAAGTCTCAGAAGCCCAACCGCGACTCTGTCATCGGATCCACGCCCTCCCCATCTTCTTCCTCCTTGACCATCCGCCTCGAGGTTCCAGTGGGAGCCAAGCTCGGCGCAGCCCAAACGGAACTGCAAGCATGCGAAGCGCACTTAGCCAAAAAGGAGCGGGAGCTAGAGGAGATGCGCGTGAGGGCCATCACAGTCGGACTGCAGGCGCGCTGTAAAGCGATGGTAGAGTGCGGCTGGGTATGGGGCGAGATGGGCAAGGAGGGACTGCGCGCCCTCGACAGCGGAGACATGGCGGCCGCGAACGGAAACGGTATTGGTGAGTGCTCGCGCTCTTGGAGGAGGGTTTCGCACTTCCTTCTTCCTCCGTGAGCAGCCTCATGGGCGTGCTTGCTGCGTTAAAGTTATCTGTACAATGCATGTGTCTTACCGTCATCGCAGGAAGCTACCCATACCCGCGACCCTCCTCCAACTCCGATTCCGGCCACGCAGCATCTGACTTGTCCTCCCTAGCACCCTCCCAATCCGCATCGCAACTTCATAACGACGGGCCTTACCGAAGCCCATCTCCCCCTCCCAAACCGCTCCCGCACGTCCAGGCATACCGCCTGCAGATAGCGCCCGCACACTCGATCGACGAACACGCTGTACCGGATGGGCGACCGAAGGGCGCGCCCCGCGCGAGCTGGCGCATCTCCGAGGTCCCCGAGCCAGAGGAGGAGGAGGGTGGGGGGAGCAGTGCGGACGAGGAGGAGGCAGGCCTTGAGGTGCACGAGAACGAGCGATTTGCGAGAAGGAAGTCGAAAGGAAAAGACAAGGAACTCGAAGACAAACCGTTCTCAATCCGCCCGCCCGCTGCTGGGAACGCGAGCCTCCCGCCACCGAGCCCGTCCACTGAATCGGGGTCTATACTGGGCAAGAAGGAGCGCCATCGGAGCGGCTCTGGGGGTCTCTTCGGGCGGGCGTTCGACGCGCTGTTCCACAGGGATAACAAAGAGAAGGAGAGGGGCAGCTCGTTGAGCCCGAGCAAAACGAGCCCGAGCAAGACCGGCGGGTGGCGCACGCGTACGGACAGCAACCTCACGAAGGTACGGCGTGGCGGCAAGGGCGGGGACGAGAGCTCGGACGACGAAGAGCAGACGAGGCAGTTGTATTCAACGTGGTCTCCCAGCTCCGCGTCCGTACCGAAGACGGCGCCCGTGCTTGGCGCGTCGGCCTCCACGAGTACGGTGAATACGACAGCTACTAGCAAGGGATCTCCGGTGAACCAGAGGCTCAAGAAGGCGAAGCGGAGCTCAGTGCAGGCGCCGCCGCGTACGAAGGATAAGGAGGCTACGGAGAAAGGCTGGGTCAGCGACACGGCGGGCAGGAAGTCCAGCGTTAGCCGGGCAAGCTCGGTGAACAAGACGCCTCCACCGAAGGGCAAGGGCAAGGCGAATGGGGATGCCACTCCGGGGAGCGGTGCACGGCCGCACAGGGTTCCGGCCATTGCTGCGTTGGGGATGAACGGAGGATCAGTCTCAAGGAACTCGTCCTTGTCGAGGCAGTCGATCACGAGTGTGGCATCCGCCCCTGCAAGAATGCCTGTACGGAGTACGACCATACCTGTCGTCCCGCACTCGGCGTCTGCGACCTCTGCGCGATCGCGTGCGATGTCGTTACAACCTGCCGAACCTCAGTCTCCTGCACCCGCATCTACCTCGCAAGCTAGCGCGTCTTCAGCGGGGTATGTGAACGGCCATCGGAGGACGGCCTCGACGTCCTCTGCTATGCCCAACCACTCGGGACTAACAAGGAGCAATGACGGCCCGAGTCTGATGAGCATCGTTGAGGGCGTGGCAAGACATAATAAGGAAGCATGGTCTGCGCAAGATCCTAACAGGAAGCTGATCGACGTGAGGGCGCCGCCGCCGGTGAATGTTGACGCTGCGTTGGAGGAGGCGTCGAAGTCCGCCGACAAGTACCCTCAAGCAGGTTCATCAAACAGTGCGAGTTCGGGAGGACCTCTCAAAGACGTGCCGGCGAGGCAGTCCTCGCCCCTTTTGCACCACACGAAGATGCCTGCGTCGGCTTCCGCCCCGACCCTGCCCGTGTCCAGCTCCAGGCCTCTGATGAAGGTACCACTTCGCTCTGCTCTGCGCCATAGCAGTCGGACTCCTTCCCCGAATCCGCCCCCCGCTGTACGTGGTCCAGCGAGTGATAGCAGTCGAGATGTGTCTCCGTCGCGACCGATGGCAGTTACCCATGCCCCGGCCACCCCATCGAAACTGGCGGCGGTGGACAAGGATGACGACGAAACCTCGCTCTCGTCATACGCGACTGGGCGTGAGGACTTCGACGAAGACAGCACACCCGTGGCCGAACATAGCCCGGAGCTGTCTCTGTCACCCCCGCCCCCGCCTCCGCACGACTCAATAGGGAGCGACCTGTCAGGGAGCTCTACTACGACGGAGGGTGCCCCCGTCCGACGCAAGAGCGTACGGATGTCCCTTCCGCCAACATTCTCGGCGACGCCTCCTGCGGTAGACGATGACAGCGATGAGGAGGCGCGGAGTCGCCATGCCCCATGGGGACCATCGAGTCAGTGGTCTACGCGGATACAGCCTGGACACGATCGCGACGTGTGGCAGGACTCGAGCGAGGAAGATGAGGACTACAGCAGAGCGAGAAGGCTGCTGAGCCGAATGTCTAGGGGACGGACTTGATTATTGGGTGAAGATTCTGAGATTTGTACACATGGTCATGCTGGCTGCTCACTCGTGTCTTATTGCTACTCAACTATACTATACCTAATCGTTGGTACCTCCGGCCTTCTATCATTATTTACACATCTTCCCATACATCGGACACACGCTTGTTATCCTGTATGTTTTTCTTGACATGATATGTTACGTAATAAACGAGCGCTTCGCAGGCTAAGAACGCGACTGCAGTTGAGTGGCCGTCCAGCCACAATACTCTTCTTCCCGTACCACCATCACCGCTGCTCGCAGAACCAGCACCATGTCTGACGTAGAGCAGCCCACGAATCAGGAGGATATTCAGCCCAAGGCTGAGGACGCGAACGCGCCGATTAACATCAAGGTCAGCCCATGTTGCCCCGGACGCTGTTCCGCGGGTAGGGAACGATCAAGGGGCTTATTGTGGATCACTGTAGGTCACAACGCAGACGGGGGAGGAGGTGTTCTTCAAGATCAAACGGAACACGAAATTGAGCAAGCTCCAGGGCGCGTACGCCTCGAAAGTGGGCAAGGATGTCGGCAGCATTCGGTGAGTGGCACTGCTCCTTCCAGCCGCCTCTTGCCTTGTATGAGGAGCCGGTATTTCTGGAACAGCAATGCACGGTTCTATCATGATGGTTTGGGTCGAAGTTTCGGAGCCACAGAGCTGTTCGGAGTTAGAGCAGATAGGCTAATCGACTCTCAGATTTCTGTACGACGGCAACAGAATAAACGACGACGACACGCCGTCATCGCTGGACATGGAAGACAACGGTACGTGCCACGCATTCCCGGTCATCGCCCTCGTCTGACAGACCCTCCCCAGACACAATCGATGTAATGGTAGAACGTGAGTCCCGCCTCTGCGCCATGTCAGCCACACAGGCTATTCGAATGTCGACCGCTAACCCTTGGGTTCCGCATCTGTTGCAGAGGTCGGCGGCTCGGCGTGACATCGGGGTCGCCGTGGATCTGTTTGTTAATATGCTGTCTGTTCTGTAGTACCATACGTGTCCGGTCATCGCTCGTCTCTCGATTTGTGCATAACATTGTCAACTGTAGCCTTTTTCTTCTGCCCCTGTATGCTTGCTTGCCCGCAGCCCCACGTGTGACACGCCGCCGATGGCACTGATCAGTGCTCGAAGCAGCGAAGCGACTGCCAAAACTGCACTGAATCATAGGTGCGTCCAGTGGCTCTGCCTCCATGACAGTACCGCTCAAAATTGCTCATAGGTCAGGCACCAGTCTTGTCTGCGTGATGCTTGAGGCGATCCTAAGGCTGTCTGTTCGTCAATTCGCGATCGCGAACGTGAAGTTGGCTGCTCCCCGAGACGATAGTCTGGCAGCAACTCTACTATGTTCTGTACTGTGCGCAAGCCCGCGTATGCCGACACGCCCAACGACTTGCCGTCCGGTTTTGAACGGGTCCGGAGGTGCCGTCCCTCCTGTGTCAAGGTATCAATGCGGTAGCATGCAAGCAATTATAGACGTAGCAAGGAGGCCGCGACTCGAGGGCCAATGCCAACCTTGCAGAGCACACGACGCACTATTGAAAAGGCACCGATACGATCCTTCAGCAACGTATCTTACATTTCGTCTATCTTCACGTAGTCTGCCAGCTCAGGATGCAATACTGAGCTGAATACAGGTCACTCTGTCTTCCTCGGTAGCGCCTCCCAATCCCTCCTCAGCCCCATGCGCTCGATGATCTTCGCAGGCATGCAGTAGACAGGGTCGAGATCTGCCAGGCCGGGGTAGCCTAGCAGCGACAGACCTAGCGCGGATGAGATCAGGACAACGCAGACGGTATAGTGTTGGCGTGCACACACCTGCTACACCGAAGTGCGTGTGGAAAACGTCGGGCTGGTCGCCTGGCCTGTCGGCGATGCCACCGTGCTCAGTTTCCTGCAAGAGCGACGTTAGTTGTCTGAGTTGTGGGAGGATGGTCAGGGAGACATGCCTGCGCTGAAAGGATGAAGCCTATGAGCTTGTCTGCATCGACCCATCTAATCTTCTTAAGGATCGACATCGACGAGAGGACCCAGAAGCTGTAGCAGACCTGCGGGACACAATGAACTCAGGGTATAGGCACAAGAGATAGGAGACTGACGTCCTCGAGCTTCTCTGGCCGCCCGTTCAGCCCACCATTAGGCAGCTGTCGCTCCGCGAGCCACCAGCCGAGCGTCTCCTGGTCGATCTCGTCGAGCCTGTCAAGGATCGCCAGCGCCGCCGTGCACACGAACACTACCACACCTCGTTATCCTCTGTCTCCCCGCAACCGAGGCAACGACGTACCCATCGCTGCATGGCTCTCTGCGCCTGCGACGGCCCCGAACCCGCCGTCGAAGTTCCTGCACTGGCGGAGGTACCCAACGGTCTTCTCGACGTCGAGCTCGTGCAGCCGGCCGAGGAGCGAGAGCGCGTTGACGGCGCAGTAGAGGAAGCGCGTGTCGACCTCGCCCCACTGGTCACCCGCGAACACGCCAGAGGGCTGCTGGAGCGAGAGTATGACTTTGGTTCGGGGAGGTCGTCAGCGGGACGTCCACGGTCTCACACCAAGGCGGCGCACGCACACTTGACTACGCGGTCGACGTCCACCCTGTCCAGCGCATCCTGCATGATGAGGATCTGGATCGCGCTGAGCGTCGCGTGCAGGTGCGCGTCGTGGTCCGGGTGCGCGCCGAACGCGCCTGCGGGGGCGGGGCGGGTCAGCCAGGACGGGCGGCGCGCGGCGGGAGACCTGACCTGCCTCGTCGTCCCAGCAGCTCACGACGAAGTCGATCATCTCGGTGCGGCTGAGCGCGTCCTTGTGCTGCATGATGTTGAGCGCGGTGAGCCCCCAGTAGATGGCGTTCATCCGCAGGTGCGCGGTGAGGTGGTAGAGCAGGTCATCTTTACTCTGTGCGAGGGTTAAGATGGTGTGCGTGGAGGGCGTGGAGAGGGAGCATACCTCACCGAGGGACTGTATGTACTGTACATGGAGGGGGATGAGCAGCTTGGAGGTTGAGCTGGACATCGCGTTGGCTGCCAATTACCGCAGGCGATGTACAGGTTGTGTACAGTCCTTCCCAGTCTGATCTCGAGATTCGGGGCGAGAGTGCGTTGTGGGCTGTACAGGACAGCTGGCAGCTGCAATGTAGCTTAGACTAGTACGTTCAAGGTGTGGTGCCAAATGGGAGACGCAGAACAAGCAGAGGAGGCACATTCAAATATTCAAGGCGCGCCGAGTGCGCCTCCATGAGAGTCATGCGCCGCAGTCCCCCTCCATGCAATATGTCTAAGGGGTGTGCATCGAAGGCTGCAGACATGCAGAACCTTCAGACTTCAAAGGTGTACATGTACGATGGACCCAGTAGAACTACATAATGACGATGGTCATTCTTGGTAGGATAAACTAATAGCTACAGCAAGATCGAATGCGGGTGAAATCCTCCGGAGCATACAGCATTACGTCCAACATATAGGTGTTTAGAATCACCGTCCGCGAGCAGTCGTGACGGCTGGCGAATGTTGCGCGAGCTGCCTATGCCGCGGCAGCGATCGCACGGGGCTGCTCATCGGCGATGGTAAGACGGTCGAGAGCATCCTCGAACTCATCATCATCGCTTTCCTCATCCTCCTCCCCAGAAGACTCCTCAGCCGCGCCCTCGTCGGAGTCGTCAGGCTCATCCTCGTAATCGAGCTGGGTCAATCGGTCAGTCTCCAAAAACATGGTACTAGCGGAAAGCGTACGCACGGGATCGTATATGACTCGTATCACCAAGCTGCAGCTCGGACATGTCGCGATGTCCTCGTAGTTAGCCAGCTGCTTGCGGGAGATCTCGAAGCGATCGCCGCAGGGACAAGGATAGTGGTATACCCGCTTCTCCTCGTCCCATACCATGTCCTCAATCTCCACCTCGTCGTAGTATGCACCCATCGTAAGGACTGTAGGAGCCCGGAGGCGCTGAGGGCTGACGAGGCGTAGAACCGCAGAGGGTGGACGGTGGAGATGAAAGTCGACGACCAAGTCAGAGTCAGACTTCGGAACATCGCAAATGGTCGAATCATGTGCCCGAGCGATCGAGCTCCCGGAAAGGCAATTGATTTGTTTGGCAAAGCCCTCCGATCCAAACAACCACCCGGCTTCAGCCACTTCCAGACCCAGTGGGCTTCCATCTCCAAGCCAGCGCATACAGGGGCAGCTTCTACGCTCTGCAGCAACTATCACTTGGTCGCACCTTCTACAGAACTCGCGTCAGACTTTCCTGGATGCGCAGTGCCTACAGGAGCCTGGTGCGAAGAAGTAACTTCAGCACAAGACACTTTGCTTCACTTGCCGAAGGACAGTCGGCGTACGATGGTGAGAGCAATCCTGATACTCGCGGACAACGTGCTGACACATATCCTTAGTCTGTGTCATAGGCGGAGGACATGCGGGTTGCGAGGCCGCAGCCGGCGCAGCGCGGGCAGGCGCACGAACGGTGCTCTTAACCCAGAAATTGGACAACATCGGCGAGCTCTCGTGCAACCCGTCTTTCGGAGGGGTTGGGAAGGGAACCTTGGTCAGGGAGGTGGATGCGCTTGATGGAGTCTGTGCGCGCGTTGCGGGTGAGTTGTGCTAGGTCACTGCGGCGGACCGGGCTCATGGATGTCGACCAGACAAGGCTGGCGTTAACTTCCGCATCCTGAACCGCTCGAAGGGGCCTGCCGCATGGGTACGCGAGGTTTAATTTCCGTATGCTTATATGTTGACGAAGCTGTCACTCAGGGACCCCGAACCCAGCTCGACCGGAAGCTGTACAAGAAACACATGCAGGAAGCCTTGCATGGGTACCGCAACCTCGACATCCGCGCGGCGAGCGTCTTCGACCTTGTCATCAACCAGTCGCCGGAGGGCCCCTCTGGGAGCTGGGGCAAGATAGAAGGCGTCAAACTAGGTGCGCATGCTCTCCATCTCGAGCGTACACTCGTACTTACGTCTCGCGCAGACTCCGGGGAGATCATCAAGTGCTCGCAAGTCGTTATATGCACCGGGACGTTCCTTTCCGGAGAGATACACATAGGTACGTGTTCCACTGCGTTACCTGTGCATGCATTTGACAGCACGCCAGGCTTGAAGCGTTTCCCTGCGGGCCGCATCAACGAGGCGCCCTCCGTTGGGCTCTCCGGCTCCCTAAGGAGCGCAGGTTTCGAGCTGGGCCGGCTGCAGACTGGCACCCCTGCACGGTTGCTTAAAGACAGCATTGACTACTCAGAGATGGAGGTCCAAAAAGGCGACGCCGTCCCACACCCGTTTAGCTTCATGAACGCTACCGTGGACCATGCTGTGAGTATCTGATGTGCGGAGCATGCGGCTGGTTGCTCATGGATGATTTGTGTGAGTAGAACGACCAGATAGATTGCTATCTGACATGGACCTGCGCTGCGACGCACCAGGTCGTTCGGGATAACGCGCATCTCAGTTGCCATATCCAGGAGACCAAGAAAGGTTTGCGCTTTGACTAGCATCTTCTACTTCGCGCTGACAGATTGGTCGTAGGTCCACGTTATTGCCCTTCGTTGGAGGCCAAGGTCCTGCGCTTCCCTGAAAAGCAGGGCCATCGAGTCTGGCTCGAACCAGAGGGGTACGATTCAGGTGCGCTAAATCGTGTACATGCGAAGACTATTACTCATCTTCCACTCAATCGCAGAGCTCGTCTACCCTAGCGGACTTTCGTGTAGTTTGCCAGAGGACGTCCAGGAGGTTCTCTATCGCACAATGCCTGGCCTCGAGAACGCCAAGATTGTGCGGCCTGCGTATGGCGTTGAGTACGACTACGTTGACCCGAGGGAGCTCAGATGTAGGTATCGTCTCACCCTCTTTCAGATCACTCCTGATTCAATGATGTATGTAGCTACACTGGAGACAAAGCGAATCAAGGTTTGACTGGACTCGTACTTTAGCTCTTCCCGCTAACCGTACTGCAGGGCCTGTTCCTTGCCGGTCAGATCAACGGTTCGTCGAACACTCCACCTCGCCTCACTGCTTCGCTGACGCCGAGTTTAGGGACCACAGGGTACGAAGAAGCCGCAGCCCAAGGTGTGCTAGCTGGCATCAACGCAGGACTTGCCGCCGTCAATCGCGCACCACTCATCCTGTCCCGCGCCGATAGTTACATCGGCGTCATGGTCGACGACCTCATCGTCAAGGGCGCAGAAGAGCCCTGTGAGCCGCCATCCGCATCTCTATTGCATGCTGCAACTGACATGCATACTTGAGATCGCATGTTCACATCGAGGTCGGAGTACCGCATGACGATCAGGAGTGACAACGCAGATTTGCGTCTGACCGGAAAGGGTATGCGCGCTCTTCGCTTCTCTGTGCATATGTTCACAGGTGCATGCGATAGGTCGCGAGGCAGGCGTCGTCTCGGACGAGCGCTGGCTGCGTTTTGGACAGACCAACGCTGAAGTCGAGCGTGTCACCAAGCTGCTGCAATCATTCTCGCTCACCCCGCACGTAAGCCCGTCTTTCCCTCCATCCGGTCTTGTGTCTTAAAGAGTTTCCAGAAATGGCAGGAATCGGGGATCAGGGTGAGGCAGGACGGTCATTGGAGGAGGTCCGTGTGCTCCCCTGTAGACCCTCGACTCACCCTCATCCTGCCTGACCTATAGCGCCTCTGACCTGCTCAACTACCCGGGCTTCAACATCAGAGAGCTTTTCCCGGTAATCCCAGAACTTGCGTCCGTCGAGCTGCAAGTCCTCGAGCAGATCAATAACGAGGGTGAGTAAGCGTGATTGACATTGGTGCCTAAGGCTCATGCCGGCTCTGTAGCGGCATATAGGTCCTTCATACTAAGACAAGAGGCCGACGTGCGCGCGTTCATGGAAGACGAGTCGCTGGTGTTCGATCCTGACCTTGACTATTCGGCAATGAAGGGGCTGAGCCTCGAAGTGAAGGAGCGCTTGTGTCGCGTCAAGCCGACAAGCCTCGTAAGTGATCCGCATTCGCGTTCACAAGCTGTCTTGGTGCTCATGCTGTGATCTTTGCGCTACGCGCTAGGGTGTTGCCAAGCGTATGGAGGGAATGACGCCGGCTGCCCTGGTTTTACTGTTAGGGTACGCGAAGCGTATCCAAGGCCGGGCGCGCAATGCAGCTGAGCTGGGTTCTGTGGCAGAGGTATAATCACCCAGAGCTTCAAAGTTACATGTACTCATGCGCGTATATATTGTGATCTAATCTGATGATACTCGAGGATGTGCTAATGGTCGTCATGCAGTGCAGTCTGCTCCGCACGAATACTCTGTACTACGACAGATCTGTATTGGCTGTCAGAGTTCAAACATGCCAAAGAACCCGAAAATTCCAAACCGGAGCCATACAGGCAATTCGTGCTTGCATTAGTTGTCGATTGCGACGTACATATGTACAGTAGCGACTATACATGAGCATCTACTCCTACAGCTGCGTGTCACATCTAGTATGTTTAGGCGAACCTTGCGCCATGTTGTCGTTACATGTAGTAGTACAGACCTTGCTTCGCCTTGGAGCGGCTTACCGTACGGAAACCCCTTTGTACAATGCAGTTCAGAAAGCCAGGCGACTGTTGAGTCGAAGCACCAGCGAGGCGATTTTGCGCTGTGAAGAGTCTGGGCTGAACTCAATCGAACTCCGCATCCTTGATGTCCTTGCCCAGCACTAGTGTCGTCGGGGGGCTCTCCTTGTTAATTTCCTCTCTCCAGTTCCGGTTGTACGGTGTCTGTTCGAATCGCAGGGCCATAATCGTGTCTGCAATGTGCTGCGTGAGTACATGCATCTAACGGAGGTGTCAAAGTGAATCGAATGCAGACCACGATCGAGCCACGCAGTGACACCTTCACCGAACCGCAGGATGACGAAGGAGACCAAGGGAATCCCGACCTGAGGCTGGTCCCGCAGCAGGCCCTCACAGTACTCGCGGCCCTCGCCGCGGTTAAGCTGCAGGGTACGCTCGATCTCGGAGTACGCGTCCGCCATGCGGACTACGGCGCACTTGACGATCTTGAACTTGTCCTTCGCGAGCGGCCCCGCGTTGGGTGCGTACACGGACTGCTCGACGATGAGGTGCGTGCGCGCGCGGTCGGGGTTCTCGTGCAGCCGCAGCGCGTTGACGTACGGCCATTGGTCGACAGCGTCTCGCCAGGCGTTCCAGTCTTTCTCTCGTTGGGCGGCGGATGAGTTCGTCAGGGAGAGGAGCTCGATTTTCTTGTTCAGGTCCGCGATATCTCTGGTGAAGGGCCCTCAGTTGCGTTCGAGGGCTAAGCTACTTTGTCCTCACTTGCAAGCATCTCTGTTGGTCGATGAGATGACGTTGAGAGACTATGTGCATCATCTAAGCAGGATACTTACTTGTGCAACGGCCAGTCCTTCTTCTGGCACTCTCGAGAGCTAGAACGTGTTCAGCTTCCGATCAGGTCATATATGCAGTCAATGATCGCACCAATAGTAGATCTTCTTGCACTTTGAGCATACGAAGAGCTTCACCATCGGTTCCCGAGAGAAGCACTGCCTACATTGCATAACGAGGCGGTGGTCGGTTTTGTCTGTGTGCTCACGGCCTTCCAGCCAAGAGGGTCCGCCGAGGGCCTCCAGGATCGGGCTGACGGGCTCGTCAACAGGCATTAGGAGCTCCCGAAGGATCGTCTCAGGCAAGAGGTGCGGGTTCTTCTTGAACCACTTGACGAGCCACTTCTCCCTGCGCGACTTGTGAGGCCTACACTACGGAACTAATGACTTCCGAGGACTCACTGTTTCTTCGCGGCACCCGGCTTTCCGCGTCGTCGTTGAACGCGAGACAAGAAGATCTTTGCTTTCACAAGTCCGAGCAACCCGTCGGCATTGGACGCAGGCGAGTCGGCGAGCCGCTCGAGCAGTGTCTCTGCCGTCACATCATCCTCGCCGCCGCGTGCCAGAGCTTCTGCGAAGACTAACAAGAGATCGCTGATCCATGCGCATGTCGGCATCTCCAATCAGGTTTGGAGGGAGCTCGATGCTTACCGCTGTGTCCTGAGGATTTGACCGCCCGAATTATTCGAGCAAACATATTCGATGATCTCTTGGATAAATTTGGCGGCGTCCCCGGGTCGGTTGAGTTCCGGTTTCCTGCGCAGGGCATGTCAAAAGCTAAGCCAATCAATAGGAGGAGTGGCTCACAGTAGAAGCATCGTGAGTTTGGCTTTCGCTTGTAGACGCTGAGGCACATGAATATTGATGCTGAGCGAGGCTTTCAGGCAGAATCGGTAGACACACCATAAACAGTCTCCCATTGTTTGTCAACCGGCTTTGTGTGACAGCCCGCCCGCCATTGCTGTTGGACGAACTGTCCTCTGCTCGGACTATATGCCCGAATGCGACGAGCTGCGCGTCCGTGCATTCAGTCAGAACGTCGACAAATTGCTCTAACGCCCAGACAACTGATTCGAGGATGTCGTTGGGAACTAATGGGCAAATTCGTCGGAATTGGTGCTATACTAAGGAAGCGATTGAATCATACCGTCATCAAGGTGGATGAGGAAGCTGTATTTGAAAAGCTTGTGTAGCTCGGCGTTGAACACGAGCGATCGCGGAATCGGGTCGCGTACAATCTCCCCAGTCCGCGAATTTTGCAGGAAAATGACGTCGTCCGCGGGTGTCATTGACACGCTCTCTTCGAGACCGGGCACTTGTGTGTCGTGTTGTCACAACGCGTAAAACATACGCAACACGATCATGCTGCTTACCTCTCGCGATGTCCTCTCTGACCAGGGCTAGGTCCGGCAACTGACCGCGCGTAACGCGCGACTCTTGATTGTCTGTCAATCCCAGAATGAACTGGATCCGCTGCTGGCGCGGAGTGGATGAGGAGCTCATTTTCGGAATAAGAATGCGCTTGGTTGCAAGGGATATCAGGGCAGGGGTCGTAGACACAGGCAAGAGCGGCGGCCGAAGCGCGCAGCAGTTTGCAACAAGCGCTCGATCACGGGACGTTCATGGCACTACAGAATTACCTTATCGGGCATGATGGTGGCTTCTTCCTCAGGTGTTCAGTATCGTTTCCCGGCTCAAAATGGTCAACCTGTACTTCTCGCTTCTTTTGCAGTCTTATGCATATGACACGGCTGTCTGTGGCGAGAGAATGTGGCCTGAGGTACAGATCAAGCACCATCACGGTAGGGGGACCCTTGGCGTAGTACTTAATCACTACACTGGCATGCAGATGCGACTCTCCTGACTCCGCGACGCGAAGGCCAACCTACATATAGCGGCTGTTGCTGGCAAGATAGTACCAGGTTAATACTGGTTGGATTTTCGATCATGCTTTTCTCGCAATTACAGGAAATGAAAGGGACCTGGACTACACGCGTCAGTACTACTTACACATCATACGACACATCCACGATTGACCTTCTACGCTGTGGAGAACACTAATCCAAAGGTCAACTATCCAGCGGTACTCCAAGATAGGTAGATCCGCGCGACGCCTTGTTAGGCTTGCACCTCCCCTTGTGGTGTCTCCAATCATCCATCTGACACTTCCTCGGGGGCGCACAGTACGTCACGCACTTGCACCGCGAACACAAAAGCAGCGCCTTGCCCGAGCCTTCCTCCTTCACCCTGGCGCAAAACGCACAGGCCTTCATGCCCAGTGCCTTCCTCCGCTCGTCCTCCTGCAGCACGACGTCCCACATCGGCAACTGCGCAAGGGCACGCATCACCCCAGTCACTTGCACCATCTGCTGATGCGCGGTGGCCATGACCCAGCGCGCGGACACGCCGTCAGTGTTCATCACGTCCACGTTCCCGCCATGCGCGAAGAACCACGCGAGCGCGTCGCGCGCGCGCTGCTTCCCGTCCGCCCCGTAGTCGCGCAGCATCGCGATCTCCGCCGCGGTCGTGTCCCCATAGCGGTTGCGCGCGTTCACGTCGCCGCCCGCGTCGACGAGGATCTGCGCGTACTCGGGGTCGAACGCGGGCTTTGTCGAGATCGCGTGGTAGAGCCCCGTCGCGCCCGAGAGGTCGCGCCCGTCGACGGGCATCTTCATCTCGTTGATGAGGAACCGCGCGACCGCGAGCTGTTGCGGGCGCATCGCGGGCACGAGGAGCGTGCTCAGCAGGATGAGGTTGAAGATCGGGACCTGCGTCGGGCCCCAGCGCATCTCGTAGATATCGCGGACCACCGCGGCGCGCGGGTCGGGCGTGCTCCGCTGCGCGTGCTTGTGCATGCGCGCGAGGATGTCGGCTTGCACGACTTCGAGCCGGCCGAAGAGGACGGCGGAGCCGAAGTCATCCGTGAGGTCTCGTAGTGGGATCATTTTGTTGGAACTGAACCACCGCCGTAAACGGGCTGCTTCAACACCCTTGAGAGGGTCATCACTGTGTCGAAGCGATAACTCAGAATGTTCAGAAGTGATTTACAGCGAGGATGCGCACCTTTTGATCAATTCCTCTACGGTTCTGTTGCAGCGATCGAGCGAGACGTTAGGCACAACTTGCGCGACGTTAGACGGCGAGAAAGCGACGTACCTCCCTTCTCCAGCATTCAGCTGGCGCTCGATCTCGAGTGCTCTCGCTATACCCTGTGGATCCATAGTTCGCGCCCACCCCACAGCCTCACAACGACGAATGAAACTAAAGGTCGAACTGAGAACAGACGGGTCCTGATGACCTGGGATAATCCCGCTTCGGCTATCAGTGTTTCGTTGTCCTGCCAGTAACCACGAGGCTACCGACCGCTCGGCAGCGGTATGCCGAGGTGGGTAGCTTGGACAGTACTATGAACGAGAGCTCCAGAGGTCTATCAGAAGAACATCGCCCTAAGGCCTTACAACATGTCTGCTGCGTTCGGTCGAGACATTTGACAGTCGCAAAAGGCCTTCAACGAGGGTATGGCCTTACACACGTACACGTTGCACGCGAAGGCACGCATGACACGACAGAAGCAGCGTATTCGGTCCTACCTTGTCCGCTATGAGCGGCGCCCCTGGGTTATTCCTTCCGAAGCAATCCTCCCATACACAAGGAACTAGAATACACAAACAAAGGAAGCACACACATATCATCATTGCCCTTTCAACACACTCTCGATACGCGCAGCCTGTCTCTGGTGACGGAGCTCGTTGAGGACCGGGAGGCCCCAGATCAGTGTACCGAGCACGTAGCCCACCTAACGCTCATACATCAGCCCACACTTCACAGTAAAGGACAAGGCGAGCGACTCACCCCCGTTGTGAACGGCATGCGGTGTCTCCGCGCCATGTACAGCGCGTACAGGGCTTCAAGGGGGTGAACGATGACAACGATCCACCAAGACGCCGTGACTGCCCAGACGGGCAGGTTCGTACGGGCATAGTGCGCCGGGAGATAAGCAGGGGCGAAGTTGGGCGATTGAGGCTCTGGGGAGAAAGTCACGTAGAGGAGGAACGCGAGCAGGACATTCGTCGTCCAGATACCGAAGGGAAGACGGAAGGTGGTAATCTGCGGGGCGCGGGCCTGCCATGACAGTCGTATCAGGACGTGGTGTGAGGGGAACTTGCAGACGCACCATGCCCAGAGCCTCCTCCGCGTCGACCTTCATGCTGATGAGGCGAGGCTTGACTTCCTCGTAACCTAGCAAAGGCGGGTCGAACAGCACACGCACTTCCTTCTCCGGGCCTCCAGCCTTCGTCTTGTACGCTAGTGTCATCCCCTGCGGCCAGCGTGAATCAGTGTCTCACACCGGCTCTGAGCATAGGACACTCTCACACCTTGGTATCAATGGAGATCATCTTCGCACTCGAGACATCCTCCGCGACCTTGCCCCAGTGCTTGACATACCCGACGAGCGTGTCTGGGTGGTTCGACATGTACATGCACAAGAAGCCAGACTTCGAGGCGACCGGGTCAGCCATATTGTGACGATGTACAACAAACAAGGTAGGTTCAACAGGTATCTTTTGAGGCTGAGGTAGTGTTTGACGTGGAGGCCCAGCGCGAATCGACGAGTCGTTGGTTTATGAGCTGGAGTGTTGTTGCGACCGCCGACCGTTGCGACGATGGGCGCTTGCACTGTCCGACATTCTCGGCGTCGTTGACAGGCTTGGATGACACGCCTTGACACGCCCGGCCCAGCCGACTCTCGAGCCGCGGCGATCGGCGTATCACGCGCCGGCAACTTCCGAACTGTGGCTAAATGGATATCTCCTCCTCCCAAAGGCGACCGAATACAACTCGAGGTGCAGTACTTGTACAGTTCTGATCTACGACGTACACAAGCTGTATGCATGCCTCATACTCCACAGTTTCTTTTCGTACTCCCCTGGTAGCAACGTGGAGTCAATGCTTGCACACTGCCAGTGTGGCTGAAATGCGGATGTAAATTTGCCGATCCACTTCGGCGGGAGCGATCGGTGCCACCCAATCCGCCGTCGCAGCTCTCCTTTTTTGCTTGTTAACCACCACCCCTCCCCTCATCAAGTGCCGTATCTCTGTGGAACGACAACTGCGCAAGATGGCTGGGAACGTGCCCGCAAATGAATTTCAAGCAAGGCTGAATGCACTGTCCGGCCGAATGGCTGGTGCAGATGAAGGACGGACAGTGTGGTCGAATGCTAGAGACAACGAAGTGCTAATTCCCTTTCTACAGACCTTTGGAGGAACTCCTGCAAACGTAGGTCTACAATACATCATCTCTGTACCATTCCGTTCATCTGATTGATACTTGGCAGTGATGGTCCTCTTCGCGGCTTTGAGTCTCAGAGGCTGAGGTCCTACTTCACTTCACACGGTTTGGTCCCTGTCAGAGACCTGGACCTCTATGGCATGGCCGTCTTCAGCGGGAACCGCATAGACGTGAAGACCGATTTCGAAAACCGACTAGCTCGCTTCCGCGCTTCAGCACGCTCCGAAGAGGAAGCACGCAAGGCCGCCGCCCACGAGATCTACGAGCTCTCTTGGGGCCCGACGCGCGTTCCCGTGTACGATCTCATCTTCCTCGCGATCCTCGTAACCCCCGAGCAGCGCCAGGGACTGCTCGACGTCGCGCGCTACCTCATCGCCGAGGCGAAGGTGCCCGTCGACGGCGCCGACCTGTCGGGCGCGCAGGCCATCTACCACTGCGTCTCGACGAAGCCCGTGTTCGACCCGGAGCTCGCGCAGATCCTGTACGACGCGGGCGGGGACGTGAACGCGCGGAACCGCTATGGCGGCACGTCCGCGCACGAGATCGTGCTCGTGTACGACCTGCACAACCGCGAGACGATGCAGCGCTCTGCGGACGCGCTCAAGTGGTTCCTCGACCACGGCGGGAACCTGGACATCAAGGACAACGACGGCGCCACGGCGCGCAGCTGTATCGTGTCCATGCGCGAGAAGATGCGGACCGCGCGGAGGAGCCTCCGCCTCCCGATGTGGGACGTCCTCGACCGCGAGGACCAGCGGAGAGCCAGGTTGGCGGAGAGTATATGCAGTTTCTGTGGACGCGATGACGCGAAGCTTCTGAAATGTTCGCAGTGCATGAAGGCGCGGTATTGCACACCGCCGCGGACATGTCAGAAGTCAGACTGGCCAAAACACAAAACTCCTTGTAAAGCTGCATCCAGGACGCAGGCTCAACCGGCGACGCAGGCAACCTACCTCGGTGTGCCACTCTTTTAGAACGGAGTCGACCGGGTCCGCGTAGCAACATCACAACTATCTAATTCCATATCGTTCGAGTAATGCTACATCCTATCGTCTTACCAGTTACCAGCAATCGTTTGATAGCTACGTACGAACCGTTTGACTTAGAATACAGTTGTGGCAGTAGCACACGAGTAATATTGTCATAAGGCTGTTGAGAGTGCTATCCTTCCAATCACTCGAGGTGCGAGATGTGACTAAGACAAGCGAAAGAGACGGTACGGACCCTTCGAGGACGTGTTCCAGTCGCAAGCATAGCCTTCGACAGTGACTGGACCGTTCAGACAAACATCTTTTGACCCATGTCCCTGTCACGGCATTGTCCCGACGGCACATAAGCAAGATTAGTAACCAAAGCAATATATCCAAGCTAATCTCGTCAAAGCTTAAAGCTGAAGCAGAGAAACGCCGTTAAGTGTGGTCTCCTGCCGACTCGGAGGCCTGAAGCTGAAGATCTACTTTATTCCGGGCCAAGATCCCGGTCCCCTTAGCACTCGACGAGCTTTCCTCACTACACTCGAATGGCGCCGGCTGCGGGCCTTGCGGTGGCTTACGACTGGCGAAAGACTAGAGTTAGTATGTCATTCAGTCGTTTGCTATCAGGCTAGTCTCGATCCACCAGCCATCAGTTGGCGTCACTTGGGCTGCACAATACATTTAGTGTGGCATTCGGTCGACAGACACGGACGCAAAGCGCCTTACATACACGCAGACCCCCGATAGATTACAGCTTACGATTCCCGCCAACTACTACCTACAATGTGGCACCCAAAGACTACGATTACCCCTACTAGACAGGACTGACGGAAGTTAACATCAGTGGCACATTGTAATGCCCACTATTGTATGCACCGGCAGTCGCCACGTCTTAGCACATGTGTTTGCTTGTTGCGGTCTATAAATGCAGATTTCATCATCATCATCATCATCATCATAGAGGTGTGGCGTTCCTGACACGTCCGGTGGTTGACTGTCAATCCGTATGCGAACCTTGTGCGAACTTGATGCGAATCTCGCCTGTCGGGCGTCTCCTAACCTATACATAACACTGGTGCACCGTGTCCCAGCATGTCCCCAGTCGTCTCCCTTGCTGAAGCCCAAATGTCATCTCTCCTACGCGCTGCTCGCCGCCTCGTACAAAAGCCTCTACTTCCTCGATCATTCCCTACGAGCAGTTTCGAGGTTATTGCCAACTCTCGCTTGGTCGAAGAGGAGACCTGGGAATGGTATAGCCCTGACGAATTCTGTCCGGTGCGAATAGGTGAAGTCTTCAAGTCCCAATACCAGGTTGTCGGAAAATTAGGATATGGAGCATTCGCTACGGTATGGCTGTGCCGGGATCTCGTGTATGTCTCGGACCAGCAATGTTGATTCCTCACTCAACCTCGTCAGGGAGCACCGGCATGTAGCTCTCAAGATCGGCGCTTGCCATGCGCTTTCAGGCGAGCTGTCGGTCTCGAAATATCTGAAAACAATCAGAACAAGTCATGCAGGCTCCATTCTCGTTCGCCAGACGCTGGATGAGTTCGAAATCACTCGCCAAGCCCAGAAGTATCAAGCTATCGTCTACTCGCCACTGGCAATTACCTTACGTGGATTTCGGAAGATGTTCCGCGATCAAGCTCTTTCAGTTCAGCTTCTGAGGTTGGTTCTCAAACACATCTTCATCGCGCTCGACTTCCTGCATACTGAGGCTCGCGTGATACACACCGGTGAGCCGTCATTTCGCTTGATCCCTGGAATTTATTCACGCCAGGTGCATTTCCTGATTGGCGTAGATATACAGGAGAAGAACATCTTGCTCGGCTTGGATGACAACACAGCCGAAGATGACTTGAACAAGTTCGAGCAGCAAGAGTTCGAGTCCCCTAGTCCACGGAAGATAGACGGCGACCGCGTCATCTACACGTCCCGGCCACTCGTTCCTCGCATATACAATTATGGACGACCAGTACTCTGCGACCTCGGCGAGGCGCGCTTTGGAGAGTACAATCGGATGGCCGATATCCAGCCGTATCAGTATCGCGCCCCTGAAGTCATCCTCGACATACCTTGGGACCACAAAGCGGACATCTGGAACGTCGGAGTCTTGGTGAGCTATTCTCTTCGCAGGACCCGAGAGCGCTCGCTCACTGCCAGTGTGCCGCAGATCTGGGACTTGTTCCAGAACGGCAATCTGTTCAAGACAACGGGTGGGCCTGAGAACAAACAGGACAATATCTACCACCTCGCCCATATGATCGCGCTGCTTGGCCCCCCACCGAAAGACTTCCTCGAGCGGACTCAGACGGAACGTCCGTGGGGATGGTTTGACAAAGACGGTGTGTATCATTCGCACCTGCAATTCATACGTAGCTCAACACTTGCGCAGGCAACTGGAAGGCTGCCGCGGACATCCCGAACACGAATCTCGAGGATGCCGAGAAGAAGCTGACAGGGGAGGATAAGGTGCTGTTCCTCCGGTTTGTTCGGAAGATGCTGAAGTGGAAGCCTGAGGAGAGGGCGAGTGCGAAAGAACTGCTGGATGATCCGTGGCTTAACGCAGTACAAAGTACGTAGCAGCTTCAAGTGTTGTGGGTACAGTAGGATTGGCGAAAGCGAAAGGTCAAGCAGCGAAGCGAGAACGAGGGACGGCGAGTCTCAGTGAAGCAGAATGCAAACAGCAATACCGATGCGATGCGATGCGAGCCCATTCGTATATGACCCCGCTGTGGACAGTCAGACGTGAGGGGCACTGCTAACGCTATCTGCAGAGCCTCTACCACGCGCATTGGTCCCAGCCGCGCCAACTTCAGCATCCCCTTTACTCTCTGCTCGTTTGCGTTTATCCTTGTGAGCCGATGCCTCATTTCAGCGAGAAGTGACGACGTGGGCGTTGGTGGACACACATCTCCAGATACGGAAGGTTCCGTGGCTACTACCCAACGCGCCGGTTGTTTTTGCTGCAGTCACCGCATCGTGTCGCGTTGGTTTGCTGGGCAGAGAGATTAGAGTTCTTCTCTGAGATCGCAACAAGTGAACGAGAATGTAACTCGCCCGGGCGTTTCTCGATCAGTTACGTTTACGTTCAGCCTCGGTCAGGCGGCAGTGATGCCATGGCTATGCTCAGTGCTGCCACCGTCCGGGTGACGGTGGCGCGCACGCCGCCTCTTTGCTTCTCTGCTTCATGACGTTGACACACGATTTAAGATTGTATTCAGCAGCGTGTGGTACAAGCTTAGCCAGTTGAGTCTGAGGAGAGATGAGAGAGCTAAGGCTACTAAGTTAGGAGCGTGGCCTTCGTCCGAATTGGCGAGTCTGCTGGCTTCGCGTCGCTGACGTAATGATAAACTTGCGAATGCGTCGAACTCACCGGACGTAACTTACCACTGCTTTAAGTGCGTAAATCAACTCATTGCTCAGCGCGCAGCGCCCAGCGTTGAACGAATTCACTACATGCAAAGTTAAGTGCGAACGAGCCAAATCTGTTCAATGCTAACAATACGGCAGCAACTGGTATAGATAGGGTATAGGTGCCGGTCCGTGCACTTAGTGATACAGCTACGCCAGATGCACACGATGCCGAGTTACAAGTGTCGTACAGCATCCAACGTGGCGCGCGAACGCTGTGCTCACCAGATGACACTCTCCGTCCGAACAAGGTTGGATCGTCGTATCGGTCTCGGAGGAGGCGGAAGCGCGTCTGGCGCGGGGGTATCAAGAGGAGCCTGCGTTGGAATCGTCCCCGTCGAGTCTCCAGGCTCGCGCGTCGAACTGTGTTGTGAGCCTTCGTGGGTATATGAGGAAGGATGATTATGTTCCGAATACGTGGGGGAGATTTCGGCGGGTGTAGGCGACGAAGAGTCATGTTCAGCAACGCGTCGCTTCTTCGCTGCAGGGCGTTCTACGGACGTGTTGTCAAGGGTTCCAGATATCTCCTCTACTACAGGACCCATTGCTGCAGAGACAGCGTTTACGAATTCGGGTGGGAGGGTACGCATCGTGGCGTTAGCTCCAGGAACTTCGGACGTGCCATCGTCCATGTCATCAGTGTTTGGAGGCATATAAATGAGCTCTTCTGGGACGTCGTCTTTGGCAGCTCCATAAATCGCGCGACAGAGGCGCCTCCGATATTCGGCGGTCGGTTTCCGGACAGTGGGCATGGTGTACGGATATGGACCACGGGGGCGTGTCGCATAAGCCGTGCACGCCTCCCTATCCTCTTGTGTCCAGTTTAGAAGGGCTTCTTCTTGCGTGACCAGTCCGGAGTCTATCAGGCGCCACAGCAGCTTCCCGGGCAGCTTGAAGATACCCTTGTGCTTTGAGGCGCGGAGGTAGCGATCGTGTACAGCCAGTGTATGCAAAGGTTTGCGCCACGGTTCTGGTACTGGTGCAAGAGACGATGGCTCATATGCGAAGTCGCGGACCTTGACCCCCATGTCTTTGGCGGCCTCAATGTGCTCGGCCTGTGTCATGGTGTCGTCGATCTCGGTGGGGACAGGTGAAGGTGTCGCGCGAGTGGCACAATGGGTAGCATCGCTGGCATCGTCTACACGCAGCAGTCTAATGGTCATCTGGGATATACTTAGGTGGCGATGAATGCATGTTCGACGTACTGTCCATCTCGTCGCGTTTGCGCTTCAAGTTCGCGGGCCTGCCAGTGATCCCTGCTGTCGGGAGTGGCGTCCCCAGCGTAGCAGAAGCGCCAGAGGATAACGTAGCTGTGGTATGTATAGGTCGTAAGAAGACCTTGACAATCCCAGCGAAGAGCGGAGAAACGGTGATGGTGAAAAGGGCCTTCGACATCGTGGTTGTTATGAGGGTTGAAGGAGGAGGGGCGCTTGAGGCGCCCCATATATCAGTTTATGAAAGGCCAAAGCAAACATAAGTGACTCAAACACGCTTCAAAGGCGGTTACAACAAAAGGTCACGGTAACATCGCGGGTCCAAGCTGTGAACAAGGGACGGTCGTCAGCAATTCAAATTTGGATCGCCACAATGGCTTACGTCATCTTCTCGGGTGGCATTTTATTTCCATAAGCGGATATGTCGACCCTAAATCAGTCGGCAACTCGTCAATCACAGTTTGGCTACACCGTGTAGTTCGTGTCAACTCTTGACAAGTACTGCCACCACCAGTCCCCAAGTACACACCTCACTCTTCTCTGATGTTCTCTGACTGCAGTCATTGTCTACCTGCGGTTAAGCGAGGCTGTTTATTGCCGGAGGGTCTTTGAGCGTGAAGCCTGCGCGCCGAGGGGGTGCCCATCCTGGGAGGATTTATCTGCTAGGCCGAACAGCGTCCTTCATGCAGAGGTTATAGTCATACTAGGACAGCAGGCCGCTTGTCGGGATAATACGGCGTATTATGCGAGAGAATTATGTGCCCTCTTTCGCGGTTACGTTCGCGGGCGCTGCGTCAACGGTGGGATAATGCTTGCTAATCGCATTTTACTGGCCTTCCATTCCCGAGTCCGCCCAAGGCCCGTCCTCTGCCGCAGTGCGGTCACGGCTATCCTCATATGCGCTCCGTATACACCGTGCGTACCGACCATGGATATATTCTCCAGAATTATACGCGTCGTTGTCAAAGGTCGAGCACACTTGTAAGTAAGGAAAGTATCCTTCCGCTGTGAACGTCAACTAATCACAACATAGGCGAGTGACTCCGTGGATAGATAACGGGTGTCTGGAATAGCATCTTGGCGCCATACTCCGCGAGGCGACGTCAGCAGGGATTATCCTAAGCATCTGACGCTTGCTCATTTCGACACAAGCAACACCAAATGGAAAAGGGCCAATGACAAGAAACCGCGCGCGTCACTGTGCGGTAGGCAGCGCATAGTATCTCTCATCAAGCACTCGACTGCGACACCCAAGCCATCCGCGAAACGTCGTAATGTACATTATGCTAAGTATGCTACAGGAATACATGAAGCCCTCCCCAAAGATCTGCAGGGTATATACCGCAACGGTGAGCAGAGCGCAAACCAAACCAGAAGACTATACTAACAGCACGGATACATAATGGCGCACACTGAGGAGTATAACGAAGCAGAAGAACGATAGCAAGAGCACGATTACAATTCGAGACATTCCAGAACACTGCAGTAACACGAGCCACGAAGCCCTCAATTATCGCGCCTGCCACTCGCCTGCCGAGGGCCCTCCGTAAAGCGACGGGTCCTGGAAATAGCCATGGTCAGGGTTCCACTGCCCTCCGATTTCAGCGGGGGCAGTGGAGTAAGCAAACGAGTCATATGGGATGCCTGTCTGCTGGCCGGCGCCTTGTGTTCCTAGCTGCTGTCCGGCATACATAGGCGGCTGCATCTCTTGCGCCTGCGACATCACGTCGCCGGTCATCAGCACGGCCGGCGCGGAGAGGGTGCCAGACAGGTTGGCCGCCATGGACGCCTGCATTGCGCCTGACCGCACCGCTTCATCAAAGCGAGCGGCGACGAAGGCCTCGTACTCGGGAGTGACAATGAAGGGCTGATCTTCTACATTCTCGGCGGAACTCTCCGGTGCGGTAAGCGACGGCGAGGGGAGCGGTGATGACGCCTGGCTGGCGGAAGACATCATAGTGTAATACGACAGCTGATCGAGGCTGACGTTCCTGTCCAGCGTGGATGGCTGCTGGGACGAGTCAGCGACTGCCATTCCCTGAGCGTCAGCCGACGACAGGGCTTGCATATCTTGGATGCTCAAGTCCGCGGAAGTCGCATCGCGGTGGGCGAGCGCCCGCATGAGCTGTGTGCCGCGTCCGGTATCGCGCCCGGTGGGCGAGCGAGCACTAGCCAAAGGACCTTCGAGAGTGTGAAATTCGGAGAGGCGAGGTGCCATGGCCTCCAGGCTACGGAGAGCGGCGGCGGTGGAGTCAGATAGTGGGACTGGCCCAGAAGAGCCGGATGGCGGCGATAGTGGCTGCCACGAGCTCCTGCTGCGCGAAAGACGATCATCGACAGAGGGGCGGTCGGTAGTAGGGCTGGAGCGCTGGGACGACGGGGCAGACGCAAGGACATTATCGGCGGAGCGTACTTGAGGTCGAGGGTAGGGCGACGACAGGTCAAGGCGCGGCAGGATGGGGCGTCCAGGCACATGGCCCTCCGCGAGGGCAGTCGTACGCTTGCCCGGCTTTGCACCATAGCTCCGCTTCTTGGTCAACCCATGCATGCGCTGGAGATAGCCGACGAGCCCGAGGGTGTCAGTGGCTGCCCTGGTGTGCGGGGCGGGGCGCTCGTCCTGACGGGGCGACGAGGTCGCGGATACGGAGGAACGGCGGCTGGACGTCGGGCTAATATGGCGAACTGGCGAAGACAGAGGCGACGCATTTGTTGGCGAGAGCAGCATCTCCGGGCTTCTACGCTGGGTATCGAGGAGCGGGACGTTGGTCGAAGGAGACCGCGGGGTAGTGGCTGCTTGAAATACAAGCTGTCAAGGGAAGAATGCGTCCGGCAACAGCAGAGCAGCACAAACCTCCTTGCTGTGATTGCTGTAGTGCACGACCCGATATGAGGATGGAGAACCGTGTCGCATCGATCTCGAACCATGGCGGGATCTCGGACAAGGTCTGTGCAAAACGCTGCGAGAGGTTGGCCAGGATATCGCGAGATACTGAGGGGGGACGTACCGTGCGAGAGAACATTTCACGGAAAGACCTCGATTCATTGGCGGGACCGACGATTAAGTGGAGGTGTATTTCCTCCTGCGGCCGGGGCGGTCAGATGGGACACAACACCGACATGTTGGTAACTAACGGCACGGACCTGACAGAGCGCCAAGGCAGTGCCGACCCAGGGATCAATACCAGCCTGGACGGGGCCAGGTCCTTCGGATCCTGTCAGCAAAGGCGACGCCGCAATAATAATGAGGTGTTGATTAGTGCGACGCTGCTTGCCACTGGCCAGGTAAACCTATGAAGAACTTACGATGTCATCAAGTCATGACGGTGAGTGGCACAAAGACTCTTACGTTGACGCAGCGTCGGATGGTGCCCGTCGAGATCAATGTGTCTGTCTGGCGGCCGAGGTTGAGATTAGGGAGATTATTATAGTCGGCTAAGGTAGTGACGGTGGTTGTTAAGGGCGTAAACGTTGGCGAGCTTGTGAACCACCATATTCGAAATTGCTTCGGGCGGTGTGTGAGCGGGAAAGGCGCCGATGTCGAGGAGGGCTGCTCACCGGACTTGTCTTGTTGTCTGCACGGAGGCCGTGGAGGAGGGCGGGCAGGTATCTGTGTCGGACGTCGTCCCACTTGGCCAGCATTGTCTGCGAATCCTCCACCAAAATCAGAACGGAAACGGCATGTCCGGAGGCGTTAGTGGCGGCAGATGAGAACGAAGTGCTCTGGTCCATCGACGTGGAAGCCCCGCAGACGGGTTATGCTAGAGGGAGGCAGAAGGTGAACGTTATGGCTGGAGAGGCGGTAGTAGGCGCTGCATCCGGGAGTGCAAACGTCGATAAGGTGTGCGTATACCGAGATATGGGTCCCGGCGGCGGACCTCTAATATATACTCGGGGCGGTGAAACGCGGTGCGGAGACTTCCAGACGCAGCTCTCCGCAACCGAAGGCCGTCTACTGTCGGGCAAACAAAACGGTTAAAGCTTGATGTGAGCTACCGTGGGGATATCTTCGACCAATCCAACGGAACCTCATTTCGAGCGTGCCTCCGTCCTCGGCGTGTTGGCTCCACTCCCACTAAATTTGTCTGTGAATTCCTATCAGAGCGATCGCCCTAAACTCACAGCGACCTGCTTTGTCGCGTCGGCCCGCAGGCATGGACACATGTCGAGGCCGTACCGCAGCCATAAGTCCGAGGCGAGCAAACGCGATTTGCTTCCGCAGTGGATGGTCTCCGTGTAAGATTCGCCAAGACAGCGCATGGCGAACAACCTCATGATGATTACTCGGGCCTCTCGGAGTCGATTGCCAAATAACGATGGCATCCGGGCAGACGCAACGGTGCACGGACAATCGCGACTATCGGGACACGCGCGGATAGATACACGCGCCTGGCTCCGTGAGCGCGGAGCAGTCATTGAGTTCAGCAGTGGGCGAACGGCGGCTGCTCGAAGGACGAAGACATCGCCGGCGCGAACCTTGTTGCCAGGCGCACGGTATTTCAATTCCATTTCCTGGTTTCACTGCAATTAATTTAGGGCTTCCGAATGGGGAAGTCTCCACTGTGATCGTATTTGCATGTGTTTGGCGCGGCCCCGCGTCGCGCACGCCGGTGGCGAGCTGGGCAGCGCGTCGACCGTCGCCTCCATCGTCCTCACCGCCGTCTCGACCACCATCTGCGCCGTCGCCGCCATGGCCGCCGTCTCGCTCTCCAGCTCGCCCATCACGCAGGTGTCGCAGACACCTGTGCAGACGAACCTCCAACCCCACCTCTTAACGAGATTGCTCCTCGATCTGCGCGGCAAACGCTTTTCCGTGGACCGCGAGACTATCATGAACCTTCCCGAATCCGTCCTGCTCTGTTTGTTTCCAAACGGACTTGTACTAAGTCGTCAGAGCGCCGCGTTATCAGATGGAGGAGATAATGACGACTACGAGGAGCTTTACGCTGTGGACGTGCGTGTCTTGGTCATCTAGCCGCCAGGGCTGTGAACCTCTCCCTAACCCTTGGCTCCTCACATAGTTTGATCCGGACTGTTTCTCATACGTCCTCACCTTCTTCCGCAATGCGTCGGAGACATTCTATGGCACCGCGAATTCGCCCGGCTTATTCGCGGCTCAGCAGCAACTCGTGGATGGCGGTTCTCCGACGTCTGACTTTGGGCCGTCGCCGTCGCAGAACCCGCTCTTGACCAAACAGGCTATTATTGTTCTCAGGGAAGAGCTTGAGTACTTCTCCATCCCGCCGAAGAACAGCAACGCGTCGACGAACACCAATGGGATCGCCAATGATGCCCTCCTCGATGTGAAGCGGAAATGCGGGGAGTATCTTCTCCACAAGCGCAACATCTTTACCGCCCTGCAGCGCAACGTGAACAAGGAGAATAACGTTGCGGAGCAGCACCTAATTGACATGCTGTGCATGAGGTCAGTTTGCATTGTGCTTCCTTTGCTGCCTTCCTCAGTCTCTGTCCACAGTGGGTTCGACCGAGACGACGAATGGGGATACCGTGCCATGGAACCCTCACGCTGTTGTATCTCTTCAATAGCTCTTGTGCTTCTGAAGACAGGGATAGTGCATCACCCGCCTGGTCCTACTGGCGAGAAGCAGGTTACCATTGATTACAACCAGATGGCGACGGCGCAGAAGCTGCTTCTCTTCTGGCGGAAGCCTGCGGTGCGTACCCCTTCCACGCTCGCGGCAAGCCTCCTGATCATATTTTGCTCTTCAGCGGAAATGCTGGTGGGATGGTCTGGAGGTCAACCTCGCCGGCGCTGGCGAGACGGAGAATCCGATCAAGCTGTGGGCAAGACGGGTGTGGACGCTGGAGCTGAGCTTGGTGCGTGTCCGTTGTAACTACGCCAAGGTTCCGTGCCGAAACTGACGCAACGCATCACAGGTCTAGTATACACTTCGCTTCTTTCATTTGCTGTACACGCTACGCTATACCGTCGGTTTCTTGCATCGGACTACCGGAATACCCTATTTACCCGTGTGACGTACCCACTGTACCTCATCACTCCTCCACTGCGGTATCAGGCCATCTACATGGGAAGATGAGTCGGCAAACGTCGGTCAGTACATCGTCAATTAAACGGCCGGACATCGTAAGGATCTATCGCGGGCTATGTGCCGGTTCACTTGTATCTCTTGTGGCTGACTGGTGTTACTCATGCTGCGTCCACGCCCAACACGAATACTTCAGCGACTGCTGCATACTCCCCGCTGCCGACTAACAGTGATGGTGCAAGAACGACATAGAGATCTGCCACCACAGCCGCTATCCACTGATTGGTCGGTGTTATGGGGTTGTTATCCATCGATAAGTATAAGCCGACGTTAATCAATTTTTCTGCTAAGGTACAACAATCGGTATCCCGATCGCGTCGCGGCTTCTGCACCTTGTCTGCTTCCGCCACCATCTTAGGCTCAGCGAATTTGTTCACTGCCGACGCCCGAGTGAATAGTATACACGCTATCAGATTGGAACACTCGCTTTTGCACGTTCATAACAAGACGATCGTCGTACATAGCACGCCACACGGAAACATCATGGACTTCGACCTGGAAGAGCTTGTAAATGTGGAGCAGACGTGCGTAGTTCATGGCTATCGTGCATCATCTCTCCTGATGGTTGGAAACAAGGTTTTATGAAGAGGGTTACAAGGACGGGTTCGCACACGGCCGAATCCATGGTTCTATCGAGGGCAGAGCCCTAGGACGAGAGAAGGGCTTCGAAATGTGGGAGGAACTCGGCTTCTACGAAGGTTTTGCCATGCTGTGGCAAGTCATACTCTCCCAGAGAGGAACCGCAGACGAGTACGTCTTTCTTCCATTTCATTGTATTTCCCCGCGAGTGCTGACCGTGTCGCTCTCGTGCAGTCGGGCAGCACAGCATATTCGACAGCTCCTGGCACTTCTAGCTCAGTTCCCCCGCGTCAACCCGTCGGCTACGGATCCAACTGAGCTTGACATCCCGAAGCTCTTCCGACAAATCCGTTCTCGTTACAAAGCACTGTGTGCCGCGCTGGGCGTCCAGCCGACGTTGCGCGCGGGGGCCCCGTCCGCCACCGCGGAAGACAGCGATCCAGCTATAGACTTGGCTGATGCTCCATCGGGTGGATCAAAGAGTGTATGGCCTGTGCAGCCTGCAGCCAACGCGCGTGCCGGGGCGCAGCTCAGTTTCTGAAGACTATCCTAGCATCTATCTTAGTCTGTCGCGCTGCCACAACCGGGAAGTTCGGACATATCACTATCGCGCCACGGTCATAATCGGGCAGGTCAATCAATAGAGTTTCCGTCCGCTAGGATCCTTCTGACCAGGCACTCTCAGGCATTTCCCCGCTGTCGCCTTCGTCGACTATCGCTGTCCGATCGCCGTCGCAAGCCGTGCACTTTGCTAGCCATTTGTGACATAGTGCGGCGCCTCAATCGCCCATGACCCGTAAGTTTGGTTGCTTAGACCTGGAGATCTCCGTGCTTTCTCACTCATATGCAGGTCGTCCTATCGCACTTCTGTTCAAGACTCCATTCGGCTGAGTTTCTGTTCATGGTACGTTCCTGAGAAGAGCGCAAGAAGGGAATTCAATGCCTCAGGTATTGCAAGGGCGCTTCTTGCTCTAGATAAAGGACACCGGATCAGCGAATCCCATACCTTGTATTTGGTCAACTCACAATGAGCTCCAAATGAGCTCAGAAGCCCACTCGAGCTCGTGATTTCCCACCACACCCAGCGGTGCCTCAATAGCCTCAATACGACCCATACTGCTTCTTATTCCCGGCGATCAAACATGAGTCTACAGTAATTCCTCCGACGGCTTCGTCATTGTGCACCTACAGGATCATCCCTCCACGTCAATGCCACTCTGGTTCAACCGATGCACGCTGCACTCACCTTCCGTCTCATCCCGTTCGCTGGGGCACGCAATCGCATAGAACGTTGGCCCTGAGCAGCTCGTGGTAACGACGTGCCGCAGTAGAACCGATTGCAAGATCGCCGTGCTCCCATCGTGGCGAGATCACGGTCGTCATCTCGTGCTCCTGACCAACGGTGCGCCCGAATGCGCCATCGCTCTCCCTTTCTGCTGCTGCCTTCAGTCAGCTTACCCGCGGAACGCTTGGTAAGTGCGCGCCTGCTTCTGTTCCTTATCACAGAATCAGGCAGGTCAGTGGGCGCAGCACCCCGCGCGCGAGGCAGCGCACGCCCGGATGTGACATCACGGCGTTGGCTGCTGTCGTGCCTGTGGCTATATGGGTACGTTTTGTCACACAGGCGGGGGCGCGTCCGATCGTGTGTCTCCTCCGGGATGTCTCTTTGTCTGAAGCGGGGCGGTCAGCTGGCCCTGCGCTGCATCCGCGATCCCAGGTGGGCGTGCGGACAGGCGGCGTGTCTCCGGACTTAACCCGCGTACGCGCGTGCGTCGACGCTGGCGGTCCTCGACTCGGAGGCATCTGCGCGGATCGCGAATGGGCCAAACACCGACGCGGAGGCAGTCTGGGGGCGGTGCACGCGGAACGGAGGGCAGGGCGACGATCCGCCACTCGCCAGCAGGCACGTCGTTGGCGATGGTTGGTGCTTGCGCCCCTCCGTCTGCATGGTGTCGGACGGAACATACAGTATCTATGTCCGTCATCCATATCTGCCGGTCCTCACGGCATATGATCTGGTTAGCAGCCCTTCTCCGCTGCCTTGGCAGTCCTATAGCCGTCCGCAAGGGGACAAGACGCTTCGGGTGGGGAGCGTCCCCGCTGAAGCCGAGCAATGTGTTGGCGTACCAATCACGGGTGCCTGCTGTGGACACCTCGTGCTTGGCCGATAGCATCGCGGTGGTCCCGGTGGAGATTAGAGGATGGTCGAACGACGCAGGCGGGCGGGTGCGTGGGTTCTTGCTTTTCTGGGCTGACGGGTCAGCGCACAGTCATTGGTCTCCACTTGTCCTTGGGCTCTCATGGCGGCGGCGCAGATGGGCGAGATAACCTAAAGCGAGGCTGCGTTGACATGGCGGTCGCGCCAGGTGATCGCGCTTCTCGCGAAAACCGCTGCCATGGTGTATTGAGATTGCGCGCTGCAGGCCTCACTCGCCCGACGGTGTGCGGACGAGCTCTCTGGTGGAACGCATCGCTATGAATTGCGCACTTCGTAGGTTTTATCGATCATCAGGAGACGGACTTCGCTGGCGCGTGGCATCACCGATCACCTGTGCGGACACAATCGTGGCGACTCCGAGATGTTGGCTACGTCAAGGCAGCCGTCACCCGTATGGTGATGGGTAATGGTGATCAGTTGGGCAAAGTGAGGGGCCGTTCTCACCAACGCGTGTGTTTGCGTGCTAAACAATTATGTGCATGCAGCGGAGTATCCCCTCTGCCTGTAGCTGACTGCCTCTCGTGATGCATCGCTCTATCTTGTCAGTCGCATGACGGCGGAGTCTCCTGGCGGTTATGCCCGGAGGTCTATGCTATACATCAGACTGTCGGTGCGTACCTGCTTTCCCAGGTTGTTTCTTTGAACATGCCTTTGTAGCATTCCCGGAGAAATCCGGTCTGTTTAGGGCTACGTCCTCTTAATGTTTTACCTGGCTGTCCACCGATCAACGTCCCCGAGCATGCTGGTATTCGTGAGCTTGTGTCACATAACTTGACAATGCAACTGACCACACTAGAGTTGTTCCCCCCTGTAGGAGCGTGGACCGACAATAGCGGTTCAGGCACATTTTAAAAGCCTCAGACTCTCGAAATGCATCCAGAGTAGTATGTGCCACGGTTGGTGCACTAGCGGAACATGTGAAGCCCACGAGAACACCCACCAACAACTCGATTTCTGCTTTCCCGTGCATGAAACCACGTCACATGTGACATGTCCCTTACGCTCACCCATCCCCAAGGCCTAGAGGAGCCTGGGCCGCAGTGAAGCGACACAACACGCCCACAAACGCACACGACACAAGCCAACGGCACGCCGAACGCCCCTGAGGCCGCGATGACGACACATCCGAGATCGACAGCAAGACAACCGTCGAGGACGTCGTCCTCGGCCGATGCCGCGCGAGGCGGCGGGCGCCATGCACAGCACAGCGACGCACGACGTCGGATGGGTCTCGTCCGACTTGCCGTCTTCCCTCATCTCGTATTTTCGTACCACGAACTACATATTCGCAAGCGAAATGGCCGACAAGCTTCATGAGGGTCAAGACGTATCGTAAGTCGACGTTCGCTCACGAACCACTGCATCAAGTCACTGACCCAGGAACGTGGCATGCAGGTGGCGTTGGGGAGGCGGAAATGCGGAGGGGAAGGTCGCTGAGATTGTTACGGAAGGGAAAGCTGAGGTCACCAGCAACAAGGTATGTCAGAGTGAACGAGCTTGGCCTCCAGTATTTTCACCCCTATGATCCAGGGGAATACTGTCACCCGCAATGCGCGCGGCGAAGACGATCCGGCTGTAAAGATCGCTCGTAACGGGGTATGTCTTTCACACTGATACTAGTACGTGCTGATTCTGACGCTGCATTAGAATGACGTTGTAAAGCTTGCTCATGAGCTCAACGAGGTGAAGGAGGCCGAGTGAATGCACCGTCATGTGAAGAAAGGGTTCAATGTTCCGAGCAAATTGTAGGACAAGGTGCATGTACGTTTGTAGTTCGTTGGGTGGTAGTCACAACCAGGTTACGCTGTCACGCCTTGTCACGCTGCCGGCGGTCGCGCGACGGTCACCTGACCGCGTCTGGCACGTCAGCCTCGCGTCGCGGATTGCGCCATCGTGCGCACTTGAGTCTTGGTCGCTCACAGGAGTCACAGGCAGCCATGGCAGTACGCACAGACAACAGACGCCCTGCTGCTCTCCTGTACCAGCATCTGTCCCCCCTCGTTGCAACACTAGCAGGCAATAAATCATGGACACCCTCTCCGTCGAGCTGCACGCGCAGATATTCGAGTTTGCGTGTGTCGACGACGGCAGCACCGCCCGCGCGCTGTCCCTCGTCTCCCGCTACGTCCACGCGGTAGCGCAGCCCTTCCTCTACCGGTCCCTCGCCGTCGAGGGCCTCGAGCAAATACGCGCTCTCACCGCGCGGCTCGCCCCCAACCCGCACTATCTCCGTCGCGTCCGCCACCTCTACCTGGCCGATCGTAAAACGACGTCCGACAATCTCCGCGCGCCACACGCGCATCCCGCAAGCGACGCGGACCTGCTGCACTACGAGGAGACGCAAACCGCTGCGGCGCGCCTGCTCGTCCTCGCCGCGCCGACGCTCGAGACGCTTGCGCTCGCGGCGGACTGTCCATTCACGGGCACTGCACTCATCGCCCATCTCTTCGCGCTCGAGCTCCCGCACCTACGCGAGCTCGCCGTGCGCGGGTTCTACCCATACCCGGCGGGCCCGTACGCGGAGGAGCCGGTCATGCTCCGCCTGGAGCGACTGTACCTCGAGGGGAACAGGAACCCGCACGGGCTCCTGACTGTTAGCGGCCTGCGGGAGGCGTGCCCTGCGCTTGAGCAGCTCGTCATCTCGGGGGTCGTCGCTGCGCAGGGATTCGCGAACGAGGCGCAGACGGTGGTCGGTTATGCGGACGGGAGTGCGGACGCGGGTGCAGACACAGACGCACCATTACCGCGCGGCTTGCGCATTGTCGTACGCCCGGGGACCATAGCGAAGAACGCGGGTGGCAGGATGCTCCGGTACCACGCGAAGATGTTGGAAACTCTGAAGCGCGCGGCTGACAGCTCGGCGGGCAAGCTGGTCCTGCCACGCCGACCATATCCTGCCGACTCTAAGAAATCTGGGGCTGATCCAATGCGCGAGCTCTGGCGGGAGAGGGTCGCGGGTGGTAGAGGGTGGTGGGAATAGGCGTAGGACTCACCTTGTGATACTGGGTCTACTTGGCCAGTAAGACTCGCGGCGTTGCACGCATATATCGACGGGATATGGCTGTTGTTTGTTTGATTATCTGCGTCTTCGAAGACTTGGGATTTTCGGGCGCTGGGGGACTTAAAAACTCAGTCCCCGGATTCTCTGGACCTGTGGAAGCTGCGGCATCACAACTTGGATACTTAGTGGTTCCTCACAGCAACGGTGACCACTCACGTAGTAGTCATGCATCATGACTGACAACCCTACGTCTTCGAGGCACTAACTTCTGGTTTGGGCAATACCAGGTAGTGTGCCTTGTAGACAGCATGGGAGTTTGTGTCGACGTTGTAGTTCTCCTCAAGTTGAGGATGATCCCAGGTTGTGGCCACGGAGTGACGGAACCTTCCATATCTGGCAATGATTGCGTCGACACACCGTGACGCCTACGTCGTCTGTCACTTCCGCTTTCGTAGTGGCTGTGTCACGCTAGAAATGATGCGTTAATCTCTCATAGGGCATGCGTGGTTCAACTCAATCAGTAGTGAACGTACAATGTCTTGGCGGGTCAATTGGCCGTCCCGTAGGCGGCGCAGTACTTGTGAGCACTCGATGTTATGTAAGCACGTCAGGCTCCGAGACGTCCGAGTCGGCAGGAGCTCAGGCCAATTCAGCTGCAGGATTTGACATACCTCAGTGCTTGACATTGCAATCAACTTATCACAGACGCGTACTAGTTAGTATCATGAATTCTGACTTTCCTTGTTCATGATTCATTTTTCAGGTGCATGCCAGGCACCCGGGAAATAGAGAGTCGAACCCATGGACGGTGATCCGCTTCCGCGAAGTCGTGCAATTGCAAATGCCGAGAGGGCGTCTCGACACTCTCCAGGTCCTGGTCCAACCCGAAAAGTGGCAAGGCCTCTCTGGTCAGTGGCTCAGCGAATATCCTGGTGACACGTCGAAGACTCTAAATTGGTGCGAGCCCGATTGTCCTTAGCTGCTATCCAGCTGCTTATAGCAGCAATTACAGCTTCAGGCGCTTCATATCCCCTTATCGGCGGCCCCAGGGTGGCCTATATGTCATTTACGACACTTTTGGTGACACGTCTCCGTGCGCGAAGCTCTGAGCGAGCCCTGCTCGTCTTGGGAGGCAGCGCCTCCTGCGATACGGTCAGGTTCTGATGCGGCCATGCCTGCTTCGCTCCCACGACCACTGACAACAGTTGAAAGTGACTCAGCTCGAAGAGACACTTGATCTCCGGACAGTCTTGTTCTCGTACACCTAACTGGAACAGTACCCATCGTGTCCTCATAACCAGGGTCCAGGGATGAATGCCTTCTCTGCTTGCTCGCTCTATCATGAAGACCTGCGCGTGGCCATGTCCCGTCCACTCGAACAACGCGTGAAATTCTTCTTGGATACCACAGACGTCGAAGAATCGAGTGAGTTGGGTCAACTCCTGCCGAACCTGGATCTAGTCAGGCAAGACGTCGCGAGAGGTAGGTCGTGAGGCAAATACTAGTAGCGTGAATTGTGGTACTGATAGCAAGAAAATATAGTGTCGGCTGTCCAAGAAACCGTAGCTTCGATGCCTGAGCAACCTGTGATCGAACTGCAGGAACCATACACTGGAGAAGATATCCAGATACGCGCTTCGCACGCACTCGTGCTGAAGACTCAGTTACCTCGACTGTTCCTGTACAGCTTTCTCATCATGTTCAGTGATGGTGCGCCCACTTCTCCACCTAGTATGCAACAACGCTCATGATAGGCGATCACAGTGCCCAAAGACCTCGTTGAAGATGTCATCTGGGCGTTAGAGGTCTTTGTCGGCCTGCTCAGGGAGTGCTCGGACGAACAACTCGATGTGTTGTGTAGCGATGAACTAGATGCGGTTTATACCTATGAAGAACCGGCTTTCGAAGAAGATACTCCAATGGAGACCATTAGGTCCTTCATGGTCAGTGTGTTCTTCACTCACCGACACGCAATCTCATCTATCATACTGTAGAGACAACAATCGAAGGCGAAGGTCACAATCCTCCTCTTGTAAGCTAACTAGTAGCGTTGTCGGATGAGCTCCGCTCTGTGCTCACCCGCTTTTGTGTCGCCGCGATGTAGAAGACCGGAAGTTGACAGGCCGGGAGATGCCGTGAGATACTTCAAGGCAATCATTGATTATCGGCGTCTGGTTGTCCCACCTGAACAGTTTTTCGAGGGGGAGCGGTGGGTGGCGTTTATGTGCTGTTATATTGAACGAGCTCATGCGCGCTTGAGACAGTGATCTCCTCGAAGTCTATGGTGAGGCTCTGACACGAAGCGGCATCAATGATGAATTTGCAGAGACATTTCTGCGGAAATACGTCGATTCAAGCGCGGCTTCTGACAAAACCGGTCTTCGCAGGCTTATCGTGGCGAAGGTCTGGCTGTCGCGCGTTCTGCGGCGGCGAGGCAGCACGAGTGCTGCCAAATCAGAGTGAGTTTGGATTACTCTATACGGGGAACATAGGTGTCATTGCTGTTCTAGGGAAAAGTGGCTGGTGAGATGGTTCCGCAAGCACATTTGTTACCGAGCGCGGATTACCCCGAGCTCCTGATACCGAACGGAACCGTGAGCCCAATCTTGGCCCAACTGGGCGGCTCCTCTTGGTTAGAAGGGCGTAAAGACACAGACAAGACAATCCGCCGTGGTATAATGTTTTGTAGGCAATGTGGAGCTCATGAGCCGATGGTGAAGCTATCGCTGTGTACGAAGTGCAAGAAGTTTCATTATTGGTGCGACTCTCACTCCAATTTGGGCTGAAGGTTGATCTGCGGCTGATTGTTGACTAGCTCTAAAGAATGCCAGAGGAAAGACTGGCCGTCACACAAGTGAGTTTCTGGCTAGCTACGCCGCAGCGACGCTCGTACTCATCTTTGTACTTACATATAGGGTTGCCTGCAGGTAAGCGCACTGCAGCTAGCCTTCAGATTCGAACTGTGCTAACTCATGTTCATCAAGAGGATTCGCTAAGCAAATTGAGACTGTTGAAAGACTGTCTCTCCTGGATCCATTCGCGGGACAAAGACTCAAACACTTCACTGATTGGTGTTTCAATTCTGCGACGAACAAGTTACCTTACGTCAGTGCATTACGACTGTACGAAGACCCTGGGCGGGCGCACACCCATGTCATATTCGAGCAGTCGGTGTACACTCCCCGAGCGGGACCGCTCACGAAAGACAAGTTCAGGATCATCAGATGTGCGGTGTACCGCATGTCCGATGCTCTGCCTGAGATCGAGCGCGCTCTCAAGCTGAGTCCTGGCGAGGGCATCAGACTATGCAACGAGATGCTACACGAATCTCATCCCGTGGCGGAGGAGTTGGTTTTATTCCTCACTCTAAGATATGGCGAAGGAATGTCCCCGAAGCTCGGCCGAGGTCTACATTCCCTCCTCTATACGTCGAAAGCAATCCACTAACGTAAACTTGTAGATGCTGTGAATAAGTGTGACCTTCGCTACACGCTGTACAACCCGAAATGGCGAGAGGCGATCAATGCGAAGCGTCCTCTAGCACGGTTTTTGCCGCGCGACAGCCTCAGGGACGCAGAGTTCGACTAAGGGAGTGGCCTGCTGTGGAAATGATTGCTGGACGGGATTGTCCGCATGGTGCAGGGCAGGCTGGGTAAATGCCACTAGTGCCACTAGTGCGAAGCTGGTAGCTGACGTATAAGAACCGAACCCATCATGTAGATTCACAAATGCGAATGGCGCTAGACATTCTGTGCCAATGTACAATGCGTTTCCGTGGTTCGGAACGTGGTGTCGATGAGGGAATGACGAATGAAGGTGTGACTTCTGAGCTTCAGCTTCATTCTTCACCTGTGTAAGCTCTGGAACAACCTACTCTCAGAATCCATGGATAACTTTCTCTAGACAAAAGTAATCTCTTGGTGCTCAACCAAGGATCTGCATCAAGCTAGTCCAGGATGTGCAAGGCCTGCTTCAAAACCTCATCCCCGAACGAGCGTACATACGATTCGTTCCACTGATCATTCGTCTACACACCTCCATGGTCAGCATACCCCTTCGATATTGGGGCGTGATATGGCATCACTCACCGACACCTGCACATGCAGCTTTGAACGTATTGTCCACGTAGTACAAGACCTAACAACCATATCAGCGACCATGTTTCAATCATCCCTTGATGTACCAACGTACGGCACTCCGTTAGTCATCCTCTGACACATCGCGAATCCCATCACCTCAATGAGAAGACCCTCCCCTTTCTCAGCGCCGTCACGATACCACTCGTCCGGCAGCCAATCTTCGGTGATCCCTATGTTAGAGAGCACGCTGCAGTAAGGGTTACTCGACACAACGGGTTCGAGCGGCGGCGCGAGCACTGCAGCGGCAGCGCAGGCGTGCGGCAAGTGTGGGTTCCGCTGATACTCGTCATAGTGGGCCTTGAAGCCGCGCATGGCTGCAAGCAGATGACCCTTGGGCGTGTCCGGCTCGGCGGAGAGGATGTCCACAACGGGAATAGAGGCGGGGAGGTAGCAGATGGCGGAGACAAGCTTGCCTTTCCCGTCGTGAGGGGGCACTAGATAGCGCCGCTGAAGTGCCATGCTGTCCGAGGCAAGTCAGTTTCCAAGAAGTGGCAACAGAGCGGACTCGGAGACGAGACAACTTACGAGATCATCGGGTTCAAGAGGCGGGCATTCCACACCACAGGATCGCTTGTGTCATGGAAGGATAGGATGGCGAGTTTGTGGGCTGCTTCAAGAAGATGGGACATAGTAAACCCTGCTGCCTTTGTGGCTGCAACGACCCGCGCTGTCTGATCCTCGTCCAGCGCTGCGATCGTCTTGACAACCTGCCCGAGGGTCCCGAGTTTCGGCCGCTGAGGTGTGAGGGAGAGCGGACGCTGTACCATAGGAATTGGCGTCAGAACGCCATGAGCGGATCAATATGTATCATTAAGTGACATACCACTGGGCTTGCATGCTCTTGCATGATCTTCCCCATGAGGGCCATCCCCTCTGTTTCCCAGGTAGGACGTGGACCCCCTGTCGCCGTCACAGGGCCTACAGGTAAGTTTTCCGTCTCGGTTCCCCATGCAAGCGTCTCAAGAGGCTCGCGGGTAGGGTTCGACATCCACTCGAGCACAAGCGAAAACACGCTGAGCGTAGGCCGAGCGTCCATGATGCCATGGGTGCTGTGGAATAAGATAGAGACCTCGTCGTCCTTCATTGTTCCAGCGTCACCATTGATGGCGGTTGCAGGAGAACGGGCGAGGAAGCAGCGGAAGATGAGCTCGCGCCCGTTTGGGAGGACATAGGGCAGGCGCCCCTTCACGACCTTGGCGGTAAGGTCGTCTGCGTGAATGCGGTCGGAGAGCACGACGACTGCGTCTTCGGCCCAGTCTAACGCATCCTGTACGGATCTTGCAGGTGCGTAAACCCAGGACTGGAAGCGCGGATCGTGTATACCTTCCTCCAGGGCGGACGCAACAAGTGGGCTCGTGAACCTAGGGGCGACATGGAAGTGAGCGAGAATGATACGTAGCTATGAAGTACTGCGTACCGCAGATGCGCGATGGCATACCGGAGTCTTGACGCCACTTCGTCAAATGGCAGCGGCGAACGGAGCGTGAGGGCGAAGGAAATCTCGCCGATTCTGTAGGTTGAGGATAATACCATGAGAAGAGGAAGGCAGTTGCCCAAACATGGTGACAAACCCGTCGGTCCACCGACTGAATTGTTCGGATAGTAACTCAGACCCTAGAAGCGGTCTTCACGACGCTCATAATAAGCATGTTCGTTCATATGAAACAAGGCCTTCCTGTGGACACACCTGGTGTAAAGCGTGTTCTCGTTGCGGATGAAAGTGGTCCACGAGGGCTCATTATCGAGTGGATGCATCCTGTTGGTCGAATCGTCTCCGGTCGAATATACCTTAAGGACACGGGAGGATGAAAGAATAACGCGAGCAAGGCGGGCTATTTTTCAGGGAACAGGTAGCCGTCAGAGGAGAAATAAGTAGATGTGTTGGGAGAAAATCGAGACCATCTTCCATCTTTATAGAATTGAACAGCAACGCTAGACAGTGCCATGGGCCCGCGGCAGCCTATGTGCCCTCGAAGGGAAGACGTCCATCATTGCGGCCGGTATCGCCTCGGGTCTACTCAAGGTCTACTTGTCAAGGAGCGCCGCCACGCTAGCAGCGCTCCGAGTGGAGATATACCGAGGACAAGCTACTTCCTAATGATGCGCCCCAAGCGATGACGGCGCCGTTAGCGTTGCCACCCATCAGTCAGTGTACTGCATTTGATAGGTCAAATCGCTGTTGAGTAGTTTAGGAGCAGATGCTGTGATATGCCTCAAATAAGCCGAGCGCTCTGCGCCCATCGCGCCGATACTGATGTCCAATAACCTCGTCGCTTGCATCGCCGTGGTGTGACCGAAAGGCTGTCTCCTTCGTAATGGATATGGCTAGCTAAGTTCTGAGCGTCTTCGAGTGGCTTCAACGCAGGGCCGTCAGGCATGATTTAGACCGCGCATCCTCGGACATTGGGACGGCAGCTCTGAGACCGATGAATCATGTGGTGGCAGCTAGGTCGTTGCGGGTGAAAGGAGGTGCCGTCAAATCTTTTGGTACGAAGCTAGCGGCTTGCGCGAAAGCGACTCACCTCACTCGGCTGAAGGTGCAGCATCCAGTAAGATTGTCGAGGTCTGAGAAGCAACTTCTGCAGCATCTTCAACGCAACGCAATGACTTGTAAGTCTGAATGATATCGTTGCATATCAATCGTTAACTGACCTTGCAGCTCAACGCGCACAGCTTTTCAGAAAGACAGCGGAGAGCCGGGAGCACTTACAGCAGCAAGTCTATGTCCAGAAAGTTGATAGACTTGTAAATATATGCGCGACTTACAATCAAAGTCCATAGATTACCCTAGGCCCAGATACTGCGGCATGACTAGGGTGGAAATATCTAGTTGTGGCCCGTTATGTTGTCCGCGCATTTCGACTCATCTAGAATGTGCGCTGGTGGCAGTGGTGCGCCAATGGCCATGCTGATCCAAGATAGGTGAGCCGGCGTTGGGTAGTACAGAGTAACTGGGATGACCTACGACCATAGGTTTCAGAATGCGAGCATTCCGTACGGAAGGGTCGTCCTTGTCGTGGAAGGACAGTACAGGACAGCGAGTTGGTTGCAGCGTCGAGGCCGCGGAGACGCGACACGCGGTGGCACACACGTATAGCGCTGATGGACTGCTATTGCCATATTTAGGCAACTGATCGTCGTTGTGGCTGTGCAGCCTCTCCTCCTCCTCGGAGTCTCCTCCCGCTCATGCTGAGCGCTGACGGCCGCGTCCACAGACTCGCGGTAGCTCCGGCTGCTCCCAAGCTGCCAAGACAAACGTACCAACAGTACTTAGGCACAAACATAGAGACTTCTTCATCGCATTCGTCAAACGTCGGTACGTGAAGCCTGGTAGCAGTGCTGATCAACAACTGAAGATGAGTCAAAATACTAACTATCTGTATGTTGCTCCATTGTCGATTGCGTATCATGTCTCAATGATCACTTTCCGACAGGTCGTTGCTGGGCCATCCGATCGATCGGACCCGACACTCGTTCCCCAGAACAACGTGTCAGTACACGACCTCGCCGAGGAAGACCCAGTCGATCCTTCACCTTTCGAACACGGACCCACGCAGCGCTTTGCAGATCACCATAAGCTACAAGCTCGCCCTGACGTCGCCCTCAGGCGCTCTCCTGTCAGCTTATCGAGAGTAATGTCCAACATCACGCGCATGCTCGAACAAAGCCTCTTTACACTTATCTTCGCCGCCGACACATCCAGTGGCTCGCCGCCAAACGCGGACCACACAAACCGCCCAATGTGCACTACCGGTGGAACTGCTTCCTTGGGACGGGGGCCATCCGATCCGACTCGGGGAAGATGTATGCGTATGGCGTGCTGATTCTAGGGAGCCGGATGGTCTGGTGAAGGGCGCTGGCGCTGCTGCAGACTTGGAGGAGACACTTGTTCAAGGTTCTCCGAGTCTGTCCAACGCCCCATGCGGCGCTGCCGTTGCACGACGATGCTTCTGCAGCACTACCGTCGTTTCAGGAAGTTAGTCGAAAGGATCACTCTGGATTCACTGGTTCTGCGGTTATCTTCAACAGGACATCAGGTTCAGCGAGCTACAAGCGTGCCTCAGAGAGTAGATGTTAAGCACGGAGTCAACAGTCTGCAGTGCACATTTGAAGCTGGATGGGGAGTCAACAGACGTTTGGATCTATATAGTATACGGTACTACTTGCCTGTTACGGTACTAGTCCTTTCCGATCTGTCGGCGAACGCCAACTCTTCACTAGGTTCACTCATCATCCTTCTATACAAACTTACGTCTCATTATAAACGTTGCACCATGTCACTAAAAATCATTTTATGATCCGCTTGGTGTACCTATAAAGGGCTGCGTCGCCTACCCCAGTCGTCGATCCTCTCCCCCACTTTCCCTTGCGACCCTCAAGGTCCCTGCGACGACCGTCCTCCCCCTTAATCAAAGAGGTCTTCTTTGTCGCCTGCCTAGGGGAGACTACTCAAGGTCCAGCACGGACGAGCGACGGGACGGTTGCACGTACACGTCGAGTCGAGCGATTGAGTAGGGCTCAGCAGGTGAGCAATATGAGGCAAGATTCCTGTTATAGTCCGTCGGCCTGGTACCTTACTTTCCTCAGCCCGTATCGCCGTCCAACGTAACCCAGCACACTCGACTGGATTACTTTCCAGCGTTGGGCCTTGTTCTCCGAAGCGCGCGCGCATTCCCCCCGACGACATTGGGCGCAGGAGAACACCACTCCACGAACGTTTGTCTTGTTCTTGACTATTCTCAAATCATTGTGATATGTATTGCGCCTGCCGGGGCAGTTCAATCGCAAGTCATCGTTCCGAAGCGTTTCGGCGTCTAGGCAATCATCGTGACTTCCAGCGGCGTGTGTCCGTCGCCAGTCACCACTTGAAGCTTGAAGCTTGAGAGCCCAATAGAGCTGACACCGGAAACGAGGATTGCAATCAGGTCGCGATATGAAGCCAGGCGGTGCGGCGTTCAGAGGGTTTCGAGGGCAAGATCGCGGTCTTCCGATGGATCCGCCAGTGGGTTTGGGGAGGCCTAGATCGCATCGGACACAGGGGCTATATCTAAGCGACACTCCTTATCCAAAGGACGGTCTCACTTATCGCCACAGCCGTATGGTCAGAACCAGGCTCTATACTTCTTCTCTGGCGGCTTTGACAAGAAGCATGACTCGCGGACCGTAGTCTGCTATATAGAGGCGCCTTCGAAGGCTCGCACGCCCGAGCGAGCCTGAGCGCGTCCTGTACTGCACTGACCATCGCTCTCGCAAGCAGAATCCAGCAGAATCAGTATGTCTGTCGAGAACAAAGTCCCCGCCACCGCGACCTCCGTTCAGGAGACTACGCATGTGAAGATCCCTCCGTTCAAGCATCCCCTGGACCCCCTGACTCCCGATGAGGTGCGGTACACACACACACACGCTCTGTACCGCACTAGCTGAACAATCGCGCAGATCGTACAAGTCGGGCTGGCTGTGCGTCAGTACACGGCCGCGAAGACGGATATCAAGGCAATCAGGTTCATTACGAGCTACCTGTTGCCGCCGCCCAAGAAGGCGGTCCTGGCGTATCTGGGCATCCCTCTCGACCCCGGCGAGAAAGCAGAGAAAGTGCCGCAGATCGTACGCAAGGCAGAGGCAGATGTAAGTGCAGTGTTTGTCGCTTCTCCGCGTATAGCGTGTGGCTGACGATCGGCGATCAGTTCTGTGATGTGGTTACTGGGTGCGCGGGATACCTCAGCCAACCAGAGCTGAGAACGCTTATGCCTCCGCAGCGACTCGTACAACACAGTTCTCTCGCTGAAAGACGGAAAGTGGGAGGTGGACACCGTGGAGAAGCTTCCGGAAGGTGTGCAGCCGCAGATTAGCGTCGAGGAACTGCTCCTCTGCGAGAAGATCATCCGAGAGGACAAGAAAGTGCAGAAGCTCGCCGCCGACGTCGGTGAGTAGCCTAGTTCAGCCAGGTTGTGCAAGCTCGTGACATCGGAGGAGGCAGGCATAACCCCGGAGCAGCTCCACGCTGACGGTTGGGCCATCGGGTACGATGACCGCTTCCCGAAGAAGGCACGCATCCAGCAGGCCCTGCTGTTCGCCCGCTTCTCGAAACATGACAACCTCTACGCGCATCCAATGGTAGCCATTCTAGATCACAAGTAATGATCGTGCATACTAACCCCCTCCAGGACTTCATCCCCGTCGTCGACTCGCTCGCCCAGAAAGTCATCCACATCGACTTCCCTCCGCGCTACTACGCACAAGCCTCCCCGTCCAACTCGCTCTTCAAGGACTACGGCGTCGAGAGCGCTCTGTCCACCCCAACCACGGCCCCGCCCCCGCTCGACGCAGACGAACTCGAGGTAGCCCAGCGCGCGCGGCTCCCGCCCCCGCGCGAAGCATGGGACTTCCTTCCGGACCTGATGGCGCAGAAGCCGGGCGCGGACTTCAAGGTCCGGGACGACGTCAAGCCGCTGCACGTCGTCCAGCCGGAGGGCGTCAGCTTCAAGATGGACGGCCACGTGCTCGAGTGGCAGAAGTGGAAGATGCACATCGGTGCGTGTGTGCCGGGGATGTCTTGCGTGTAGTTCTGTGGTGTGCTGAATGGATGTGATGTGTGCAGCGTTCCATCATAGAGAGGGTATCGCGATCTCGACCATCACGTATAATGACGACGGCGAGGTTCGCCCGATTTTCTATAGGCTTTCGCTCGCGGAGATGGTGGTGCCCTACGGCGCACCGGAGCACCCTCATCCGCGAAAACATGCGTTTGATGCGTGAGTGGTGCAAATCGTGCTCCGAATGTTCTCTTGCTGACTAGATCCATGCAGCGGCGAGTACGGCATGGGCACAATGGCGAACGAGTTGTCTCTGGGTTGCGATTGCCTCGGACAGATCCACTATCTGGTGCGTCATGACAAATCTCTCGCCGCGTACGTTACTGACTGGACGGTCGAGTACAGCCTGGTGCCTACACTGCTCATGACGGAAGCGCTGTTGTGATCAAGAATGTCATCTGCATTCACGAGGAGGACGCAGGGCTGCTTTGGAAGCACACCGATTTCCGTGTGGGAGGCCGCTCACATGCAGTCCGTAGCCGCCGACTCGTCGTCAGCATGATCTGCACGCTGGCAAACTACGGTACGTTCACAGACTGCGCAAGTATGGGCGCGTCCACTCATGTCTATTCAGAATACATCTGGAACTGGTTCTTCTACCAGGACGGCAACATCGAGATGGAGGTTCGCCTCACCGGTATCCTCCAGGTGTACGTCAAGGCCGAGGACGAGCCGACTCCTTTCGGGACGACGCTCGCGCCCGGTATCAACGCGCACTATCATCAACACATCTTCTCTGTGCGTATCGACCCGATGATCGACGGGCTGCACAACAGCGTCGTCGAGACGGACGTCGTCTCGCTCCCGCAGGACGCGCGGTCGAACCACGCCGGCAACGCGTTCCTTACGCAGAGCACGACGATCAGCAAGGCGCGCGACGGCGGGCGCGACATCGGCTACGACGCCGACCGCCGCTGGGCTATCGTCAACCCGAAGCGGCGCCACCCGTACTCGGGCAAGCTCGCGGGGTACACGATCGCCGGCCTCCGCGGCGCGGCGGTGCCCTTGAAGACGCGCGACGAGGGTGTCGTCGCCACGCGCGCGCCGTTCGCGAAGAAGCCGCTCTGGGTTGTGAAAGACGTCGAGACGGAGAAGGGCGGGCGCATGTGGCCGAGCGGGAAGTACATGCCGCAGACGCGCGAGACCCCGAAGGACTCGATCGCGGGATGGGTGCAAGGCGACGACAGCCTCGAGGAGGAAGACATCTTGGTGTTCCTTACTACAGGTGGGTTGTTCTCCGATACGATGCTCAGCGGGTGTTGATCCGAGCGTGTTGTAGGTGTGACCCACATCCCTAGACCCGAGGACTGGCCGGTCATGCCTGCTGAGCACGTTCGTGTGCTCTTCAGGCCCACCAACTTCTTCACGTCAAATCCTAGCATGGATGTTCCTGGGGCGAGTGATTCCCGCAGCGTAGCGGCCTTCACGCAAGAAGGCGGTGCATGCTGCGCTCATTGAACTGCAGAAATGAAAGAATACATGAATGTAATTGTAGACCCCATCATTCGTTACCGTGTAATGAATTGCATCAGGCCCACGCGGGTGCAGCGATGTTCCGTCTTGGGTCGTCGCGATTTGTTTGGTATGTAGTCGCTCCCGGAAGCATAAGTGACATCCTTGCACGCGGATACGGACCACGCTGGCCCGAGCAGTGCGGGTCATTCATAGATACGCCAGCAGAACACTGCAGGAATTGTACACAATGCCAATATGTCAATACTGCTATCTAAATACCACAATATGCTCGAGTACCGTACTAGCATGCCCTGCGATCGCGATTCCAGCCCTTGGTATAGTTGACCGCAGACATGAAATGCTACATGTAATTTTGGTTGGCGGCACGTCGCCTGGAGGGACGCGCACGGGGGACCTACGAGGACCAAGAGTCAAGTGAAACCGAGCGGAGCGGAGCGCCACAGCAACAGACAAACATCGACGATGCGTCGAAAGCACAGCAGGAAACCAGAGTGTTCACGTAGGAGCGAGGAGCAGTAGGGTCGGTTAGACTAGCGACTTGATCATGAGGCCCTCCAGACGGCAGAACTCGGGCACGATCGCGGCGTAGGACATGAAGGCATCCACGTCTGGCTCGGCGACCTTCGCGAGGCCGAGTTGCAGTTCAGCGTCGGAGGTGGGCATGGCGGTAACAGGGACGAGGGAGGTAGGGGTGGATTGTGCAGCGGAGTCGGTGGCGGGTGTCTCAGCGGTAGGGGTGGTGCCTCCTAGATCGGGAGTGGTGAACGCAGTGGAGGGCCCATCGAGTGTACTGCCTGACATGGAGGTGCCCGCGGTCGAGCTCGTCACCGTCCGCATGCGGCCGAGGTCTGCTTCGTTGAACGCAGATGCTCCAAACGAGCTCTGCATCCCCCCGATCTTGTCCAGCTCCTCGCTCTCGTCTTCGTCCTCCTCCACGAGGATCGTCGCACCGAGCGTCGAGCGGGTCCCGTGGCCATACGGCGTGCTCGCGCCGCTCCCCGCAGCACTGGGAGCCTTGCTGTTCGCGCCCGGTGCGTTCACGTCCGTGCGGATCGGCGCGCCGCCCGACGCCGCCCAACGCTTCGCGAGCAGACGGCGGACTTCCTCCTCGAACCCGCCCCGGCCGGTGCCCGCAGGCGTGCCCTTCTCCTTGCCCCACACCCACCGGGCGACGTACGCGCCACCGAGAGCCGCACGCGCAGGGAATCCCTGTGGGGGCGCATTCCGATGCGGTACGACCTGTGCGCCGTCAATCTGCGTGGTGGGCACCAAGACGGGTGCATTGAAGATATCGCCGACAAGGTTGGCGATGGACGGGAAGTTTGCGGCGGCGCCCGTCGAGATGACGCGTGTAGGAAGGGGAGTATAGTCATACGGGTCGAACGGAAGACCCATGTAGTTTGCCGTGCCCGTCTGGTTGCGTTTTTGCTGGGACACGGGGCTTGGCGAGGCATTTGCGGCACGACCCCGACCAGCGTTGGGGCCGAGGACGCCGGTGGAGAGCATGCGGGACCAGCGAATGCGGAAGGAGAGGACTTGGCTCTCCAGGAGGCATCGCGGGTTCGCACGGAGGTCGCGGAACTCGTTGACCTTCACACCGGTCTCAAAGCGAAAGATGCCTTTGACGTGTGAGAAGGGGTAGGCATCCCCTTGCAAAAGCCAGTAACTGAAGAGCTTGTCGTCGAGTCTGTTCGCATCACCTCAGATGAGCGATCCGTGTTTCGAGCCAGAATCAAAACGTACCCTATTGAGCCTCCAGGCGGGACAATGGCTACCAGACGATCGAAAGCACTCCAGCTCTTCGTGTACATGTCGCGCACGAGCGCGCGAGGAACATCTGCGTTCCTGCTTGACAGCATGAGGACGTAGCGTCGCCGCTCGCTAGCGTCCTGCGCAGGATGTGGGAAGAGGGTGTACAGGCGGGTGGGTATGTAATTAGTGGCAGGCGCCAACAAGGCATCCATCGGGCCAAAGGAAAGCACAGCATCGGACGGTGAGGGGCACAGAGAGAGGTATGTTGAGAGATAGTCCGATGTGAAGGGCGTGACAATAGTTTCTATCCAGACAATATGAGGACGATCTCCGCACGACAGGAATGTACTACTCACCAGGATCAAAGCCATACCGATCGACCAAATATCGCGAGATACTGCCAATCCTCCGCCGCCCACCTGAGATGTCCACATCGCCCAGCCATCCCCAGATTCGCCTACCCTCGTCTCTACTCCCGCCAACGATCTCAAGAACACCCTCATCCCAATGACTCGGTGTCCCCGCAGGCTGTGGCCCAGAGTGCGCCCAAAGACCCGTGGCGCACGCCTCTGCCTCGCCCATACCGGCATACGCTCCACAGAAGAGACTTGCTATGAAGCTACTGGCGACCTGTACCTTGCCTGTGCGCGCCCACACCTCGGGCCAGGCCTCGCGCACTCGCAGGAGCTGCGCCGCGAGCAGCGACGCATGCGCGCATGTCCCTACGCGTGCCGCCATCAGGTCCGGTCCACCGAGCGCCGCCTCCAGCGCGAGCGCGTGCGTGTGCGCAGACGTGTCCTGAGCGACCGGCGTGTTCTGCAGCGTGAACGCGGTCATCGGGATCTGCGCATGGATTGGCAGGCGAGGATCCAGCGCCTGGAGCTGGGGCATTTGGCTGGCATGCCACCAGACGAGGGCATGCTAGACGCCGATGCGCAGATCGAGAATGAGCGCGCGCACGCGGCGATGAAGTGCAGCAACGTACCTGGGCAGCACCGCCGACGGCCTTGATCCTCGTCAAATCGTATCCCTTGCCAATCTTCTCCATGAGTATGTCTACGTTCACGGGGCAATATAGGATCGACGGATCAGGCAGGTGGGTCGCACGGTGACGAAATGAGTAACGCGTCGATAGACAAAAAGCAGATTTGCTTCCGTGAGGCACTCACCAAAGGCCTTGATCCACATCTCAACAGGCGTCGTGAACGCATCTCCTGGAGTCGTAAAGATGCCTCCGTGTGTCCTGTACGCCATGTCTGAGTGACGTCCGACTAGGCAGGGCAATGTAGCGGCCGAAACTTGACGACTCACTGGTACTCCGGCAGTCCCGTATCGAAGTCCACACACTCTACGCCCATCAACTCCAAATTTTCATCCACAATCGACGCACGCAGCTGGTCCGTCGCAAGCTCGACGCCCAGGAAGAGCGCAGACATGGTTTTCGGCGGCATGGTGATGGCGCAAGCAAAGGTTCCCGCGGGTCGCCTCAAATTTCTCAGAAAATCTTCCTATCGCGTGTATCGTCGTCGCCCGTGTCAGAGAGCTGGGGACGGTGGTCGTGAGCAAAGAGGAGAGGACGCCCGAAAGAAGAGAAGGCGTTCGTTCGCAGGCGGGTCCATCAGCATCAGGCATCCCAGCTTGGGCGTCTCCGCCTGCCTCATGCTGCAGTCTCCCACGGTGCAGTAGCCGGCATTCCCGGCATGGGGAACATCCCAACCCGCCTCGACCACCGTCAGCGTATGTTTTCCTTCCCGACATGCAGGAATTTGGCGACTCACCCATGGGGAGGACGCTCGGGAGCGCTATTTGTCGAACATGCTTTTGACATGGTCAGCAGTATGTTTAGGCGCTCATGTATCCCGCAAGGGCCGCAATGGCAGGGTCAGGAACCTGGACAGTGCGAACGGCGGGCACATCAAGACTGCAACGATTTCGACAGTAAAGGACAGCAACTGTATAACGAGGTTTGCTTTCCTTTTCAGTTCACTAGTAAGATGCCTACTGACCTCTTTTACATGCGTCCGCAGCTTCTTCGTTTCGACCGTCAATTCCCTGCAGGTACAGTCAGTCAATATTATCGCTACGAAGCCACCATTCAGAAACCTCGCTGGTACGCGTTTTACGACGTCCCTTGGTTTTCTGTCCATGCAGCCTCAGCCATGCATGCCGGAAGTCTCTACACCTGTGGTCCTTACTGGTAGTATCGACCCGGTCGACCCAGATGAACACATCGACCGTCTTGATGGTACCGGTATGCCAATGATGACCTCCGTCGAGGATCACTGGATTATATCTAGTGAGGCACATATGGATTCCAAGCAATGACATAGCCAAACGTTCTCGAAGGTCGGCATACCTCTTCTGACATCGCCGCCGGACATTGTGGCTCCTATACCCTTTCGCTGAGCCATTATAGGTCGATTAGAATCTGGCAATTGATAGCATCGTCTTCACGGCGCTTCCGGACGTGCTGCTTACCTGTATGTGTTCTTTGTTGATCACTTGCTCGATTTTACACGCAGCCTTGCAGAGCGATGTTTTCCCAATTGGATCTTGCCAACAATGGCTTCCCGAGGATCGCAAGCCATACCATGTGGTCGCTCTACGGGTACGAATTCTTTCTGTCTACTCAAAGACTGTGCGGGTGTACTCACCAGAGTTGTCAGCCTATTTGTTCATGTATCATGATGTATGCGGATCCGTCCATCGCAGACGCCCCTGAATGTCGACCACTACGCAGTCCGTCGCTGACCCGGCGAACAGTACTTATGTGCCCACAGAGACTCGGGGAAATAGGTGACTCCGAAGCGGGGAATTCTGCGTCTATTGCTACTACCGTCTTGAGACCCTTCGTAGAGCGGCTATGGCGCCAGCATATAGCATGCGGCGTAGCGTGGATTATCAGGGGCTGAGGTCGAGAAATTCTGGATGGGCGGTGAGTGTGAATGCGAGCAGTCATCGTACCGATTTCAGCGTTCTTTAGACACGCATACAACATGGTCCCAATATTAACCTTGCCATTGTCCGCCTCATTCTTACCGCGCTTCAAGTTGGGAACTCGGGACACTTGGGAAACTACGAAACTCACCAGTTGCACTGAGCCGAATGCTCTGCCCCGTCGAGTGTCACTCATCTTTCCACGCGGTATTGACCTATTTTTGTGAAGAGTCGACGAGGATACACATAGTGGAAGAAGACAAGGAGGATTGATCACTGTATGCGCAAGATAGTTGGCGCTCCTCGACGCGTCACGGTCACGTGGTAAGCGTACGCGTCTCCCGAAACGGCACTCAACGCTCTTAATCACTACGATTTGCAGGGGACATGTCTTCTCGGAGTTGCTCGTCTACAAGGTGTTTTCAGTCGATATCCATTATTGTATGATCTTTATTGACGCCGTCGTTTACAAGGAAATGTGGAGGGCGAACTCGTGAGTCGTCCATCATGAAGCATGAGGATCCGCTCAGGAAGACGAGTTGCGCCGCCGCCACCTCGTTCAATTTTAGACTTAACATTAATTGTGCCATCTGACGATGAAAACGAAACTTCACTCTCCAGCCCCCGCGCAGAGCTCTCCCCGCTTGGCCCCTGCGCAGATTAGGTGGTGTCTACCTCCGGTGTCATGCGGCTCCGCGCGGCCTCGTACACCAATGCTACACTTACCCTAGGACGGCATCACGCTTCTTGGTTTCTCATGTCAACAGATTCTTCTTCTCTCCCAGCATGCCCGTTGATTTGCCTGAACTTCATCCCGCCGGACATCACGCCGTTGTCTCCGAGTATGAGGACGGCGCAGGTGGAACGCTTCCTGTATCACGGAGGTCCTGGAGGTCCTTCCCTCCTCCAGCTTTTGAGCCTTCAAGATGAGAGCGGGCGACCAATCTTGAAGCTCACTGGCGAGTCCGTTGGTTCAAAGCACATTGTCGAGGTCCTCGTGTCTGAGGCAGACATACTCCATGCTTGTGCCCACTGTGGGATGTGGGAGCCGCCAGAGGGAGATCGGTTCACCGCCTGCGATGCCTGCAAGGTAAGGTACTACTGTTCGGAGTTGGTAAGGTTTACTTGAATATATCAGCTCGTGATTGCTCTTTTGACCATTTCTTCTTGTTCGCAGTGTCAGAAAGAAGATTCGCGAGAAGACTTGCACGGCACAGACTGCCTGATGCTTCAGCAAGGCAGAGAGCTTGACGTAGAACGTCGCCGCAAGTTACACGACAACTTTTGGAATTTGAAGAACAGAAAGGGTACGTGTTTGTCAGGTGCCTAGAAATCCAGTCGAGCTGATCAACGAATACTACTACAGACCATTCAACCTTCGACCCAACACGAATCAAATTTGCGGGGCTTAGAAGCGACCGTGTCTCGTACGTAGCGTCTTCGTGCTCCGCCTGTACTCTGTGTGGTATTCTGACCGATGCGCATATCATCAGCACATCACCTCCCTTCTCACTACAGTATTGCAAATGCCATGTATCCGGTGCTGCATGAAATACGCGGACGTCGATCTTTCGCTGTTTCAGTTAGCGTGTTATGCTCAAATCTGCTACGCTCGGCGGTTTCGTATGCACTCGGCCCCTGAAACCACCTACAATACATCTATGTATCTTGATTAATTTCCTTCCTACAACCTGGGAGGCAGTCGGCGCCGACTAATTGAAGCGAATACATGTCCTGTTTGCTATGATATGTCGGGTTCTCTACCTTGGCGGTGTGGAGGAGAAATCCGGCCGAGGTCTAGATCGACGCGTAGCGTCACGGTTTTACTACTATTTTCTCTCTTGGCAGTGTTAGCTTATATCATTTCGCATGCAGACGTTACCTACGATACAAACATCAATCTACTGTACCATCGACTCTACCGGCGCGCTCGCGAGGAACCGGAAGGCGGAGGCGGAGGACCGACCATAGGGCGAAGGCGGGCGACGTCGAGCAGAGTGCCGCACCTGTCGGGGGCCCAGGTCGCGAAAGTCAATAGCACCGCTCCGCCGCTGTCAGCCCCGCGCCGAGACCATGGTCCGCCGTTCGAAGCCGGAAGGGGAACCGACGGACGTCGTCACCCGGGCGGGTGTCCCATACGGTACTTTCCTTATTCGGTAATATTCCTTCCCGATCTGTCAATGATCGTTTGCCTGTCACTCATCGCCTTTCCTTTCGAACTTACCTCATCTCCCCTTGCGTCATCCTTTGCTCCTTAGTTCCTTCTCGCTCTTGTCGCGCTGCGTGTACTTATAGAGGGCCGCGTCGCCCGTTCTCGCTATCGAATCTTACCCTCTCGCTTCTCCCCCACTCGCTTTGCGCTCTTCAAGGATCGGCACGGACGAGCGACGAGACGGTCGCGCGTGCACCTCGGGATCAGCAAGTCGAGTCGTTGAGTCGTCAAGTAGTTAAGTAATCGTTACATATCTTCGCGCGGCCCCAATACCCTACATATCGTATCACTCGTCGTCCTCTCTCTAGCCCGAACACCCACTTCGCTGACTCTCTAGAACACCTGCTCCCGGAAGTCGTTTGCTCGCGTGTCGATACCGCGCGCGTGCTTTCTCTTCCACAGCGGCACTCGTGCAAATGTGGCTGGAACTCAATTCGTTGCCGCTGGGACTCAAGTACTCAAGCTACAAGGTTTGGCCGGACGCTTGGGTTGCGTGATTCAGACCCATACAGTCTGTGCTAAGGCAACCTGATCAGAGAACGGGGGATAGCAGTTCGAACTTCGCGCACATTGGAACAAACAAACAACTGACCCATGAGCAGCGTCCTCAATTCACTGGCACGACTTGGATAAGATGCCGGACAAGCAGTTGAAATCACGTGCCGACGCGATGGATGATGATGATGGTGACTTCTGCATTTATTAACCGCCACAAGCTGCCGACGCGATGGACTAAACCGTAGGATCGCAGAAGGATCGACTGGTTAATATTGGTAGTTCATCAAGCGGCTACCCAAAGCACGAGTCGGGTTAATTCCGAGGAACACACTCCATATGAGTGTGGGCAAGGCCGACGAGGGCATCTGCATTAATGAAGGAAGGCCAAGAAGAGGGCCATCGCACGTCAGATCAGAGATGCCATGCATCAGTAGGAGGGTCTCACCTCCGAGTCTGCCAGTACCGTTCTCCCGTGAAGTCAGAAGACCAAGGCGAACATTGAATAAATTCAATAAGGTAGTTGTATCAGATCCAATATACGCACCGAGGTCCCGGGTATCCAAGACGGTGTAGAATTCTAGGGCGACTTGATGATAGGACTCCTGATGAACAGAATCCGAACATCAGCTAGTATCGTGAACCTAAGTCTGACAGCGAGGGGTATTAAAAGGACACCGTGGTGAGAGAAGCTGGCCTGCTGGCAGTTCGCTTCCCATGTACGCTAGGAAATAGAATGACCGGAGAGGCGAGGGTCGGACTTGAAGTTAGCAGCATCACAGCGCAAAACCGATGATCGTGACGTTTCCCCGCGAGGCCGTCACTACACCTACAGATGCCTACGATTGGGTTAGTATTTTCAGATGAAGAGCACGTCATAGTTGTTCTTTGCTAATAAGTCGTGGCGTGTAACGGGGGAGATGCAGACGCGATCTCGTATTGCGCCGTCGGATGTGTAGCGGACGTCTGATCTGCGTCATTGGCTCTCTAAATGAAGTGAGGAAATATAGCTGGTAGCGGGCAATCTGTGGGAGTACATCCATCATATCAGTGCGACATGACGGAACGAAGCGCCACCACTGCTCACCTCTACAAATGGAGTATTTCTGTGTTCCACGCTCTACCCTTCGACGGCGACGGCTGCTTGTCCCCAGACTCGGATGACAGCGTCGTCTTGGCCATAAGAGGTCTGTTTGTCTAACAATATCATGACCTATGGTATCAGTATCTCGTTGGGCCGTGTATTGCGTTCATACCGTGACACCCTGCAGTGACATCTGCACGCGAGTGTACGTCTTGAAGCTTGAAGACAATGTCCGCTCAGGACGAGTACTTGAAAACAGTCGTAAAGCAAGCAAGTAGCATAGTTCCACTCTTCCAAGATAAAGCAGATGCTTCTCCTGCATGAAGGAGTATTCGCAGCGGCACAGGACAACCGTCCGACTCGCCGGAGTCGGAGGAGCGGCTTGGTCACGGCGCGCGGCGGTGAAGCAACATAGGATCTCGGCCGTTGCCGGTGGCTTCAGCCACAAAGCTACCGGCGACTTATCGACGGTCACCAAGTCCACTTGTCTGCTTGCAGCCATGTCGACTTCAACACCGTGCCTTTCCGAGTTCTATTCACATTTTGCTGGTCAATTCCTGCTATCATTGCGATTGTGAGACTTAGACCGAGGCAACCAAGAGGAAACTGCGGTACGTTGCGAAACTCATGTCGGGCGCGGTGTCGCTTCTGTGGTAACAGGTCCAGGACGCCCGCATTGACCTGCGTAGGCGGCGATTAGTAAGTCCTCAGCGTTACTCAATTGGATTATCCTGGATCTCATGACAATTATTCGACTATTCTAGGAGTGAGGTATCTATCAATGCTGTACCCCTCCGGGCCTAGTCTCGCCACTGCGAGGGGTGTGTGACGAACCTACTTCCGGGCCACAGAGGCTCTATGGAGGCGAAGGTATCGTAAGCGGGAAGGGTTTCTCCGTCAGCTCTGATAGATGGGAGCTGTACAGGCGCGTATGGATGCAGCATAAGGACGAGACACAGTCATTTACGGTGTTTGAACCATGACTTACCCCCAGAATTTGCCCGGAACCTCCATACGGACAAGGGGGCACGACGTGACAGCCTGAGTACGATACAAGAAATTTCGGTAATCGACATCTCATTCGTGGCGTATTTCACTCAGCTGGACTGCATCACAGAGAACGATCCCTATGGAATGACTACAGCACGCATCATTGAAAAAACCCTCGATCTCCGAATTGGATGTGTCACATTACCACTCCTTGCCACGATGAGGGCTCCTTGATTGCGCGCAGCGATCATGATGGTTCTTGGTCCACAGTTCTGTTGGACATTGTCCGGTCGCCTCTCAGCAATCCCCATGCGGGCACCCGACCCAGCATGGCCCCGATTGGAGCTCGTGCATTAGGTGTGTCCACGCAAGTCATATGCGGATATGAGCGGCTCGATGACACAGGACCGGCTGTCTCTTTCGTCTTGCGGGTGCATAGGTTTCAGGCGAAGTGACGGCATCCGTCGGTCGGCCTTATGCAAGTTGCCTCATGGAAGCCCGCAGGCAGTCTGGCGCTGGCCGCCATGACAGAACCTCGCTTCCGTAATGCCCCGTTTTGGCCACCAACATATTTTGTGCCCCTCTTGTGGTAATAGGTCTACATGGCCAGACGAGCACGAAGACACTGGCGATTGACTGATGGTAAGTCGTACCTCCGTGTGCCAGAAATCGAATAAACGTCGAAGTGCTTATGTTCTCAGTACGGACGGCGCACTGCACTTGACCAATGAGGCCTCCCTTGTAGCCTCTAATCAGTGGAAACACCCGAATTTGGGTCTACGACCGTAGGCCACGGCGGTGAGGCGGTACAACTTCATGCCAGGCGCTGTCCGATTGCACCGGTCTTCTATGCGTGAGAGAAAACCTACCTAATAATACTTGCACATCGAATTTGAGTCTTGACATCGTGGCAGTCGGCCGACGCGAGACTCGGCGCAAGGCTCAGGGATTTTCGAGCAAGGTCGTCAGTAGGTGAGGCCGCTCTGGTCGTATCACTGCTGGTTCCGACTCACTTGTCTTTGCCTGAAGATCGCTCGCTATGATTTCAAGGTCCCATTGTTCTTCTCGTATCAATTGCCATCGTGGATCGCTCCTCAATCTTCAAAACCTTTTGGCACGACACCCGCGAAGTGAGTCAGGGAGCTGGACTTCAAACGAGCCGAGCGGATCGCTTCGGGGTTTCGTTCGGTGTTTAGCAGAGTCTGCGTCCGTCCGAGATCTTTCAGGACCCAACCGGAGTAGCAAGACCTGACACGTTCATCATTCTCTATGGAGCGACTCCCACACGGACGAGAACGGCTGCCAGCATACCTAGCATACCACCCCGTATGCGAGTGACTTCGCAGCTCGATCGCAGCTCGATCCGAATCTGGCGCATTTTACACGTCATGACATGCGAAAGTTCCATCTCTCAGCTCCGCTGTTGTCAGGGGGCGGCGAGATCTCCTGGACAACATCTGAACATCGCTTTGCAGCAGCCGACTCGGCGCGTAGTTGCGGGACCGGTCCTCTGGGTCAAAGAGGCCGCGTTAAGACGCCTGATCGTCTGCATCTTTTCTGGATCTCTCCCATACTCTTTCCAATAGGCTTGTCGGTGCTTCTGTGATACCAAACGGTCGTCGCTGCGCGCCCCACGTGCGGACAATGTCCCGAGTAACGCTGCTAGTGCGCGACACGCTGGCTTCCTCAGTCCATCGGCGACTACCCGCAAACTACCCGAGTTGGACGGAGCCGCGCTTGGCGATGAGGACAGCCGCGACCGTGCTTGCCATACGTAACCCACCGTGGGGGACCGTCCTGGCCGTTGACACACAAGGTACATGTGCGCGGTCAGTCCTGGTCAGTCATGCAAAATGATGTAGACTGATTTATCGGGGCCGCGCTGATGAAATGTGGCGGGTGGATCAGACCCGGTGCCTGTATCGCGCCAGAAGACATGGAGCTGTTTTGTCTCAGTTCAGACTGATCCATGAGCCAAGGGGTTGCGGCTGGTTGCGGTGTACCAACTTGGTACCAGCTGCGCGGTCCTCCTCGTATTCCGTTTCCGGACAGCCCCTGTCCGCAGCCCCAGCACCACAAATGAAACGGTCCGGCCTCTTGCGAGACCCATCACTGTCAGTTCGGCTTGTCTCGACGTGATGTGTGCTATAAGTACTCTAGTCTAGCATCGCTAGACCGGTTTCACCCTACTCGCATCCCCCGGTTCCCAGTTCGTCAGTGGGAGCCTTGTTTCTAGCCATGTACTTTCCTGTCAATGTTGTTCACTTCGTCCTTGCCGTTGCTTTGTTTGGGTTCGTGATGGCTCTGAGGTACAGACGTCCCCACTTGGCGCCGCCAGGTCCAGCAGGTTGGCCATTCATCGGTAACTTACTGGATCTGCCTACGTCCCAACCTTGGATCGCCTTCGCGCAATGGAGCACACGGTGGGGTGAGCATCATTCACTAGTAAAATCTTGTTCTCGCTCACGGAAGGGTCGTACTAGGTAACATCATGCAGCTCGACCTCTTGGGGCAGCCCTTGGTCATCGTGGGTTCGCACCAGACGGCAGTCGACATGCTTGGGCGGAAGACCTCAATGTACTCGGATAGACCTCGCTTGACCTTCTTGGGACGGCTGGTTGGGTGGGACCGCATGACGGCCTTACTTCCCTTTGGTCCTCGTTGGCGTGAGACCCGTCAACTCTTTGCCCCTGCTCTTGGCAGTCGCGCCAGCGTCGTCGCATTCGAGCCTATCATGAACGTTCAAATCACTCGCTTCTTGCCTCGTATCATGCAGAGCCCCAACAAGATCGTGGATCAGGTTGTAAGGTATGCGTGTAATCCCATTCGCTCGCATTGTCTGTGGCTCACGAAATCACAGGACTGTAGCTGCCACGACCTTGATGATACTTTATGGCTACGACCTTCGCGAAGACGACAATACCTTTGTGGACATCGCCCGCGTCGCAATGCCCGAATTCTCTTCTGGACTGTTGCCCGGCTCTTACCTGGTCGACCTCCTTCCTATCTGTATGTATCCCGTCGTCCTAGTCCTGCAGGCAACATATTGATCGTTTACATAGTGCAGTACGTTCCGTCATGGATACCGGGCTCAGGGTGGAAGAAGTCAGCGAAGACCTACAAACGCGATCTTAACACGTTGCTGGATACTCCATACGAATATGCGAAGCAAGAGATAGTGCGCTTATTCCGCTAAGCCTCATCCGCTAATTACTGAATGTTATCGCCACTAGGCGAAAGGCAGCACCTTCCCCTCGTTTGTATCCCTTTGCCTTGGCGAGTCTCCCGATGCCGATCGAGAGGAACTCGTCAAGACAGCGGCGTCGTCACTCTATGTTGGTGAGTAAACCGTCAGTCTTCCGACGAAATACGTAGTCTCACTGCTATGCATTCGAAAGGTGCTGTTGACTCGGTCAGTACCACGTTCATACACTTTGTTTCACTGGCGCTCATTAGCTTTGACCGTCGCGTATAGACTAGTTCCGCTGTGACGACTTTCTTCCACGCTATGGCAAAGTATCCCGAGATCCAGAAGAGAGCTCAGGAGGAGATCGAGCGCGCTGTCGGAAACGACAGACTGCCCTTATTGCAGGACCGGCCCAATCTTCCCTACATCGATGCCATTGTATCCGAAGTGCTCAGATGGAAGTCGGCGGTTCCTCTAGGTACTCGGTGATTTCGGTGTCTTCGTGTGCGAAGCTAATTTTGGGGACCTAGGCATGCCGCATCGCTTGCAGCAGGATGACGTACATGACGGCTTCTACCTCCGTGAAGGTACTATCGTGGTGGCGAACATTTGGTGAGCGTTTCAGTAGACGTACGAAGCTTCATGCTCATTGGTTTCAGGCAAATGCTGCATGATCCGGATACATATGCGCAGCCCGAGGTGTTCAACCCAGATCGGTTCATTGCCTCAGAGAAGAACGCTGCTGAGACGGACCCGCGCAAGATCATATGGGGTTTCGGTAGACGGTAAGCATTTGCATTGCACTAAAGTGACAATGGACTGAACGCCGACCCTGCATAGCTCGTGCCCCGGTACGCATACATAACCGGTCTATCAGCAACTTTGCGAAGGTACTCATCAGATCGAATATAGGCTTGTATCTCGCGGACACGTGCATATTTCTTGCCGTCGCACAGATCTTGGCGGCGTTCAATATCACGACACAAGAAGAGCGTGATATTCGAGATGATGACTACACTACCGGGATCATCAGGTATGTGCCCGCTAGCCAATGTGTCTGGGAAGTCGATACTGAGAGGTGTGTTTAGTCACCCTGGGCCCTTCGATTGCACCGCTACCCCACGTTCGGCGAAGGCCGAAGTGCTCATCCATTCTGTAGGCCTGAGCTAAATCAGCAGGAGACCTGCAAATACCTGGCAAACACGCCACTCACCATCATATAATGAACGATCCGTATGTTTTCTTGACGACCTTATGATGCGCATTTGTTGTAATGGGATCTCGCTCTCTGTTCCCTTTGTTCTACTCCTACTACGATCAGTGACAAATCCTGCCACGATCATATAACTTATTGCTTTCGTTGTACCACCCAACCCACCGAATTCTCTTGTTATCGTATTCACATAGATACCATAAAATACTTAGCAACTTCGTAGTCACCGATTCGACGCTCGCACAGCATCAGGCTTTTGCTTGTACCCACTCGCTCTGACATACGCACTCATACCCACTACTTCGATCTTTCGACGAATGTACCGATAATGCAGGATCAACCACTCTGGCGTAGTCTCAACCTACGCTCTCTGCGCCTTCATTAGCAACGTGTGATTTTGAGAGGTCGATCGTTAGCCAGGTGCAGTGTCGTGTTAGTTTTGAGGCCTGATGTCTCGTTGTCAGCAGTGCTCATTTGAGCTCTCAGTGCTCGGGGTAGCTCTTGCACGGTATGCTTCGCATCTCGAGACTCGATGTCATTATGACGAGTACGCATACATGCAGTACGAGCAAAGCCTCATAAGTGAATCTCGGGCCCAACTTCGTTCCAAAACAGGCATCGCTCTTCGTACTCTAGGGGGAACGCTTCCATGCGTGTCTCTCCTTCACCTTCCTGAATCACTAGCCGACCTGAGGTCGACGCCGGCCACAGAGGTGCGGGAGAGAGCGCTCCGGTGGATGCGTCGATGGCCACGTGCGCAGCAGGATTGAAGGACCGAGAGAACGACGTCCAATACCCTGTGGCCTCTGTCGAAAGTGCCTGCTCGGACGCGTTAAATGGAGCAAAACTCGAGGCAACGCCTGGATACGGTCCAGAGCTGCGACGAAACGATCAGCAGGGAAACCGAGTTAAACCGACTTGGTTGGGGCCACGCACTTTGTCCCATTGAACAGGAAGAACAAATCGGATGTGTGCATAACACCTTCCCATGTATTTTTGGCCAATTGCACAGGGTCCGGAGTATTCCAGCGGTAGTTGTACACTGCTGCGATGCCTTCACTCTGCAACTTCTTAGCAATGAACCAGTCTCTGATGAAGACGAATCAGATATGGGGGGATGGTATACTTCGTGATTCTGCATGGTACGTACTGGCATGTAATCACAGTATCGCCAAAGGCCGTCTTCGCTCGCTCGTATGTCGAGTTGAATTCGTCCGCGGGATATAGCTCCGCGACTCGAGCGGCAGTGAAGTTCGACTACCAAAGCATCAGCGACATTCTTATGAAGTCAATCCTTGCGCACCAGTGTCGTATATCGCCTTCGAAGAGCAGCGATGAAGCCGTCGGTAGTGTTCGTGATTCCACTCGGAGCGCCTACAAAGATGCTTCCGTCGTCCGTGCAATGTCCCCCAATGAATGGCATCTTGTGGAATTTGCCCTCTCGAATGAGAGTCGAGGGGTAGTCGGGGAGAAAATCTTCGTCGATGATCGGCAAATATTTGCATGCGCTCGGCTTGCCGTTCACAGCGGCAACGATCGCAGACAATGGTGCAGCACGGAGACAAGGCATCGTCTCCGTAGAGTTGTCAGGACAGCCAACAGTCGCGGCCACGTTCGCAAAGCAGTACTCGTATGTGGTGGAGTCAGGGATCGGGTCTGTGCCAATGCTCTGGGTGATCTGTAAGCAGAAGTCTTGAGTACTGCGTTTCGAAGTACAACGGTGGGGCTCACCGCGGCTTGGAATGGTGCCTCGCCTTGCCCTCCGTAAGCTATCATCTGATACACGATATCTGCTGCACCCTGACCACACGAAACATCAGCAATGACCCTACGAGAAAGTGTGAGGACATGACATACGGCACTTTCGCCGACGACGGTGACATGGTCAGGGTTGCCACCGAATGCAGCGATATGCCTATTCCAGTGCCAGCGTGTGAGCATTGCTCAACATAGTGGATCATACATCTGTGTACCGTTGCACCCATTGGATTGCTGCACGCTGGTCCAGTAGCCCAACGTTGGCCGTACCGTTCTCCATGAGCACGTCGGATGCGAGGAAGCCGAGTAGGCCGAGGCGGTATTGAATGTTGACCGCAACAATGTCCCCGCCACTTCCCTGGACCCAGGTCGCCATAGGAAACCCTTGCGCGCTCTATGGATAAGGTTTCTCATGAGGCGGACCTCTTGCGACACAGGTCGCTGACTTACCGCGTAATAATTTCCACCGCCATGTATGTACAGAGCCACGGGCAGATTGTCACCCGCGCGCGCATGTGCAGGCTTCCACACATTGAGTGTCAGACAGTCTGGTAGTCACAATCAGCACTAGTCTAGAGTTTTCGACGCGAACTCAGGACACATACCGTCGGATCCGAAGCCCAACTGGGCAGGCTGTTGCAGGCAAATGTCTCCGAACCACTGTGCGTCAGTGACGCTCTTGTCCGTCGTTGATGTCTCATTCAGCGCAGCGGGCGGACGCCAGCGTAGTTCGCCAAGAGGCGGTTGTGCGTAGCGTATCCCGCCGAAGAAGTGTACACCGGGCACAGATGCATTTCCTAGGAATGCGGCGTAGCCAACGTCGACCACAGGCCCCGTTCCATTTGTACTGACACCGTCTGCATAGTAGGCCGCTCCCTGAACAGACAATGCGCCGATGAACCATAGGGTTGCGACAGTGATGACCAGACCGATGAGGGGCATGATGTGCTGGATACGTCCAGTGGGCCCGACATCGCCTGGGAGTCACGGCTGTGGAGTTATAGGGGATTTTGTGTGAAGTCAAGTTCACAGGCGGCACCTGAAAAGATCAGACGGACACTCACGCGCCATAGGAGCAGTTACAACTGTGAGCAGTATGTAGCGAGTCGGAAGGGGTGACTTGTCCCTTAGCCTGATGTCGTTCTCAGACGGCCCGCCCCGGCCCGCCCTGTCAAGTTGACCATGACATTCATCGTCACGGTGTTGTCCGCAACCTGGACGCTTCGAGATAGGAGCCGGGAGGAGAGGCAGCACGGTTATTCGATTTGTAGTACATCCGTACTTTCGGCTCATCACGAATTCTAGATCACTGCGACGTGAGCACCACTATCCAATGCGGCGGCGTACCCTGTTCAACTTGGACGCACCACTGGCATGGAATTAGACATATATCGCTGCCGATGCAGCATGAAGACGGTCGTCGCCGATTACGCCCGGTGCTGCCATGGAATAACGCTCGCTGGGTGGTGTGGGCAAGCTCTCAGATCTCAAGCTTGATCAAGCGACGGTACCAACACGGTTGAACCTCCATCGCATGCAGAACTAGTAGCACGGTCAGCCGTTGCAGTCAATATTGCGCAATAGACAAGTACGGATGATTGACCGTAAGGCATGTACCTCCCAATGGTAGCACGTCTAACTCGGCGGCCGGAGAGCAGTCCGAGCCTGTGGGTGCACAGTTGTAGCCCGTTGGAGGATAAACACAGTGTACAGCCACACAGACGACCGGTTGCCCAAATATGGCAACAAATGTCGGCCGACTTTCGCCTGGAACTGTGTGAGTTATATCAGATGGACGGGGGACCGCCACTGATGCCTGGAGGTTTTTCAGTATTTTTCCTCCCTGGTTTTAACACGGAAATCCCGCCCAGCCATGTGTGGCTCGTGGGCCAAGGCGTGCTCTCGGACGGCCGCGTCGGAAGAGGTGGTCTCTAGGGGCCTGTCGAAGATGGTGATGATTGGATGATGTCTTGTACTGTTCATGGTAGTGTAGCCGGTAGTACTATGGGTCGTGGTGTTGTAAATAGTGAGCGCTGTCACCGTCAAGACGCTGAGGATCGCACGTGCGCCTACAGCCGGTGGCTAAATGGATTCCTCCTCCTCCTCCTCCTCCTCAGTCCATCAGTACCGCCGCGACGTGGCCATGTCGCCGTCAACTCTTGCCTTCATCCAGCGGCCAGCCGCAGCACCACCTGCTGTCATGCTGACCACGCATGCAGTGGAACACGCGTGCAATGACCCTCTCACTGAGTACGGCAAAGCTGCCACCGCCTCGCCCGTGCTAAGTGCAAGTCGCTAGCCAGACGTCTGGGAATGCGTGGGATAAGTCTTAAGTTGGTGCGTTCACGTATCTCCTCCCAGACTCCTTGAACATGCTTCGGAGCGACATGTCGATTTAATTTGTATTACTGAAGACAGACAGACACCTTCGCGGCGCCACAATGGCGACGCAGGCGATACGATAAACAAATGTGAGTGTCGGCGTCATGCGCGCCGCAGAGCGCTGGGCACGTCACAGCGTTTGTGCATGTGCATTGTACTGACTCATCGTAAGTAGACAACGCGGATTCCGACTCGATGTTTCACAGCACTGAATGGGGTTATAACCTTGATGACATATCACTTTAATGCGTACAGCATGTCATCGGCACAGCTACACTGCTAGCGCTTCAAGCGGAACTCTTTGCGTGACCCCATGACAGTTTGACCTGAAGCGATGCCATCCACAGCGGGAACACACGGGCTTGAGTCACCTTCAAGTTGGCGGCATGAAGTCGGCCACGGCACTATGTCGCGTGCAGCCTGCTATAAAGACAGGAATGGTACCGCAAACTTGCTCGGACTGCCCTTGGTCTCGACCGTGAAGCTCGCTACCCCCATTGAACGACAGCACTATCTAGCTGCACTACCAACTGAATTATCCTTGGGCCACTACTACTCTCTCAACTTGTGCGTCAGATCCTCGTAAAGACGGTACGAAGTGCAGAATGCATCCACTAGAGAACGAGCCGTCATGGACCACCATCACTCGTGACGGAAACACCCTTTACACCAGGTAGGCTCTCGAGATGTCATCGCTGCATGCAAAAGAAGAGACTGATGGTCGACGTTGTAGACCTCTGTTAGCGTCAGAGCTGGTGTCTGATCAATTCGGTCGGTGGGCAGACGGGTTCGTCATCAGATGCTCTTTATGCATCCTCACTTGCTCACCCCGACTCCACAGGATTGTTGACATGGCCTATGGTCTTAGGCTTCGTACCTCGCTTCCATTCGACGAAGTAGCGTCTAGACTCCGGTATGCAATTGCACACCTGAGGTAGGTCCTTCGTGAATTATACGCCCTCTACTACAATACTGACCAGTATTGTCGCTCAGATTCACAAGCCCGCTTATTGCATCTGCCCTAGAGGAAGGTATCCATGATCCGCGATTCCGCTCCTGGGTCTACGCGCCGGTACAATCCGCCCGGGACGCGCTAGATTGGGCCGAGGATGCCGTTGCCGTGCTACCCGACCGCATGAATGCAGATGACCTCGTTTCAAAGGTCGTGAAGACACGATTACCCTATGTCCTCCCAAGCGGGCGCGAACTCATCTTCCGCTGCTTCCTCGCCCGCTTTCCCGCCACTACGCCCGACGGCGTCGATGGGAAGCTGAAGGATGACGAAGTGTCCGTCGTGTTTCATAGCCCGCATAGCATCTCGGACGCTCGGTCTACGCTCAATGCGTTCTCGCTGGTGCTCGAATGGATGTCGAATCCTGCTCACGAGCCTCTCGAGACGCTCGTGTGGGGCACAGAGGCAGAAAACTTGCCCATAGGCCCTGTGACAGCGACAGGTGGGCCCCGCCCAAACTGGGACACGGAGGGCATAGCCCTCATGCAGAAGATCGCGAGAGAGCATGCGAACCCAGCGGTGCGTCACTCACTTCGCATACCAGTGAGCTTGAACGTAGCCTGATAGCGAACGCGATCACTAGCGCGTGCTCTCCCTCACGCCCCAGCGTATGGCACTCGGAACCCCCGCTGAAGTTGTGAAGGCCATCGTGGTGCTGGACGAGGACCAGACGGCGCGGGTCGTCAAGGCCACAAAGGCTGCCGGTTTTACTGTGACGCATCTCCTCGAAGCTGCGCATAAACTTGCTATTCTATCGTTCAACGACACAACCGACCCTTCAGTACGCGACGCCCGTGTCATGAACCCTATGATACCGTGAGCTCCTCCAACTCTTTCTGCAGTTTTTGTAAGCTTACCTATCTTGAATCAGCATGGCGCACCAGCGGCGCTACCAAGTACCCCCTCACGATGGCAAAGGCCACTTCGTTTCCGCCATCTCGTGGGTCCCGGCCTCTGTCCCCGTCGCGGACATCCTCTCCGCGGAGCCGGACTCGCCCAAGGGCCGCCTGCTCGCAACTATGCGCGGCTTCAAGGCTTACTACGACGAGTACCAGCGGAACCCGCATTTACCGCACGTCTGCGCGGCTTCTACCGTGCTCGCACCGCCTGTCGAGCCCGTCGTATCGAGCAACCCGTATTGCGCTGTCATCTCGAACATAGGGCTCATTGAAGACTGGGTGCTGGACGAGTGGTATCGAGACGATGCCGCGGAGGCGGAGGGTCCGGTTATCGAGGCCATGGGATTTGCGGTTGGCGAGAGGCTGACCGCCCCAGTCCCGTACGTGGGCGCACTTGCGCGACTCCTGCCTAGCGTGGTTGCTGACATCATGACTAGGTCTTGCCACGTGTGGACAATGCGCTCGAAGATACATGTGCAGCTCATGGTAAGCGGTCTCGTACGGCTGACGCGACTCGATGTGCTGACGACGGATGCGCATAGACGAATGATCAGTTCGACGAACAGTATGTGCGCTCGTTCAGAGACGAGATCTTAAAGCAAGTCCTGCATATCCTAGACTAGTCAATCATGATGTGCGAAGATTCTTCGAATGAACAGCATACTTCTACTGATGGGTTTAGGTTCCAGTCCGTCAGTAGTTCAGTAGAAGTCGTTCGTATGATTCGATGACAGCTCATGCATTACCTTGCGACTGCAAGGTCTTGTCGCCGTCAAGAAGTCGAGAGACGCGTGCGCTATCGGCCGGTGGCTCCTCCTCCCTGCTCCTGCGAGGGTCTGAATTCGTCTAGTCTCCGTTGCTGACCAAAAAGAGTTACTCAAGGCAACCCCACCGTCTGCATGCCTTTGCCACACATCTAATATGGGACAGAATGCTGAGCGAATGTCACTTTCTACTCGAGTACTCACTATAACTCCACGTCGTCAACCCTCGAGCCGACTATGGTCCTTCCCGTCACGGTGTGCAGTCGGCGCAAGCGAACCTCAGCAAGGAGGAAGACGTGTTGCGTATGTTCGATGCACTCAAGGGGTGCCCATTTGGTCCAGTGCAGGTGCAGATCGCGAATCATGGGTACTACCCGCCGGCAGATGTGCCTGTTGCGGAGACGTCGCTCGCGCAGTGGGAGTCGACTTTCGCGTCTAACATGACATCTACCTTCCTGGTCGTCAGGGAGTACCTCAAATAACTGGTAGGAGCGACATCCGAGCAGAAGGAGAAGGCAGTACTGCGGGCAAATATGGCGAGATTGGCCATGCCGACTACTCTGCGACCAAAAGTGGTCTGCACTGTTGGTGGATTCTTCTACTAGTGGTGCAGAGTGATGACTATGCCAACACAGGAATGATGTATGACTTTACAATGTCGCTGAAGAATGAGATCGTCAAAATCGCCCCACGCGGGCGAGTGAACTGCATCGTTCCCGGTGAGTAAAGGTTCTAGTGCCACCGTACCCGAGCAGCGTTCCTACGAGCCCTAGGGTGGGTCAAGACCCCCATGGCCGAACATGCCCTGAAGCAACCTGATATTAGTTACCACGCGCTGGCGACGTAAGCCGTCTATCAATTGTACTGCCGGTGATTACGTATCTAACCCACTTTCCCTAGCATGCCGCTCAAGAAAGTCGCTACGCCAGAGGACGTCGCGTCTCAGGTTGTCTTCGTGGCGTCGACCGCCGTGTTCGGACACGTCTCTCCGGCCAAGTTATCATGGTGGAAGGCGGTACGGAGGGTAGGCTGCTGAACAAGCGCGAGGACATCATCGCCTACTAAGCTTCGATCTCACATGTTCTATGCAAAGACAGCCTCAAAGTAGCTACTACTTGACGATCGTGCGTTATGTATTGGACGACGACTCGCCCGTAAGTGTTCTGTGTCTCAATGAAACATGTGCATGTGACCCCTGTTGGTGTGAACTACATGTTCCGGTGAGTAGCGCTGTATGCGATGCTTCTACATGTTCCGGTGAGCGCTACTCACCACGATATCTACCATCATCTCACCTGCTACCCTCTACTACTAGATCCGCCCAATCCCCCAACTCGCCGCTACTTTCTAGTGTAACAAAAATTTACCACGAACGTTACCGGTGCGGCGACTTCGTACCGCTGTGGATGTTTCAGTAGTGCTGAGATGATCTACCTCCCAGAACGTGCTGGCAGCCTCGCCAGACATCAGAGGTCACCATTGCCTCGCGCTGCTGACGAGTTGCAAGACGGCTCGTGTCGTTGGCGTCAAACCACCGGGCTTACAGTCGATCAGGTATGCTTGAACCACTTGCGTTTTAACGGACGTGGTCTCAGGATCAGCTGTTGGTAGGGCTCCTCCACGCCCGTGGGCTCCTCTTTGCGCGGCAAACTGGTTGTCCTTTCACGGAGGTCTACGGACGAAGTTGCACTGACGGATCGGGTGTATCATCAACTGCACTGAAATGAAAGAAGGTGTCTCGACGTGAGTGTCAAGTTGAGGCGATGCACGAGACATACTGATACGCGACTAGTGGGACGGCCGCCTTCGGAGGATCACCTCAGGATGCTCCAGCTCCGCGGTTGCCCACCGAGATCTGCGGACGCATCATCGACCATGTAGCTGCGGGCCTGGATATCGTCTATTCAGTTCTGGATGGCAATCCGCACCTATTGGCTCTTCAATCGTGCGCACTGGTGTGCAGGGACTGGTACTATCACACGTGGTACCATCTCCGTCAGCGCGTTCACCTCCGTGACCGGGACGACATCCGTTTACTTTCCAGGACACTCCGCGACAGACCACGCCTCCGCGGTGTCGTCCAACAGGTCGTTATCTCGGGTCATGCACAGCAATCAGTGGTTCAGCACCTCGAATTGTTTACCGCCATGCTTGCCGGGAAGCTCCCGGCGTTGTCGAGGATCGCAATCGAAGATGTAGAGTGGACCGTTGGCTCGATGAGGATGGAAGGATTTGGATATCTCGCCACATTCAACCTCGTCCACACCTTAGAGATCACCGATGTCACCGTGCCGAGCATCGCCCAGCTGGCCCGCCTCATCTCAGCACTCCATGGACTGAGCTTTCTACGGTTCTTCGGTGTTGACTGCTCACAGAATCCCCCAGCTTCTCTTGTCTCTCTCCCGCTGAACTCTGCAAATCTAGAGAGCCTCGAAGTACGATGGGCTGCACCCGCAGTTGAAGACTTCCTCGTGCGAATCATCCAGGAGGCTTCCCGAGTGCACTATCTCGCATTCGGGGTGGACGGCAATGTGGATATATTCTCGATGGGCAGCAGAAGTCAGACTTTGCTGGATGCAAGTGCCGCTTCGGTAGAAGCCCTCAAACTGATCATACCTAACATTCTCGTGAGTGACGGTACTGTTGACGCCATTGTAGGCGAGTCATACATGTTTACTCTTGGGTTGCCTGACTGCTCATGAATGTCAGTAGAACGACACTATAACCTGTCACGCCTTGAAAGTTTGTGGCATTTGGAAATCACCCTGCCATACTACCCCTTCGTTGCGTGGTCCTGGATTCCTCATATCATCTCTCGGGTCACTTCGAAGCATCTCATGGCCATGTCTATTGTGTTTACCATCCGTGCAAATCACGCAGCTGATGACGTGGATGGGGCACTGACAATGATGGAAGAAGACAATATCTTGGTACGATTGGACGACATGCTGCAGACAGAGTGCTTTGCCAATATCGCACCGGGTGGTGTATGCCTAGGCTTTGATCACATTCGCTGGCTTTCATATGGGAAGCTATCCGGTACAGAATCATCATTCCGGGAGCGGTGCAATCAGTGGGACGAGCTCATGATGCGGAAGCTAGTGGTGTGCAATGGACGGGGCATATTGACGTACGTAGTACAACGGTTTGTTGCGAAGCAGAGATTAGCTGAGTCCACCCTTAGCACAGCACACGGTAAAAAAGAGCTATTGGACTGGCGGGTCACCATGAACAGTATGCATACAAAGACACAACACCGGAAAACGAAGACTGGAGGAGGCGCACAGGGAGAGGATCAGCCTGAACATACGCCGGACACGCCAGGATGACTGTCTCAGTCGTTTACCGTCGCCTGTATCAATATTTATGGAGTCTTGTGTCTTGTGAGTGCACGTCGGATCTGCTATACATACTGCTGCTCACCCCATTTCTGCAGCCTTGCCTTACGCGGCGCACGTCAGGAGAGACAGACTTATAGAAGGACTGTACAAGTGATGAATCGATGACAGCCTAGTACGAGACATGCATGGTTGGCGGACTTCGTGACTCGGCTACCCGACAATTAGGAAGAACGGGCTGAACTGATGGATAGATCTTGACAAGCCCACGTAATTCATCGTATGAGTCCCGACTACACTTGTATCATACAGTACTCCATATCTGCCAGATCGCTTGACAGAATCTCTCAATATCAAGGTATTCGCACTGACTACTACCACTCCTCGTTGGGTCAGCACTACGCCACACGTCGCTTCATGAACAACACCTGAGCGTCCCGCGCAGGGTAGCATACATACACGAACCACTCGTTCTCCGGCCTCTTGCCCTCTTCCCTGAACTTCACGTCAAACCGCATCACGACGCACGCAAGCATGATCTTCAGCTCGTCCGCTGCGAAGAAGCGTCCCAGGCTACGCACCCTCGTTATTATGTCTCCGCGGATACACTGGGCGAATCAGGCGAAGAACCACGCACCACGCATGTCTTCCATGGCCGAATCCGATGTCCGTTGGGGACGTGCCCACGAAGTGTCGCCTGTTCTTGCTGCCCTCTCCGCTCATACTCGAGAAGCGCGCAGGATCGAACGTCGCGGCGTCCGGGAAGTTTGCTTCGTCAAGATGGGTGGACCTCATCACGCCAGTCACGAGCGTACCTGCCGCGAGCAGTGTTCCGTTCGAAAGCAGCACATCTTGTAGGGTGAATCGAAGGATGGCCACTAATAATGAGTATGAGCTCAGCGCCGAGTGCGGGACAGAAGGGGGAATGGAAGTGGCTGGACACAGAAGGGGGGACGGAGGTACTTCTGGACACAACTCACTGCGGGACACCCCATTCATTCGTTGTGACTCCTTGAGGAAGCTTTCCAGCCTCCACATCCGTCCCAGGGCCGCCCTTGTCCACCCATCCTCATCCTCACTCACGACGCGTTTAATCTCTTCGCGCAGCAGACCTGTGTACGCTGGTTTTGCAGCGAGGTGGTACAGGGCGTGCGTAAATGTCTAAATCAGGATGCGAGTCAGCAATTCTGAATAGAAGGAGGTGAGTCGCGCACAACGCTTGAGGCGTGGATCGCGGCAAAGTTGGCTGCGAGCACAGCTTGGGCGGTGTGCCTCCATCGAACGACATCTGGTCATCCTCAGGCCCAGCAGCTCGTCGTTCATCTTCGCGCCGCTGACCACGACGACCCACCGATTATGCATCGCAAGCCTGAAAACTAGGTACTAGGGTACCATTTGAGCAGAGCCCTACACGGTCTGTAATGTATGTCGCGCACGTTATCGTGCCCTTCCTGGAGCATTTCCTTAGCATGGAAGATGAACCTGAGCGTGCTTAGGTACGAGAGCACGGGCAGGGAGGGCCCTATGCTTGAGATACGCCTCAGCTGTACAAAGTTGGTCGTCAGGGTCAACTACGATACATCTCGTCATTGGTATTCATGGCTCACCGGGTCAAGCCGCCAACGTTGGAGCAACACGGCGCATATCACACCGGCCAACGTGTAGAGCATGCTTCCACTATCGCGTATACCGACAAGTAGATGGTTCAGAGGGGGCACGAACGAGTCTAGTGACTGTACCTTATTGTAGCCGTTACTAGGGCGCTGGTCAACATAGGGGAAACCGAATAGGATATCGCCTCATGCATATGTCCTTCGGGCTCACCGCCCGGGAATCTATTTTGTAGCAACGGTATCTGGGACATCTAAGCAGGCAACAACCCTATTCGAGGTTCAGCACGCGATACAGGTATTGATGTAGCTATAGCAGCTCACCGAAGAGCAGAGGCATGTGCTCTGGCATGTCCTTTTACGCAGGATCCACAATCTCAAGCGCGAGGTGTATGCGGTCTCGAACGAAACGCTGTACACACTGGTCGGTCCGCGTGTTCATCGCTGGACTCGTGAACCGATGCGGCACGTATCTGTATGCGGATCATAAATAGGTAAGTAATACGGGAGACGATGGCATCTTCTGAGCAACTCGGAATCGTCAGAGATCTGACACGCCGGTACATACCTGCATACAGACAGTGGGCACCAAGGATGCTCAGCGTACAAAGGAATGCGCATGACAAGATATATTACCGCATACAGAGACATTTGCATGTAACACGGGGCCCGAAAGACTCGCCAATGCCAGAGAAGCACTGAACGAACTTGGAAATAAGCCAACTGTGCATCGATAACGCAGTCCAACTCTAACCTCGGTTCTCCACATTTGTCCGACTCACCACAAGGCACTTACCCCGCCGAGCCTAAAATGACAGTAATTATGGAAGCGTGAGATGCGACGATATCAATGAGACCTACATACGCGACAACAAAGGTCAGTTTGGACAGTGCTTCAATAATGCGAGACAGTCATAGAACCAAACTTTCTTGATTATGAGCGGACATCAGATCTGGCAACCCATGTCATCATCTCACAGACCGGTGTAACCAGATAGAGGACCCACCTCATCGCCGGCTCGTTGACAAAGCTCCGCTGGCGCATACACGGACTTCTGTCTGAAGAACACTAGTAATAGTAGCTCACGAAGAGCAAAGAGGGGAAAAATAAGCTTTGACCCGACAGCGCAAGAGTAGTCTGAATCGAGTTTTCGCGAGGATCGAGCCTCGCGCGCCGCGAAGTGAACTGATGGGCAGACATCCACGCAAAGTGGCCATAAACAACTCTCGTCATCCAATGCAGTTGATGCCTTCGAGGACACCGACACCCCGCCACATCCGTCTGCGCACTCAAGCCGAAGCCGAGCACTGCGACGACGAGAAGAAGCCAGGACGTACGAGCAAGATGACCGCTCTGTCCCCGCGACGTGTCCCAAAGCTACACCCCATCCCTCCGGTTCATATGTCACGACCGACACGCCATGTTTGGACCCCACCCACAGGCAGCAGCTCAGCACTACCGCCGAAGTCTTATTGTTACCATATCGGTGTGCGCACATTACTCCTTCTTCGGGCTCGAGGGATGCAGCGGTATTTCTGATACGTCGCGCTAGCCTGTGAGGCCAGGGCCCTGCTAGGGCCGGTCGAGGGGGACTGGGATACTCAGACCTTAGCCCGCTCACGAAGGCGGACGCGCAACACGTCCTGTACGATGTGAGCCTCGCGGCTTTTGCGCTGTCGAGGGGAGAACGGGCACCCATTGTGGGCGGACGGGAGGAGCCGTCCTGGAGAGTGAGTTGACAGTGGGCGACTCGGATATATAGCGGAGTGTGTATCTGAGATCCACATGGTGGCTGACAAGGTTTCCCGTCGATGAGACTCAGAGTAGCTGCGACCTCCGAGTCCTCCTCATGGTACTAACTTACGACGGAAGTTCTACGACCGTCTGAGCAATCCATACATTGCTGAAACTCACACAAGATTGTGATAGCAAAGCAGGAAGAGACACATATACACGGACATGTCTGACTGCTAGCCTATAGTAACTACAACATCAATTTTGACGTCCCTTGTCCCTCTCAGAACCCAGCCTGCGCCGCCTCCCTCTCCGCCAAACTACCCCTCGGTGACCACGCCTTGACATGGCTATGGTCCGCATCGGGGCCCTCGCCCTCCTGGCGCACCTTGTTCCACCTCGCTTGGATAAACTGATTGCTTATGTGCGCACTGCGGCATCTGCTCAGCATAAATTAAGATCCTACTAAGTAAACCAAATGATAGGAGTCACGAGCGTGAATTGGCGTTGAAGGAGATATCCAGCAAAGGCTAAGGCAATAAGATAGAATATGATCATGCAAAGCATAAAGCCTGTCGTATACTCGCTCAAACGAAACACTCGCCACCCTCGAACTGAGGCGTCTTCTTGGACAACGAGGTGCAAGTCATGCCGCCCTGCGCCGTCTCGCAAAAGTAGGCATGTCCGCCGCAATTATGCGAGCTGGCGAAATTCACCTTCCCACCGGCAGTGCATCTGGCGAGCCCCATCAGTTCCTCTCTGCAATCGCGGGGAGGGGGTGGTCGACGCCGATACGTACCCATTCTTCTCGAACTTCTTCAAACCTGCTGCGGCGGCCTCGTACTTCTTCAGCGCGGCCTTGTACTCCTTCTCCTTCGCCGTCGCCTCCTTGTTCTTTTTCTCCTTGCGTAGCGCGTTCCACTCTGTCATAAGCGTGTTCGCCGCCTTATGCAGTGTGTCCGCCTGTGTGACGAAGGGGTAATCCTTGAAGTGCTTGTTTTGGCCCTTGTTGATGCAGAAGACTGATCCCTTGTCGCGCGGAAGAAGCATGTCGACCTATTCACGAGGTGAGCGGATACAGCACATGTCGGGATTGTGGGAGGGAGAGATACGCACGAGGTCGCTGCTGCGTTTGTACGCTCGCGCGATGGACAGAAGGTCGTCGCGAGTAAAGTAGTCTCTCAACGCGAGCGTCGAGGCGACAAAAGCGAGCAGGACGGTGATGACTGCAGGGAAGACACGCATCGTGGCGAGGATACGATACACAGATTGAACGGTAGTGCGTATTCTCAAGAAAAAGTAAGGCGTGGGTGGGAACCACTCAACGAGCCGCGGATGAATATTGTCAGCTCTGCCTTACAACATTTATACGCACCCCCACCTTCCTCGGGTGGGCGTCCGAGCAGCATGGAAATGGAAAGGCCTCACGGAGGGGTCCTCAGACAAAGCATTGCAATGATGCGAAACAGCCGCCTGCGTAGGGGTGATGGCTGATCCTCGTAGGGAACGAACGATCAGGAGATAACAACGGGCACAGGCGGAGTATAGGTACTTACCACAGGTCAGGGTTGCGAGTGGGCCCCAGTCTTGAGACATCGGCTACGGAGTGGGAATATTCAGCATGCGCATACACGGTTGGGAACTTGAAGAACCTCTACGTACGATGTGCATACATTGTACAACCGGTCAGAGCAGGCCTTGGTCGTGTAGATCTTCATCGGGAGGCGATGGGTGGCTATAGCTGTCCGAGCACGGAGGGTGGATCCTCCGGTGTATAGGAACCAGTCTTCTCTGAAGAGCACAGATTCTGGCGCCGGCCTTCCAGAACAACGGCAATCAAACGCCACAAGTACGCCGCGCTACTCGTGGATTGACCTACTAGCCATCATCCAGGGGACGTGAAGGAGCAGCGCGCGCAATGATGCACGTCCTGAAAAAACCGGAGTGAAACACATAATAGTAGCGCTGCATTGTACTCGCACATGTCTAGCCCACCAAGTAGCGTGCCGCGAATGAGAGCATCCAAGAGCGAGTTGAGCACACGAACTCCGAGTGGAGGGGTAGATGGTCCAACGTTCTACGAGCACCAGAGCGATCCCGTTGACGAACCTTTGTCGAGACGGAATTGCTAGGGAATTGCCACCCAGAATCACTTGGGGGCCGCACGATGTCCGACATGAGAGCGTATCCCATTGCAGACGATCAGAGCGCGCGTCGCTTCTGCACAGCCACGCCGCCGAACTGGTACAGACCCGTCAGACCTCACTTCATTCCCAGCCTCCTTGCCTTGTCCTGTGCTCAAGCGCTAGTCGCACGGTTCGAACTGCATGTCCTGAAGTAGTCTCGCAACCCCAGCGTCGAGACGGCGAAAGCGAGCAGGACAGTGATGACTGCAGGGAAGACACGCATCGTGGCGAGGACACCACAAACAGGTTGAACGATAGTGCGTAGTCTTCTCAAGGGAGAAAGGAGTGTTTGGGAACCACTGAGCAAGTCGCGGATGAAAATTGTCAGCTCTTCCATACGATATTTATACTTGCGCCCAGCACCGAGCTCGGTCGCCTTCCTCATCCGAGCAACATGGGAACGAAAGGCGGCCGTCGGATAAGGTACCACAACGACACGAAACCGCCGCCTGTGTAGGAGTGATCGCGACGGCTGATCATCGTAGGCAACGGATGATCAGGAGGCTACAACGAGCACAGGCGGACCATGGGTAGTCGGGAACTGCGATTGGGCTTCACATCGGCTACAAAGTGCGAGCATTCAGCATACGCAAACAGGGAAGAACCTCTACCATGTGCGACCAACCGTCGGACCAAAATTTGACTATGCAGATCTTCGTCTTCGTCTGGAGTGGTTGGGCGGGCGAGGCTGTCCGACTGATGTAGGCCCTCCAATTGCCCCTCAACAGGCAGAAAAACTTTCAAACTAGTCTGCAAGTTTGCAACGGACAAATTCTGGCGCCGGCCTTCCAGAACAACGGCGATCAGATACCACATTGCACCACGAACACAGCTTGTGGTTCGATCTAGCAATCATCCAAGAGGTGTGGATGAGCAGCACACTGCCGCGCCTCCTGGAAGTGTAGACTGTTCAATGTTCAACGAGAAGTAGAGGTATCCACTTGGTAAACCGTTACCGGGTTTCAAACGGGATTGCCCCAGAACCATTGAAGTTGGAGACTGCACGGTCGCCGACACGGTATTATCGCACTGAAAACGATCAGATATATCAGAGGGCGGGTCGCTTCTCCACGACCACCGAACCACAGGATCGTCAGACTCACTTTGCTCGTCGCTTTATTCCCGACTACTGCAGTTCGTCCGGTTCCGGTGCGGATCACCCCTAATGTGGCCTAACCACCCCGTTGATCGGTGCTGAATGTGGTCCGAAACGTCCTCCGCGAAGCCCGGGCCCAGAAGAGACCTAGAGTGTACTACTAAGAGGTTACCGAACCTCGTCTTGAAGGCGCTTCTCCTGAAAGTCAGAGATAAAATGTTGTCCGGATATCGTGACGAGTCCCCAACTGCAATGAACGGAATATAATCGTGCAATATGGACAGCTAAAGCTACACATCGCACGCGTGGATGCCTGTAGACGAACGGGAACGAGCGTCGAGCACCAGGGTTGGGTTACGTGACTTACGTCAGCTTGTGCGCGACGCGTCGCAGCGCGCTACACGTGACCAGCAGATCGACCTCGGGCGCCCGCCGCGCGAGCCCGGGTCGTCCGCTGTCGACGCCGACCGCGAAACCAGACCGCGAACATGTCGAACACCGACTTCGAGACGGCCGTCACGCAGGAGGAGGCGTACCTCCGCAAGGTGCACCCAACGGCGGACGACATCCCGGGCTGCATGACGCTCTTTGACGACTTTCTCTCCTGCAACAGTGCGTCCCCTCCCTCTCCCTCAGCTCCTCTCTATCCTCATTTCGGATACTCACGCTGACTCGCCTGCGCAGTCGTGGGCAAGCAGCTCACCTCGCTCTACCGCTACGGCCACATGTCCGTGTGCGGCCCGAAGCTCGCCGAGTTCAAGTTCTGCATGTCGCTCAAGGGCCTGCACCCCGAGGAGCGCCGCGACGCGTGGATCCGGCGCCGCGCGGAGTGGTGGGCGCGTCGGCGGCTGGAGAAGAGTAGTGAGGATGTGTGGGACGTACGGGCGTGCGTGCGTTCTCTTTCCGTGTGTGGTGAGGTGCGCTGATGCTGGATGTACAGGGAGCCGCTGAAGGACTTCCCGCCTGAGAGGACGTACATACCCTCTGGGACGGGCTCTACGCTTGAGTGATTGGTGGCACTCGCGCCGTCCCGTCCTCGAACCGCCCTCACCTCTTTCAATCCTCACAAGACCACGCCAATCGTATACCACTGGCACATAGGTCATGGTAGAGTCGCGTGCCTCACGCAGCGCCGGGCTGCACTCCAGGATGGCTGCTGCGCATTGCACGGAATAAGAGAGCGTCCGGCTGCAATCACCTCGCCTCGCTGCAGGGGTTTATTGGCGCCGTAGTGGTACTCGTGCGCAGCCCCTCGTGTATGGCTTGCGAGAACAACGATATTCGGTGTGTTGCAATACAATAAATCATGAGGCGGTTGACTGTCGCAGGTGCGGACTAGAATCAATTAGATTAATATACTTTCCCGTTTCTTTGTGACTGATTTTTTTGGAGGATATGGGAATCTGTACGCGGGAGAATATCCTGACGGAGGCTGCGGCGGCGATCTCCAGGCACCGCAGCCGCATTACATTCGCGTGAAGACGGCTCGTACAGTATGTATACTGACAATGAGTTGCGCTCAGACTCCTGTAAAGCATGTTCTGCTCGACCGGGTGAATCAAAAAGTCCTGAGATGGTGCGCTTCCCCAGACATACTGGACGTTGTGCATGGTGATTATCACGCTACTCGTCGCCTTTGTTGTTCTGCGACGGAGAGTAATGTCCAGTATATGCACGTGAGTACGCGAGTCCTTCGGTGGCCCGAGCGTACGTTTGTATGCGTCGCTATTGTCGACGCCGCCGAGGAGTAAGAAAGCGCGGCTTGCCGTATGGAGGACAACTGCTTGCAGTCAGTTATGCCATTCCCTGGTCACGTCAGCGGTCGCTCTGGACCCTCTCGACTGCATCCCTTGGCCAAATGCGGACGCTCCTCACCGAGGGCATCCTAAGAGAGTACGATGACCTCATTCGCTGCCATCTTCACTTGTCGTACCGATGCGATCTCAAGACGCGATGACGCAGTACAACCAGATCGAGCTGGATTTTGACATGTTCTGTGCTAAGCTCGAAGATACTCTCCTCTCTCATTCACATCACAGTCACACTGGGCCCGTATAAAAAGGTTCGACGACAGGTGGAAGGCCGCGCCCCGTTTCTCCCTCGAACCCTCAAGGCCTCAGTACATATGCCCCTCTCTCACGCGAAGGCGGTCGCGTTGCCCGAGCACACGGCATTTCTCCGCATCCTCGTGCCTGCGTATCACCGTGCTAAGCTTGGTATCTAAGGTTGACTTTGGGTTGAATTGGGAGAGGCGAACGCTATATGCGCATTTAACGACTGAATCGGTGTGTCTGCCTACAGATAAACGAATGGTCAGCGTGCTTACAGACTCGTCGCTACTGTCATGGCGCAGACGGACGTCCTCGGTCAGCATGGTGTCGAGCGGTCCGTCCGCGACGTGCCGCGGTGTCAGTCGTGTCGACATGGAACGTGCGCTGCTGGAAACTGCTGTACGCCCGTCGTCCCTTGTCAGATTTAGATGAACGCTGAGAGCGTAGTGACCGTCTGACCGCCTGCGTGGTGTCCAGAGTCTCACCAGAGTCTCCGTCTCCTGTCCGCATGCGGACGAGAGGCAGCCACTGCGGGAAGCTATTAATAGCGGGCGAATGAGGGCAGCCTCCCCGCCGGCTGTTTGAGGGGGCGCGCCACCCGATCTGAGATCGGGCCCGAAACTGTCGTCATCGTCCCAGAGCCGCGCGCAGCAGGCGTCCGTCTTCGCGAACAGGGAGAGGCATGCGCAGTGCGCAGCGCCTCCGCCAGGCCACATCCAGAGCTCCCGGTCCGTGCCTTTCCTTCCTCCTTTCACCTCTGCTGCGCAGCCGCTGTAAGCAGCTGCATGCCCTCATTGTCTGCTCTCCCCCATGCACTTCGCCTGAAACCGTCGGTGAGTGCGTTCGTTGTCGGTGGAGTGGGAAGGCTGACACGGAGGCGCGAATCAGACCGGACCCCCGTCGTCAATCGACTCACCGCCATCTGAGCTTCGCTGCTGACAGCCGCCGCTTCGCACACGTCGGAACATCTTGCACACGCCCGCTGGACTGCGTGCCAGCCGCCTTCTCACTTTGCCTTCCCCCGTTCTCCTACTTACAGTCTACCCACATCCTATCCATCCTGCAGGCCCAGCACCAGCGCCCCCTTCCCCTCTTTCGCTCTAACTTATCCTATTTCCCCTGTTCACCGTAAACATGCCACTTGGATACCTTCCCGGCCCTATCCGCACGCTCAAGCTCAACCGCATCACCCGCGCCCTCCTGCTCGTCGGCTTCGGGCTCACGTTGCTCTACACTGGTCTCTCGCTCACCACCTCGCCCGCCCGCGCGCCGCACCTGCTCTCGTCCGTCTCTGCGTTCCTCACCTCTCCCATCAATGGCGGCGCACCCAACGCCACCGCGTCCGCGCCCGCGATGCCGCGGCCGACGGAGTACGACCCGAAGCTGATCCTCGGCGAGACGCACAACAGCGAGTACGCGGGCCTGCCCGTGGGGTTCAACGGCACGCGCCGCGCGAACGCGACACTGCTGATGCTCGCGCGGAACAACGAGCTCGAGAAGGCGAAGCAGAGCGTGCGCGACCTCGAAGAGAAGTTCAATCGCCAGTTCGGGTACCCGTGGCTCTTCCTGAACAACGTCCCGTTTGATCAGCAGTTCAAGGAGTGAGTCCTCGTTGTGATGCGGTGAGGGCGGGAGTACTGACTGCGGACGGGCACGGTAGGGAGATCAGCGCGCTTGTGTCAGGGCCCGTAACCTTCGCGCTTATCCCGCCGCAGCACTGGTACCAGCCCGACTGGATCGACGAGGAGAAGGCGAGCGAGAGCAGGGACGCGATGGTCGAGCAGGATATCATCTACGCAGGTGCGCCGCAGTATCTGGCCTGAGTTTGTCGCGGTGCTGAGGGCGATGTGGATAGGGAGCGTGTCGTACCGGAACATGTGCCGCTTTAACTCGGGCTTCTTCTACCGTCACCCGCTGCTGCAGCAGTACAAGTGGTACTGGCGCGTCGAGCCCGACGTACACTTCCACTGCGTCGTCGACGAGGACCCGTTCCTCTACATGGAGGAGCACAATAAGGTCTACGGTGCGTTTCCCCCTCCGCGCATACTACGCAGCACTGAACGCAAGGTGCACGCAGGGTTCACGATCACGCTGCTCGAGTTTGAGAAGACGATCCCGACGCTGTGGCCGGCGGTGAAGGCGTTCGCGGAGGAGAACCCGCAGTACGTCGCGCCGGACAACGCGATGGGGTACCTCAGCGAGGACGGGGGCGATACGTACAATCTGTGCCATTGTGAGTGGGTGCTATTTTTGGACCGAGATCGGTTGGCGGTCCATCAGCGGGCGGGGCGGGCGATCGGCGGGATGAGGCGTGGGTTGATTGCGCGCATCGGCGGCGAAGGCTGATCTGCCCTTCCGCGGCGGGGGTGGGTGACTTCCCGCAGCGGCGAGGCGTAGGCTTCTGTACCTATATGTAATCACCGCGGCTGTGGCTTGGCGGAAGCCTGGGAGTTGGGATGTCGGCTTGTCGACAAGGCTTGGTGCCTTGGCGTGTAGTCCTGGCCATCTTTGCCCTTCCGCGAAGCTCCTAATTTGCCGGGCTCCTTCGAAGTGTGTATTGCAATTGACGGACGCTGAGCTGACCCGCGGCATTGATAGTCTGGTCGAACTTCGAGATCGCGAACATGGACTTTTGGCGCGGGGAGGCGTACACGGAGTTCTTCGAGTACCTCGACGCGAAGGGCGGGTTCTATTACGAGGTGCGTCTCTCCCTCCTCTTCAACCTTCGCTTTTGCTCACGCTCGGTGTTGCAGCGCTGGGGCGACGCGCCGGTGCACTCGATCGCGGCTGCGCTGTTCCTGCGGAAAGACCAGATCCACTTCTTCGACGAGATCGGGTACGAGCACCACCCGTTCACGCACTGCCCGCACACCCCGGGCACGATCAAGAAGAAGAAGTGCACGTGTCGCGGCTGGAGGAGCTTTGACTACCAGGCGTACTCGTGCATGCGCAAGTGGGAGCGGATCTTCAAGTAGTCGAAGGGCTTTGATGGATGAATACTAGTAGGGTGGTGGTGGTGGTGGTGGTGGTGGTGGTCGGGAATGAGGGGTTTTATTGGTGGTTGAGCCACGCCCGCGTCCTGCCCTCCTGGACCGTGTCCGGGAGTGTGGGTCCGTCCGTCCGTCCGTCTGGAGCGTCCGGAACGTCCTCGACCGCCGCGCAGACCCGTCGCCCAGCGTCGCTCGCCTGGGTCTCAGGATGCGGTCTCTGTGCCGGGGTCTCCGATCTGGATGGAAGTGATGACGGCTTGGATGATTGGGTTGCGGGCAACCCGGCCCTCTGGGTACTGGCCTAGTTCTTGTGATTGAGGCGGTCACGGTAGGTGGCCGGAGTTTGCGTACTCGCGTGTGCGTGTGTCTACGGACTCGGCCGTTTGAACGGACTATATCTCGTATTGCGGTATCTACATATCATACATGCATACTATCCATCTAGCTGGCTTAGGCAACGGCATTTGCGTGTAGCGTTCTTGCACACATCCACATTTTTATTACGCTCGCTCGCTTCGATACATACCTACTGTCTGGATCTATGCATTGGGATACAGTGCTGAGAGTGCGTATTAATTGATTCTGATTTAGTAGGCTCTGGACTGGGAGGGGCAGACACGGTGGGCCGGGCCGGGTGGGCGGAAAAGGAACGGTCACGTGTAGCGCGACTCGAACCGAGACGCGTCGCGACGCGGACTTGAAGTTGTCAATACGACCTGGGCGAAATATAGTGTGGCCGCATTCGGGCCGCATAAAGCTGACTGCAACGCAACCGAAAACCTCTCGACAACATACATGCTCATTGCAGCAATATTGCAGTGTTCTCGGACAACGGTGCAGCATTCCAAACAAATTGCGTCTACGAGCAATGTAGCAAATACACAGGTACACTATCTTACAACGAGAACAGGGCGCAATCCAGTCCCGTACATACAACAGGACACAGCAGACACCTGTCGTTCTTATGAGTGTTGCTATATACGACTAACGCGACGCGACATACCATGAAACAACACCTGAGTCAGACGCCGTATTCACCACCTGGGAGTGAATCTACTCCACGTCGCGTCCATGTTGCTCACGTACCATGCAGGCGTCTCTTGTATCCCGAGATACTTCTGCATCTTCTCGATGTCGTCCTGAGGAATAGCCCAAGCGAGCTCGTAGTTCGAGTAAATGGATATCACCAGCTTGTGCGGATAGTGCAGCGCACCGCAGACACCGAACGGCCGCCTGGTGATAGGTAGGTGACGCATGTCGATGCCAGCCTCTTTTGCCATGTGATACAGAGCGATGTTCGCCGACCCAGCTTCATCCACATACACGCCGCTTTCCTCTTCCTCATCTTCCTCATCTGTGTCGCCCCAGTGTGCGCTCTCCCCGTCGCTATCGGGGTCCTCCGAGTCGGAGGAATAGAGCTTTTCTCCCCACGGCGTCGTTGGCTTGTGCACGCGGCCGATGACGGTGTATCTCGCGAGCTTGTGCTGTTCAGCGTATTCAACCAGTCTCGGGAGAAGGTCGCCGATCGACCAGCCGTAGTACAGGACGGGTGGTTTCCATGTGGCCTTCAAGTCCGGTATCAAGCTGCGGTGGAGTCTTGGTAGGGGGTTCATACTGGACACGCGTTTAACTAGTACCTAGGATCGTAATAAGCAATCGAGTGCTTAGCGACGTAACGAGTAGGGCTTACTGCGTTAGTCAATTCTCCACGCTTGAAGGGAGGTTGATTGTACGGAGCAGGCAATGCCCGCTTCTCTCCCGGAGGATCGAGGGAGGGTAAGGTGAACGATGCGATACTAGATCTGGGTAGCGACATGGCAGTGAAGAGGATATGTAGAAATACGGTTGAGTCGCCCAGGGAAGGCCTGTTCGCCGGACACTAAAAGGTCCTAATTTGGTCCTAATGACCACCTGAACTCCGAACTCCGATGCGAGCGGACACAGAAGGGTCACGTGCAGCGCGCGCGCGCGACGCGTCCCAGGACCGAGTCGCCACTCGCGAGTCGCGACCGAGTCCTGACTCCTGAAGGCCTGACATGTCAACAGGCAGGCGCGAATGTATGTGCGTGAGGGTAGATATTACATTGCTTCTGAGGCGAATTCGTAGGAATCAACTGGATACCAACTGGATACATTCGGATGTAACACTACTAGTCCAGTCGATTATCCTGAATACTGTGGCTATACATAGAACACGTAACGTGAGCAGATTGCTAAAGACATCATCTCCTCCTCCTCCTCCTCGTCGAAACATAAGGAGGGATCTAATTCTCGGAATCGAAGTCATACTGCATAAATGGCTCGGCAGCCACTGGCCCCCTCTCTCCTTTCGTGAGGTTGTTGATCGCCTTGAGCTTCACGTCCGCGGCCTTCTTCCACTCTGCTTTGAACACGGAGTTGTAGCCCGTGAACCGCTCATTGAAGATATGGTGTGGCCCGACCACAGATGTGTAGACTGAGGTCGCCTCCCCATCGCGGTATTCGTCAAACTGGGGTGTGCGGTCGCGTTCGAAAACGAGGACTTCGAAGAAAAGGCCTATGATGCACATGGCACGGATCTGGTTCTCGAGTGGATAGCGCTCAAACGCGAACTGGACTTGTTGTAGTATCTGCGCTTGCGTGATATCTTGAGTGAAGGCAGAAAAAACCTCGGGATTATTGCGCAGGGTCGGTCGTGGCCCAAGGGTGAACGTGAGACCTTGGGGAAGCCGCTTGACTTCATGAACGAAGAGTATGCGACGATGGGCGAGATGAAATGACAGGTGAGTTACGAAGTCGGGAAATCGTTTCTTTCCCTTGCCGTTGCTGGATTGTGCATGAGTATTGCTGGTGGAAGGCTTCACAGTCTTGATACTGGCCGCGGATGCACTGCCATCAGACTCGTCCGCGTCACCGCTCTGGGTTTCGGATACGGAGCCCTCGTCAGACGCAACGTCTGAGTCGGATGCTGCGCTCTTTTCCGACGTTGAGCTCGCGTACGAGATTGAGCTCGTATCGGAGGCTGAGTCATTCGATTCCCCTAGGGTAGATCCTACTCAGCGAGATGCACAAGAAAACATAGACCCATACGCACCTTCGGTCTCGGGCTTTATGAGCAACAGAGCCTGGGGATGGACCGAGACGTCGTAGTCAGGCGACTCTATCATTCGAGCAACTTGCAGTAAAATCTCGTTGACCGCTTCATATAACCCGTGCTCTGGCCCGTGTTGATCGATCTGTGCAAGAATACGTCTCATCTTGCGCATATGGGACTGCATGGTCGCATCGCGAGTGGTCGAGGGCGGCATGGCTGGTTAAGAGCGGGGAGAGCGTACTTACTAGACATCGAGTCGGAGGCCCGGCTCTTTAAATGCATCTCGACGCATGGCCACGGTTGTGAAGGGACTCTGCTCGATAGGGTAATGGCCACGACCATGGCCACAAATGGCCTTCAATCCCACGCTCCATGCTGCCACATTCCCAATCTAGAAAGACTTTGGAAACCAATACAATGATTATGCGGATGTCCCATATTCGGAATCTGCAACTAGTTGCCATGGGCCAGTGGCCACTGCGCATCAGCAAATGGCGAGCGAGCTATTATTGTCATTACCAAAAGAAGGCACGCGACTGTTTCCAAATACGGATCGCAAGGCATAGAAGGTCGAGAGAAAGCTGCGGCTTGGTTGCTGCGGCGTACGACTCGGAGTCACAGAGGCCACACAGATCATCGATCAGCGCTAGCCCCGTGGCTGAACCACATCATTATCCATATCGGGAGAGCATTGATGGGGCCATGCACGTGGCCTCAACAGGTATAAAGCAGCCACCGACGAACAAGCCTTCCCTGGAACTCACATCCGCAATTCTACATAGTACTATCCTCTTCACGACCATGTCACTACCCAGATCTAGTATTTCACCTTGCACTCTTCCCTCCCTCGATCCTCCCGGAGAGAAGCAGGCATTGCCTGCTCCGTACAATCAACCTCCCTTCAAGCGTGGAGAGTTGACTAAAGCAGTAAGCCCTACTCGTTACGTCGCTAAGAACTTGATTGCTTATTACGATCCTAGGTAATCGAAAGCGTGTCCAGTATGAACCCCCTACCAAGACTCCATCGCAGCTTGATGCCGGACTCAAAGGCCACATGGAAGCCACCCGTCCTGTACTATGGCTGGTCGATCGGCGACCTTCTCCCGAGACTGGTCGGATATGCTGAACAGCACAAGCTCGCGAGATACACCGTCATCGGCCGCGTGCACAAGCCAACGACGCCATGGGGAGAAAAGCTCTATTCCTCCGACTCGGAGGACTCCGATAGCGACGGGGAGAGCGCACACTGGGGCGATACAGATGAAGAAGATGAGGAAGAGGAATGCGGCGTATACGTGGATGAACTTAGGTCGGCGAACATCGCTCTGTATCACATGGCAAAAGAGGCTGGCATCGACATGCGTCACCTACCTATCACCAGGCGGCCGTTCGGTATCTGCGGCGTGCTGCACTACCCGCACAAGCTGGTGATATCCATTTACTCGAACTACGGGCTCGCTTGGGCTATTCCTCAGGACGACATCGAGAAGATGCAGAAGTATCTCGGGATACAAGAGACGCCTGCATGGTATGTGAGCAACATGGACGCAACGTGGAGTAAAATCGCTCCCCAGTGGTGAAGGTGGCGTCTGACTCCGGTGTCGTTTCATGGTATGTCGCATCGCGTTAGCCGCATATAAGTAACGTTAACACTGATGAGAACGACAGGTGTCTGCTGCGTCCTGTTGTACGGAACTGGACTGCGCTCTGTGCTCGTTGTAACATAGTGTACCTGTGTATTTACTACATTGCTCGTAGACGCAGTTTGTTTGGAATGCTGCACCGTGGTCCGAAAGCTCTGCAATGTTGCTGCAATGAGCATGTACTGTATGTTGTCGATAGGTTGTCGGTTGCGTTGCAGTCAGCTTCGTGCAGTCTGAATGCGGCCACATTCTAGTAGTGAACGCTGTCATGCACCGCGCGAGATGCGCGTGCTGCATGGTTACATGGATCCCCTTCTCCTCCTCTTAGAGTCTCAGCGATTCAGACATTTACAGCGAGGTCACCGTCCGGTGGCGCCAACTGTGGCTGCCAAGCGCTGGCCCCTCTCGACCGTGACGGTGAGTCGTGACGCGTGACCGTTAACAACGTCTTTACCCTCGGCCACTGACATGCATTTATGACTACTCTCAGTTTCTGCGAGATGGATCGATGAACATATATAGACATTCTACCAACGGTACTCGCGTTGACATCTTGGTCGTTGACCGGTGTGAGTCTCCCAGAGACTGGTTGAACGGTGAAAGTAGCGGCCCTATCTATAGTCACGGTTTGTTTTCCTTTAACGGCTGATATGCTGTACAAGATGCTGACCGCTGCCACAGGAGTTCGCGCCTAGTAAGCATCTGGGCAAAGTGAAGCGCAGCAGCTACCAAATCCGGTCAATCCAGGGTACTACCTCAGACCACCTCCAATACCGTGTCAGAGTCGCCATGTGCTCTTTGCGACCGTGAACGGACGCTGAAGTTTGCTGGCCTGGCAGAGCACGGGTCCCATTGTCGCTACCCTCAGCGAGTATATCTTGTGTCGTGGCAGTCGCTGTGCGCCTTGTACACTCGGGTCTCAGCAGACACAGTACCCTCCGCGGTCGTACGTACAGTTTGGGACCGCGGTCCAGGAGGAAAGCGAAACTTAGGTACGACAACAAGTCGACATTGACAGCTGCTAGTCTGTAACTCATCATGGATAGTTACTCCCAGGTCTGGCCGAATCGCTCGTACGGGCATGTTCGCGCCTGCATAGGATAGCCCAATATCGCAAAATCATTCAAATACGATTCCCGCAGGGTCACGCACTAGTGCACCGGCATTCAAGTGAGTCTCTCGCGATTGCACTCATACAACCAATCCCGATACTGCCCATTGCTTCCCGGTCTAATGCGGGAATGTACAATACAGTCGTCAATCCGTATTGCGGCGCCCATGATTCGACCGAGCTCATGAATTTTCTTCCCAGAAGGCCGACTATCGTCTATGATTCTTGAGGTTTCCTCTAAGATTCGTCCAAGGCGAGGCAGAGTCGATTGATTGACCACCGTTCTCGGATAAGATCCCTTAGCGCTTTCCAACACATCACCGACGACGTCGATTTGCTGTCGATCTGGCTTTGGGAACGCCCTCTGATCCGAGGTGAGATGCCTTTTATTAGCTGCTTGTGGCATCCCGTCCACCAGGCGTCTAGCTCACTGTAGAGCGAACTACTGTACCCTAGCGAAAACTGCAAACATGCATAGACTCGCGTGCGCATGCGCAGGCCAGATGAGTGGCTACCGCCTCGGAGTGGCGCGACGCCGCTTTCGTTGAAGCAAGAAGCGAAGCCGATGCGTAGGGACAGCCTGAGTACGTACCGCTAGCCCGTGTCGATCAACATGATTTTTTGCTCTAAAACTTGACGACTAATGCATGCGGCTACTGCTCGACCGAATTGGAGGTTTGTGGCGCGGTTCTCCGTGAGAGCCTAATGCGATAGTATACAAATGGAAGGCGCGACGCTGAACCCAAGGAAAACAGAAATGATCTGGGCCTAGGTCAAAAGCCGCGAGCAAGAGTATTGCACCGTTCAACTGCGCTGAAGTACCCTTGTCGCAGACACAGATCATCTTACCAAAAAAAAAAAATCACTCGCCCTGCAAGATGCCAGCTACTGGACGAAGCGTATGGGCCAGTGCGTCCGAGTCTACGACAGTCGTTTCAGCGACACTGTCCATCTGGTGAGCATCTTTGGCTTATATGACCTTAGCATCTGCATAGCGTCTGACGTACATCGCAAGCCATATGATGAGCCTATGCACTATTGCAGTCTGTGGTAAGTGTTCTGGATGCGACCCTCAATACAGGCAACTGACGATGTCCCATATACAGCGCTGATTGTCTACGACTATGTGATTTCGCTCCCAAAAGAGATCCGGCACTTCTGGAAGAGAGGCGCGACGGGACCCAAGCTCCTATTCTTCTCCAATCGCTACGCTCTTTTGACCTATGCCGTCTTATTTCTCGTGAACACGAGTCGTTTCATTGACACCGTGAGTAGCTGTAGTGTTTGAGGAGGATTGGCTAGCTGACACCGTGTTCTGATAAGGGGTAATCCTCTCATGTATCTAGCACACAACCCGCGTATTGAAGTTGCCGCTCTCAGATGCTTGATCATCAACGTAGCCATCAACTTGTGTCTCATCACTCTGTGCGCGATACAGTCAGGTAAATCTGCGATGTTGATTTTGTGCGGGCGGAGCTCACGCGTGCTCGTTAGTGTTCGCGACGCTTCGAGTCTTTGCTCTCAGCGGACGGTCTAAGACGATCACGTCGCTTGTGTTGTGTTTGAGCTCAGCAACGATCTGGAGTAACATAGTGCGTGGCTTTCTTGATGTCGATCAGCAGGCCACTCAACGATACCCCACAGTATCTCTGTTCCAGAACGACCTATCTCCTAGAACGCTACAACGGCACCATTGTATGCTCACACACTCTCGACATCTCGTTTCGATCGTTGTATATGTGAGTTAGCAAGTAATGCATGTCGTCATTCGTCTCATGCCTTGGGCGACAGATGTGTGTTGTTTATTTCATGTCACGAAGCTGTTCTCATCCACGATTCGGAGGTTACAGGTATAATTTTGAAGGATGTCAGCAGCGTATGTGCGGACCTGATAGTCCTTTTGATCACTTGGAGCAGGGCATGGGGCATCAGGAGAGCGGTCGGTTCTTCGGGTGCAAGTATGCCCGTTGTCGATACTCTGCTGCGCGACGGCAAGTAAATTCATTACTCGATTACGAACTGAGAATGACATATACCGAATAGGGACGATATACTTCATGTGAGATCTCCATAGCCGAAGCGACACTTTGGTGACCAATTGACCGGTCGTGTCTTTAGCTCAGTGTCAATCCTCAACATCGTGCAAATAACGACATTGATGCTATACAGTGTACGTCTTGATGCACTGCAAAGGTTTCGAAGTTCACAATTATGTATGCTCTAGAAGATAGACTACACGTCTTGTTTACTGGTCCCGTAAGCAGATGTAACTGGCTGCTGGAGTCGAGTCACTCACTCCCTTGTTAGGCTTCCCTCCGTCTTCCTCTCTCGCTTCCTACTGAATCTTCACTCGAGTGCGGGATCTTCCCGATCAACTCTGTCGGAACTTGATTCGCAGACGGACTCCATGGAATCATTGCAATTCGAAGACCAGTCGTTGAAGAGCACTATAGCTTAAGTTGTGTATGCGGAAGGAAAGCTCAGCGCGGCGTCCGTGTGGTAAGCCGTGTTGAGCCTAGCAGAGGTACAACTTACTCAATCAAGATGGCCTCAAAAAGGATATGTAGCACAGATTGGGAAAATACTCGCATCGTCCACAGTGCGCGGATAATGGAGAACGTGATATAATCATCTCTAGATGAATAAACGCAACATTACGTGATACTGGGTGCTTTGCTGCGTTGACGACTTCGAACGGCCCACCTGGTATCCTGGTATGAGCGAGCAGTTTATGTTTCAGTGAACGACGCAGACAAAACGCAGAACCAAACTCGAACAGCCTGAGAGCGCGTGTGTGACAGGAGGCTGTGACAGTCGTCAATGATTCTTGTCAATCTCGGTCACGTGATCTACGCGCCCTCCTCCATTTGGTCTCCCAAGTGGCATCGCGACTGCGCCATCGACCCCTTCATTCTTCTATTCATCACACCCTCCTGGTACGATGGATACAAGTGTAAAAGACCTTAGGAAGGCAATATCGAAGTCTAGATGCAAGGACAAAGCCAAACACAGCGAAGTGATACAGATGATCATATCATTGCTCGCCGCGGTCAGTATGACACCCGCCTGATTCTCTGCTACGCTGAGCTCGCTTCGTGCTGCAGAACCCTAGCGATGGCAAGAAGAAACTGGCAAAATGTTTTCGTCAACCTCTTGTTCCCATATTCTCGACATATCTGCTGCCTGCGCTACATTTCGCCTCGGCGTTGTTCCACTGCATATATCACGAGAAGGTCTTGACGGCGCTCGGGAAACAACTACTGGAGGAGAAGCGGGAGTGGGAAGATGTATTGACGAGTCTGTTGTCTGGCGTTTTGGTACGCATCTGGCTGCGCTCGTCCACTGGTTGGCAGGTGCTGACATTCGCTCAAGGATCTCTTGGACGAATGTGAATCAGGCAAGGATGGGTTCAAATATCGCACGAATGCGAAGCTCATAGACCGAAGCAGACAAGAACAAAAGCTCTGCGGCCAAGAACGCCATTGCAAGTGCTCTGTACCCGACGCTTTGCGACATATGCTTCTCGCTTTCTGCGCCCATGCAGTCTGTTGACTTGCGGTGTACGGTGCGTACTCTGACCGCATATATGCGCTTCCTTGAGGTCTGCGAAGGCTGACCGACCCCAATGCAGGCGTACACATTGCTCTCCGACTCCGCTGCCTCGCACACTCATAATCAGCAAAAGCTTCGCGACAAGTCAGTGCTTGGAGGGTAAGTGGCCTTCGCAATTTAGATGAGCCCGGCTTATCGTACTCACAGTGAACGTCTCGGGAGCATGATTTGGCGCACCAAAGGTGAGTGATGCGACTGCCGCCTTCATGCCGTACCTAACGTCCGTCACCTAGATTACCTAGCCTTGGAGTCGCTCCTGACGTTGTTCGCTCGTATCCTGCCCTCAGCAAAGGACTCCCCCTCCGGTCACGTCAAACGCGCCGCATATATCAAGTCAGTGTTCCTTTCGCCGCAACAATCGGAGCACTCCAGCGTCGGACAGACGATTGCGAAGCTCTTGGAGCGTGTACCAACAAACGAATGGGAAGACACGTCGAGGGAGATAGTCGATGTGCTCGCTGCGGCCTACGTTGCCTTGTGAGTCGACTACGTCGGTTTCCTACCAGCGGAAGCTAACGAAGACTCAAGTCCGCAGCCGTTCTCTGTCGACAAAGTCAATGCATGCGACGAAACCAAGCAGTGCGACAAGCTATTTGTCGACCAAAAGGCGTTTCTGGTCAACGTTCTCATCGGGGTGAGGGAGTAATTCGCTTTATTAGCCTCTAACTGACTATATGATCGTGCCCTCGACTGTCGAATGTCTGTAACCCTGACGCAACGTGCAGGATGACCAGTGTGAAGCGTTAGAAATCGCATATAACACTATCAGCAAGATCGAGGTCACGCCAGGACAAGCAGCAGGCGCTACCGTCGAGGTTCGCGTGAAGACTCCTCCGGCCATTGGCAAGGTCCCTGTGAAGAGTACACAAGCTTCCCCACATCGAGTCGGCTTCGCGCTTGCGAACGGCGACGTCGAGAGGTTCTACTCCGCCGTTCGAAGCAGGGGACTTGTACGTGGGCCTCCCGACGTGGACTCGTTACGCGACTGAACTCCCAACTAGGGGAGGTTGCTCAAGGACGTTCCCCACAAGTTGTCATTGGCAAGGTCTCCGGCTGTTCTCGATTTCGATGGTCAAGGCCGACCGGTTAAGGAACTCAGCCAGTCAGAGGTGCGCACGCCCCGCCCGTTTCGATATACCTGACTCACGCTATCTTCATAGCGAATCGAGAATGTGGAGAAGTGTGAGTGCTCTGGACGTGTCTATGACCGTTGCATTTCATGATATCGGCCGCTGCTGACGCTCATTTCGCAGTCTACCACACCAATCAAAGCAGCGACGACCTGTCGGTAGCATCACCCCGAATTGGCGTTCAAGACCAAGTGGCTGCTGCTCTGAAGGTGATCTCTGTGCCCAAGGATATTCGTACCGCGGATCTGGCGATCAAGTTGAACGAGTCTAGCAACAAAAAACCTACGACACCCTCAACTACGACTCTTGAGCATCCGGTTCAGTCAACGGTATCCGTCGCGAAGAGTAATAAGACAAGGTCTAACCAAAAGGCGGCCAGCGATGCTACAGATATTGCTCCTACTCAGGTGTCAACTTCCACTGCCGGCAAGCTTGCTAAACCTCTCGGCCGAACTCGATCCAAGAAGATGCGCGACGATGCCTTTGGTGCTAGCGGCGAGGAGCTCTCTGAGGCGTCGGACGCCGACGACGTACCCTTGGCATCGAAGGTCTCTCAGCTGGCTAAGGCGACGAAGAGTCACAACAATTCCAACGGACGAAAGGTTTCCTCACTTGTAGTTACTCCGCCTGTTCGTCTTGGTGCTGCTAGACGCGTCTTGGACTCCGACGACGAGGAAGTCGGTCATCGAGGTTCTGCTAGTTCTATGGCGACTGCTCGCCGGCGTACTGGCAACAAGACGCGCGCTATTCTTCCCAGCCCCGACTGTTCTGACGACGAGCCCATTGACAACAGATTCGTAACTCCGCCAAGATCCCAGCTAGAATCCACTGCGGCACCTCTTACCCCGACGAAACCGCCTGCTAGTCGGCCTCTCCGACCGCAAGAACCTAGTTCGCCTGGTATCGCTACACTGGATGCCCTGTCGTCTGACGCCGGGAAACCTTTACCTATGGTCGAGCAAAACGCTGCGAATGGTCTTGATTCTGCATCTCTTACTGCTGCCCGGCTCACTTCTGCTATCGGCGAGAATCCTGCTCCCTCGCCTGTTCGTCCGGCCACTGCCAAGGCTTACCGCAAACCACGTGCGCTCGTAAACAAGGAAGCTGCCGCTCCTTCAGCTCGGGCTCGAAACGATATTCTCACTGAACGCACTCCAAACACGGACGGAACCCGACCCGCGTCCGCGGCTACAGATGCGAAGGTTTCCGGCAAAGCTGTCCCTCTCCCGATGAGCTTGGAACTTGGCGATCATAGTGTGTCATCTTGTTTGGTTTGCATCTGCGTCGCTGAACCCCTCCAGTCATGAACAATTCGTCGCCTGTCCCTATAGTCAAGCTAGAGAAGACCTCAGTCAAGGCGAAGCTTCGCAAGAAAGCTCAACCTCTCGTCGAGGACAAGAAGGCTGCTCACGTGAAGACGTCAAAGAGGAAGAGAGCAGCTGTGGACGAAGACCACGATTCCCCGGACGCTGGGTCGGCACACGACGGCGCTGAACCACCAGCCAAGAAGTCGCGCGGCGATGGCGGGGACACAGATCAAGGTTCAACGCTACGGAAGCGAAGGACGGACTCACGTGTCCTCCGTCCCAATATCACTGCGGCCTCTCGGACGACCCAACGATATCGCGCGAAGAAGGACAAGGCATCATCTCCACCCTCCAACAGGGATGCCTTTGACTACGACGAATTGCCCGGCAGCGTTGCAGCATCGGATGTTCGTTCGCATTCGTCTCCGACACAGGTCGCCCGGCGTAGCAAGAAAGAGAACGGCAAGAGCAAGGTAGCTGATGCCCCTGCACGAAGGACACGTACCACTAGGGCGACTGCGAAGGAGGATCAGTCACACGTCTCTGATACTGTAGTCCCTGGTAGTGAACCCGGCCGCGTCTCGACCAACGATGTCCCCGTGGGCGCGGATGATCTCCAGGACGAGGAAGAGGTCACAAACCTGCTGACGAAACCATCGAAGCCGAGTGTCACTGTGGTCGAAAGGCCTGTGGTAGAAGCGATGAAGGCGTCGGCCATATCTTCTGCTGCAGCCAACAACCCCTTCGTTGAGCCGCTTACGAATGCTGCTCATGCCACGCAAGTGACTGACGGCGCTGGCGGGAATCGCAAGGTATGCGATCATTCGTCCTGCGCGATACCTCGTACTACCTACGCGTACAGGCTGGGGCCGCGAGCGGAAAAAAGTCGAACAAGATGCCATGGCTAGCTATGACGAAGCAAGCTGTCGACGACGGTAACGCAAAGCAGCCTATCCCCCACAAGTCTGACGAGGGTCGTTTCGACGCTGCCGATGCGTCTGCAGAGCGTCAACCAAGAACGACTGGGCAGCGACAAACCATGACATCGGAAGCTGACAAGGTGGTCACACGCATTCACAATACATATCATCCTGTCTGTCTCACTACCTCAAATCAGGTTAATGGCAACGACAAGGCGGCAGTAGACCACAAGGTATGCGATAGTCGTTTTAGTTCAATTTTACAACGATGACTGTGGGTCTTGCAGACTTCAACTGCGTCCAGGGAGCAACGGTCTATCACTGCGCCTCGAGTGGAGACGATTGATCTTACGCACGACGATACGCCCGACAAACGTAGGGAAGTGCCCCCAACCCCGAACAGGCAGCCATCTCCGGCACTCCAACTCGATCTCGAAGACACTCTGGTCGATCCTCCTCAATTATCTGCCTCGACCCCCTACCGCAAGTCTGGTGCTGTGAAGTGCACAGGATCGACCATGAAGACTGCGCGTTGCGTAACATTCACGCCGAGCGTTGAGCAAAGGTTATCGTCGCCATCCCCTCTGGCCAGCGAAGCACTTGCGAAGCTCGCAGCTTCCACGAATCATACGTTGAGATCCAACGAAGTTGACAAGCACAAAGGTAACACTTATCATAGGACGGTGCTATCCAGTAATAGTAATCCATTCTCACTCACCTCTTTTTTGACCATAGTTAAGCCTAGTAAAATACCGTCTTATATGGAGCTCGAGGCGAAGAAGAGCAAAGTCATGAATTCACCGGGCTTGAAGAGTTCGACATCAGGCAAGAAATCCCAACTTGAAGATATTGTTGACGTCCTTGGGGAGCTCCAGCAGGTGCGCTTGATTGATCCAATAAGTCCTATCCTGCGTTGTGTCTAAACGTCGTTCCAAGGCTATTCTGCATCGCATTACGCAGAGGTTCGAGGGCGTCAGAGAAGAAGTGCGCTTCGGGCGCAATACTCTGTTGTCGGAGGCGACTGAGGATCTTCTGCATATACGCAATCGAAGGTCTGTTGAATGACAAATACAGGATGGTTAGTTCCACTCACCGTCGTGGTAGCGTCACTCATTTCAATCACCTCATCGACCTCGAGGCAGAATACGCCAAGCTTGGTCGTCGTCTTGTCAACGATTATGAGCAGCTTTCGCAGGAAGGCCAGGAGATCTGTTCAGGAATAACACGAATGGTCGCAGAGCACGACCGCGGGAGTCTGATCCAACGAATGCCGGTGGATCTGGCCGCCCTTCCTGCATGCTTCCAATCGAACAATGGCTGATTTCCGGTAGATCCAGCTGAAGTCTGGGTACTTGATGCCTTCGATGGAGGGAGGGAAAAGACGTAAACGCTACCGATGATGTGCAATACAATCGTCAAACCCGAATGCGAAGTTGCAACGGACTGCTGGTATTCCTTGTATTCCTGTCCGCGTATGTGACACAACAGGCTCAGAAAGATGTATATTCCGCACCATGTCTCGGCCTTGATACTCCTTCATCGACATCGGTAGCACTGGTGTAACTATGAGTCATATCGTGGACTTCGACGTTCCATTCGAGCGGTCCCAGCTCCGGAGCTATGTCATTGCCGTCTGTCTCCGGTAGACTCAGTGACATGAACTCCTGCGACTTAGTACTGCTATGAAGGTTGAAGAGAAACCGCGACATGCAGATTGGTGGTAATCTACAGAAAGAGGGTCTGGTGACTCTGAGTGCATGCAAGTCAGTAGGCACGGGAATGCTGACGGTATCAACATGAATGACATGAAGTCTAAGCCCTGACGGATCGATTCATGGGTCAATGGGCGCGTCGCTGAGTACTCGAAGATACCATATGACTCACACTATCATATACTTGGACGAAGGTTTGAGCGATATTGAGACATAGTAGTTAGAAGCTCCAGAATGCAAGCAGACTCACCTTCCCGTAGCAACGTGGTAACGAGCGGTGTTTTCGCATGAGCTTGCATAGCCGCCCTCTTGATAGCCCATGTCTTCCGCCACGTAATACCGAGGACAATGGCGTCGGATAGAATGGCCCGAGGCGACTTCGCGCCAGGGATTATTGAGATAGCAAACCAGGCAAAGTCGACAGTGGGAAGATGCGGCGAGGTTGAATGGAGGTGACTGTGATGGTGACCTCAATCGAACGAAGAACGACGGGCTTTACCAACCCGGGCCTCATGATCGCCGTTGCTCGCAATCGTTGGCCCAGACTTTGAGTCGTGATTCGAAGGGAGCCATGACCATAGTATAGCGCTCGTAGTGCATCAAGCTACAGACACGTCGAGCTTACAATAAGCCGCCATGGCACTGTTTATTTGCAACATTTCTCGTCAGAGCCGGGGTGCCCCCATCACGAGGTACGGGGTGGGGGATCCGAGAAACGCATTGGTCCGTGGTAAGCGAAATTGAGAGTTGATAACCAGGAGACATTGGCCTGATGTCCGTGCGGACGAATCGTAGAGAGCTTGCAGCCTTGGTTGCGGCCACCGACGACTCGCTGTCCCATGCAATACGGCCAATCGGAGCGATGTGCAGGCTTCCACTATGGACTGTCTCCAATTCGGAAGCGGTTGTTGCGAGCACTGACGAGCCTGATTTGGAGTGTAGGTCGAAAAGAAACCGCGAGATACAGACGGCCGGGAGCCTGTGAAGAAACGTCAACTACCAATCTCAGCTTGGGGAACAAGCGTTCGTCTCATGCGTACGGAGTTAAAAATAGGCCGTATCCTGCGTCGTTGAGGGTATGTTAGATATTAACGATGGCAGAGAGGTTAACGCTGACCTTTGCATAAATCTGGACCAGTGTTTGTACGATGTTCAGGGCCGCTAATGCACTTTCGGAAAACCCGCTCAGTGGCACAGCATCAAATCGATAACATACGCCTTACACGAAGTACAGCGAACCTAGTGTGCGGCTCTCTGTTACGGAAGTGTAGGAGGAGGAAGCAAACGGACGTACCATCTCGGAGAATAACGGCTACGAGGGGTGTCGATACCCGTGCGCGATCCGCCGCTCTCTTGAACCCCCAAAGCTTCCACCAGGTGATAACGAGCACGAGAGCATCAGATAAGATGCTGCCAAGGGCACCTACAATGATCGCTGATAGCAACATGTGAGTCATGTTTGCAACGATGCGAGGCCTACCGAGGTAATCCTGGTAGGAGGTGATTGGTATTACCTGAATAGTATGCTGGTATATGATCTGTAAAGTAGGAGTCGGCGGAGACATCCAGCGTGTTTGCGCATGCTACCACGTTCCCAAATCTCTCCACGAAGTACCTAGTCCTGGTGATTAGATACTTCGCGAGTTCAGCGGCAGTGAAATCACAACGCGTCCACTACTCACGACGTTGGCCCAAACTGGAATCGAGCCGAGCGCCAGAACGAAAAGCGCCGTTGGCCAGTTGTAGCCAGTGATTGCAAAGGCTCGCATGGCAGCAAACACTGATGCGGTTTGTAAGTATGCTGGCTCGTCACGGCCACAATCTCACCTGCTTCGGTGGCATACAAGATAAATATGCAAAGGCTGAGTAAAACAGTGGCATCGGCGCAACTGCAATTGCGTCAGCCATTAGTAAATCGGTATAGCAACGTGGCCTAATTACCCCTTTGAACGTTGGTGAGCCAAAATGAAAATACCAGCGAGAGAGCCGGAGACATACTGCAGTGTTGAGGGATACCGTCGTGCCTAGACTGAGTACCCCATGTGACAGGAGCGCATAACGGTTCATGAAGAATAGAATCTTGGATCCCGTAAACCTTCCGTGCCAGAAATGACGGACCTCGTCCGCGATTGTGATGATGTATTCATATACGATCAATACTGAGAACAATACGAGATGAGTACAGTACTGTGATACAAAGCACGTAAACTCACCGGAGATCGAAATGGTGCAGAAGCCGGCGACGTAACTGAGAGCAGTCAAAGACAGGCGCTGTGATGTGTAGGTCTGGGACTCACACTTCGGACATGTACGTCACGCCGTAAGTCGTCGGCACTTCCATGGGTTCAAAGGTCGCCATCGTCCGCAGCTGTCGTGCAGTCTTGCGTAGGGCCGAATGTCCGGGCCAACGCCCGCTCTCGTACCTATAAACGAGAGCAAAAAAGCGCGCAAAGTCAATCAAGTGCACGCATAGCGCGCGCGCTGTGCGCCTCGTTGTCTACGGTATGCCAGTAGCTGAATTTTGAAGAGCTCTGGACAGCTTGTTTCACCTGCATGCCATACATGACCTAAGGATCATGCATCTGTCGGTCAAAGTTACGCCATTACAGGTCTCTACGTGCGCCACCGCAATACGCAGTTGATTCAGCCGCGCACAGACAGCTGCAGGAGATGAACGTTTGAACTTCTAAGGAAGGACTGTCACGAACCTTACGAGCCATTCAGCCGACGTCTTGTGCGGGGCACCAGTTGAAGAGTTTGATGTCGAACATGAGACACTTGTTGTGCGATTGTCTGTCCACACGCGCTGTACTGATCACCAACAACACGCAGGACAATAATTGAATATCGGCTGCAATTGCAGGCAGTGACCTCTTCTATACATAGCGGGTAGGTGAAACCTCACGGCATCAGGAAGAAGGGATAGGGTCAAAGTATCGGAGAGGATCGAGTGAGAAACTGCCAGACAGCCGCGAATTAGAGGCAAGTGGCAATGGCGAACTCACCTCTACCGCGTTTTCAGCCACAGCCTTCAAGTAGATGGGTTCAATGGCAGGCCTCTGTCCGAAGCCGCGGGGAAGCTGATATCGATCTCCAACCTGAGCACAATGACAGCTGCTTTTGATCAGTATACTAACTTCGGTATAGGCCAAGTTAACGTCATCGTAAGTCATCAGACTTGGAGAGATGGAAGAAGCGATGAAGGCTTCAACAGATCGGAGGCACAAGCAACCTTTACCACTGCTCAACCGCCGGTATCGCGTTCTTATGTACTCTGCGCATCACGCCTGTATATTAGTCATTTCAGTGGCCTCAGTCCAGTCTTCACTGTGCTCCTCTTCAAGCTCCGAGTCCCAGCTATCCGGATCATCCGATCCAAGCATATTGCCCAAATTTCCAGCGACGCGGTGAGCGAAGTGCAGGGTCCCGACTGGTGTCGTCTCCGACTGCGAGGCCGTCGCAGACGCGAGCTGCGACAAGCCTGAGCTCGAGCGGAGATTGAGGAGGAAGCGGGAGATGCAGATGGCGGGGAGCCTGCGGTCGCGGGGGTCGTATGTTGTGTGTTAGTAATTGACGAAGATATGAGGACTGCATACGCGTACGGAGTGAGGAAGTACGACAAATAGTCGATGTCCTGGAGAATGAGCGGCAATAAGCGTAATGGTCGAAGTAAACGGAGTATCCTTGACTCACACCATCATAGATCTGCATGAATGTTTGTGCGATACTCAGAGCTGCCAGTGCGCTGAATATGCTGTCGAGTCAGTAGAGTACCAACTGCGCGTGCGGGGACGCCTTACGCAAAGTACAGTGAGCCTGCTCGATGCGATTATGAGAGCACTGGACGAACGAGCAGGGTGCAGACTTACCATCTCGCAACAGGACGGTCGTTAGCGGTGTCGATATCCGAGCGTCATCGGCAGCTTTCTTGATTCCCCATGTTCTCCACCAAGTGATACCCATCGCGAGAGCGTCGGAGAGAACGGTACTAACAACACCCAGAATGAGGCCTGTGTAGCGAGCTTTGAGCATGCATGAGCACCCGCCAGTTCGACAACGTACATCTGCACAAATGACTCGTCAATTGCAAGTCAAGTAGCAGCAGGATGTCAGAGGACATACATGTGGTAGGACTTCCCCGAGATATCTAGCGTGTTCGCGCACGCCGCTACGCTCCCATAGCTTTCCACGTAGTAGGTGGTCTTACCAATGAGGTACTGCGGGCAGGCTGTTAGCATGTGGCAGAAAAAGCACAAACCCCCGGGTACTCACGACGTTACTCCAGATCGTGATGGATCCGAACGCCAAGATGAGCAGCGCCGCTGGCCAATTGTATCCGCTGATGGCAAACGCTCGCAGGGCGGCGAATACTACATAGGCAAAGTCAGGGTTAACCTTGTTGTTGGCGCAGTTCATCCTACCTGACTCTGTAACGTAGAGAATGAAATAGAAAATATTGATCAAGACACTGATACCTCCACAACTATGAAAGCGTCAGCCACGAGATCGACAGCGAATGTTGTACTTTACTTCTAGTGACTTTACTCAGCTTTGATACGAAGTAGTCTACATAGGAACACTTACTGCAGTGTCCATATGGCCCATTCCGCCCAGATTGAACAAGGCAAACAAAAGGAGAGCATAACGGTTCGTGAAGAACAAGATTCTGGCTCCGGTCAGTCTGCCATGCCAGAAGTGCCGCACTTCCTCGAGAAAGGTGATTGTATGTTCGTACAAGATCAATGCTGATGAATGAATCGGGTGAGACCCCCGTAACAATGGTAGATGTAGAAAGTCCCTTACTGCAGATCGCGGCAGTGCAATAATTGGCTGCGTAACTGGAGGCAGCACCAAGATGTCAGGATGGACGCGCCGAACGCCGACCTGCTGGACACTGACTATTCGGACATAAATGCCGCAGCGTACGGCGGCGGGACTTCCTCCGGTGCAGACGTCGCCATCGTCAGAAGTGGTCGTGAGTAGGGCGACCTAGGCGGGGTGTCGTTTAGGGAATCAGGTTTCTGATGAGTGGACACGCCCGCTCCCCACTTTATACGGTGAAGCGACTCGTGTACAGAGGTGAAGGTTTGCCAAGTCAATTACGCCTCGGCTGTGCTCCAGCACTGATTACTGAACGTTGACGGAACTCTATGAAGCCGCACGCCTCGCGGCAGCATTGGTCTCGTGTGCACGATAACAGTATAACGGTCTCCTCTTGTTGTGCGGCAATATTGATGTCAAGCGGAAACAGGCTACACGAGCGCTGTTATGTGGCCAACATGTTGCTGGGCCTGGCGGATAAGCGAAGGAAACAGCCAATGTAGAAAAATCATTTCTACTGACCACGAGCGCCCTCCGAGTCATTGGTTCGGTCCAAAGCTACGACGCCCGCGATCGACCATCCGGAGCACAGTAACTACCGACTTGACTGAAAGCGGTATCATGACATCGACACTGTGACAGTGAGGTTGTCGTAGGCTGACAATTGAGGCTGTACTGCACTGCTTGGGGATTGGCGAGTTTCAATGAGCGGAGTCCATCGACCGTGGCTGTGAAACGAGGAAACGATGGGCCTTGCGTCTGGGGACTACGCAGAGGTGGAGTTGGTAATTACCGACGGGGGCGAGCCCGTTCCGGCCACACTCTAAGGAGTGGCCGAAATCGACTGGCAGGAGCTACGACGCACGGGTCAAGGTTGAGTCAAGGCCCGACGAGTCCTCCGCCTACAGTATGATGTGTTTTGCTGAGGAGAGGCATATCATGATGGAGCCAGCTGCAGCAAAGAGACTCAAGCTGACTCGAGCCTCTCCAGATCGCAGCAATGCAATACGGACACTAATCAAACACGTCAGAGACAAGGTTGGACTATCAATGTCATTCCAAAGAAAGATATAATCTTGCCTCGCAGAACGACCGTATCACAACGTCGTAGTGGATCTTGTAGTGTCCGGTTGCGAGTTCCGTTTCCTGCAGCAAAGATGGTTGAAGATGGCATCATCAGACAATGCACACGGCGGTAGTGTATTGAGAAGTCACAAAGCCTCGAAGGCCGCCGGGCGAGCAGCCTGAGCGACGACCTCCTTGCGATCTGGGACAAGTCGGAGATTGCCGCGCCACGTGCTCGCGTCGCGTCGCAGACGCGTCGGTGGCTGCGCAACTTCAGTGTCGCGCGAGGATGCGACTGTTATATACATACCCTCACCTCGTCAGACGTTATTCTCTTATTAGCATGCAGAGCTTCATTGATTTGGTGGATTTTGCGCGCTGTGTCAGACTAACAGATTTAGTGTTGTAGGACGGGAACAGTGCGAAGCGCCGGCTCGAATAAGTATCCGTGCGATGGTGTTCAATCCTCCTTCACCGAGTCACTTCATTGTGCGCCATTCGTGTTCTCCTTTTGAAGCTGAATATTAATGAAAAAGTGAGATGATCAATCAATGAGATACCTCTGTTCATGCGATGCTGAACCCTCAACGGCAGACCGTGCCACACATAGCGAGGAAGGGGCTTTATACACTTTCGTATCATACAACGCGCGCGAATGCAACATCTCTTCAACGACTCGAACCATCGAACACCTTCCACCGGGCGCAGACACCCATAAGGCTAATACGCGCTCGCCATCCCGCCCTGCACGCGACTATGCCTTTCCTCCCTTGCCAGCCTTCGGGCCAGAAGCGGGCGTGCCGTTCTTGGCAGCGGCGCTCTGGGCGCGGGCGGGGAAGCTGTTCTTGCCCGTTTCCCCACCGGACTTCGCCTACATCGCAGACCAACGTCAGAGACAATAAGCGGGTGTTAGGGCGAGCGGCGGCGCACACCTGGGTGGACTGTACGCGTGATGCGTCAGAGCCAGACATCTTGCTGCCAGCGCCACCGCCGGCTGGATTGAGAGCGCGCTGTCAGTGGCTTTGTGGAGAGGTGGAAGGTGAGCAAACGCACTGGAACGAGATCCTTTCGAGGGGGGCATGTTGAATTGAGAGGGTGTTGAAGAGTAGGATGCGGTGGTGGGTGAGTGGTGGATGTAGCTAGTGCTGAGGAAAGGTCGTCAGACCGCCTTCGTTTTATACCCGCCATGGCTGAGCTAGATCGTCGAATCCGTCATTCTGCAGAGTTCGATGCGAGGTTTCCGCCGTTGGCCATGAGTGGGATGCGCGGCGTGCGCATTGGGCGACGTCAGACAATCGCTCGTGGGCATTCATTTCGGAGACAAAGCGAGCCCAATATGTGTGCGTTCCGCTACTCAGACAGGTCAGACGATCCAGAAAAAATTCAAATTACTGTGACATACCGCACTTCGTCTTCGCGGTCGGTCCGCGGTTGACGTGCCAGTCCGGAAGGAGAAGGAAGATAGGCAAGGATGTAATCCTAGTACGTACAGTCCTGCTATTCCAAGGCAGCGTGGGCGATGTCCTGGGCTCACCGACGCGATCGGATACGTTCTGCGGTACACGTACGCTCCAAGGTACATGATCTAGGAGTCACGAATGATCGGCGGACGTGATTTGACTGTATTGCTGGCGATCGGCCTACGGCATTGTAGAGGGAGTTGTTTGACGAGCCGTTGCATATACGTCCGGGATGCTGTTCTCTCGATGTTGAAGATGTTATGCCAAATCTTCAGGCCATACGTCGCTTGATGGGCCGCTAGCCTGAGTGCACCTTGTAAGTAGCGTAGACTCAGGAGTCAGAGTTAGTGTTGCGGCGGTTTTGCGGGGCTGACCCTGTGAGAGCGGAGATGAGCTGAACCTTGTCCTTTGAGCCACCGCTTTACGTCGTTCGTCGGTGCGACACCCGGAGATCGCGCAAGACTCATATATGTAGAACGCAAGTGGCGGCACTTCCTACGGTCATAATATAGAACCCGGTTTTGCGACGGAACGTCCAAAGTTACGCTAACGTCAAGCGGGCCACTTACTTGGATGGAGTTTTCATGCGGCATGGTCTGGCACGATCGCGAGACCTACTACGTCTGCTGCAGTGGTAGTAAGTTAGGGCATCCTAGTATGTAGCGGGCCATTGGACAGCCGCAGACTTGCCAGTGCCACCGTGCCTGAGTCGAATCTGAGTCTAGATCTGTGGCTGGCGCTTGTTATGTACGGCCCGACGGGCGGCCCGCTCGGCTGGCAGGCTCCCGACGTCCGAGTCGTTGGCAATGGACATCCTCCCAGTGCTGAATATCGAATGGTGAACACAAGCTGAACATATGTTCTGGATGTCTTGGTGCGAAAGTATGAACAGCCAGTCGTTCGAATATCCAGAGTCCTGACCCGTCAATTGAGCCTTGTACAAAGCAGTGAAATTTGGGCAATGCAAGTCAGCTTACGAATACGTCTAACGTTCAAAACATTTCTCCAGGCATCGGGGCTGGTGAGTACTCTTCTTACGGATAATCTGGAGGAGACGATAGCTCAATCCTGGAATGTTGTTTCAGACAATGTGCTATCGTGCGTGCTCTCACTGTTGATGTAAAGTTGTACGTTGGCACTGTATATGTGGATTCTACGATTTTGGGCCGCCCGGGAACGCGGCACTGATTCTATGTGACTAGGAAATCGTTATGCAGAATGATCATGGCTCGTACATGTGTCGCGACATCGTTCGCCTATGCTACGGCTCTACCACGTCACAAATGAAGACTGCGGAGGTCAGTCCCCGGCCTGATGCGTCGTCAGTCGCAGGATTGCCAGATCATCTGTGGAATCCGCTGTAACTTTGACGGCAAACTTGAAGAGTACTGGTACGACGTCCGTTTGTCTCAATTCCGGGGCTCCTCCCTTCTCTACTGCTATGACTGTCGACCCCGCGTCGGCCGAGAGCCTGGTGCACCTGCCATCGCCGATGTTTGCTGTTACAGTAACGTACGTTCAGTGCTTCGAATCATCAGTGCGGTCCCGCGGTTTCACCAACTGACTCAGCTGCTGTCCCACACATCTATGCCAGGTAAGATGACGATGAACAGTCAGTCACTGAGTCAGAGAGCATACGGTCGAGTTTGCAGTAGACTCGAGTGTTTTGAGTTTGGTCGGGGTCGAGGTGCGTCGGCCGACGCCCCTATTAGCAATCTTATCAGATATCATTGATTGCCGCGCCCCAGGATCTTATCAGATAATATGTTCAGCCACTTCCGGACGCTCGGCCTCCTCTCCGTCTTGTCTCTCATTCGCCAGCCTGCATTCGCCGACTTCGAATCCTCCCCATGCCGCAGAAGATGCGCAAGGCTCCCGGCACGCGGGTCATAATGTTGACCAATTCATGGGAACTCAAGTCGTTCCACTGTGCCTTGACAGACCGCACACGTCGGACCTGGTCCGCAATAAAACAAGTTGCGCGCGTGCGACCAGGGCTCTACATTCACCCCCTGGTTGAATTCCAAAGTTCAAACGCGAGCGAATAACAGGTAGAACAATGGTTACAGCACTGAACAAGACTGTGGTCGTCCTCGGATTGTCGTATGGAGGTGAGTGCCAGTGGCTGAAAGACGCGCCACACTTTCCAAGCAGCTCACCGTTCGCGTTCGCGTTATAGGGGCGCATGCTGCTCGTACTCTTTCTCAGAAGCTCCCGAAGGGCTGGCGCGTCGTCTGCATTGACCGGAACACCCATTTCAACCATCTCTACGTCCTTCCGCGCTTCGCCGTAGTTCCTGGACACGAACACAAGGCGTTCATCCCGTACCAGCCCATGCTGACTCTGCGCGACCCGACGTCGCTCGCAGAAACTGTGCTCCTGCATGCACATATCACGTCGCTTTCACCGAAGTCGTTGACGCTCTCACGCGCGTTTCCCGAGCACGGCATCAAGGAACCGGAGCGGAAGCTCCATTTCGACTACGCGCTGTACGCACTTGGGAGCCACTTGCCTGCGCCCATAAACCTCTGGGGACCTGTCGGTAATGACCCGGACGTGTTCGCGGTTACGAAGGGGATGGCGCAGGATGTTGTCGGCAAGCGCCAGACACCCACTGCTGTGGTTGACGCGGAAAGCTCTTCCTACGAAGGGACGAAGCCAGAGGGAATCAGCTGGTTGCAGAGGTTCGGGGCGCGAATCGAGAGCGCGTTCAGTATTCTCGTCGTCGGCGGAGGTCCGCTCGGCGTTCGTGAGTACCTGCCATACTGCTGCACAACGAAGTCACTGACCCCTTCTCGTTGAATCAGAGTACTCGACGGACATCAAGGAGCGGTTCCCGTCCAAGCATGTCACCCTCCTACACTCACGTGCACAACTTCTGCCGACCTTCGTCAAGGGCATGCACGACGAGATTATGTCTACACTCACTGAGCTCGACATTCCGACTATCCTCGGCGATAGGCTCGACCTTGCCTCTGTGAAGGAGGGCAGGACTGTCATCAACCCGGATGGAAAGAGGGAGCGCGTCGTACGAACAGTCAGCGGGAGAGAAGTCCGTGCCGAGCTCATCGTAAGTAGCCCTCCACCATGCGCAAAGTTTGTTACAGCACTTACATTCGGGCTCTCAGCTCCTTTGTACGGGCCAGGTACCGAACACAGGCCTCATGGCGCAAGCAGTTCCGGAGGCACTGATTTCTGAGGGCTCTAAGAAGGGCCAGACGCGCGTTGCACGGACGATGCAAGTTGCTGTCCCTGCAATGTCGGATGGTACGGAGTCCATCCAAGCAGCGCTCAGCGGGCTCAGCCTGTCCGACAAGCGCGCCCAAAACGAGGGAGACGAGCCCGTGCACGTACCATACCCAAACCTCTTCGCAGTGGGCGATGCAGTCGACGGATATGGCGCAAACAACGCAGGGAGGAACTCGCACTACATGGCGGACGTGGCTGTGAAGAACATCCTGAAGCTCATCGAACAATCTGAGCAAGGGGGCTCGGGGGACGTCGAGCTTGAGAAGTATGTGCCCGGGCCGCTCTCCAAGGCAATCAAGATTTCACTGGGGATGGTAAGCACTGTCATGCTCTCAGTCCGGATAAGGTGGCGCTGACCGTTCAATGTCGTCATCGCAGCGCAAGCAGCTCGTGCAGAACGACGAGGGAAAGGCCGTCACATCGATGGACGGCGTGGAGGACCTGCGCGCGCCCAGTATGTGGGAGCTCTACGGCGTGAGCACGGACGACATGCACCGGTGAGTCGGTCGCGTGCGCACACGTTGCTCGGGATCGCCCTTCCTAGATAGCCCGCACTTGTTTGCGGACGTACGATTGCCAGGTGTGTACGATAGACAAGAACCGATATAGGTGCTTCGGCCCGGACTTCACTTCGTGGAGTGAGTTCACTTCTGAACAGCGTGATTGACGTGATGTATGTGGTACATTCCTTGCACGAGCGAACCTTGTCCAATTACTTGAGGACTTCATACCTTTGCAGCTCAGTCAATAAACTTATCAATAGTGAGTCGGACTGTGTTCCTTACCTCGACTATACCATGAACCGTCATCTACCTCTCATATCGTTCTTTCTTAGTAGGTCCCTCCATCTTGCGGCAGCGTTCGGCGACTACAGCATTCGGCACTCATGAATTGGGACCGACAGCCCCGACTTCGTCGAAGTACAGCCCGGCGTCGTCTGACCAGCGGACGCTCTTTCACGCAGCGACCCATGCCGCCATAATGAAGTGCGAGCGAAGCCGTATCGGCAGAGTGGGGTACAGCAGTGGTCGTCCAACGGCGAATCGTGCTCTCGGGCTGCGTCGAGCCTATAAGAAGGGTCACTCAAGAGTGGGCAGAGGCAGGCAGTCGACTCACTCACCGCGACAACCATACACTGTATCTCTGCTCTGCCTTCCTTCAAGCTATTCAGTATGCCGTCTCACGGATCCCGTACCAGTAAGCGTCGCTGTTCTCCTACCGTGCCACAAACACTGACATGACTCTGATCTTCGTTAGCTGGTGGTGCCGCTGGCGCCAAGACGAGCCAGAGCGACGCAGCGCGCATCCAGGCCGGTCAGGTGGGCATAGGTCGATCGACTGCCTGTGCTGTGATACCTCTGACACACATATTCCTTGCCGTTGACAGGCGAAAGCTGGCGGCGACATGGGCAAAGGTGGCTTCGCTGCGCGCGCTCAGGGCGCGGCCGCGCGTAACGCCGCTGCCGGAGCTGCAAGCCCGGCGACTCCTCCCAACAGCTCTGCGCCAGGTGCGAAGGCCGGCGCCGCCAAAGGCACGAAGTAGAGCACGATGCTAAGCTATGAATGAGCATGGTGCAGGCGTATATGCAATATGTGGAGAGCTGCGCATAGACACGAGGATAATGTATATATGTTCATGTTCAAATGATCGTTGTCCGCGCCGTAGGTGGCGAAGCCGAGGCATGACAAGCTGCGCGACATCGTATCGATATCCAAACCCGTCTACACAAGCGGCGGTGTGGTCAGAGAATGGAATGGTAACGCGATGTATTGTGACGCCGATGTCGAAATCCCAACATCCCGAGGTTCACAGAAATCTCGATGTTAATACAAATAGTACAAAATTCGATAACTTATCTATGATGTAAACCAATTGCAACGTATGTATACATGAGCGGATGGACTAAGGCCGGGGACGTGCAAACGCAAATACAGTCGGGCAGTCCTGACCAAGGTCAGACGGCTGTGCTCATGAACGCAATCAACATCGAACAATTGTAAGCTTCGATAGAGGGCTTACCGTCATGCCCTATTAGGCGAGCACTGTGATCACAGTGAGAAGGGGATGTCTCAACATCACCATCGTGTCCAACGCCAATCGCCACGATTCAGGAGCCATCCAGGAGGGCCCTCGAGGTCCAACGCCTGTCGTAGACACTCGATCTCGTCCTCCGAAGGTAGATCTCTCCGTTTCAGATCGAAGTTTGAGTATAATGAGACGATCGTAGTCAGGACTCCAAGCTTCCGATGAGCGTAGATAGCAGCTTCAGCAAGTCTTCGGACATAGCTGAGCCACATCGCTTGTTGATAGTGACTAATGCTCGAACCATGCGTTCGTATTCGTTGAGATGCCGACCATATTGACGTGTCAACCGGTGTTTCCGTGCGTAGTCAAGGAGGAAGTCTCGTGGGGCTCGCCACCCGTAGTGCATTATTGGCGGCTTGTAAGCAACTCGACGAGAAGGTACCAGGAGGCGGGGCAGCACCTCGAAGGGCTCTACGACAGTCAAGTATCCCTCAACCTGAAGCAAATCAGGGACACAAAAAATGCCGGAACCTGGATGCTGACGCACCTGCTCGTATCTGAGCTTGCTTTTGGTGAATGCGAACGGCCGCTGAAGCTTGCGCTTACAATCTGGTGGGTCGAGACTCGCAAGAACGATGGAGCTGGAAGCGCACTTCTTCTCCATAGTGCAGTGTTTATATAGATATCGAAGTAAGACAAGAGGGTGCACAGAGTGGTCGTAGACTGAGACGATTGGAAGCAAGTGACAAGTGTTGACATTGACCAGCAAGCGGCGGCTGAGCCACAATACACGCCCACGTGATACGCGACTAACCGCGTAAGCGCCATGGCCATGGCACGCGTCAACTCGTAGTGCCTTAAAGTTAGTACGATCCACGACCATCTGCATCATTATCATTGAATACAACTGTCTTGCACCAATGGTAAAAAGTTGAAACCTGAGTGCTAGTACTACGTGATCAGCGTCCAATGTCTCAGGCTCAATGATTGAAGGCTTGCCTTCACATTCTGTCGAGCGGTCGCTGCAACTGCAGTCCTCGTGCCAACCAGGAGACTCGGAGATCTCTTAGCTCAACCCTTGTCGCAGCAATGTAATCTCCTCCACAAGCTACAGATCTATCCGCTCTATTTCGATTCCCGAACATATCTTGGTTGACGACTCCAGATGATCGTCGATAGCAACTGGAGCAAGCCGCCAAGCATGGCAGCGCCGCGTTGCTTAATGATAGCGACCAACGCCCGATCCATACGTTTGTGATGGCTGAGTTACTGCCTCCACTTCTGCGTCAGCGATGCTTCCGTGCGTATTCGAGGAGGAAAACTCGCGGTGCGCGCCGCCCGTAGCGCACGATCGGTGGTTTGTAGGCAACTCGGCGGGAGGTACCAGCAGACGGGGCAGCGTGGCGAAGGATACTGCGACGGTCAATCACGATTCGATCTGAACCTAATAGTCAGCAAGAAGGCGTATGCAAGCAGAGATAGGCCAACCTGTTTGTATATGAGCCTCGAGAGTGTTAACGCAAATGGGCGCTACAGCTCGCGCTCGGTGCCCTTAGGTACGGGATAGGAGGTAAGAATGGAGCGGGAAGAGAACCCCCTATCCATGAGCGTATGCATCTATGATGTAGCGATGGTATGAGTGTCGTTCGTTGACGATCTACAAGCCATCCGGCGGAGTTACGGTGGTATCGAAATGCGTACTGACGTCAAATAGGCATTGAGGTGCTAAAGACAGTGGTTACGCACACGATTACGAAGACTACTCGATAAAGTGAGTTGTTGCGAGTAGAGGTTATACAAGCCTTCTCCGAATTGCCTCAGTTGACCATCTCGTGATGTGTGGCCAACTGGTCGCGTGAAGTCTGCGCAGAATGAATCAGTGCCCCGATCTGCAACAAAGTAAGTTATAAGGCCTTACGGTAGATAGCTTGCCGACGATTTGTTTGACCGAACCGCGGGGTCTGTATCGCTCGCTCGTCACAAGTTCTGCAGTCTCAAACAAGGAGCCGATAAGACCAGACATCCACTTCGAGGACTCTCGCAGTCTCGATTATGGTACAAGCACACGCAATCCGATGACTATAATACATGGGACTCATCTAGTGGATGCATAACAAACTGGCATGGTACGGAGGTGTCACAGTAAGAGAGCATTTCGAAAGCGAACACGGGTATCTCCAAGAGACGTGAGAGGGTTATGTCAAAAGTCGGGATCAGCGTCGGAGGCGAAGTATCGTTGCGAAGGAGACTCACCGTATAGAACCATGATATGAGCCGTTAGCGAGAGGCGTCGAGCATTACCATCGCGACCAGACCCAGTCTTCATCGTCTAGGTACCACCTGGGTGGCCCTTCGATGCCCAGACCTTGACGGAGAACATTGAACTGTTCCTCGGATGGCAAATCCCTCCGCTTCAACTGATAGTTCGAGTATAGTGTCACAACTAAACTGAAGTCCTCCGGACTTCCAAGCGACGTGGGTTGCAACTTGAGCAGATCGCTGGGGATGCCAGCACCACTCTTCTTGTTGATGTCGATCATTGCTCGCTCCATGTACTCGCACTCTTCGAGCACGCGTCCCCATTTCCTCGTCAGCCTATGCTGTCGTGCGTAGTCGAGGAGCAAGTCTCGTGGGACTCGCCAGCCGTAGTGCATGAGGGGTGGCTTGCATGCGATTCGGCGAGTTGGGACAAGTGGACGGGGTAGTGTGAGAAAGGGTTCCGCGACGGTGAGATAGCCTTCAACCTGCGTGGTGTCAGAAGAGGAGTACACCAATTGAGGAGGGTACCGACCTGCTCAAACCTCGGCCTAGGACTTGAGAATGCGAAAGGCCGGTGGAGCTTGCACTTGGTACCCGGAGGGTCGACGCTGGGTGGCACAACGGAACGGGCGCATTTCTTGTCCATATTGTGTATGAGAGCTAATCGCGTAGCAGAAAGTAAGTGGGTGTTGGATGCTCGAGGCAATCACAGAGAGTGATAGGTTGAAGGGAAAGTAGGGAGTTGGCCTCGCTGCTCGCAGCCATTGGCTTGCGTTAGTTGAACGATCACGTGCCGTGTGGCCACCCTGTAAAGTAACGCGCGTAATCTCTACTTATCGTGAAGCTCTGGTGAAGCTTTCCTGTTGCTTCTGATCGAGACTCACATGTTAGTATGGCTATGTTTCTGGATCCCCCGCGGTGCTCTTTGAATACGTACATTCCAAATGCACGTGCGCAGTTACAACGTCTCGTCTTGGCGGTGCGTCGAAATCCGATGATGGGTTGAACACCAGTCGATCATGAAGCGGCCAGATAGTTATTATGTGTTCTTACAGAAATATTCACTGAGTGGGAAACCTAGTGAGTCCAGCAATTGCGACCACAATAACTGGCAAACTGCAATGCACAAAATGGCCCGCCGTATTGTTGATCAAATGAGTTCAGCGCAAGACGGTGAGACTCGCGTTACTCACGCTGGGCCCCGGTTGGGTTCGAGGAATCACTCGCAGTCATGGCCCACTGATTAGCAACTAAGTATATGATGCTTCCCATACACTGGAACGAGCCTATCAGTTCTGATAATGCCTCATGAATAGCACCGACTGACCATAGCAGCGTCGAGCGCAGACGCTTTGCAATCGCACACCGATACTGTTATCGCGGTACCGTTTGTAGACCTTGCGGCTATATCCTATGCTGTTCTACGTAACCACGGGTACCTTAGTGCAGCTTCGGCCTAGCTTGTACTGCGTCCGTGATGAGTATGTTCCGTGCCTGGTCGGTCGGGGCTCGGAGACACGAAGGGGCGCACCAGACTCGACTGTACGATAATAGTGTAGGGATCATGAAGAGACAGACGGTGCTCTTCCAAGTCGGGGAAACCGCCAGCAAGGAGCTTGGGGCTGGAGCTGGAACCGAGTGCAGATGAGTGCCAGAGTCAATGACAAGGGCCAGGTACGCCACATACTGATGATCGCTGCGGTCAGCGTATGGCATAGACCTCATAGTTGAGTGGTTCGCCAAAAGTATTACAAGGCCGCGCCCGAGTCCAACATCTCCAAGCTTCCATGAAGTCTAGACGAGGGGGCATCGTGTGATGGTGTCCAATCCGTAGACTATCCAGTAGACAATGACGGGTAGGGCTTCGGTCAAACGCGAGCACTGGGTCAGTACATTCCCTCAAAGACTCTGAATGGAAATGCGAAGTCGTCGGGCCGTAACGGCCACTGGCACGAGACAGGCCACGCTGTGGTATCAAGTTAGTGATACTTAAGCATTTGACACAAAGGCGAGCTACTCACCTCGTCGAACTCCGGCCTAGACTGAGAGCTCTCCAACACTCGTGAGTTTCCAGACGACCGCAGCACTACACAAGACTAACTCGGTCCAGAACAGAACCCAGAACCCAGATGAAATAGGTCAAGCCGAAGCAGAGCAACTGCCGTTCTAAGACACATCGACATATCGAGAAGATCAAGCTAAATAATACTGTATCCGCAGAGTTGAGTTATATGATACAACGTACACGCGACGACAACTACCGTACATGTCCCGTGTGGATGATAAGGTACAAGCGTGGGCTGACGGACTAGCAATGTCACGACGCGAGAGCAATGCGAAAGCGAGCATGGTGGGGGTATCCTCGACAGAGGTATCGCAGAGACGCTGAAAGATTTATCAAATCAGTACCGGTTATACATGAGGGAAGAAAAGAGCGAGCGTACCATGGGAGGAAGAGATAGATGTCTGCTCAATATGACCAGCGTGACCATTGCCACTCCAGGCCATCCAGGAACCAGCTTGGAGGCTCCTCGAACCCGAAGGCCCGTTGTAACCGCTCGATGCCGTCCTGCGACGGCAGATCCGTCCGCTTCAGTTGGTAGTTGGTATACATTGAGATGACGAAGGTTCTACATCCCATGCCATCCAAGAGTGTAGTCTGTACTTGGAGGATGACGTCCGACATCGAGGCACCACATTTCTTGTTGATAGTAGCCAAGGCTCGATCCATGCGTTCGTACTCGGTGAGGTCACGGCCCCATTTCCTCGTGAGCCTCTTCGTCCGCGCGTAATCGAGGAGGAAGTCTTGAGATACACGCCACCCGTAGCGCATGACGGGCGGCTTGTACTTGACTCGGCGGGAAGGGACGAGCAGGCGAGGCAAGGTAAGAAAGGGCTCCGCAGAGGCCAAATAATCTTTTATCTACGCAATGTCAGTCGGAGATTGCGAGCAAATGTGAACATGAACATACTTGATCATATCTCGGCCTGACTTTACTGAACGCGAAGGGCCGATGAAGCTTGCGCTTAGTGCTTGGTGGGTCGAGGCTCGGTAGGTCAAGGGTGCGAGATGATTGGTAGATCTCCATCATATTGAGTGTGAAATGAGACGAGAGGATATAGGTGAGCGACGGTTGCACGGTATGCTCGAGGCAAGGCGATGATGGTTCGTTGCAGAAGGCGCGACGACTGAGCGACGCGCTTGAACATGGCCATAACCGTGGGAATCGTGGCCACGTCGCGTGTCCCGGACCGTAGATCGCGCTGATCTGAGTCCACGTGCCACGACGGTGCCGTTCGCCAGTAGCGCCTGGTTCAGTGGTTGTACAAGGTTGTACATTGGTCGGAAACTCGGCGGACGGGGGAATAGCAGTCATGTCCATGTAGTCCAACATCGTCTTCATGGCACGGTTCATGTTCTATCCAACGCACAGTGCTCTATACCAAAATACTTTAGGGATGGCCTCCATACGGCGATCATACATCCCACCGTTGAAAATCTAGCACTGATACGTGATGTACAATAGTAGATACATTTGCCCGAAAACTAGCGGCGCCGCCCAGTATTACCATGCATACGTACTGCAAAAGTCTTGCGCATAAGTTGAAAGAAGTCGAGGTGTTACTATGTATGAGACAGAAGTAGTAACCGGTACTTTGCAATGCAAACTAGTTGGCGTTCCCCGGAGTCGACGATGTCCTCGCACCGAGGTCGCCAACCTGGCCGTGTTTCACAATCGTCCACCATATCTTGAAGTCCCCACTGAAGTCGGTGCAATCCTCGTTGAGGAGCATGTAGACCTTGCTTTTGTACAACGCGGTAACGCCGCCACGAGCCCGCCTCCCTGCGGATTTGGAATTCTTCCTCCCAAACCTGACGACCTTGAAGTGCACACCAACGTGACACATAACATACACGACCCTAAGATCCCGAAATGTCCACAGGGCCAGCTCCGCCTGTTCCGCAATCTGCTCTTCCATGTCCCTGAACGAAGATTCGAGGATGACTTCGTACGGAGACTTCTTCGACCCCTCCTGCACCTCTTGGAAAACTCTCTCTTCGTAGCGCTTGAGCTCATGGACAAAAAGCAGTCGCGGGTGAGGCTTGGCCGGGTCGTGCGGACTCAGGAGCGTGGCGTAGTCTGGAGTCCGGCGGCGATCTTTTGCACGTTGCTGTGGATTGCTGATAACCGATGGCCCGGAGGACGCAGTCATCGTTGACGCGCTGATGCTGGAGAGCGACCCGTGGACCACCCCGTGGGCTTGGGACGTTGCTCGAGTCTGCCGTTCTGTTCAAAGTTACTACTTAGACCTCGTACAAAACATGGAGAGATGCTGAGAGACGAACCCGTGGGCTCTGGTGCGTCGAATGCATCCGGAGGGATGGTCATGATGAACTGCGCGATTGTTCTGAGACGATAGCCGTTGGGCCCAGGGATGGAAGTTCTAAGAGACGCCCATTCCAGGACAGTTTGGAGAAATGGGTGCAGCTCAGCTTCGAGTTCGTGATCTACAATGTCGACTGCGAGTCGACGGATATGAAGCATCTCATCGACATTGAATGTCTTGACCCAGGCGGGCCAGTTCGTCGGAGCCATTGTGGAGCAGTTCCGTTGTAGATGTGAGTCGAGGTTGGGAAGAAGTCGTTGTTCGCCTCAACCGAGGCAGACCTCTATTTGTGTGAGGCGCGTTAGTGTCCCGCCACGGGGAATGGCCACAGGGAGCCACACCTTCCCAATGCAGACGGAATGACTGAGCCACAGACTTCGCAGGCGGATGCTGTGCGAGTCACTCCCCCCGTAAGCATTGCTGGCAATGTGCCGAACCAAGCCGACCTTTGTTCTCTAAATCGGGAATGATCAAGGTCTCGTTTCCGTGGCTGCAGACCTCAAGGCGAACCGTTCTAGAATGCACCCCGTGGTCATTTGCTACCGCGGCCACCCGCCGAAGTGCGCACTGCGCCTCGTGCATCAGACAACGAACGATTCCCGAGAGCGGGCCACATACCTGTGGACCTGAATAGGAAGGTTCCTGATGGATGCAAACATCATCTGCCAAAATTGTCGATTAGCTACAGAGCCACGCCGAGCTAAATGATCTCCCGTGGCCACCACGGGGGAACAAGGGACTTACGGGGCGGCGTAGAAGGCCGCCGAAACGCTTATAACACGGAGAGCTCAGTTGAACTCTCCCACCTTCGCACCAACTTGAACTCACCTGTTCTCAGTTCTTACCACAACATGGACATGACCGACTGGCAGTGGCCCACCGTCGACACACCCGACACAGAACGCAATGACCTCTTGCCGCGTTACAGGCCTACAAGGCGTCCTATGACGGCAGTGGTGAGTTTCTGCCTTCAGAGTCGGCCACCGTATGTGGTACTGACGACTCTACCTTCTTGTCATAGGAGTTCCAAGCGATTTCAGATAGTCATCCACTTGCTATTCTGCCGTGGATCCTCGTCCCAGACGGGCTGGGCGACTTTGCGCCGCCTGTCATGCATTACGCGATAGACTTCGTTCCAGATCAGCTTGTCGCCTACGCGGAGGAGAACGACTCTCTCGTTGTCTATTACGACGAGTCGCCCGCGTGCTCAGAGTTTGATTCCGACGGAGACAATGAGGAAGTCGAGCAGGAAGAACATCACGAGCAGGACGAACCGCGCGAGGAACCGGAGTGTAAATTGAATGCAGGGCAGGAGCAGGACGAGCAGCGCGAGGAGCCGGATAGCGAGCGGAGTGCAGGGCAGGGGCAAGAACGCGAGCAGAGGGGCGAAAGCGACCTGGAGCATGGCAAAGAAGGCGAAGAAGACTCCGAATCGGAGGAGGAAGATTACGATTTCCGTCGCTTGAAGACTCGAAACGCTCCGCGGAGGAAGGCACCGACAATCGACAGAATTGGCAGCATGCGATGTGCTTTGCGCGCTTTGGCCATCGAGGCGGGCGCACATATCCATACTCGCTTGCTGAAGATCAGCCTAGGAATTCAACGCATGGGGGTGCGGGAAACGTCCTTAATCATCTCGTTCTACAGCAACTACGACCTCAAAGCCGGCGACCTGCCGACTACGGAGGACATCGAGAAGTTGCGCGTGGCAGTCGGTTCTCAACATCCGCCTGGTTGGTACCTGGATAGGAGCAACTATCGCTGGGAGCGTTACTACTGACTGGTAGCAGTAGCTCATGGGATCTGCTACATACACGTCAGAATATGCCTTGTCGGCAGTCCAATAGGTGCTGCGCTCACATACCATTTTACAACCGTACAACCGTCAGATCGTCCATGTAATTGTCTACAGAGCGTTATAGTGATTTTCAGCATATTATCCAAGCCATATTGTGACCGGACATGCGGCAAACTAGGACTCGGACCTGCCACATATCATCGCGGTGTGATCAGCCTTCGAACAGTCCTGCGACCTACGCGTCAGGACACAGACCGCGTATCCAGTTTTTCTCGTGACATAGAGGCGTGGCCCGTCTGACTCTTAGCGCAAACGAATGACACAATGACAGCCTGCGCTGCGTGAATATGCGAGGACGTCTGCGTCATTTAAGAAGGGTTAATTATAGTTCATTAGTGAACCTAATCAGGATTAAAATGAGTTCCTTAAGAACTATGATTAGGTATTCATTCTGTTAATCATGGGCTTAGGGTGGTATGATTACCTCCATTAATCCATGTTGGCATGAAACCATATTATGATCCCAAATGAAGGCACTAGCCCTGACACAAAGGGCTAATTCTCTGCAAATCCCAGTCAATTTACACTGAATCATGGCATAATCCCAGTCATGATCATGCTTAACCAATTCATGACTCTTAATCCTAACATAATCCCATTATTTGGATATCATAATCATGGCATAACCTCAGTGTTGATCCTGCTGAAATGGGCATAATCATGACATATGTACAATCCTAAACATTCATTATCAAGCCCTAATCTCAGAGCTAATCTATGGCAGGCATCATGAATGTAATCATGAATTCAATGCTAATCCTGGCTGCTGATCCTGATATATTGATGTCAGATTAGTGCTGATTAGCCAGATAATCTGCAGAACAAATCACAGTGATCAGATCAATTAAAAAAATGTTGTGCAGAAGCCAGGACTGAACCAGCGACTTTTTGAAGCATTACATAATCACCTTATTGGGCAAAGAAGCATACACTATAACCACTGCACCATACTGTCTTGTTATGTCTGAGATGTTATTGATCTATGTCATGTTCTTTGATTGCTGGACTTAGACACATTTCTAGTGCCCTCCCATGATGCAGTCTAATCCTGATCAACCTGAGATTAGCAACCAATCAATCCTCACTAACCCATGAGGATTTGCAGAGATTAATCCTGAGGTAATGCTTCTTTGCCACATAAGACTGTGAACAGATCAAGTCCAGATTAGAGGTGGGATTAGATAGTCTTCAATCTGATTAACTTACTGCTAATCTGCAGTGTACAAACAGGATTAGGGTTCCACATTACTGAATCATAATTAAAAGTACCAAGTACAGCACATTGAAATCATCATTGAAACAGCAGATTATATTGGAAATAAATCTTTGCAAATCCTCATGGGTTAGTGAGGATTGATTGGTTGCTAATCTCAGGTTGATCAGGATTAGACTGCATCATGGGAGGGCACTAGAAATGTGTCTAAGTCCAGCAATCAAAGAACATGACATAGATCAATAACATCTCAGACATAACAAGACAGTATGGTGCAGTGGTTATAGTGTATGCTTCTTTGCCCAATAAGGTGATTATGTAATGCTTCAAAAAGTCGCTGGTTCAGTCCTGGCTTCTGCACAACATTTTTTTAATTGATCTGATCACTGTGATTTGTTCTGCAGATTATCTGGCTAATCAGCACTAATCTGACATCAATATATCAGGATCAGCAGCCAGGATTAGCATTGAATTCATGATTACATTCATGATGCCTGCCATAGATTAGCTCTGAGATTAGGGCTTGATAATGAATGTTTAGGATTGTACATATGTCATGATTATGCCCATTTCAGCAGGATCAACACTGAGGTTATGCCATGATTATGATATCCAAATAATGGGATTATGTTAGGATTAAGAGTCATGAATTGGTTAAGCATGATCATGACTGGGATTATGCCATGATTCAGTGTAAATTGACTGGGATTTGCAGAGAATTAGCCCTTTGTGTCAGGGCTAGTGCCTTCATTTGGGATCATAATATGGTTTCATGCCAACATGGATTAATGGAGGTAATCATACCACCCTAAGCCCATGATTAACAGAATGAATACCTAATCATAGTTCTTAAGGAACTCATTTTAATCCTGATTAGGTTCACTAATGAACTATAATTAACCCTTCTTAAATGACATCCCTGGCGAGGAGGAGGAGGCGACTTGAGGACGCGTTACATAAACGCTGCCAGCCGCCACCGAGCTTTCCACGTTCCACGCGTGACGCGTGACGTCCGAGTCGGGTTCCACAGAGGCAACTTAGCAAGCCTTTTGCTGCCCGAGTCCTCAGTACGACTACATCCCACTAGCATGCTGTCGGTGACTCGACGTTGAATTTCTATGCAAGCCTGAGGGCTGGTTCCGCACCACCGTCGGACCACTTGATCCGAGTCAAAGCCATTTTATCTGCCGCTCGCGGTTTGTCCCAATTCCCGAAGTTGTCGCCATGACAGTCCTGGTGGCTGAGAACTTTTGAAGATACCCTTGTTCTCGCTCCCGACGCGGGACTGTTCACACGGGATCTGCCACTGATCTGTCGATCGCGGAGGCAAAGTCAATCGGGCATGGGCGCCAACTGGATCTCAACTTAAGCTTGAACTTGAACTTGAACGTTTGAACGTTTGAACGTTCACGTCGTCTCATCCCTGCCAGATCCCTGCCACCCACATTTTTGACACAACTATTCTCAGCTCCGACGTCCACGCGTTGTCTTCATTTCCTGCCATGCCACGACCTCATAGCTCTCGTACTCTCGACCTCCCCTGCCTCGATCCCCCGGGAACGAGCCGCACACTAGTCATCCCGTTTGCGTTCAGTCGGGAGAGACCCAGCTATCAACAGGTATGTCCTTGCCACTGGCCCATACCAAGAGTCTCACGCAGCCTAGATGTTTGATAACGTACACAGTACAGATCCGTTTACAACTCTACCTCGTGTTCTCATCCCCAGTCTTCGATACACGTACGTTCCACCGCGAATGTTGTACGGATGGCCTGCGCCGAAAGAGTCTTTACTGGCATACGCGAAGAAAAAGAAGATCGTTGTGCGTAGTGGCCGTACAATCGACGAACCTGCTACACTGGGCATAGCACTCCGCATCATGATGCTTGAAAGTGGCGTTGCCAACCTTCCTCATGACATGCTCCGCCCTCGTATCACACCGGTGGGGGCGGATGACCAACAAAGAGTTGTCGTCGCAGTATACTCCAACTACGACTTCACACGGAAGGAGCTGCCATCGCAGGAGACAATGGAGAAGCTTGGGCAATGCCTGGGTGTCGAGGGACCACCGAGATGGTACCTGGACGGCCTCAACTGGTATTGGCGACTATGGTAAAATAAAATAAAAGAGGGGAAGGAGTGTCTGCATTCTCTGCTCTATATCGTTGTAAGCAATTGTTCTTATCTGCCCTCCCGTTGCTGGCTAACTATCGAATGTTGTACACAAATCAATCAGTCACGACCTCGCTTGATCCCTTATTGGCTTGTCATTGCATCGCGTTGCTCTATGTACATCATGTTTAATTGGCGGTTGGTCAGAGCCTGTACGAATAAGGACGGATCATAATCCTGGCTTTCATTGATCACTTGGATTCGGCTCGTGGGGTGGGCGCTGCTCGGTATGAAGTAGCCGTGGTCTCGCAATGACAGCAACGTATGTGCCATAACGCGAATATCGCCGCGATGATGAGTCGCATCCCCACTTTTCCGGTGCCACTGCCGGTATACATTCAACTACCACTTCGACCGGGCCTACAGTTCTGAACGCCGCCAATTGTTCTCGGCCGTCTCGTCGGAAGGTAGATCGCGGCGCTTGAGCATAGCTCTCAATCGCACGAACAGATAAATATATCATTGAATCAGCCTTCATCGAAATGGTATGTAGAACGCGCTGACCCACCAGGAGCCTGAGTCGATATTCACCTTGCCCTCGCCATGGATCATCGCATGCAATGTTTCGAGCATCATTCTAGTTAGAGATGACTTACACCCGAGACGCTTTGCAAGCTCGTGCTTCTCTGCGTAGTCGCGCAGGAGCTTTCCCGTAGCAAGCCACGCATAGACGAGACGAGGCGGTCGCGTTGCACATCAGCGGCCAGGGACGAGGTCTCCGGAGCCCGTCAAATCGTTGCATCCGGCGCTGAGCTTAAGAGTCTGCGCTCGTATAAGACGAGAGACCTGCGTAAAAGTGCACCAACGGTGCAGCGGGGTTCTTGCATGCTATACCTGGCCAAAGATTAATGGCCAGAGACGCAAGGTATCGGCGACGGATTCACCTGTGCGGATATCTAGGTCTGATCTTGTTCGTCCGTAATTTCAATCTCTCCATAGTGAGTTAAGCTAGGCTGCTTGAGGTATTTTCGGGTATTTGGGCTCGACGTCAACGAAGATTCGCAATGTGCAGTGCGTTGCGGACGCAGACCAAGGCGCCAAGCGCTTTGACCGGCAGATCTACGATCCTACGACATATGGTGCTGGATCCGGGATACGATCAAAGCTCATTCACCAAGGTCCAAGCTACCAATTGGCTAGACTCTCTTTGAACAATGAACGCATATGTGAAATGTGGGACAGTGTGGCCAACCGCGTAGGCGCCGGAACCGACTCGCGTTTAAATTCGCGCTTCAGCCCAACGGCTTGTTCCACTCCTCCCCCACACCCACCGCCGTAGCGAAATGAAGCAGATCACGAACGTCGAAACCGTCGATTCTCCCGATACCGTGGCTACCGGGCTGGCCCCGCCGCTCATACCAACGGAGGGTGGCCGTATACTGGACGAGGTACGTTTGCTGTCGCCACTCGCACCAGAACGACGAACTCACCTGGCTTCCGAAGGACCTCACTAAGATCATAGAGGCGGAACCTCTCTCGAAGCTCCCTCGAATTCTCGTGCCGGACCCTGAGGAGAGTGTCATGAAACCGCCCGTTATGCACTACGGGTGGCCCATCGATCACGATGTCCTCCTAGATATTGCGGAAGAGCATGGACTGACTGTCTACCTTCCTTCCGGAAACGATACGCTCGTGGAGGACGGCTGGGAAAATGAGTGGCAGGAGCCAATAGACAGATGTCATAACATCAAACTCACCGCGACGATCGCCAACGTCATGCAAGCAGTTACTGAAGAGGTGGGCGCGTGGGTCCCACTCAATCTGGTTAAGGTATGGCTCGGTCTGCAGGGAAGCAACAAGCGCCGTTCTCCGGCGATCATCTCTTTCTATACCAACTACAACCTGGATTGCGCGTACCTACCCCCTTTAGAGGAGATAGAGAAGATGCGCGAGGTGTTAAAGATCCAGGATGAAGGGCCGCCAAGGTGGTACTTGGATGCGGACCACTATAGGTGGAGGCCGTGGAGAGAGCGACGCGAGCATCCGACCTGGTTCTATGCAAGTGAGATGCCAACTTTCTTCGCTCGCAACGAGTTACTCACCAACCCTTCGTCCAGCTTCGCTATAGGATCCGACAGGATGTTGCATGCAGATGAGTAATGTAGTCCTTGTCTCTTGTACTTGTATTTTGCGTGCACACCCTTGTATTGATATTGGCATATCCTCTTGTCTCTCACTTGAATCCCTTCGCAAAAAAGGTGCTACATTACCAACTCGGATATTCAGGTAACTTACTGATCAAGGATCCCTGCCTGTAGAGTTCACGTCACTGTTTCGTCCGACAGCACCACCACTCCGTCATCCGCGGGTCATCAGCGACCTTTACCCACCCACCGTCTTCACCCGTGAATGCTCTCGCGAGCCCCGCCGCACGACGCGCACGCGCGCGTGCCTCCTCTTCTCTCCCCAGCACAGAGTTTGCCTTACACAGCCAGTGCAGACACACGGGCCACACCACGTCCTCGATGCAGCCTTCTTCGTCGATCATCGCCATCACCGCCTCACACGCAGCGACAACCTTATGCGCACCCTCCTCGCCCGGTTCCGCGAGCCATTCCGCAAACTGCGCGTCATCATACACGAGCGAACGATGTCGCGCGAGGGCCGCCCTGCGCGCGTCGCTCCGGGCGTGTGCATCGCCGGTGAGTGAGCAGGCGGGGCACGCGCAAGTGAACGCGTACGATTCGCGAAGGAGGGTGATCCGTGTGGCGCGAGGGAGCGTGAGCTCAGGGAGGTAGGAGATCGTTATCTCCTCCCCCGCAAGGATCCGCCGCCGAGCGCGGAGCTCGATCGAGAAGGAGGGCAAGTCCCAACGCGCGACTGCATTCGGTGAGCAACTGTCGGTAGCAACAAGCCGCGCGGACGCAGCCGTCTGTCAGTCTGCCATGCAACATTGCAGATCGAAATGATGTGCGCACCTATGGTTCGCGCGGCACGTCAGCTCGCATACGACCGCACAATCGCCGGGGTACCCAGGGAGGGCACCCACACCAAGGGCGTTCGTGTCCACGATTCCCCTCGCGCGGGAGTACCGCGTGTCGCGCGCCCTGTAGTTCCGGAGCCCGAGGAAAGCGCGCTGCTCGCGCGCAGGCATCGATGCGGCGACGCGCTCGAGGAGGTCGTCCGCACGCATGCCGGGCGCATCGCCCGCGGGGAGCGCGCGCAGCGTGAGCAGGAGCGGGCGCTCGCTCAGGACGAGGTCTCCCGGCTCGAGGACAGCAGGAGCGAAGAGTCCGAGCTCCACGACTGGGCTGCCTGGACTGGACGCTGAGAGCGCGCTGGGCACTGGGCGGAGGTCGTACAGGCGCGGGATGGCCGGCTGGGCTGGGGCACATGGGAAGCCTGGGATCGCGAGGATGTGAGGGGTTTGGCCGGAGAGGAGGACGCAGGTCGTGGTGTGCTCGGCAGAACCAAGGCCAGAGGGAGGAGGTGGAAGGTGGACTACATAGAGGGTGACCTGCGTGCCGAGCGTGAGCGCGCTGAGTTGAGGCTCGTGGTGTGATATGCTCTGGGTACGGAGCGTAGGAATGGGTATCGGAGCCGCTCCCGCAGGAGGTCGAGACTTGTCTACGAGACCGTGAGCTTCGTCCCCGGATTTCGGCTTCGGCGCTCGCTGAGACTTGTTGTCCGCGCTCAGAGACCTATTCAATAGGAAGCCTCGGCGCATGTTGGGCCCTCGAGACGTACAAAGCAGCCGCTGTGGCAAGGGTCAAGGGGCGGCGACGACTTCATGTCTTTGAACAATAGGAGATGACTTCACTGCATTCCCGCTGCTATCGCGAGTTTGCTCCGTATGGTCTGGTACCGAGCGCGCGCGTGTGAGTAGTCTCTCGCGCCAACCCAAGACCCGTCGAGACATTGCTCGACTCTGTACAAGCGTCAGCATTGGTCTGAGTCGACAGGTCAGCAACACGAGTCTCACCTCAGTATCAATTGCCAGCTCATCATCTATCAGGTAATGTGAGAGCATTTTTGTTAATGAAGTCCCTTCAAAAGGGCAGTACTCATATGATTGTGCATCCACCCCTCTCCCCCATTTCGTCTTCGTATACTTCGCCCGGTCACCCAGTCAGTCGGATTGGGGCGACGTCCACTGGCAGTATGAGGAGGCCGTGTACAATCATGCTTGGTGGTCGACCGCTGTACGTGTATACTGTAACTTGGCAAGCGTGAACGCTGGATGGCACGTCCGAGGTGAGTCTTTTTTTCGATTTTCTTGCACATGCCAGTGGTCTGAGTCACGGAAAGTCGACCAGTGACTAGGGGCAACGCCATACAGTTCAAACTCCGACGCGTCCGCGCGCGACGCGCCTACCGTGTCCCAAAGGTGGGCGCGAAAAGAGGTGCACTTTACTCTCCCTTCTCCTACACAAAATATTTGGATAACACAACCACAAATCATGTAAAATCATACTTGAGAGAGTCTTCTGGACAAAATTTCTGGATACCTCGTTCAGACGGCTTTGTTCTGGCAGGGGGAAGATCGATGTGCATAAAATTATTCTGTCCTGAACGTTAGACGGAATGGATGTTCAAGGTGATTGTGACGCGCTTGTTGCGACATCGAGTTCGCAGCGAGTACTCGAAAAGTGCACCTTTTCGTGCGAGGGCGACGCGTATTACGTAAGCAGAACGCGCGCGACGCGACGCGCTCAAACGCCTGCTTCGTTCGCGTTTGCTCTGTTCTACGCAGGCCGGAACGCGCTCTGAACATCCGACACAGACCTATGGCTCTATGGGTCATTTCTTCTTCGGGTTTGACTCTAGACGACCGAGTAGAGCTCAAAGGGCGCAAGTTCTTGGTGTCCAACCACTCGGTTCTGCAGCTCGGACTACAAGGCCGGCCAGAGTCAATGTGATCGCCGTCCGTCTCGATCCAAACTATTGGAGCGATCCTGCTAACTTCAAGGGCATTACACGCGATGATATCAAGCTCCAGCTCGCGTGGCTACGTGTGCGAGGCGTCCGTGTGACCCCCGGGCTTGCTGGCGCAAAGAACTTGAAGATGGACCGCCTGCAAGGTCTAGTGTGTTGAAAAAAGAGGTTTTAGGCTTAGTAAGCCCAGTGGCAGTGAAGGACTAAAGAGTGAGTGAACAGACCAGTCCCAAAGGGAAGATCCTATGCTGGCAGGCAGAGGAGAGGACGAAGGATCGTTATCATTACAGGGCAAACCAGCCCAGTATATATACACATTTGATACAGGTCACATGCTGTATCAGTGGTTCATCAGTAAGCACTAAGTCCGAGGTTTTGGGGATATGAGTAAGCTGGTAAGCAGCATGAGTAAGCCAAAACTCGGAGTTTGATGTGGAGAGATACATGAAACGTGATGGAACATCAGGAATAATATGAGACATGATGGAACATCAAAGAGTAATATAAGACGTGATGGGACATCAAGGAATGATATGGAACGTCATGGAACATCAAGGAATGTCGTGGAATATCATGGAATGATCCGGACTAAAGTCACATGACGTAATCTAGGCAAAGTCCATCAAAGAACGTATGTAATCTGACATTGCAGAACATAAGTCCATATCCGTACATAACTGATAAGATAAGAACACTGAAAACTCGGAAGTTCAACACTCCCACTTGTTCAAGATGTCGAGTATCTCATCATGCCAACCGAAGACCTGAATTTCTCGATTCCGCTGAAGGGAACATTCTTGGTCAAGGCATCAGCAAGTTGGTCTTCACTTGCGACAAAATAGATGTCCATCTCCCCACGTTCGTAGAACTCTCGAATGTAGTGATACCGGATTTCTATGTGCTTGGTGCGGCGATCCACAGCGGGGTTCACCGCAAGGAAAATGTTGCCTTGGTTGTCAAGACAAAGTGGAGTTGGATGAGACATGTTGTCTCCCAGTTCTTCTCCAAAATGACGCAGCCAAGCCATCTGACGACAGCAGTCGGAGCTGGCCTTATACTCTGCTTCGGTTGAAGACAAAGATACCGTTGGTTGGCGTCTTGACACCCAAGAAACGACACAATTGGCCATGAGGAAAACAAAGCCAGATGTAGAGTGCCTATCATCACGGTCTTCAGCCCAGTCTGAGTCTGAGTAGGCGATCAGACCAGAGTTTGAGCCTCCATCGTAGCAAAGTGCAAGTTCCTTTGTCCCTTGAAGATATCTCAGGACATAGTACGCAAACTTCATATGCTCTTTAGACGGATTTGAAGAAAACTTCGCCAGACGCGTGACCGCGAACGAGATGTCTGGGCGAGTACCAAGCATAGCATACATGATGCTGCCAATGATGCTCTGGTAACGGGTTCGGAAAATTTCAGATGCAGTGTCGGTGTTCTTCTCTAATACTGCTCCAGCGGGAAGAGGTGTCCTTGCAGACTTGCAGTTGGACATTTGGAACCTCTCCAAAACAGACTGAATATAGTCTTCCTGGTCAACAAAGATACGACGTGCAAGACGTTCTCGACGAATGTGTAGACCAAGGAAACGCTGGACAGCTCCCAGATCAGTCATCTGGTATTCCAAAGACAGTCTCTGCTTGATGTTGTCGATGAACAATTTCGAGTCGCCCATGAGGAGCAAGTCGTCGACATACAATATGATTAAGCAGGTGTGTCCTTCAGATTCACGAGAGAAGACATAAATTCCGGCATCCGAATACGTCCGTTTAAACCCTAAGTCAAGGAGAGACTTGTGGATCTTAGCGTTCCATTGACGAGACGCTTGCTTCAAGCCATAAATGGCCTTCTTGAGCAGACAGACCCAGTTCTCCTTCCCAGGTACAGCCCATCCTTCGGGCTGTTCCATGTAGATTTCCTCGTCAAGGTCACCGTTAAGGAATGCCGTCTTGACATCCATAGACTCAATCTCCCAATCTTCAAGTGCTGCATGCGCCAATAGATAGCGTACGGATTCAAACCGTGCAACAGGAGAAAAAGTCTCGGTATAGTCTTGACCCCACACTTGGGTAAATCCCTTTGCAACAACACGCGCTTTGTAGCGACCATCGTGTTTAATCGCATAAACCCACCGGCACTTGATAACCTTTCGGTTTTTAGGCCGTGGAACTAGAACCCAAGTCTTGTTGTCCATAAGTGACTTGTATTCAGAACCTTCAGATGCGTGCCATTTAGCCTTGTCTTGAGACTCCATAGCTTCCCTGTGACTCTGGGGAACACCATGGTTTGCTTCTGCTAGCATCCGCACAAACATGAGAGTTTCAGCCTCAGATTGTTGACGGCCTTGAGCATCGGTACGACGATCAATATTCGCAGGTGGCTCGTCACCATAGGCATTGTCCTTGTTCCTCTTAGGATTTTGTCCAGCACCTTGACGACGTGGACGTTCGTACTGAGGTTGCGGAGGAGGTACAGGATCAGGTTGCGGTTGTGGAATGTCTCCCACTGGCTCTGGATGGTCTTCAGGTTCAGGTTCATGTTCCGGGATAGGAACGGGAATAGGTAAATCCTCAGAATCAGAATCCTCCAAGTTCGCATCCTCAGGAGGTTCATCAAACGGCTTATCCAGGGATTTCGGATTATTGCCTAAATCTTTACGTGCAGGAAATGTCTCTTCATCGAAGGTCACATCACGAGACACAACGATACTTCGAGTGGCCGGATTCCAGAAACGATACCCTTTGGAACCTAACTCATAGCCAACAAAGATCATCTCGACAGCCTTCTTGTCGAGCTTCCCAGCTCTTTGTTCCTTCTGCACATGCACATATGCCTTGCACCCAAATACCCTAAAATACGAAATGTCCGGGACTGTGCTATCCCAGAGGGTAATGGGGCATTGCCAGTTAAGGCGTCGCATTGGTTGCCGATTATAAATGTGAACCGCAGCGTCAACAGCCAATTGCCAGAAACCATGGCTTAGTCCAGCATGATGAAGCATAGACATAGCCTTCTCGACAATGGTCCGATTCCAGCGCTCAGCTCTCCCATTCTGTTGAGGAGAGTATGGCATCGTCTTCTGATGTTCAATGCCAAATTTGCGCAAATGTTCGGTAAATTCTGCAGAGGTATATTCTCCCCCTCGATCCGAGCGTACAGCTTTGATTTTCTCGTCAGTTTGGTTCTCAGCCCATGCCTTGAAATCATCGAACGCTTGGGTCGAATCATTCTTATGTTTGAGGAAATAGGCGCGGCCAAGACCGGAGTAGTCGTCGAGAAAGCTGATGAAGTAGCGCCATCCACCAATAGCGGTGGTACGCATAGGACCATCTTCGTCGGTATGAACAATTTCAAGAGGTTTTGAAGCTCTCTTGTCCGACGCGGGAAATGGAGCACGATGAGACTTGCCCCATTGACAACCTGCACAAGGAGACTTGTCCTTGTCACCGATAGAATCCACACCCTTGGTGTGCTTGGGTAGTTGACGGATAACTTCTTCAGACGAATGTCCGAAGCGTTGATGCCAAAGGCGAAAATTTGACTTGTCAGCAGACTTAGCCAATTGCGGTTTCATAATTTCCATGTGCAACATATAGAGATTGTTGAAGGGCGTGTGATGCGCCTCCATGATCTTGTTACCACGGATTCGGTCAGAACCATGCAAAATAGGTTGGTCGAAAATGACCATACGGCCTCCACCTTGAACAAGGGTGAAACCTGAACGTTCAATAACTCCAGTTGAAAATAGGCGACTAGACGCGGCAGGGATATATGCGACATTGGTGATAGTCGACACAATATGTTTCCCTTCAACATGCACAACGCCTTTGATAGTGCCTTCACCGTAAGCTGCAATTTTACTCTTGCCGGCTGTGCTAAAAATCATGGGCTCCTCGTAAGGAGTGTAATCCCAGAAATCAGC